TAACCCTAACCCTAACCCTAACCCTAACCCTAACCCTAACCCTAACCCTAACCCTAACCCTAACCTCCTATACTTACTTCCGCCTTAAATATAAGTCTTAACTACTATTAAAGATACTAGTGTATCTTTCTAACTAAGCTATAAAGTAGGAGCTCTACTTTAGGCTCTTATATATCTAGTTATTTAATTCCCTTATAGTAATAAAGCCGAGATAAGAGGCGAGGTCCTATTTAGAATAGAACTTATTAATTCTTACTGTAATAGGCTATACTTTGTTATTACTACCCTTAATTATAAAGAGGGGATTCTTATTAATAAACTTATAGGTAGAAACCTTAAAGTAAGCGTTATACTTCTTTTATATCTTTTACCTTACTTCCTTTAGCACTTTAGCCTTCTTAGCTGCTTTCGCGGCGGTGTTAGTATTATACTTTTTTTTACTACATCTTTTCGACTTCTTAGCCGGAGTATCTAGATTTTAGTTTAAACTAAAATTAGGCTAAAGCGGGGGTTTAAGCTTACTTATATATATAGCGAACGAGGAAGCAACTAAAGCTAGAGCACCTAGAGCGAATGAGAAAGCAACTAGAGCTGGAGTACCTAGAGCGAATAAGAAAGCAACTAGAGCCGGAGTACCTAGATTTAGTTTAAACTAAAATCGAGTAGACATATAGGGATACTAGGCTTACCTATTACTAAAGCCGGAGCCTCACTATCTTTTAAGCCTATAGTTAATATTAATACTACTATTAATATTTTAATTAGGATAGTATTTAGCTTATATAGTAGTGTTCTACCCTTACTATTACTCTCTAAAGAGTCTAGCATTCCCGCTATTATTAAAATAATATATTATTTAAGGTAGGCGGCTGTACTTCTAGTTAATATGAATACCGGTTAGCGAAATTCTTAATAGACAGCTGCGTTAGCTTAATAAGGCGTACCTAGTAGGTAAAGTAGCGCGCTAGTCTTATCTTTTAAAGTAATAGATTCTAGTTTACACTAAAAAGATTAAGATAGCACGAAAATATACTAGAACCTACCTAAAAGAGCGAGTAAGATGTAGGAGTCTAGAAGGTAACTAGGGGGTAGAGGAGTTTATATAGGTATCTAGGGTGAAGCGTTTAAAGTAAGGATTATTTCGTGAAATTGCTTAATAAATAGGCGCATAATATTACTCTAGTAAATTATACTATCTTTAAAGTGAAATAGATATTTACTAACCTAAAGAAAGTAAAGACAGCGTAGTATATATAACGTGAAATAAGATAGGAACCTAAAAGATAAGGTATTCTTAGTAGGCCTTTATAGTAGCTTTAGTATCCTTTTATATTTCTATAGTGAATTGCTAAGAAACGCGGAAAGAGTATAATAATTATTTAAAGCTTCGCGTAATAGCATTTAAGGTTATACTAATTTAAGGTAGTAAGTAACTATTTCCTAGATTATAGTATAAGCTAATACCTATACTCTAGGGTGATTTTGAGCTAGTATCCGCTTTATTAGTATTACGGTATATATAATAGGAGAGATATAAGTTGTACTATATCCTTTAAGCTTCTTATAAAGAGCTCGTAGACCTTAACTACTATACATAACGTATTCTTATACAGAGCTCTTCTATTCTAACTTAAACCTCTAGTCTAAGTACTATTCGTATATTACTAACTAGACTGGCTCTAGCGGTGGAAAGATTATAGTTCTACTCTTAGTCTTATAAGGTATAGATTTAGTATATAGTAGTTAAGAGATATAGCGACTAAGTTATAGGATTACTTATTACGGTTACTAGTTAGCCTCTATATAGCTATATATGGAGGTAATCTCTCGTTTAGCCTCTATAAGAACCCTAAGCGCTAGCGTAGTCGTCTTATATATAGAATACATTATAGTATAGGTTAGGGTAGAAGTTGTATTACTATATGTTATAATATAGTTTTAACTAGACTATAGACGTTACGGTCACAGTATTAGAAACTTCTTTAGTATAGAGGTAGATAATATTTCCGCTAAGCCTGTACCTTTACTAATTTAAGTATATAATATTCCCCTTAATAATAATGAGTGTATTAATAGTGGATTTTAGTTTAAACTAGAATCAAGGTCGTGATTATCCCTTACTAGCAGCGACCCTAATAAAAAGGTATCCTTAGTTAAGTACTATAGCTAGCAGAGTAGTTATATATAAACCTAAGCTATCTATAATATAATGCGCTTACGTGGGTTATCTAGTGGGTATTGCTAGCTTTCCCGAGATTATAGAATTTAATATACTTTTATATATATTATATAAGTGGTTGATTTTATGTATTAGCCGTGTTATGCGAGATAGCTGGAAAGTTTTTTAATAGAGTTACTTACTATATCGTCCTGCACGTTTATATAAGTTTTAAAGAGGATGCAACCGTGGTGCGTTATATAAATAGGCTTATTGTATAGAGGGACCGGATTCTTAGTAAGGATTTAAGAATAGGGTCCTATTCTAAAACGGCAAGTTCCGTGTAGGGGTGATTTTGTATGGAAATCGGCACCTGATTCTCGAACCTATAGGTACAGGTTTCTTTATCCCTTAGGGGTTTCGCCCACCTTTAATCCAATTAGGGTTTCTTTATTACTACTAAACCCTATCTTATCTAATTAAGGTTTTCTGATTCCGGCCTTAGCGCTCCCTATTAAAACTACGCTAACTCTACTAACTTTATACTAGCACCGCGCTATAATAGTAAGAGATATTTGAATTCTAACTTCGGGGCGCGATTCGCCCTACCTTATTCTACGACTTTGCCACGCATTATTCCCGCGATCTACTCTGTCTACTCTCTTATCCCTAACCGCAACTCCGGTAATAGAAAGAATAGCTCGAATATCTTATACGGATAAGTAGGGTTAACGTGCTTAGAGAGGTTGGATTGGCTGTACTAGTCGCTTATAGGCTGGATATATATTAGTTCGTATTAAGGTAGTTGCTATAGCTTTAGCGGTGCTCGCCTGGGCTTCTTACGTGCTTAAAATGATTCTTAGATGCTAATATTATAATCTATACTATTACGAGTGCGTGTTCTACCTATAGCGTTAAGTGATAAATTCATTTAGTGCATCTACTATATAGTAAACCCATCCGGAGAAGTAGTGGGGTAGTGCCAAGACAAGTCGTGCACGGACCACTTGAATCACACTACCAGGCTATGGGATAAAGTTCGACGGTAGAAGCTTGAATGCGCCGCCCCAATCGGCCCGAGAACCAGCTGGGTTCTAGTTATAGTCTAGCCTTGCGCCTCTCCTCAACACAAAAGAGGGGTAAGTCCTTGAGACGAGCAGCTTTGTTCCCAGGACGCTATACTCTTAAGAATTCGTCTACCTTACAAGAATTCGTCTACCTACGCAGTCCTGAATCTGTTTCCTGATGCGTCTTCTACGGCTTGACAGTGACGGCCAGTGCCGCCTGACAAACTTCTTTGGAAAGGACGCCAAGGACATTCCGTTCTATGCCATCCTTTCACATACCTGGGGTGCGGACGAAGAGGAGGTCACTTACAAGGATCTAACAGATGGTACACGCAACTTTACTCATAAAGCTGGCTATCGCAAGCTCCAGTTCTGTCAACGGCAAGCTGCTCAAGACGGCCTATTGTATATCTGGATAGATACCTGCTGCATCGACAAGTCAAGCAGTGCGGAGCTTCAAGAATCTCTAAACTCTATGTTTCGCTGGTATCAAAGGGCGGCCAGATGCTACGTATACTTGTCTGACGTCTCAGTCAGGAGGTCCGTCGGAGAGGAAGAAGAGTCTTGGAAGTTAGCATTCAAGAGAAGCAGATGGTTCACTCGCGGATGGACACTTCAGGAGCTCCTTGCTCCATCTTCAGTCGTGTTCTACTCCCAAGAAGCAAAGCGGCTCGGTGACAAGCGGTCCCTAGAGCGAACACTCAACGAGATTACCGGAATTCCAATCAAGGCCCTTCAAGAGACCCCTTTGTCGCACTTTAGGGTGAAAGATCGCAGATCTTGGGCAGCAAATCGACGAACAACACGCGAGGAAGACGAGGCATATTGTTTGATAGGAATCTTCGATGTTTATTTGCCGCTCATGTACGGGAGGGGACGGGCCATCGCGCTGAACAAACTTGAGAGGGAAATCAAAGAGTCTTGGAATTCAGGAGAAGTGAAAGACGTCATTCATATTGGCGGCGCATCGTGGAAGGATCTTCAAACCTTAGACGAAAGGCAATTAAGCGACCTGGACTCAAGTCTTGAAGAGTTTACAAGATGGTTTTTCGAGGAAATCAATATCGCCACAGTTGACAAGATGTCAGCAGAAGCGGGTTGGAGAATGCAAACACTGCTCAATCGTGTCGGAGTGTCCTACAACGACGAAACCAATCATCTGAGAGGAAAACATACGGAATGGCAACAGCCATGGGCAGATTATGAGGCGCAGAATAAGCCTGATATTGACAGAATGCTTGGATTTCTGAACAATCGGTGGTGGTGGGCGAATGGTCAGTCCGATTGTTTTACGGGTGTTATTGCAGCCAAAACACTGATAGATCTAATGATTTGGAGGGACAAGTGGTAAGCCTGAAGTGGTGGTGTTTCTTCGATGATGAAGAGTTTCGAGCAGCGATGTTGGGCTACCGGGTGGTAACGTAGAAACACCGAACACTATCAAATCTAGGGATGCGAGACGGCGGCTACCACAATTCCTTGAGCGACGAAGATTTCGGTGAAGAGTGTGCATTGAGAATACGAATCCACGACTCGAAGACAGGCTGAGGAAGCGACCCCTCGATTGGCCGGTCAACGGATCAGTGAAGGACCGAGATGGTCACAAGGAGTGACAGCGTACCTGGTGAAGCACCTGCAGAAAGCAGCTCTAAGCCTTGCGCCTGATGGCTTTCACGCGAGCGAAGCTCGAAGGCGGCGTTATGTTTTGGTTCTGTGTCATGGAAGCCTGCGATGTAGACATAGCCGCACGTTGCACCACATCGCGAAGTTGTACGATGGCTGTCGCGAAGACTGATCGCGGTTTGGATGCTGGGCGCGTTGGTTGACTCAGCAACAACGCTACGCAACTGCCAAGGCCGAGTACGTAATCGTCAGACGCTAACCCAAAGACAGTCGCCGCCCCCGCAGTAGCTTGGCGGTGCCTCGTCTAGCTTCCGCGGATCCTGTTCTGGTTCCCGCTGTGGAGCCCTGGATCTCGGTACTGTTTCGAGACCCTAGCTCGGATCCGCCCTGCAAAGGGGGACCTTTTGGAGCTCTCCACACCACTCCACCACGTCTGGAGCTGACAACATCGCTCTTCATCTCTTCTGCCAAAAATACCCAGCCCCGTAACCCTGTGGCCGGAGCGGGTCAGCCAACCTCCCCGCTAGCGTGCCACTCAGCATATCTTAACGGTGGTCGGTCTGCTGGCGCACCTGCGGAGATATCCCCTGTGGCATACCCGCAGTGCCACCCTTGTTGCCACCTACACTTGTTGAAAATGTAAGCACCTGCTTAGCACAAGCTAACCCTACTTTATTGATAATTCTGCCATTTTTACCCGGGTCCGGGTGTAAGTCTTCGGCAGCCTACACTAAATGAAGGCAGAAGAGACTTGAGAATATGGGGTTTTCCGGCAAGTCTTTCGCTCATTAGGGCCGTGAAATCCTCTCTTGCTCCCTTTTGGAACTCGGAATCTTTTAACGTCAAAGAGTGTACCGAGTTCGCGTCTCGCTCGATTGTAGTCCGAAAATGTAGGTAGTATTCCAGATCTCTCGCAAATCGAGCTTTCTGCTCTGACGTGACTATACTTGTCAGCCTATGAACGTAAGTATAACGTTTGAGTAACTTACACTTTGTCTCGTTAATACCAAGCTTTTCCATGGCCACGTCCCCGAATGGCCTTGAGATCCACGTCTTACTCCTAATGTAGCAGCTCAAATGTGTGCCTGGCACCTGCTGCAGGGATGGAATGATCTGTATTGCACTGCTACCGCCGCCGATAACACCTACTCGCTTGTTTTTGAAGTTGTAACTGAAAGATGTGTCAGACAATTCCATCTCTAGATATTATGCTCCACTCACGAATTGTCCCATGCCGCTGAATGCATTACAGGAATCTTCATGTCAAATAGTCCAGGCACTTGTGGCCATGAGATATTGTTCAGGGTCCCGCGAGCACTAATGACAATATCGGCCTCATTAACAAGGAACTCCCCAGTCTTAACCCTTTCGACAGTAACTTGCCTAGGGTTTGGTACTTAGCAACGTGATATATATGAACGCACGTATATTATACCATTTAGAAACCTTGTCATTCCATCGCGCATCCACTACTTTGTGCGAGCATTTGATGAAACGGTCCACCGAATATCGTCGTACCACATCCGTCAGGTATTCTCGGATCCCTTGTGCCGGCGCATAGAAGCTGCTCCAATTTGGATTAGGAGCAAAAGTATATTGATAGGAATGGGCTTTCAGCTTCGTTAGTTTTATTGTTTTCGGCTTTATTTCAGATGCACTTTACTTACCTGGAATGTCGCAGGCGCAGCCTGGATATCTATTCTCGTACCACGTTCCTCCCACTCCGGCGTTCTTCTCATAGATCGTCAACTTTACGTTGCGCAATCGCTCCGGTATCCGGACACCACAATAAATCCCTGAGAAGCCAGCTCCAATGATAATAACGCTCATTAGGCGCAGATTCTCGATCACCACGTCTTTGACTTCTCTGGCAGTGTCCCGTCGCTTTTCGACTATCGAGTCTCCGTTCTCTTATTGAGCGTTTCTTCCAAGTGCGACCATCTTTGGAGCTTCATTCGCTGATGAAGGAACAACCATATCTTCTGGGATCTGTTAAAAGATTGTGATGAGCGAGAAGAGTTAGGCGTCCAGGGTTAGTGATTTAGCAGCGAATATCAACGAGCATCACAAATAATACTATTTATCGAAATCCAGCATAGAATAATAGTAAGGAATATTAATCACAGAGCTGCAAGATATGCACTAATAGTTCACTTTCCGGTGGCTTCATTTGCTGTGGGGCAACGTTCAATCAACGGAAAGCGTCCAGTACTTCCGGCTGTGGCTCCGGAAGCCGGAAAGATGCGAGCCCTTTGTCTACACGTCCGGAATTTACTCATAGCGAAGCGTGGAACTCCTAAATGTGGTTTTGTTAGCCGTTCTTAATCCCCGCAATCCTTTCGCAGCGACCTACTAACGGATCATCTTCCGGAAGGGCGGAGGAGTGTCTAGGGTCCTTGCGGCCAACATGACTTCGAGATGTTAATCCGGGAAGTGCACCTGAATGTTTCGTTTCTTAGTCTACGCGTTGTGAGTTTCTGAGTGTCTACATTGCGGTGCTGAAAGTCTGGAGATGTGGTACGAGAGAAGCCTGAAATTCGCTTCAAACCTGCAGATCGATATGAGCGCATAGATCGGGTAGCGCAAAACTTACATCCTGTTATTTGTCCTTGGGTCTGCTTTCTGGATAAGCTGCATCGGTCACTTGTATTTATGGTTCAAGACTTCTGAAAATAGATGACTTAATCAATCTACATCAGGAATGGGCAGACCATTAATGAACTCCATGTTCCTCCCCTGAGCGCTCATCGCAACGGAGGTATTCTTATACCGCAAATCCATCGCTGCCTCCTCGGTGACCAAGACAAAGTCATATTCCAAGAGCGCGCATCTAGATTCCACACCAAACTTTTAAATAAGCGAATCATCGGTCACCCTTTTCAGGTCAACCACCAACGTGTTCTTCACTCCCAAAACCGCATCGGAACTCTCATAAGGATCGTCCTTCAAATACAACGCACTGCGAGACGAAACAGTTAACGCCTAATTGCCACGAATAATCCGCTCCTTATATTCTGGTGTAAACCTACGTGGTAAAGGGGCCGTAGCCTGGGCTGTTGAACATGAAATGCAAGTGACTCGGTCGGTAAGGGTGGCGATGAAGCTTGCTGAGTAGATTCCCACAGGACCGTCACTTGAACTTGGATATGGAACAGGAACAATGGCTCTAAACTAGAAGGATCCATGCTCGTCGCTTGTAGGGACCGCACGTCTATTAGGTCCGTCGCGCTCGTCGTATTGAACATCGTAGAATCGTTTAGAGTCCGTCTCCCCTACATCGATCTTCACATTAGCAATCGGCTGGCCTGCGATATCGCCGACCTTGCAGATCACAAGCAGCGGTTGTCCTTCTGGATCACTGAATGCCACTTCCATTTAGAGTATGTTTAGCTTCGTGTGTGTGGAACGGTCCTAGAATAGTCCCTTCGGTTGCCCCCTCTAGTTTAGGTAATCGATCGAATCCACGAGAAGTGAAACAACCAAGATGTTAGAAAGAAGGATGTATTCCTTCACCAAGCGTGCGTCAAATATATCCTTAGGATAGGCATAGCCTCGACAAGCACGGAACTAATACGCGGGAGCCTTGAAGCTTACCTAGCGGACTGTGGTGCAGGTTTAGCCTACTTCAGTGAGGAATTCTATTGCAGTCTACCATTCTCCTGTGCTAAGCCTAGTCTCTAGCACCAAGTCGTGTAGGTGAACGACAACTCTTTCAAGAAGTTATCTTAGTGTTCGGTCTGGGCATCGAGAGTTGATTATATTAACGTTCTGAGTTATAATCTTAGTAGTCAAATCCATTACAATAGCGCAAGAGATGAGTGATTAATGATAAATGATAAAGAAGTATCTATTAAAGCTCGAGACGGACGGAAAAGCGGGCGGTTCTCAAGTTGCCTTTCGATTTTGAGTCTTGTTATGACCTCTACTTATCATACTGATAGTTCTCGAAGCTCAATTTGCGATGTGCTCCGATGCAAGGATGACAAACAAACAAGTTCGCGTCTTCAGGCAACTACCCGGCTCCGGAACGTACAACACCTATCAATTAGATCTCAGCGAGGCAAAGTCCGGAGCGCGATCTAATAACCGGATAATACAACGAGTGCGGGGAAGCAAGGGGAAGCAAGGGAAAGTGCACGGCCCGGGATTTCGATGAGCGACTAACGAGGCGGATGGAGCCGGTAAGGGGAGCGATTTCACCGAGCTCGCCTGCGCCTGGTAAATGTGATCACTCGGAGGAGAGTATCGCATTGGTGTACTGCATTACACACTATCAATACTATAACACGCCTTTGCGCTTTGGCTCGGGCTCTAGCTTCAGTCTGCGTCGAGCCCTACTATACCTCTTATCTAACTCTCTTTAATTAGTTACTCGAGGAAATTCTCGAACTTCTCACGAATAGCGGCCTACTAGATATTTTATCCTTTCATCCAAGAGCTACAGCGCGACAGAATACCTGTCTTTTAAGAGAAATCACATATTGCTTTTAATATATTAAAGCGTATATATAATCTTAGTTTAATTATTTTAAAAGATATTAGGAACTAGGCGAAACACTAGCTTTATACTATTATAAAAGTCTTAATATTTCTAAATATTCTTCTTTTAGTATAAGGAAATCTTTATAATAATAGTAGTTCTTTTAGAAACCTATAGTTTCACTATTATACTACTAGTATTATACTTATATAATAATACTAAAGTGCTTAGCTTAGAGATATTATTATCTTAAATTATTATAGCTTTAGAGGCACTATAAATTAATAGTAAGCCTAAAGCTCTATATATATCTAGTTTCTCTATTAGAAATAAATCTAAAATAGAAAGAAAAATAGAAATAATTACTTATTTAATATTATATTAATAGAGAATATTAACTTTCTTCTAAAGAATATATAACTATTTCTTTTCTAGAAGTTATATATACTTAGCTTTAAGTTTATATATTAACTACTACTTGAGTATTTCCACTAAAGAAGTATTAGTATTTAATTCTATTATATTTTATTAGAAAGACTTTTTAGTCAAAGTATTTATACTTTATAGTTATATTAATACTATATAATAGGTTACTAATTTACTATTCTAGTAAAAGTAAAGACTTTAGAATTATTAGAGAATATAGACTTTTATAGTTAATATAGTAATATATTAATAAGATATATATAATAAAGTAATATAGATAGTTTAGTAAGAGACTAAATTCTACTAAGCTTCTATTATATAGAAGTAACTACTATATACTTTTACTTAGCTAGTATATTACTAGCAGAAAGCTAGAGGCTAGCTTAAAGCTTCTTTTATATTATATAAGATTTTAGGTCTTTCTATATAATAAAGAAAGAATATATCTTTTAAGATAAAAGCTATAAAGAGAGAGAATAGTATTATAAACTAGATTATTATAGGCTTAAATTAAGGTAATTAGTACTAAGTATTATATAATAACTAAATTATCTCTAGTCTACTAGTATTATAATTAGTATAATTAGTATAATTAGAACTACTTATACTAAGTAGACTAAGTAAGATATTAAGGTACTTACTTTAGCTTATAGTATATTAGTAACACTATTCTTATTTCTTAGAGTAATATACTTAACTTAGAATAAGAATCTTATATTCTTATAATATATCCAATTAATTACTATATAGTATTAATCTAACTTTATTATATCTTATACTATCTTCTATAGTTTAATTAGAATTACTACTTTATAGTAATCTTTATTATATATAGCTAAGCTTATAAATAAAGACTTAGAAGATAGCTTTATAGAGATATATTATATATATACTAAAGCTAATAGCTAGGCGCGCGAGACTCTAGCGATTATAGTTTATCGCTTGATACCACTACTTTCTAGTTCGGAAACACTTTTCCGACTCACTATAAGTTACGTGCGGAAGTCACGTGCGCTCAACGTCCGTAATACTAACGGTTTCGCACATTCCCAGGCGTGTCCTTCTTCGCTTTTGCACGACGACCGGATCACGATATCAAACATTACACGTTTAGCCGCAAGTTGTAAGTGGTATAGTGTTATCACGATGCAGTGACGAGGACATGTCGCCGCATCGCCCTTACTGCTCCGGATTTGAGCCTGAGGTAAGCTGACTGTGCTATCCTGCAAGTATGGCTTAGAATCGGGCAGGTCATTATAAGCCGGTTATATTTCGTTCGCTAGGCGAGCTGAGTAAGCCTAGGAGTCTCACACGGATAGGATCTGAGTGGGATCTCCCCTAGATTATCTAAAGTCACCTGATCTCAAATGTTTCCGCTAGCAGGGATAGAAGTAAGCTCAGGTAGGGTAGGCGTACCGTGTAAGCGATGGGTCTCCTTTCTAGGACAGAGGTACGGTTCTAGGAGTGAGGTCTTCGCCACTAATCTTATGAGGATTGACATTATGGACGTCTCCAGCGCTGCGTATGCAGCACATCTTACACGATGATGATGGGTAAGCGCCGCTCTTATCTGTTATGTCCCGTCAACAGGGTCCCTGTAAACCTGTGGTGTGACATATATAAGAACTCGAAAGCGAGCGCATTGACTGAAGCGTCCAAATACGCCCTCAGTCTCAGTCCAAAGTCCAATATATACGCCCCTTCTGTCGTCCCTCGTTCTCAATATCTACTTCTCAGCATGTCCACCGACGTTGCCGCCAAGTCCATGAAGGCTGTTGTTTGGGAAGGCAAGCCCTTCCAGATGGTGGTCAAATCTCAACCAATGCCGAAAATTGAGGATCCGAACGATGTTCTCATCCGGATCACGACCTCTGCAATCTGCGGGTCTGACCTTCATACATACCGCGGACTCTTGGGCAGTCGGAATCCGCCGTGGATAATGGGGCACGAAGGCGTTGGTATTGTTGTGCAAGCCGGGCAAGGCGTTAAGTCATTGAAGGCCGGGGATCATGTCACCGTGGGGTGTCTCATCAGCTGCGGCTACTGCGACAACTGTCTCCGGGGTCGATTGACTTATTGTCTGACGTTCAATCCCCAAACCCCTTTCGACATCATCGGATATGGGGACGATTTTGGGCCTCATCTCGAGGGCGCACAAGGTAAATTTTCCTGGTTACACCCCATCACACCGTTTCTTTCCAGCTGACTCCTTAGATAGCCCAGTACATCCGCATTCCCTTCGCCGATTCGACCTGTCTCAAACTTCCGCCAGGCACAGAGCATGAGCTCGACTACATCACGCTCTGTGACATCTTTCCTACGGCGTGGCACGCGCTCGACTGCTCCGGCTTCCAGCCTGGAGACAGCGTAGCAGTGTTCGGCGCCGGTCCTGTCGGCCTCCTTTGCGCTTACTCGGCCGTCTTGAGAGGGGCAAGCAAAGTGTATATAGTAGACTATATCGAAGCCCGTCTCAAGAAAGCGCGTTCTATTGGCGCTATCCCTATCAACTTCACCGAGGGTGATCCGGTATCCCAAATCCTTGCCTACGAGCCCCGCGGCGTTCGCCGCAGCTGCGACTGCGTCGGCTTTGAGTGTCTCAACGCTGAGCTCGAGCCTCAGGAAGATGTAATCTTGAACCATTGCGTCAATGTTACGGAGCCTACAGGAGGCATCGGCGTCATTGGGGTTTACCTGCCGTCCACTGGTCCGACGCGCGGTGCTCCTCTCAGCACTGGCAAGGAAGGCAAATTCACGGTCCCTGTTGGCCTCATCTGGGCCAAATCTCTGTCCATCAACGGTGGCCCGGCCGAGGTACGCCGCTTACAGCCTCAGCTGCAGGACCTTATTGAAAGCGGCAAGGCAAAACCGGGCTTTGTCATCGATGAAGTCTTTCACAGCCTTGACGAGGTTCCGGATGCTTACAGGAAGTTCGCCGCCCGCCAGATTACCAAACCGGTCATTCGTCTACCGCATCCTAACAGCGACCTGGATCAGCAAAATGGTCTAGTTAGCAACGGAGCCTGAACCTTGTCGACTATCACGAGTTTTCTGAAGTTTTGTTCATGTTTCCGCGCGAAACAATATACGAGAATTTGAAGCGACCGGAATCTAGTGCATTCTGTCTTTTTCTAGTCTGAGTAGTCTCTACCCCAGAGAAACGATAATGTCTCTAAACCTGCAATAATGGGCTTGCAGAATTCGAAATGTACATTCAAGCGCCAGCCAAAAAGTTATGTAGTGCATTTCCAACTGCTCACATAGTTCTACCAAATCACGACTGAGATGGACCCGTGACCATACTGGAGATGGGACAATTAGAGTGATTCCATGCTATAAGAAACATAATATCCACTAGAGTAACGCTTTGATTTGGGTTACCACCTTAGATATCCTCGATCTATAATTAGTGTCTGAAACACTATACTCAGATTTCAGATCTCAATCCTGCAACAAGTGTCTCAGCTGACCCTTTCAGACACGAAGTCACGCCTTAAACGCGTCCTTCAACCTCGCAATATCCATCTTAACCATTTTCATCATCGCCTCCATCGCCCTCTTCGCGCCCTCTTTATCCTCACCACTGAGCCACTCCTTCAACTGGACCGGCACGACCTGCCAGCTGAGCCCGAACTTGTCCTTCAGCCACCCGCACTCGCTCTCGGTCCCGCCGCCCTCGAGCAGCTTGCCCCAGTAGTAGTCCACCTCGGCCTGGTCCTTGCAGTCGACTTGGAACGAGACGGCTTCGGTGAACTTGAACTGCGGCCCGCCGTTTAGAGCCACGAAGGGAGTGTTGGAGATTTTGAAGTTGACGGTGAGGACTTTGCCTGCGAGTTGGCCGTGGGTTTCGTGGCCGGCCTGGGAGGGGGTTGGTGTTAGTCACTGTGCAGATGCTAGGCTTTGAGGTCTTGGTTGGACTCGGGGGAGGCAGGACGACATAATGGCGAGCGACGGGAACGAGGAACATCGCAGCGAAGTCTATCATGCCAAAGCGGTACACTCACCTCAGAGTAATGAGATACAGAGAGAATCTCTGAGTTCGGAAAGATACTGGTGTAGAACTTGGCTGCTTCTTCGCCCTCGTTGTCGAACCAGAGGCAAGGCGTGATGAGCGGGCTTGAGAGAGACATGGCTTACGGTAATAAAGACCTAAACCACCGATTGATAGATTGATAGATTGGTGTTGTGTGTCTCTTTCTGATTGCTTGCCTAGCGAAGTACTAGAAGAATTGGAGACTTGAGGTCAGACAAGAATCGAGACGAAATATATAACTTCAATAATGGGACCCTATTCACCGCCCTCCTACAGCGCCCCGCAATGCGACAATGATGTGAATACGGATCCACCAGGCAGAAAGTTGTGAATCGAACGATTGTGGCTTCGCTGCCTGACACTGTCGCGTCGATACGACCGAATGCTCGATGCGGGGGCGCGAAGTCACGCCTGTGGCTTGCTGATCTGCAGCACAATTGTTGCAACTCTCAGGCAGCAGAGCATTTTTGAGGGGAGATGACGGAAGATCCATTTACACATCGTACACTTCCGCTGAATGAGCGGAGAAGCTGCCTGCACGCCCTGCTAATGCGTACTGTTAACCTTGGAAATCAACGGACAGCGCCTTCACCACCGCCCTCCACCTTCTCCGGCGGCGGATACATTTTGGCTCAACCCCACCTGCACCACACAGCTGTCTCGATCGTCCTAATGACCGCAAGTGCGGTGTAGACAACGATCTTAACGCTACGGCTGGCGCCTAGACCCTCCATGCTGAACGCTGGGAGACTTGGATCTCCGGAGTTTGGATTGGAATCCGGCTCGCGAGTGGGTTCCTTTCCAAGCAGGCCCCGAGAGCGGGTTGAAAACCTTGCAGGCCAGGGCATCTCTGTGGTGGGTCTGAGGACTGAGGGTAGCAGTAGTGTGGGCTGCGTGGGAAGATAGCGCCATGCTGTGAGGCTAGAAGTCTTGTGCTTTGAGAGCACATTCATGAAATTAGTTATAGAGATTGGCACTATCTTTTTATTTTTATTATTACTATTATCTTTACTACTAGGAAAATTATTCATCTAAACTATACTACGCTTCTATAGAGCGGGTATTTAATCTTAAAAGCTTGCAAGGCGATTATAACTATTACGATTCGATAATTTAAGTAGTGTTCCGTTCACCTATCTCTACAGGCGTGTGTGCTTCTCCGCATTATACTCTGCCAATTCATAGCCGAGTAACTGAGGCAGACACGTCTTGTATATGCATTCGGCTCGTCTGGCTCTATTCACTATACGAATCCTATCTACATAGCTGTGTATTCTACAAAATCCTAATGCTCTTGCAACCCAGGAGCGCCGTTATAATGCAAATAATCCTTTCCAGAAACGCCATTCGTATGCCACACAACGAAGCATCGAATGCATTTAGCCCGTCGCAATCGCCGACTGCATCCGTTCTGCATCGTCGCTGGGGTATCTCGCCCGTGATCGCGTATAGCGTGGTTTCCAGGGCATATACCGTGTAGGAGGCGTCGCCACAGAGGCCGCCGCGGTTTTTGCCCCGTGTTGCTGATGATCTCCATCCAGGGACCTGCTGCTTGTAGCCGGGGCTGCCGTCGATGTGGTTCGGTTGTCAGAAGTAGCAGCTGAGTGCGATGGCTCGGCCTGGCGCTCGGCAGTGGTGTTGTCTAAGACCGGCGCGGTCTCAGTGCTGTTGATCGTGGGAAGCTGGTCGTTGCTCGAAGCCAGGTTGGCCTGCTTTGCGAGATCTTCTTGATGATCTCCTAACTCTTCGTACGCTAGTGTGACGCCGTCCTCTGACTTAACCACACTGCGCTGCGACAACGATACCTCTTCCGGCGCGATCTTCTGCGCTGTTCCTGGTGCTTCTACCACGAAACTATCCGTGGGCTGCTCGGCGGCTACTGACGCATCTTCCAAATATACCTCCCCAAATACAGAACTCTCTCCAGTAGGGGCCTTGGCAGACAGGGTGAATGACGTTTGTACTGGAGCCCTCCGCACCTCGTCCTCCTCTCTCTTAGCTTCTGCCTCCTCCTCGGTTCTACGTCTCACGCCGCTCGCCGTAGCCAGCAGCTCTTTCTGCCTCCATCCTGCCGCGATTGCCTCCCCAAAGACATTTTCAAACACACCCTGCTTCCCACAAACAGCGCAAAGCGCCAACATCGTCGCATAAGATCTCTGATCCAAGCTCTTCTTCCCCTGAATACCCAATGTCTGCATGACCTCCCAGATACCCAGCCCCGCGTTCCAATTCTTCCTCCCCACACAGTCCCGCAGAAAACTTGTCCACCCCTTTTCATCTAGGCCCCATCCATCTTTCTTCATGACCACGCAGGTCTGCAACGCCCGCTCGAAGCCTTCAAACTTCAGCAGCCCCCCGACGAGCGCTGAGAAGACTTTGGGCGTCGGATGCACCTTCTGGATGATCTTCTCCGGGCGTCGCGGATGGATTCTTAACCTCGTCTTATTGACTTCGTCAATATCGATGTCAGGTCGAGCGAGCATGAGACCCCCAGAGTGCGTACCTCTCATGCGGCCCACGAAGTCGACGAACTTATCCGCGAGGCCGCGGCGCGTGTAGTTTGTTAGGATAGTGGCGCAGGTTGTTTCGTTTGGTCGGATTTTGGTTACGTAGAGAGACTCGACGGTGTCATCGAAGAGATCGTCTGCTTTCAATCGGGAGAGGCCTGTCAGAAGGATGTTGTAGGTGCGGCAGTCGGGTGCTGCGGTCGAGGTGAGGAGGTTGTGGCTTATGCTGGCGAGGAGGCTGGGGAGGGGAAACTCTTGCGGGCTGGAGAAGTGCTCATCGAAGAGGGTGTATATGGAGTCATCTCTGCTGCGGCCGATGGCTCGGTACGTGCCGTGCTGATCGTGCTGATAATAGGGATATGGCACAAGAGTGGAAAGGTTGTCGCCCTCTTGCCAGAAATGAGATCCGCGGATATCTTCGATGGTAACGAGCGCCTCTTGTATAGCAGACTCTAGATCCTCTTTCTCCAGACATGCAAAGGGTCCGATGGCTTCTGGTAGGGATTCGAGTGCCGCCGGGGTCTGGGAGTGGAGCCCTGCGGCGAGCATGAATCTGCTGACGAGGGAGACGACGGATGCATCCGACATTCGCATCTTCTTTGGCGTCCACCTCCTGTCCAGCGCCTTTTGCTTTATCTTACCACTAGCCCACAGCGACTGCGGAGGCAGATTGTCGGCGTCCAATTCAGGCCCAAAATTCGCTGGCCATTCTTCGCGGGGCGTTCCGACATCCAATGTAGCGTGTACGGTTTCCCATTCCTTATCCTCTGGCGATTCTGCACTCTGTGATTCTGAATATCCCTCCGTATGTTGAGTTTGGGTAACGGCATTCATTGCCCAAGCGGAATCGCCCACTCCGACATCCGCCACCCTCTTTAAATACTGATCGGTAAAAACTCCCGTCCAATGCCGATTCTCTACCTCAATCTCGCTCATACCCTTCGTATCAAGAGCGCGCCGCAGCGCATTCTTAGATTCTTCCAGCTCTTCCTTGGCCGTCGCTATGGCCTTGTCCCATTGAGTCCGCCGATCATCCTTCACTTTTGCATCTGCAACGGCCGCGGCGGCGAGAATGGTAGAGTACAGGAAAGTCGATGATGGCGACGGCCATAGTAGTTTTCGTATCGGGAACGTTGTTGATCGCCGTGCGACGGCTAGGTTGTTCGATATTGATACGCATGAGGGACAACGGCAGCTGCGCCGGGTCTGCGCGGTCCGAAACCAGATGGATTGCATTGTTATCCGCGCATACTGTGTCGGATGTGTGCGAAGAGGCCCGTTGATGCCTTTGGAGTGTCTTTGTGGGAGAGCGGCGTTCCGGAGCTCCGTAGGTCGATTGTATGCGGTCAAGACAGCAATTAAGCGGTCAATTAAGTCGGTTCTTGATCTGATGCGGTAAGAAAGCTATTACGGGTGTATCTAAGAGCTTGCAAAGGTTATTAAGAGGAGTAGTGTTGCGAACTCTCTACCGCATGTCGTCTAGAAACTCGACCCGACGCCGCCGCATGCAAAACTGCCAAGCATCGGAGAGATACCGTGACGCCCCACCGTTGAGAGCCCCCCCCACCACGCGCATTGAAGCTCCACCTGCCAACCAAGAAAGATGCTGGCATTGACATTGACAGCAGAGCTCAACGGGTGAGTTTTACATGGGACTAATCAGATAATAGAGTTGACGATATTCCCCCAGCGTAACAGACCTCCGATCAGACGACACCGAAGCCAACCCCTTCTACTACAGCTTTCGCGTCCAGTGCACCTCCTGCCGCGAGACCCACCCGAACTGGGTCAACATCAGCCGCTTCGTATGCGCGCTCCCCATCCTATCCGTTCCTGTTTCCCATGCGCTAAGGCCGATCTGTTGTAGGAATCGCATGAGCAAAGCGGCAGCAGAGGCGAAGCGAACTTCGTCTGGCGCTGCAAGAACTGCAAACGCGAACACTCCGCCAGCGTCAGAAATCCGCCAGCGACCTACCCACACTCGTCTCCGCCCCAGCGGCGCAACATCATTGAATTCGACTGCCGAGGGCTTGAGTTCACGGAGTTTAAGTCGGAAGGGGACTGGCTGGCTACGGGGCTCGAGTCGAACACAAAGTTCTCGGGGATTGATTTGTCTGAGGGGGAGTGGTTTGATTATGATGAGAAGGCGGGGGAGGAGGTCAGTATCAAGGATGTGAAGTGGGAGATTAGAAGGGCGTGAGGTGCGAGGCGCGATTGAGTAAGTCAAGCGACTCCGCATGGTGGTTCCCCGCTCATTCTTGGTGGGATATTGCCAAGCGGAGTCACTTGACGTTTTCGACTGCGACTCGGTGGGGTATGGCATGCGCGAGGGTTGAGAAGCACTGGAGGGTGTGGGATGTAGCATCGGGGCCATTTGGGCGTAGATGGACTACTCCCAGTGAGGATTGTGAGAGCTGTGGGATTCATTGTGGAGTCGATTCGAATAGGGACAGCTGATGGCGCTTCGGCGCTTTGAGCGGGGAGTGTAGTCCTTGCATCTTAACTGAGGTTAATGAGAGTTGAGAAACCTTTCACTAGAAAGCCGACTGCGTCATCGTGCTGTTTAGCCGTTGTACCGCGTCCGAGGGATCCAGCACGAGTTCCGCTTCCCTGCATCTGCGCGCCAACGTGGCAGCAGCCATGCCGATGTTGTGCAACGAGTCTATTCGTCCGACGTTGAAAAGCCATGAGGTGCCTCTCGTTCACATCAACAATGTCTGCCTTGGAAACTGTCCAAATTGTCCTTACCGTCACCTCGGACCGTCGTACCGCCTAGCAGAATTTAAAAATAGGAGCCGTGCCAAGGCTTCGCGGCTCTGAAGGAGTGGCGCTAAGGCCCTGCTTAATCTCCACCTCCCATTGCATGCATCAACTCGCGTTTCTCGGCAGCCTCTTTAACTTTCTCGGGACCGGCGTGCCAGCCAGCTCTTCACAAACACTGCTAGCCTGTAGGCGAATTGCACGATGGAAGGGCACTTTTTGTCATGCGACTACGAGCACTCTAAGCGTGCATGGCATTGAGTACCTGCGGTTCCATCCTGGGCTCCGGAACTAAGATATCCGGATGAAGCCTTGACAGGCGGAACAGGCTTGGTACAGACAATTGCCGTATCAACCCCACAGAACCACGAACGACGCCTGAGCTTGGTTTCTGGAAGATGGCGTCCTCTCGAGCGGCCGCTGTTTTGAAAGAGGGACGTATTCCCGCAACTCGAGCCACGATCTGCAGGGCTCAGCTCCCGAGATGCACACCCAAAGACTTCGCCATGGCCAGTGCGCCGGACGGCAGTCAACGCTACCCACATCCCAAACCTATCACGGCTGCCTGGAGCCCGTTGAGGACAAGGCAGGCGATTGGTGTGCAGTCCTCGTTTCGCAAGCGTCCTAGCCGCTTGATGTGCACCGGGACGCTTTGCCTTTCGCTTCCGAGCTTCCAGTGCCCCTGGACGATCCCATGTCGCGCTTCTCGTATTGCGGTGGAGTAGAAAATACGGGATGGCACCCTACTCCTCTTCCTCTTTCCTGCGTCTCTCACAGATATTAATCTGTCCTTGCACTCGTTTATCTTTGCCCTGACTGGCGGCGGCATCACTCGTTCACGCTCCTTCAGTCGTCAGCAGCACGTCATATTTCTGTTTGCTGCTGCTGCTCAAGTTATACTAATTCTTCGCTTCGAATATCTATACCTATCTTAATATCAAAACAACCATTCAACAAGTGAAATCTTCAAGATGCACTTTCCCTCCGTTCTCGTGGCCTCAGCGGCTCTGCCAGCCTTAATCACGGCGCACGGCAGCGAGGGCATGCCTCAAATCTTCGGACGCAGGAGCGTTGCCGAGCTCAAAGCAAGAAACATTATGGGGCCAGTCCGGGGCGAAGGATCATTTGAGAAGCGCGCTGGGTTGGAAGCTCGACAAGGAGGAAACGCAGAAGGCCGATGTGGAGCAAACATTGGCACCTGCGCTGCCGGTTACTGCTGCTCAAGCGCTGTAAGCAAATTTCACAGAATCTTGCAGAGTCAAGGGGGCTAAGACCTTTGTAGGGCTGGTGTGGTCAAGGAAAGGATTACTGCGCTGCTCCTGACTGTCAATTTCTGTACGGCCCAGGTTGCGATGCCAACACAGTCCCAGCTGGCACCAATACTTCGACTGTTGCGCGCCCTCTGAGCGGGAATGTGCCTTATGGTGGAGCGGGCGTGTTCGACTGCGTAGTTCCCGGCACCGTGGCTATAACCTACGACGACGGACCATATATTTACACCGATGCTGTCTTGGACATATTTGCAAGCTACGGCGCGAAGGCCTCCTTCTTCATCACCGGAAACAATCTTGGGAAGGGCCAGATCGACAACGCCGCCAATCCGTGGGCGGCGATGATCAGGCGTATGCATGCTGAGGGCCACCAAATTGCCAGCCACTCGTGGAGTCATCAGGACCTCAGCGCCGTCTCACGGTGGGAGCGTAAAAACCAGATGTGGAAGAACGAGATGGCTCTGCGGAACATCCTCGGTTTCTTCCCTACATACATGCGTCCCCCGTACTCGAGCTGCACTGCTGCATCCGGGTGCGAGGCGGATATGAGGGAATTGGGTTACCACGTAACCAACTTTGACCTCGACACCGACGACTACAACAATGTAACCCCCGAGCTCCAGCAGAATGCAAAGAACAGGTTCTCGAACGCACTGAGCGGCAGCAATCCCGGAGCGGACGAGTTCTTGGCCATCGCACACGACATCCATTACCAGACCGCTTACAACCTGACTGGGTACATGCTCGACACCCTGTATAAGGCGGGCTACAGGGCCGTCACTGTCGGAGAATGCCTCGGCGACCCCGTAGCGAACTGGTACCGCTCTTCCAGCGGCAGCGTTATTAGCTCCGCCAGCTCGTCTGCAGGACCAACCTTGTCCGCTACATCCAGCGCTCCCGCGGCGTCCGCCACCAAAGCTTCCACGGACGGATCCTGTGGTGGCACCACTGGACAGACCTGCTTAGGAGCTGCCTTCGGCAACTGCTGCAGCCAGTACGGTTGGTGGTAAGCACATCCGGTTCTCTTTTCACCTTTGTACGCTCGTTAATACAATTTCCAGCGGTGCTACCGCCGACCACTGCGGTACAGGCTGCCAGCCCGGCTTCGGCAACTGCGGCTCTAACGGCGCCAGCAGCTCCGCCGCCCCTACGTCCACTGTCGCATCCTCCAGCTCCTCCGCGCCGCCGGCTAGCACCAACAAGGTCTCCGTTGACGGCTCGTGCAGCGGCACGACGGGCCAGACGTGCGCGGGCTCTACGTTCGGGAACTGCTGCTCGCAGTACGGGTGGTGGTACGTATCCCTCACCATTTTGCGGAGTTCAAGGCTAACACATTTGATAGCGGCTCAACAGCCGACCACTGCGGCACGGGGTGCCAGTCCGGTTTTGGCAATTGTGGCTCCAACGGCGCCAGCTCGGCCGTCCCCACGTCCGCCCGCCCCTCATCCACTTCGTCTGCGCCACCAGCAGGCACTAACAAGGTCTCTGTTGATGGGACGTGCAGCGGAACCACGGGCCAGACGTGCGCGGGCTCTACGTTTGGGGTTTGCTGCTCGCAGTATGGGTGGTGGTAAGTCTCTCCTCAACCAGCATCCTCAGTGGAACGTGATCGCTGATTGATTCGACAGCGGCTCAACAGTTGACCACTGCGGCGCAGGCTGCCAGGCCGGCTTCGGGTCTTGCTCGGTAGGCGGCTCGGGCAGCGTTGCTTCCTCTTCGCCGCTAATTAGCTCTTCAGCTATGACCGCGCCCGTAACTACTTCGAGGGCTAGCTCGGTGGCTCCCTCTGCGACGTCGGCGCCGCCAGCGACGGTGACGAAAGTCAGCACGGATGGCAACTGTGGCGCTGCGGCCGGCATGACCTGCCGCGGCTCGACGTTCGGGAAGTGCTGCAATGCGAGCAATAGGTGCGGCAACAGCCTTTCAAGGGATTGCCAGAGGGGCTGCCAGAAGGCGTACGGGCAGTGCTTGTAGCGTTTGCATGCGTTTTCGATACAGGCTCTTCGGAGAGACAGCGGTTTTTGTACTGTTGGCAAACCGCGCGCGGCGTAACACAGGGACGAGGGTGGTTGTAAATAAAACGGAGGAGTTGGATAATAGACCATACCAGCCTTAGCCTCCTATACTGTTGGATACTGTCCAGGGTGGTTGTTACTCCCTACGTTCCTCTCTTACGGGTTTGCTCTTTCGGCAAGTGACGGCGCACACTGCACAGCGCCTCGGATGTCTAGGCAAACTGCGATATTTGCCTTCAAGAACGTACCACTTCCGGTATGCTGCTTGATACGAATCTCATCCTTCCATGTCATGAAATCAGATATGTAGGTACATGTCGGGGTATATTCCATATACCATTCATCCGTGCTACCTAAATATAGATTTGTTACCATACAACTACCTTGGCTGCTACCTACCTTGTCCCACTCCGGACATCTTGTGATCCGATATCGTGATCGCTTTTCCGCGGCGGAAGACAAGGGTCTCTCCGGCAGCGGGACAAACGTCCACGAGATAGCCGCAAGGCTGATATGCTCGTTCCACCCTGTGATTCTCCACTGGCTGTCTTCAAGATGCCTCGATTGCAGAAGAGCCGCCGTAGCCAGGCTTCTATGCACCCTCGTATGCACCCGCACGTTCAGGGCCGTTTACTGCGTCACACCCGCTGTCTCCTTGCGGGGTCCAGCCAAGCTGCCAGATGTGGGACTGATAATGTCCGCGAACCTCATTCGTTCTCTAGAACCTTCATTCTGCACGAGCACACGAGATCTACGCGCTAACGCCTAAACAAAGCGCGCAGCATGAACCTTTCCTCTGTGTGGAGTTTTCTCCGCTCCACGTCTGTTTGAACCGCTACAAAAGCTTTCCTCGAACCTCCAGAGGGTTCACCATCCAGACTTGAGATACTCTACCTCGAGCCTCTAGGGCAAAACCGTTGTTAGTCTTGACAAAGGCGACGCCACAAAGATCCGCGGAGCCAGCCGTAACGGATTCCACGGCCGCTGCCAGATCCGCGTCCACAAAGCTAACTAAGCCCTGGCTCTTTGTCCGTCGGTTACCCCAGATATCCTGCATACAGCCACTTTGGCTCACGCAGGTCGATCCGGTCGACAAAACTCAACACTTTCACCTCCTTCGCCTTCAATCGCGTGGACCCTGAACGGTGTGCGCGGTCCAAGCTCATCCCCTGTTTCCGACGTTCCGTGCTTTCTTAAACCTTAAACCCTTGACACTTCACAGCGTCACTCAAATCGCCGACGAACAACCCACGCTCCGGTATAGTGGAGCTCACTCGGAATAGACGAATGGCTTCAATAGCTTCGAATCAACTCCATAATTGTTTCTTTTCTTCTTCGTCGCGCGTGCGCTTGCGGATCGCTCTCTGACCGCTGCTCTATTGAGGACCGGAGGAAGCTCCAGACCGCACCTTCTACCCATACGTGACACGACTAGACAAGATGAAATTCGGCCAGAATCTTCCGCGCAACCAGGTGCCGGAATGGGCGTCATCGTACATCAATTACAAGGGCCTGAAGAAGCTCATCAAATCGGCCGCCGAAGCTGTCAAGCAAGGCGGAGATGCAGATCTTGCGGGTATGTTACACCGATTGCCCTCAGATTGCCGAGTAGTTCACTCACAACTCTGTCTAGAGTTCTTCTTCTCCCTCGATCGAAATCTCGAGGACGTCGACGGGTTCTACAACAAGAAATACGCCGAGTCGGCTCGAAGACTGAAGCTACTACACGATAAATATGGCACAACAGCTGAGATACCCGAAGGGCTGGACAAAGACGAGGTTGAAGATCTCATGGGAGCTCTGCTTGAGTTGCGTGGGCAGCTCAGAAAGCTACAATGGTACGGCGAGGTGAATCGAAGAGGCTTTGTGAAGATCACGAAGAAGCTTGACAAGAAAGTTCCGCGAGCCTCCACTCAGCAACGTTATCTCGCAACAAAAGTCGATCCCAAACCCTTTGCGACCAATGCCCAGCTGTCAGAAGACATGAAAACGATCAATGAGTGGCTGTCAAACCTCAGCGACGTCAAAACATCGGACGATTCAAGCTCAGTACATTCAACGCAGAACATGAAGAGGGTGTCGTCTCGAACCATGTTGAACCTACCGTCAGGTTTGTTGGACACGCTCGATCAAGCCATCCGCAATGATGATGCCGCTATACTAGCCGAGCTGCTCACGGAAGCGGACGGCGAAGACCGCTCGAGTCCGTTTTTTCAAAAACTGCTGCTCAACCTGCTTCAACGATCAATATCGTGCAAAGCCAAGACCTGCATTGACAAGCTATTGGATGACATCAAGTCACTCGACGAGGATGATGACATCAACCAACGAAACTGTATACACAGACTCGTCATTACCATCGGCCGTTCAAAAGCAAATAGCGGCTTGCAGAGCGCAGGCTTACTACTTGCGCCGACTACCGACACGTCCAACTTCCTTATGCCAGCTGAGTCGCCTATGCTACTCGCGCCGACATGCCAGATGACCGAGCAGGAATCCACAAACTTACTCAACAAGAACGACGAGTCCGTTAAATTGCTCGTCTACCTTTTGAATAGCTTGCGCTCTCATCAGAGATCAGCTCTTAAGGCACGTGACTCCTATGGCCGGCTGCCATTGCACTATGCTGCGCAATACGGCTTCGTCGTGATATGTCAGGTGGTTATCAACCACATGCAAGAATGGGGACAGTTTGATGTTTCTCAAGGTATCGACTCGCCTACATGGCAGGACCTGGAAGGCTACGCTCCGCTGCATCTCAGTGTTATCGGAGGCCATCCGCTTACTACGAAAACCTTGCTGGAAGCGGAGAACTGGCAAGGCCAGTCAGACGACAAGATGAGCGTTCGTAAGAACATTTCTAGATCGGGTGCCGTCCTGGCTCTCGCAACAAAGTCCAATTCGACAGTGATCGTTAAGCTACTGGTGGAAGCCGGCGTGGACATCAATTATCGGGACGAGCAGGGCGAGACTGCTCTGCATGTAGCAGCGCGTTACGGATACGAGCAATGCGCGAAGATCCTACTTGAGGGCTCATCGAGTCAGAAAGCAGACATCGATGTGCCGGAGAACACCTTTGGCTGGACGCCTTTATTCATTGCTGCGGTTGACGGTCACTTGTCGATCGTCGAGCTCATGATTGAGGCCCATGCTGATCTGGACAGAGCGGATTTCGAAGGCTGGACGGCAAAGGAGCATGCCGCCTTACGAGGCCATCTGGACATTGCCGCCCTGCTTGCCAAGCACACATCAGTACCAGACTCGCCTGCTACCGAGGTCTCCACTACCTCTTCTGGATCTCCACCAGGAATATCGTCGCTCGAAGAACGCAGATCAAATGGGCTCTCCAGAGATAACGACACTGCTCCCGTGGCCAAGCCTGTCAAAACTTTCGGACATCGATATCTGATTAAGGAAAGTATAGTCCTCGTCAGCCTAGGTTCCATGGATGTGCGGAAGAATACCGCGGCTGTGAAACTAGACAATATTCCGCTTGCCGATGCGCATGCCACTCAGCTTGACACCGCCCTTTCTGTCGTTGTTTCCGCAACTGGCGCCACCGGCGAACCTACCATCATCGATTTGCCAGTGGCCGAAAGCATCAGCACGGAGCCCATGACATTCATGACCACGGATGTGTCGAAGGTCAAGCTCCTTTTTGACATCGTGCCTACCTATGCGGGCAACAAAGACCGGATTGTAGGCCGTGGCGTCGCCTTGCTGGCTAGCGTGAAACCCAACGTTGGCTCGAATCGCATGTCGCTGCAAGGGGACCTCAGCGTACCTATCGTTGCCGCCGAGACACTCGATGTGATCGGATCTGTCAACTTTAACTTTTTGGTCATTACGCCGTTTACTCATCCAAACATGTCCGTCACAGAAAACCATACGTACTGGAAGCGCGTAGCTTCAACCATGGTTATCGGTCATCGAGGTGAATCTGCTTTCGGCTCTGTGTCCGCTTGTGTAATCCTGACTTTAGTGAAGGTTTGGGTAAGAATTTGGCTTCGCGGAAGTCTTTGCAGCTTGGTGAGAACACGCTACAGGTGTGTCATGCGGTCGCTTGCTACCGGCAGTGGCAATGCTAACTCGAGCGCTAGTCATTCATCGCAGCTGCGAATTTAGGCGCAAATTATGTCGAGGTAAGCCTGAATCATACTCTTTGCCCGTGATATACTGACAGGCCCCGCAGTTTGGTAAGAATCGGCATCAATCTGTCCGAACGTCATCACCGGTAATTTAACAACTTGCAGATGTACAGTTGACCAAGGATCTTGTACCGGTGATTTATCATGATTTTCTGGTCAGCGAGACGGGGATCGATGCGCCCGTTCACACACTAACACTGGAACAAGTCTGTACTCCAGACCGTCACGAGCGTATGATTCTGCATGCTAACTCGTCTCAAGTTTCTCCACATCAGTGACAACCTAGGACCGCGTTCAATCTCCAGACCACCGTCGCCAGACGAGATAGCAGGCCCAGATGACCCTGATGTCGGCAAGCCGCACCACGTGTTCCGACCGCGCGCGTTCTCCTACTCCGTCGGCGGCCTCAAGACCGAGCAGAACTTGGACGTGACCGAGCGCATGAAGCACACGCGTGATTTCAAGATGAAGGGATACAAGGCTAATAGCCGGGGCAACTTCATCCAAGCGCCCTTCACTACTCTGGAAGAGATGTTTGTGAAGCTTCCCGAGTCCGTGGGGTTCAATATCGAGATGAGTGCGCAAGCCACCCCCTCGGCCCTTCCCGTGTGGGAAGTCATGGTGACTAATCTTAACCCTTCAGAATATCCCATGCTGCACGAGTCCCTCGAGCAAGAGATGGACACGTACGCCGTGGAACTGAACTCCTTCGTCGACACCGTCCTCCGCAAAGTATACGACCTCGGCAAGAGACGCAACATCATCTTCAGTTCTTTCAACCCTGACGTCTGCCTGCTTCTCTCTTTCAAGCAGCCCAGCATCCCGATTCTCTTCCTCACAGACGCCGGCACCGCGCCCGTCGGCGACGTTAGGGCCTCAAGCTTGCAGGAAGCTATCCGCTTCGCCTCGCGCTGGAACCTGCTCGGCGTCGTCAGCGCCGCGGAGCCACTGGTCACCTGTCCACGCCTCGTGAAAGTGGTTAAGGAGTCTGGGCTCGTGTGCGTGAGTTACGGGACGCTGAACAACGACCCAAAGAACGTGCGACTACAGGTGCGGGAGGGCATCGATGCCGTTATTGTTGACAGCGTGCTTGCGATCCGGAAGGGACTCACGGGTCCGGATGCAAAAGCCGAGGCCGAGGCGCTGAAGGCGGCAGCTACTAAGGAGGAGGAAGGAGGGGCCGAAGGGTCGAATGGGCTCATGCATCCGAAGATCGTGGATACCATCAATGGCGTGCCGATCTATGCGCATGGGACGTTGGGGGGTGTGAATGGTGCGATCTTCTCCTAGGGAGGGCTTATATCAACCGGGCGGCGTTACGCGTTTATCGAAACGGCAGGATCTTCGGGAACACATGATAGGTTGGGCCAGGCTGGCTCTATTTGCAGGACATGGTGGCCTGTTCGCAGTTCGCTTCAACACGCGAATTTAGCGATTCATGGCGAAGGCGTCTAAGGACGCTGTAGTATGGGGTTCTGTTTGGGCACAATGAAGTGCTTCGAATATAGACTAGCGGATCGAGTAAACTTTCTCTGACGACCATTGTTATTTAGTGCCTTACCGCTGAAGCACTGTCATATTGGTACGAGTGACTGCATGTTCTGCGACCAAGTGAGGCAGCGATATGATTGCGGCCAGTGAAGCCGAGCTCCATCCATATACCCGCACCGTGTCCAGGTTTTGTGCTCATCCACAACGCCGACAAAGCCAGGCAAGCGAGACACCGCGTAAAATGGCTCAAGTCTACAACGTTTATCTGCAAGAGCTACAAGGCAACAGGGGTATACAGCGCCTCAAGCTATCCCATCCCATCAACGCCGCTGATGTAGCCAGCCAAGATCCTACAGATCGCGCCCGAAAAATAGAATAGTCATAGAACATCGTTGAGCATGGCAATCCCACTCCTACTTCTTCACTACCCGCAGCAACGATGGAATCCGTGCACGCCTGCTCAGACCCACTCGATACGGCGTCTTCCCCTTACTCAACGGCGGGTGATGCGTCGGACTCCCCACCGTCGCCTTCCCTTTCTTCTGCGGTGTAGCTGCAGCGGCCGCCGGAGGGTCGGGCTGCGGGGGCGTGCTCTGCGGCGTAGGCATGGAGCCGGGTTGCTGATCAGGAACGGTGTTCAGATTCCGATATTGCAGTGCTGGCTCTGGGGGCTTAGATGCTTGATCAAGAACCGCGTGCTCAGCGTCAGGGCTAGCGTGGTGAGGTTCTGCAGCAGGGTCCTGAGCTTTCGCCTTTGGTGGACGGCCGCGTCCTCGTTTCTTTGGCGGTTCGTCCGGTAGGGCAGGAGCAAAGGCAAGGTCTACGGGTGTCTCGCTCTCTTGGGCGTCGGCTTGCGTGGATTTCCTGCGTTTGGGTTTTGGCGCGGTTACATCCAGTTCATCCGCGTCGTTCGGCGCTTCGTCCGCTCGGGTTGATTTCCTCCGTTTGCCTTTTGATGGTTTGGCAATGGAGACGGGAGCTTCCGGCTCTGGAATTGCGGAGGCCGAGTTGGCGGCATCGGCTTCTGAGTTCCCTAAGGGCTCGCCTCCACTGTTACCACCAGTAGCGATACTGTCAGATATGGTGAACTGTTTCACGGCTTTCGCAGATGGTATCTCGATGTGAACGAAGCCGGGTCGCTTCGTAGGCGTCCTTTCCTTTGCTGGACCCTGGCAGTTGCTCAACTCTTGTGTGATGGTTGCGGATGCTGTTTCTGTTACGTTCAACGATGCCTGTGTTTTTCCCTTCGTGACTGCCGGTTCTTTTACTTTCGACGCTCGGCTCGATTTGACAGCAATCCCATCAGCAAGCGAGTCCTGCGTCCCCGTCGCCGTGGCCGTCGCCGAACGATTGGCCAGCCACCCAACCGCGGCAGTCAAATTCCCAACATGATCCCGGAGCGCTTTTCTTCCCTCGCTGCTACTGAACCCCATAGCAGTAATACGCTCAAGCTTCTCTGCTTCCGATAGTACAAGCTCCCCAAGAACGGAAGTGTCCGTAGTCTTGCGGCGGTTCACTCTTGCACTTGCTTTTGCCGCCTTCTCGGGTCGGACTGAGTAGTCTATCGGCGCTTCCTGTAAGACGGGGTTGGAGCGCGAACGGCTTGGACGCGGCTGGTAGCGTTCTTTGGGGAGACCTACGGCGATGTCGTCTGGGTTAAGCGGATCGGATGATCTGGTCATGCTTGATGTCTCCAGAATACGGAGGGATCTTGTACGGCTAGGTCGAGGCTGGGATTGTTCTCCGGGTGGATCGTTCCCTAAGTCCTCAGGTTGCAGCTTCTCAACTTTAGGATTTTTGAGCTCTTTGCCAGGCTTTGTTTCTGCTCGCGGTTCATCTGTTCGGTTGCCGGCTCCATTGCTGGCCTCGGAGGGTGTAGCTGCATTCTTGCTGTTCTTTGAGAGCAATCCCGCAGATAGAGACAGTTCGTCGCCCAAATGACCTTGGTTGATACCAGCAACCTGGGCGTCAGCAGTAGTTCTTGCTCTCTTTACGCGCTGAGAGGATTTCAACGGAGAAGGCATTGTGGATTTCGAGCTTTTCGGTGTTTTGCTCTTGACGCTTGGGGTGAGAGCCGAAACCCCATCCATGGATCGTTGCGGAGAAGGATTGCTTGGGTGTGACAATTTCGAGGCCGTCTCAGCGGTTCCCGGTTGAGTCGCAATATACGCCGACCACGGGATGGAGGAATTGCTACCAGCTGGTGCTTCTGGAACGTGGAATTCAGAAAACGATACAGGCGCATGCATTGATAAAGCTTCGTCAATCAGCCTCTGTTGCGTCATAGTGTTGTCCGGAATAGTGCTCGACGGGCCAGGAAACATGGCGATGGGGTCATGGTACGCGAAGTCATCCTGTATAGATCCAGGGAGGTCCCACGAAGGTATCGATCCTGATGGGTCCTCAGCAGGGGCGTCCGTGCTTGGTAGCGCTTCTTGCGACTTTCTGGTGTCTGCTGTTTTTCCGCTGCTGTTGTGACCTTGCTTGCCTTCTCTTAAAGCAACAAGAGCCCCGTTGGCGTCCTCCAATGCATCAAGCCTTCGCTGCCTTGATTGGCCATACGTCTTCGCGGTCTTTGCGCGTTGCTGCTTGTTTGACGAGGAACTGTTAAGACCAAAGCCGGCGGTGGACGGGCTTCGCTTCATGCGTTGCGATGGGGGAGAAGTCGCGTCGCGTAAAGAGTTGGCGTGCTCGGTCGAGGTCGTTTTCGAGGGCGAGTTCGAAGCTACCAATGCACGATGGGCGTCCTGTATTTCCCGCCGTATGGTATCTACTCGAGTCAGCTATGTGGAAGCAGGCAAAGAACGACGATGTTGCAGGTACCTGTGTCGGTACCTGTGTCGGTACCTGTGGACGCCGTGCCGCGCTGCTCGTTAGATGATCCATCCCCGCGACGCGTGTTGCCTGGCTGCGGCAGTGCAGCCTCATGAGCAGTCAATCTGCCTGGGCTGAGAAAGTCGTCGTTGTCGTCGTCATCGCTGTCCTGAACAACGTTTCGAGGCATGTTCTAGGCTCATTGAGCCGATCAAACCGTGCTCTAGGGCCGCAAGGTGTGTCGTGCAGTTGCATCTCCAGCGACGCGACGGCACGGTTTCGCGCTCCACGTGACTGTGGGGGAGTCGCGCCAAGGAGCAACCTTGTAGCTACCTAGGTATGTGACAACCTCGAGCGTTGTGTTCGTCGCATCCAAATCCTGTCGTGTCTGTGATGATACAAGGCCTAAAGTGGCACAGCTAGTGTACTGCTAGTGTACTTAACATGACGGATGGGCCGAATCAAATGTTTAATTACTATAGAATGCGCCAACAAACATTGTGAACATGAAGGATATCACTCAAGATCAATCAAACCATTCTACCATCGCGCCCCAAGGCAAGGACAGTCGCAAAGCAGTGCAAGCTCAACCCACAAACGCCCTGCCACGCCTTCTAGTCGTTGTCTCCGGCCAGTTAGTAGCCCGGTTCTCCTCGTTGTGTGAATTGGGGAACCCTTCGCTGTTAACCTTTGTCGAATCGCTCTTGTAGATGCCGTAGAAGCTCGCTCCACCGCTAAATCCGCCACCAAACTCTCTCCTGTTGCCAACCATGACGCTGTTGCAGCTCGTTGTCTCACCGGCGGCCGCATTCAAAGCCACACCCGAGGTGCAGAAGCACTCAGTCGAGCCCTTGAGGGCAGCGTATTGCGCGTCCTGCTCCTGGCAGCGCGTGACGCACATCTCGACGGTCATATCAGTCGTGTTCGAGAATTTGATCTTTGGTGCCGACTCCACGCCGCTGTCCTCTCCGTAGCAGCCCTCGAAGGCGTAGGCACCGACCGCCTTAACAGTTGTCGGTGGGATGTCGAAGGTCGCGTTCCAGACACTCAGACGGGCTGGGCCGCCGCAGTAGGTAGATTTGTCTCCAGCGCACTGCTCTTCGCAGCCACTGAAGCCGACTGCAGAGTATGACTGGAGGGCGTTGCCGCAGTAGCAGGTGCCACCCGAAGTGCCTGCGAGTCCGTAGTTGTACTTGCTGCCGGAGCAGAAGGACTGACACTCTTGGTTGGTCATGTTATTGCTGGTGAACGAGGCGCCAACCAGTGGGAAGGGTTTGTTTGTGGAGTTCGCGCAGCCCAGGTACGCCCAGCCTCCAACCTTTTGACCAGCTATGAGGCTAGATGGAGTTTGTGACGGGGAAGATGGGGCTTCTGTAGGTGAGGCAGAAGACGCAGCCGCAGTGGACGAAGGGGAGGCCGGCGCTGACGCTTCCGCAGCCACGCTACTACTTGCCGCAGCTGTCGACGATGCGACATTTGGCCCAGCAGCGGCACTACTGATGGCCGCACCTGCAGATGAAGGAACAGTTGATTCTGAAGCAGCGCTGGTAGAGGCCGCTGCAACGCGTTGAGCAGCAGGAGCAGACTCCGACGCAGCCGTGACGCTCGACGAGCTCGTGGTTACAAGCTTGTACAGCGACAACCTGCTGCCCGCACCGCACAACTCGGTCGGGTCACCAGCGCACTTGGTCTTGCACTGCGTCTCGGCGATCTTCTCGCTTCCGCTCCCCAGGACATCACCGCAGAAACATTCCTGGCCGTACTGAGTACCCCAGTAGACGAACTTTGAGCAGAACGCGGCACACTTCTCCAATGTCATTGGATTGGCGGTATTGCCATTGAGTCGAGCGCCGGTAAGCACGCGTCCAGTTACGGGGACATTGTCGGTGTAGCAGCCTTGATATGTGTATCCCGAGACCATGGGTTTCGCAGCTGGAGAAGCTACGGTGGTGGAAGACGTGCCTGCCGGTGGAGCAGATGACGCGGCTGCTGATGATACTGGGGCTGCCGACGACGAAGGAGCGACTGATGCAGCAGCGCTGGAGGAGGCGCTGGATGCGCCCTTCTGGTACACGTTGAGCTTGGATGAGCCACCGCAGTACTGTAAAGCATTGCCCGCGCACAGCTTGTTGCATCCGCTCTGCTGCACTGTGGAGGTGACGGGTATTGAATTGCCACAGTAGCATTCTCGGCCAAACTCGACGCCGAAGTAAGTGTAACCGGAGCAGAAGGTGGCGCAGTTCTGGACTGTCATAAGATCGTTGGCGCTCCTCTTTGCACTGAGTGTCCGGCCTGACACCTCATTGTAGCAACCGATGTGGCTGTATTCGCCCACAGATTGCACAACGGCAGGTGTAGTGGCGGCCGGGGGTGCTGCAAAGGAGCTGGAAGCGACAACCGCAGAGGAGCTTGGGACCACCACTGGAGAGGAGCTTGGGACCTCTACCGCAGATGAGCTAGGAGCTACGACAGTTGACGAACTAGGCTCAACCACTGCTGATGAACTAGGAACCACCACTGCGGACGAGCTCGGGACCTCTGCCGCTGACGAGCTTGAAGCCACAACAGCAGATGAGCTGGGAACCTCGACGGCAGAGGAGCTTGAGATGACAACGGCAGAAGAGCTGGACTCCACTACGGCCGACGAGCTCGCAATCACCGAACTCGAAGCCACAACAGCCTTCTTCTCATACATGTTGAGTCGGCTTCCTCCACCACAATACTGGAGGCTGTTGCCCTTACACAACATTTTGCACGTGGTAGGATCCTGCGCAGTGGAAGTTGCTGGAATAGTGTTCCCGCAGTAGCACTCACGGCCGTATTCGACACCAAAGAAGGTATAAGTCTCACAGAAAGTGGCGCATGATTCGACAGTCATCAAGTCGGTTGCGAAAGACTTCGCTGTCAAGGCCCGACCACCAATCTCGTTGTAGCAGCCAATGTGCGAGAAAGCTCCGACGGATTGAACGACAGCTGGCCCGGTGGGTGTCGCTGAAGCTGTAGGCGAGACTGTAGGCGAGGCTATGATAGAGTCGGTAGGTGAGACTAGCGCAGAGGATGAAGCAACTGCTGAACTGGACACTGAGACTGTGTTCAATTGATACATGTTCAGGCGACCGCCGCCTCCACAGTACTCGCTTGAGTTCCCGCCGCAGATGTTGTCGCATCCAGTGATAGATGGTGTGGCTCCTGGGGAAAGGACAGATCCGCCGTTGATGGTGTTACCGCAGAAGCACTCGTTGCTGTACTCTACGCCGAAGTAGTTGTAACCCCGGCAGCTCGACTCGCAGAACGCGACGGAGCCACCCGCAGCCGGAGCCCCAACCGCTTTGCCCGAGAGGGCTCTTCCTTGATTGGCCTCCGTGTAACAGCCAATGTGGTTGTAGTTGCCGATGGACTGACGGGTGTAGGGCCCGCCACTAGCCTCTCCAGGCTTGTCTGTGTAGGTCTCGTTGGTGATGGTATACTTGGTAGTATCGTAATAGATACTGATGAAACCGCCATCGCCACCACACGCTTGGGAGGAATCGCTTGAACAAGAGAAGGTGCAACGTTTTTCGCTCTCGGGGTGGTATTTGCTTCCTGGCGGAGGCGTGTTGCCGCACCAGCATTCTGTGTGGTACTCCGTTCCCGCAAAGACGTATCCAGCGGCCATACATGCGTTCTGACAACGGGCATTCTCTTGTTGGCCCGCGGGATAGATGGCTTTCGGCAAGAGACGAGGCTGGTCCTGGTAGCATCCAAGATACTGGTAGCGGGCACTACCGTCCGGGTTTGTCGGTCCCACTATGCGATCGTGAACAGTACCCTTGATGACCACCTCATGGACTCCAAAGTCAAGATCATCAACGTTTAGTGTCCAGGTGTCGCTAACCACAAAGTCTGGAATGTTTGGTGGCTCATTGAGAGGATTGAACAACACAGTGCCATACGCACACTCGCCGACCGCAATCTTCTGACCCTCATGGAAGTCGATACCAGCAGAGAGGGCACGGATAACGCCAAGTGGCGGCTTCGACTTCGTAACGGACAGTACCGAGCCACCATTGTTGCATATCCGGATCTGTCCTTGCGCTTCGCCACCAGGTGCGACAGGGCCGAAGTCCAAAGTCAACTCATCTTTCCAGCCACCTTCCGAGGTACTGATACTGAAGTTTGCCTTAGGCGCAGTCGATGCAGCCCCTTCGAGGATGGTGAACGCATCACCGCCGTCGGTGTAAACGTGAAAGTACGAGAGATATTCGCCGGTGCCATTGATCGCGCTAAAGGTGGCTTCGACAGTGACCGCCGTGCCAGCTGCGATGACAGTTTCAGGCTCCAGAAGGTTGAGTGATGTGAAGCCATATCCAAGATCCCACACGCCATTCGTTTTGGTTACTGCCGTGAAGTCAACATCTGCCTCATCCAGTTCGTCGGTGGTGTAGGCGTAGCTCTTGATCGTCAGAGGCTGCGACCCAAGATTGGCGATACTGAATGGTTTCGAGGCCGTCGACTCCCTCCCTGGTACCCCAACAACAAGCCCTCCGAAATCTACGGTAACGGGAGTCAAACTGAGGTAGGCCTTGTTGGAGACCTGATTACCCGACAAGCTTACTGGCAATGAGTCCGCATAGCCTGCAATGCCATTCTGAGTAGTAATAGTGAGAGGCGTGGTTTTGATACCGGGCGTCACACTGCCAAAGCTCGCACCCGGCGTGTTCTGGACGTTGGCGGTTGTCAAGTTCCATCGAACGGGGATGTTAAAAGTTGCGCCGGCAGCGAGGGCTCCTGGTGGTAGGGACGCACTGTCAACCTCGAAGCGAGCATCGCCGACGGTCATCCCAGTAACTTTCGTGATAGGAATCAAGGCCTTGCAGACGACTGTCCCCCTTGCATCTGAGCCCAGTGCAACATCACCGAAATCGATTCCCTTGCAATCCAAAGGAAGGTTCACAGGAGAGCCTATACAGTAAAGATTTCCGTTCGAATCGGTGATGTAGAGCCTGGTGTCTCCGAAGGCGGGTCGCTGAAACTTGTTGATACCACTGACCTGGGGCATCTTGATGCTCTTGAGTTTTCCGTCTGGGCCGGGTACAGCGTACCAGGCGCGTAGGCCAGCATCGGGATCAGTAAGCCAGAGAATACCCGTACCAGCTTTACCCTGATAGGAGGTGACGGTTGGAACACCGATACCCACACGACCGGCAGAACTCTCAATCGACTTTCCTACCTCACTGAATAGTGGCTTTCCGGCGTTGTCAAAGCCCAGCTTGTAAACGTAGACGGGGTTGCCTGTAGGAGCCGAGTAAAAGAAGCCTCCTTCCAACGGATATGAGCCGGAGCCGCCAAAGACAGCCTTGTCTGTAACGATGGTTTGAAGAACACCATCTGTTCCGCCAGCTCCTTGCTTGTAGCCTCCGAGTTGGTTGAGGTTTACAATGTAGATTTTGCCGTTCTTGCCGCTGGTAACACCTATGCGTGAGACACCAGTCCCTTTGAACACCGTTGTATCCAGCATGCAAACGCCTGACGAACCGAAGTCCTGATCTCCGCCATCCATGTTCGAATAATCGTACGGCTGAAAGTAGTCTTGTGAAATAAGTTTGCCATCCGGCTCGATTCGCAGATTAATCACTGCTTGTCCAAGCGTCGAGCAATTGCTGCTGCCAGTGGCGGGGGTGCCCCGATTCTGATGACCACCACCGTTTCCCTACATACAAAGTCAGCAACGCTGAACAAACCTTCGTAAGGGTCGCGGAACACTTACAGTTACAAGGAACAGGCGAGGCCCATCAGAGGACAAACTCGTGCCACCCTGCCAGACACCTCCACCACCTCCCTCGCCGTCCCATTTGCCACTGAACGGTACTTGGTCTCCAGCTTCGGTTACCCAGTTGGCCACGAGCTTTTTCTGGACAACGTCGATACCTAGGACTGTGCCGGTGTAGTTGTATTTGTCGCAGTGGCCTCCGAAACCAGTGTAAACGACGTTGCCCACTTGAATCATGGAAGGTCGTTGCAGAATGACACCCCCAATGAAATACATGCGATTGTCGTTGTCTGCCACGGACCCATCCACGAGGATAGGGAAACCCGGAACATCCTGCAACGTCTTCACGTCGACGGCGTAGAAGTAATACACGCCGTTATACACCCCGTTTTGGCCGGCAGTTCGGTAATTTCTACGCGGTCAGTATTTTGTAGAGTATAAGCTGGAGTAAGGATATACCCACGAGATGTAAGATTTTGCGTAGAAGTAGGCGATGTCCGTGTTTGGATCAATTGTAGGTGTTCCAATAATACCAATGGTACTGTTTCGTAGTGTCAGTGCAGGTGTTGTATATGGGAATGGGCAAGACCGACTCTGGAATATCTGTGCACCCAATGTCGGACTGCAAGAACGGTCTGGCCACCTGACGTGTGAGCAGCTGCTCGCCGGTCTTTGCGTTGAAAGTGCGGATCCAGTTCTGTGAAGAGGCGGTGAACAGAATCTGAATTCCGGTTGATGGTGGTGTATAGACTAGGACTTTGGCGTAGAACTTTTCGTCCTTGTTCATTGGCTTTTTCCACAACAAGCCAAACTGGGGGCTGTCAACAACGGCGGGATTCATGTTGTTAGCACCCCCCAGATATGATGACTGTCCGATATCTGCATCTCGCCAGGAATCGGAGGGCGCAAGAGCAAAGGCATAATTCACGAATGCTGCCAGCGCAGCAACCCGCGCGAGCGGTGAGAAGAAGGAAAACATAACGAGTGACTGCCTCTCAGTGGGGCTAAACGATTGTCAACACCTGCAGGCGGAAGTGTTGCTCTACAATGGGGATGCTCTCCCTTTCAATAGCAACAGAATCTGGAGACCCCTACCTTCTGCGGGCCGCGCTGGAGGGCGACTTGCGCAAGCCACATATTGCCATTTCATCTGCGGCTGCTTTTTAGCTCAGCCAAAATCGATTATAGCCCAAAGCGATCAAAGTCATGGACCCCGTGGATCAGTCGGTATAAAATGACAGGAACGCGGCGCAGGAATAGCGGCATTACCCGGCGAATCAGGATGCAAGCGGGCGATCACACTAATCGCCGAGGTGCCAGCTGGAGATCAGGGAGCGCGGAAGAAGCTTAACCGGAGTGCTTCATTGCAGTGATCGCCTGTGCAGGATACTATCTCGAGGAAGGCATGCAGGCTGCAGGTATCTAAAGTCGGAGTGCCATCGTATTCTTGATCCAGAGCTGAGCTAAGGAGGAGCAATACAACGGTGCAGTCTCCCTAAGTCAAGATCCATGTAAAGGTGGGGAGGGACGAGAGTTGACAGATCCACGACCTTCGCAGAGTGCTTTGGGCTGCTCCAGTAGCTCTGGGAGTTCTCTGTGGAGCAAATCCTGGTCGAGGGAAGCCTTCCATCGCAGTGCCCGTGTCGATGAGGTGAGCTACGAGGTCCAGAGCCCGTGGATTGCCGTCTTTGGGCTAGCATTGAAGAGTTGTCGTTGCGGTTCCTGAGATGGACCGCCTGGGAAGCGAGCTTAAATTGGACTTGACAGCTCATTGGATGGCTGACAAGCCTTAAACGCTTTTCAGCCGGCAATCTAGCCTTCGTATCCGGTTCGGCTGCTTCCTTCGCGAGCTGAGCGAGGGCCATGAGATAGTTTACTTGGTCTCTGCTCTTTAGCCGAAGCCTTGCGGCAGCGTATGGACAACCATGAACGCTCAGCAGAGTAAGGCGCAAAGACGATACAAAGGCGAGTCCATTGTCAGGCGTACTGCGATGGATGTCCAGGAGGTGCATGTGTTCCTGCATGTGAGGTACAGGATGCACAGCGGCTCGGTAATCCAGCCCTGGCGAGTAGTTACGGTGCGGGAGAAAGATTGACACAGCGAGACTTCAAGGACCGTGCCGCTCAGCGCTAGCCTCTTAGTCTGACAGAACTTGCCTACTGGCAGTTAGTGAAAGCTCACCGAAGCGTCCTTAAATAAACCTCGGTGCATGAGGTGTGCATAAAACGGTCGTTCGTCTTCCAGCTAGCCAAGCAAACGTGCAACGTTATTCTGTCAAGCTGTCGCCGGATCAGCGTCAAAGAAGGTTAGCCCTCAGCGCCAGCGAAGCGACCCGTGTGATGGTCGGTGATGGTGTCGAGCTTTCTTTCCACAATTTCAAGATTGAAGAAGAAAGGGGGTCAAGGCGCTGGCCCACAGCGCGTCTGCTAAGCCCTGTCCCTCCTCATTTCAACGTCTCAAAGCGGAGATACCTAGCGACGATAGTCTCATTGTAGAGGACTGTGGCTTGATTCCACAGTTCGGACAGCTTCTCCGAAGAGCCGGGCAGCAAAGCTGAATGCTGAAGCCTTGAGGAGCTGGATATGGCTTGACAAGCCACCCCCTGCTTTCACACACCTCCCGGAGAGACCGCGTTTCCTCCAGCAGATCGAGAACTTTGGCAGATCTTGACGTCTGGATGATCGTCCAGTACAGCGGCATCGCACTACCCGAAGCCTGCCCTGCCGTGTCAGGGGCTACTTGGGAGATAGGCTTGGAGAACGTGGCGCAGGCTGGCGTTTGGCGAAACTCATAGCGAGATGAATTGACATGCCAGAGCTCCAGCGGTGAGGATCGCCAGCATGGGCTTACAGGATCACTGATCACCAGCTAGCTGAACGTTCTTATCAAATTGTAGTATGGCTCAATCCAGGGGAGCTCTATTATCAAAGAACTGGTCAGCTGAATGACACCCTTGGCGAGGCTCTTCCGGTCATCACATGTCGAGTAGGTGCTGGGTTGTCTGATAATGTGGTGACTGAAGGATGGAAACCAATAGAACTCTCGGCTCTTTGAGGATGTGTGCTCTGTAGTCGCCATGATCATCCGTGACTTTGCCCTTCAATCCAAATAAGTTGCCACCAATAACGACTCAACTCCTCCCAACCCTCCAGCCCTACGCCAATGCTCTATGTATGGACCAGTAAACTCCGCTCAGCTAGCCGCCGGAACATGTTCTTGTGCACGTCTAGCCACATCCCAAAGATTCGCCACCCACATCAGCTCTTCAGGGCCTCGAGACGCCCTCGCATCTGAGCGATCATCTGTTCCTGTTCCTCGTCCTCCAAATCCTCGACCGGCTGCGCTGGCAGCTCGACCTCTGGCTGCTGTGCAGTCGGCGGTAGCCTATCCTTAAGGATCTCGCCCAGCACTTTGTCCACCTCAGCCTCAGCCTCCTCGTCTTCACCCTCCAGCAGCTCGCTATCCGGCAAGCTGTCCCCAACCATCTCCTCAATAATGCCCGCCTTAACCAGCTCCTGACTCAACTCGCGCATGGTGCCCGTGAGCTCTGGCAGCCTGACCAGGCTATTAACATCCTTCATGATGCCCGTCGACGCACGTATGCTGCCCTCAATCTTGCGCACCGAGAACGCCTCGTTGACCTGCATCTGCACGCTCTGCAGCTGTGCCTTGCTGGTTGCCAGCCGCGCATTCTGCTTCCGCACCCTAATAAGCTCGCGCGCGAATATACGTGTCTCCTGCGCGGCTTGCTTCGCTTGTGAGGGATTGCGCTGGCCGCGCTTCGCTGCCTGCTGTATGAAGCCTTTGGTTTTGGCTTCGAGCGCTTTGAGCTGCTGGATATCGCGGTCAAGCTTGCGGACGTTTTGGCGGACGAGGGCGTTGCATTTTCGTTTCTGTCGAAGGTGTTAGGGAGAAGCGATTTACTGCCGTGTGGTATCAACTGACTTGCGCTTCCGGGTCTGGTTTCCAGAATATGGACCGGATCGTCTCCATGGTGTGAGTAGAGGCAGCAGGTTATTCAGGCGGCCAGCTGCTCTCGACGGGCGCTCAGTCGGCTGTCAAGCGAAAGTTGTCGTAGAAAGCCCTCATGAATTCTTGTGAGAACGGTAATATTGTGATATGCATCAGGTATCAAAGGGTGCAGGTGGTGGAGACCAGGGTTGCAAGGCTTCCCAGCGAGCTCAAACCCGCCAAGGTGACGTTGCACCCATGCTCTCGTTTGGCGGGGCTCTGTGTGCCCAGACTTCCCAGGTGGTTCACTTTGCACGCCAACCCAAGCACCGAAATTCCGTAAAGACATTCGAAGCTTCACCACACTTGCGGACGCTTCTTCTGAGGACATCTTCATACGAACAAACCCTAGGCCGATCCGATCTGTGTTGTTTGCTACAATCAGCAAGTTACCGGCGCTTCAGGTGTGTTGCGAATCCTACCTGCCATTCGATTGCTTTCCACATGTATCCACGTTCAGCCTCATGCTAGGCGAAGTGTTCAACACCATCGCCCTTGCTTCCATTTCTCCGATCTTTTTAACATTAGCCTCTTCTGAGAACACCGTTGGATTAACCTATCCATCGTAGCATCCCCAATAAGGACGAGTAGACCGAATCCAACTCCGACCCTCACACACCGCCAAGATGTCAGAACAGCAGCTCACCCCAGAAGGTACGGACAGAATTTCACCACTACCCACACAAGCGAGCAGTAGAACTCCACGTGCCAGGAGTGCCGAGCGAGAAGCGGATCTACCAGCCGCCGATTGTGGCAGCTGAGAACAAGTTACTACGGTCCAGCACAGCGTCCAGCAAGTGGTGCAGATGTCCCTGGGCGAGAGCTTGCAACTAGCACAACCATATCTGCACCACTTGGCAGGGTCGTTCATGCTTGGATTGCTTCCACGCCTTCACGGCTGCAGCTTTGGCACATCGGTACCACTGACCGGCGGCAAGTTGTTAAGGACCAATGTACCGCGTCTTGTGTCCCAGCCGATATATTTTGACCCCCAACACCAACACCAACACCAACACCAGCTCTTATTCATCGATTAACTAACACCGGCAACAGTCACCTGGGCACAACGCTCCTCCTCAACGGACCCCGCGCGGAACCACATCTTTCTAACCATCATGGCCTCGGACGTACCCGAGAAGGAGATGAAGCTCGATATCCAGCCGACCAAGCTAACCTTCACGGGCCGCTCCGACACAAAGAAAGTAACCTACCACGTTGAGCTAGAACTCTACGCCGAGATCGACCCGGCGGAGAGCAAGATCCACCACTCCGGCCGCGACATCGAGCTCGTGCTGCGCAAGAAGGAGCTCAAGGAGGAGTACTGGCCGCGCCTGCTCAAGGAGAACAAGAAGGTACACTTCTTGAAGACGGACTTCGATAAGGTAGGTCACCCTCCCCCTTCTCCTCCTCCGCGCATATAGATGCCCCAAGTCAGCAGCTGACACCAATCAGTGGGTCGACGAGGACGAGCAAGACGCCGTTCCCGACGACGACGACTACATGAGCCGCATGGCCGGCATGGGTGGTGGTATGGGCGGCATGGAAGGTATGGGTGGTATGGGTGGTATGGGTGGTATGGGTGGTATGGGCGGAATGGGCGGAATGGGCGGAATGGGCGGTATGGGTGGAATGGGAGGCATGGGCGGCGAAGGCGGCTTCGGCGGCATCGACTTCTCCAAGCTCGGCGCCATGGGTGGCATGGGCGGCATGGGCGGCATGCCGGACATGGGCGCCATGGGTGGAGCTGACGACAGTGACGATGGAGAGGACGACGACGACATGCCTGATCTCGAGGGGGAGGATCACTCGGTGCCGAAGACGGAGACGGGCAAGGAGGCGGAGAGTATTCCGGCTGCGACGGGCGAGACAGGCGCGTCGGCTACCAAGACGGGCGCCAAGATCGAGGAGGTGGAGTAAAAGGGGACTCTCCTGCAAAACTCGTGGGGGAGGAGGCTGGAAGAGGAACCATTCTCGCCTCACAGTAGTCTTACGCCAAGTCTGCGCTGGGTGATAACGAGCTCGGGAGCATAGCATTCTACGGACGGATGTAAATGACGATAAATCTCATATCGCGCTTCACGCATTCGCAACTACCATCTTCTTCAGAAGGGAACCTCTCAGTGAGCAACTAGCTTACTAGTTCCTTCTCCCTCAAACGACCTCAACCCTCGCTCGACTCTATCGTCCAGCCGAGTTCGATGATGACACTGCTACGGCTTGAAGCCGCTGCGATGCCTATTCCTACCTGTAACGGCCGCTCTTACGAATGTGCCAACCCTGCTGGGCCCGGAAGCCTGATCCGTATAATCTCGAGGTGAATTCTCCGCTTCCGCAGGATACCTCTGAGTCGGTTTCTGCCGTGAACCCCCGGCTGGATTGTAGCACCAACGCAGCGGCTCTGGACTCTCTCAAAATCCATCACATGCTCGCTCAAGGCCCCGGCGTCCCAGCAGACATCGGCGTACTCGTCCCCGTAATATCTCCGACTTTCCTCTTTTTCTTCTTCTTCGGTCTGGGCACCACAACCGGCTTCGCCGCCACCGCCGCCCCTAGACTCAGCCTCGTCCCACATGTAAGACACTCCCCTTCTTCCAAGGGCTCACAGAAAATGCTCAAGCACACCGAGCACACAAACCCGACATCCACAACCCTGCGGTGACAAAAACACGCTGCCCTAAAATCCACCTCCCCGCCGCCCGGCATCACCAACGCTGCCCTCGCCCGCGCGTCCGGCAAGAACCCCATCATCAGATACTGCAGCAGCCCTGCGCGCGCGGAGGGGCTGGAGGGCGCGATGTAGACTCCGCCCGTCGCGTCGGCGGCTTGTTGCAAGAAGACCGTGTCGCCGGCCAGCTTAAGCACGTCGAGCGGAACCCGCTGCCGCTGGGCCGCAAAGATGGAGTTCATGACGGGGATGTACTGGGCCGCGAGGTCGCCGGAGACGCTGACGATTAGGATCCGCGACGTCAGCGGCGAGCGGCGCGCGCGGGGTGTTCCGTCTGCGGGGTCGGTGGGGGTGTCGGTTGGGTTTGAGAGGGTTGGGCCCGTGGAGTCGAGAGAGATGCCGGAGGAGTCGTTGGGAGAGGAGAGTTGGGTTGCGCGGGAGATGTGGGATAGTGCTATGCTGAGCGCGCCGGCGATTTGGGTCGTCGTGCTGCTGGTGAGGTCGGCGGCGGTAGTTTGGGAGATGACGCGCGAGAGGTTATCCTGGAGCTCACGTTCTATGATTGCGAAGCGATGGTACTTCGTCGCGGATGGTGGAGTGGGTGTGGAGGTGCCGTTTTCCTCAGGGCTGCTGGAGGAGCGTGGTGGGTGAGGGGTGGGGTATAGCCATTGCGCACGCTGGATGTGGCTTGCTATGACCGCTACCTGGTTCGCGTGGTTGAAGGAGAGGTGGGCATTGATAAAGACAAGAAGGTTGGCAACTGCTTTGGAGAGTGGGAGGGTGTCGGAGAGGAGAGCCCATGCGTGTGGATTCGTGTCGAGGATGACGGTCAGGAGGGACGGTGGAGGCGCTATGCCTTGAATTAGCTTCGGATGGTTATGGGATTCCAGTACTGCGCGCATGCGTACAGTTGTCTGAATCTCTGACGTGCCGGTCTGTCCCATCAATCGCGTTCATGGTGTGGTGAGAACCCAAGAGCGCGTCGCATGCCGGTTCATGAGTTGTAGGCCAGAGTACTATGAGAGAGTCTCTGGTAGGAGGCGTATGGCGTATTCCCGGGTCTCTCGTGCTCCTTTAAGGGGTTTGAACGGCTCCAGGCTTAAGAGATATTGGCGATATCCGTTAGAGCTGGAAGCGACTGCGAGATATCCATACCTAGTTATCCATGTCTTAGCTGAGGCAGGCGTAGATTGCTTAAGCGCGTTAAGCGCCAGGCTAATTAGCCGCGACGTCACTACCTACAGTAGGTATCCTCAAGCTTTGGGACGGGAGTTCCTCGAGTCCTCGAAAGTGCCCCGACATCTCCGGCAGCGTCCCCGGTAGGTGATTCTGGCCTCCGGATGGATTGCCATGGATACCTGTAACTACAGTACACTGCCAGACTGCTACCTAAAGCAAGATGCCGAGAACCGATCGTCCAGGGGAGCATCGCGAATCTGTAACCACACACGCGCATCCACAGCCACAGCCAGATGCCGCACCCCGCAGATGAGTCGAACCACCCCATGTTCGTCTTTCTACCCATCTCATTTTCTTATGCAGTGGTGTTGTACCCTGAATGTATATGTGAAAGCAAACAGATTATTATGCTTATGAGGAAAGCTGTCGAAGAAAGCGGCATTCATGTGTCATGTCGTCGTTAGAAGAAAGGAGAACTCTAAATCGAAATTCTGGTCACGGCACGGTTGACCTCCAACTACCTTCTCCAGAGCCTCTTGGGACTAGTCGAAAGCACACACAGCACGGAGATGAGCGGACTACGAAAAGCGCCCGCCGGCGAATGGCTTGCCAGCCGTGTAGAGTCCGGAAGGTGAAATGCGACAGTGGTCGTCCAAGCTGCGGATTTTGTGTCAGCGCAGGAAGCCAATGTATATACCTAGACGCTCCGTCGGAGCAGGGACGGTACTGCTCACAGATCCTCAGACGCCTTTGGCTCACGCTGATCATGCAACAGGCTGGATCCCGCTTCTACACTGATGATGAGAAAACTGGATCAGATACTTGAACGCGTCGAAGGAGTCGATGCAGCGATACGCGCTCGAGGTTCGTAGAGCAACTTTTCCGAAGACTCGCTTTGCCTTATATGACTTCTCAGATGCAAATTTCACTCCTCATTTCGCCATCAGTTCGGAGGGCCACGTTTCAGAGGCTACCGTTGGATCTCTCCGTTGTTCTGGCACCTTCAGCCCGACATCAAGCCCCCGACATGCTGAAACCGTGCATGAGGTCTCAAAAGACTACCTCAGAATTCCTACCTGCAGCAGCACTGCAGACTCAGTCTTGACATGGCCCATATTTCAGGGAAGATTTCCTTCGGACTATCTCGTTGATATTCTACTTGATCCGACTTCACGTCAACCAGATGCCGGAACCGGGGCCGATGCTCTTGTCGTTCCAGGCGGGCTTGAGCCCTTAGCAGATGAGAGAATACCCTCCCTAATCGACAAATTCCTCGAGAACGTACACTCGAAGAATCCCGTTCTCGACGTGGAAGCTCTTGTCCACTATGGGAGGAGGGCAGCTGCAGGTGGCCTCGGCTGGGACGCACCATCATGTCTCGTTCTCTTAGCTTGTGCCTTAGGATCCATCGCGGTGCCCTTCGTAGTGTCGGAAGCAAATCAACACGAGATTGAGATGAACGCGTCTGGTATCACATCTTCATCCATCTTCACCGAAGAGATCAAACAGGCAGAGTCGTGTTATGCGCTGGCGTGCAGGAGGTTGGGTCTATTAAAGCACACCATCCTCGGCGCACATTGCTACTTCTTCTCCGCAGGTCAGTCTGCATCCGGAAATCTCGAGTGGTTACTGAACGCTGTCGCAGTCTACCTTATGTACACTTTGCGCCCCTTACCAGCCTGGGATCATTTTTGCCAGGCCTCAACCTTCTATCAGATCCACTCCCGGACGATAGCCAGGCCAACTCACGGAGCTATGCTCGATAGTCATCTCAATGGCATGAGTGTGACGCAGCGAAGACTGGAGCAAAGTCTATATTGGTCCTGTTTCAAGTCAGAATGCGAGATGCGTATCGAGTTGCCTCTGCCGCAGTCCAGTTTAGCCGACGTGGATTATCCGCACATGTTTCCCAACCCTCCCGCTCACCCCACGGAAAATGCAGGGTTCAGAGAATTTGACAGTGACGGTTTTTCTTTCGACTGGGGAACCCGACCTTCCAACAATATGGCAAACATCGAAGAGGTATCTTGGTACTACTATTTAACAGAGGTTGCGCTAAGAAGGATTGGAAACAGGATTCTTAACACATTTTTTCGACAGAACCATTCCAGCTGGATAAACATTAAGCCCTTCGTTCCCATTGCCAAAGAATTCGAAGAGCAGGTACTGGTATGGGCTTCCAACCTCCCTCCAGCCATGCAATACGACAAGAACCCCACCGACGAATTATCATCATCACGCGAGCTCAGCTGGGCCACGTGGAATCGGCTGTTGGAGATGAAGACCTGGCTGTATCAGCCTTTTCTGTACTATGCGGTACATTGCGATGCCGAAGCATCCGAACTTCGGGAGAATGCGGATCTCCAGTCACTCATCAATGCCGCAATGGACTGCAACATCAGCACCGTTGAGAATCGCACCTTACGGCATCGGCATCATGGCATTTGGTTCGATATACGCTCGGTCATCACAGCATCTTTTACCGTCATCGCCGCCGCGAAGAGCGGTAAAGTGAAGGTTCAAGAGGAATGGGAGGACCGAATCAAATCTGTGATAGACACCCTGGCCTTCTGGGAAGACGAGGCGATAGACCTGGTGAAGACGAGAGCGGTCCTGGAAGAGCTTTTCTTAGAGACTAGGGATCTGATAAGGCAGCAGCGATGTTGATATATCCGAGTATACCTCTAGCTGTGAATGAGTGTACGAAGGAAAGGGTATGTATTGAAGAAGCGGCGGCCGCTCAACCACCCTCTAGTACCATTAACAAACACCAATAAACGGTTTGTACGATTAAAACCTGGACCTTCCATTGACTGAAGATGTATTTAACGAGGCAGTCCACCTCAATAAGCATTGGATTACTGTGTTGAGGGGCCTTGTGGTTGTGCGCCCTCAAGCGGCCGCTTCCTCAGTAGATACCCCATCCTTCGTAGTACAAGCGTCTGTCACGGCAGTCGGCCTGTGAGACTTGATCAGGGTCCATGAGGCATTGTAATCACACACCGAGCTTGGTTATACTAACAGCACGGAATCACATTACCGACTACAGTTAAGCCCCTGTAATACACGTGTGCATCCTTTTCCTCCTTCCAGATGTCTCTGCAGCCAGTGCGTCAGCCCCGCCCTTGCGCACCACTCTCTCCAATACTGGCCCCCAAGAAGCGGAGGAGGCTTGATTGGGCGGAAATTCTTGGAAGAGGGCAGTGCCGGGGAATCCGGGGAAGAGGAAATATTACAGACGACAGCGCTCCTCACCGAGAGCCCACGGGGAATTCGGGGAGCAGGCTCAGTGTTTTGATTGGCTGAACACCATGGGGCCGGATGCACGGTGCTGATCCCCTTCTTCTCCCGCTCAATAAGGCCCGCTCCGCTCTTCTATCCCACGGGGTTCGAGATCCGATTAATGCAGATCTGTGTTTCATTCGTGAGTAGGATGTTCACTGATCATGCCTGAAAGGCTTCAATACACGAGCCGTTAGGATGTCGGCGTTACGGTTGCCTGAATATAAATCATCACGATATCCCACACTCTCGTCCATGCGGTGAGACGTCTCTTCCTCTCTCATGCCTCCCCTCACTGCTTTTACCTCGCGGTCAAAATAGTCTTCGGATTACTACACACTTGATACGATCATCTCGCATCCTGTCGCCATGGGTCATCAAATTACCCAATGGAACGTCTCTCACAAGCTCCAGAAGAGGAAGCTCCTCATCGCCATCAATGCTCTGGCTGGTCTATCCATTTTCTTCTTCGGATATGACCAAGGGATGATGGGTGGCGTGAACAACGCTAAGCACTACATCGACCTCATGGGCTTTGGACATACCGAGACCATCAACGGGACTCCGCACACACCTGTCATCACCAATACACTACTCCAAGGAGGAATTGTCTCGGTCTATTACCTGGGCACTCTCACTGGAGCCTTGGTGGGTGGCTGGGTTGGTGATAGGATTGGACGGATCAAGACGATTGCAACGGGCGCTGCGTGGGCGATTTTTGGAGCTACTCTGCAATGCTCGGCTCAGAATGCTGCCTGGATGATATGCGGTAAGCAGTCAAGCGCGTCCCACAGTCCTACCGGAGGTCCGCACATACCAACATATCTTCCAAATCGTCGCATCAGAGAAACCTATTTCACAAAGACCAGGTACTGATCAGTCTGTCTAGCACGCCTCATTAACGGCTGGGGTACCGGTATTTTGAACGCCATCATACCCGTCTGGGCAACCGAGACTTCCAAACATACTAGTCGTGGGCAGTTTATCGCTATTGAGTTCACACTGAACATCTTCGGTGTGGTCGTAGCTTACTGGCTCGAGTTGTAAGGATTCAGAAACAGCTTATACAAGTGGGCCAAATGCTAACCAAAGAACAGCGGTCTCTCCTATGTCGACGACGGCGTCTCACCTCTCCGCTGGCGATTCCCGATCGCGTTCCAGATCATTCCGCTGTTGTTCCTCTTTGCCATCGTCTGGTTCTTTCCAGAGTCTCCAAGGTGGCTCGTAAAAGCCGGTCGTGACGAGGAAGCGCGGTTCGTTCTGGGAAGACTGCGTGGTGAAGAGGGGAACGAAGCTCAAGATGAGTACCAAGACATCAGGAACGTTTCGGAGCTTGAGAAGACCACTTCCCATAGCAACTCTTACTGGGCGATGTTGACTGGACAGGGAACCGGAAAGCTTCACATTGGTCGACGGGTGCAATTGGTCGTGTGGCTACAGATCATGCAAGAGTGGGTTGGTATAGCCGGTGTTACTATCTGTAAGTCAACGTGTTCTTGTTCACCACATGAACAAGAGAGATACCGTGAGCTCATACTCGTCGATCAGATGCTCCAACCATCTTCTCCATTGCTGGGTTTGACTCGAAGAAGTCTCAATGGATCAGTGGCTTAAACAATGTTTTCTATATGGTAAGCTCATACTTCTCAATGGCGCCGAATCGGGATATTAATCATATGTGTAGTTCTCAACTCTTATCTGCGTCTTTACGCTGGACAAAATCGGACGACGGAACACGCTGTACTGGGGATCCGTCGCCCAAGGCATCGCCATGCTTCTCGCCGGAGGCTTCTCCCGTCTTGCTATAGACGCAACGGATGCCGGTAACGCTAGCAAAGCCTCTGGCTACGGAGCAGCCGCAGCAGCCATGATCTTTATCTTTACCTCAACATTCGGAGCAACGTGGCTTACAGTGCCTTGGTTGTACCCCGCCGAGATCTTCCCTCTCGCAGTGCGAGCAAAGGGCAACGCATGGGGCGTCGTAGGCTGGTCCATCGGAAACGGCTGGCTTGTACGTACCCTGGTCTCTTCATCTGGTTAAGACAATTTACTGACCTTCACCGCTTCAGACCCTCCTCTGTCCAGTTATGTTCGGCGCCATTGGCGAGAAGACCCTCTACATCTTTGGTATCGCCAACGCCCTCAGCCTCCCAATGGTCTGGGCGCTCTACCCGGAATCGAACCAGCGCACGCTGGAGGAAATGGACCTGCTCTTTGCGGCTGACACGCCGTGGAACTGGGACGCGGAGCGCACGTTTGCGCAGCTGAAGGAGCAGAATCCGGGGCTGGTGCAAGCGGCCCGCCATGGTCATGCTGTTGTGGATCCGGAGGAGGGGTTGGTGGACGGGAAGTCGAGGGCGGCGTCTGGGTTCAGTTTGGAGGGGAAAGAGTGATGGGATGGGAAGACATTTGACTAGCTGAGAGACTCTGAATGAAGTATAGTTCAAGCGAGTATCGATTTGATGAGTCCTTCCCGCGACTGTTTGATGATAGGGGATACACTTAGAACAGACTCGGTGTAGCGCAATCTAGACGTGTTGTTCATCGATGAATGTCACGCGAAACAACACCTAAGGGAAAACCCGCATTACCCAACGCCTCAGAAACAGAACGGACAGATATTGACGGCGGCGCTTCGTCACGGATATTAATGGGCGGCGTTTAGTCATGTGCAAAACCGTACCTGCCGCTATTCAGCCGTGCTCGGTTTTTACTTATCAGAGATGGTGGCAGCGAAACCAGGCTCCTTGTCCGCAACCATTGCACGCTTCACCACGCCTAGTATCTTCGTTGAAACTCAGGGGTACAGCTGATGACTACCAACTCAATTGATCTATAAATCAAACTGCATAAAACACATGAGTTGTGGGTGAAATAGTCAGACGGGCGAATCTCGGGACTGCAAATACTTCTGAGTTGCCTGCAGCCCCGTAAACACACGTACTCGAGCAAGACCATCTCTAAGCCGCTCAATTCATGTTGCAGGGTCTTCCGAAGTCTCATGCGATCGTGAGGAAGGGAGTGCAGTCCCACTGACAAAGCGGATGCGAGTCAAACAGCAGCCCGCTCACACGCGGTGCGACTTCGTACTCGAGTGCTCTCGGGCCACGATGCATTCCACAACACGCCGAAGAAACGGCGGCCTCGCGAATTGGCTGTCGAGTAACCGGAACAGCGGCCGTCGCTACGAGTATGCTTGATGCCGTAAGTGGCCCCGCAACCGTTCCATCGTGCGTGGTAGATCAGCTGGGCACTCAGTCATTCATCGTCACATTCGGCGAGCAAGTCCCGATGATAACCCGGCCGCTTCTCTGTTCTTTTCTTGCATCGTGAAGTGTGCTGGACGTATAACATGGAGTACCTAGCCAGTGGGCACTTTTCACCACCGTCTGATCTGCTTGCTGTCACCGTCTTCTCAGTCTTCCGTAGAGCGTTGGGATCTTCTCGAAGCATTCTTATCTTATCCTTTACTTAACCTACCTCATTCCAGCGCTTTCTTCATCGTGTATTCCATCTGATCCCAAGCCTCAGAGTACTCAACATGTCGTCTTTCCGGACCCAGCAGAATACTGGCTCTTCTACCTATGTCATTGAGCTCGAGGATCGCGGAACCTCAAAGACACAAACACCTAACAAACCTTCACCACCGCAAAGTGTGTATAGCTTGGGCCGGCGGGAAACGCCACGTGCAAGTCACGATCATGATGAAGACCGACAGGAGACTCTGCCGTCTCCGACTACGCACGTCGCGGACCAGGTTCAAAAGTGGAACTACCCTCGTATTAACGTCGGCCGGACCATGGGGATGTTCTTGAGCTTCGTCGTGATGGGGTTGAATGATGGAGCTTATGGCGTGAGTTGACTGCCCTCGATTGTGTAAGAGCAAACGGCTGACTGGAAGGATAGGCTGTTATACCTTATGTAGGTATTCCTTGTACTACGACAAGGTCGAATGCTGACATCAGGAACAGCTTGAAACCTACTATCACCTCACGTACACTGTCGTCTCGCTGATATTTCTCTCTCCGCTCGTCGGGTACACCCTTTCTGCCCTCCTCAACAACAGCATCCATCTCAAATTTGGACAGCGCGGCGTAGCCCTCATTGGGCCGACTTGTCACCTAATAGCATTCACCGTGATTTCAGTCCACCCGCCCTGGCCGGTAATGATCGTTATCTTCATGTTCGCCGGCTTCGGCAACGGCCTCATGGACGCTGGTTGGAATGCTTGGGTAGGAGCCCTAGCCAACCCGAACGAGGTCTTGGGCTTCTTGCACGGATTTTACGGAGTCGGCGCAACTCTGGGCCCGCTTATCGCGACAACCATGATCACGAAAGCCAATTGGCCTTGGTACTATTTCTTTTATTTCATGGTGCGTAGCTACCATTGCCACCACATATGCATATGGACAGACTGCTGATATGTCGGCTTGCAGATTGCCATATCAGCTGTGGAGCTTATCCTCTTGAGCACCACCTTCTGGGGCGCCACTAGCGCTGTGTTCCGTGCCGCCAATGCGCGCACTTCGGAAGCGAAAGGCAGCCGCATGAAGGAAGCTCTATTGACACAACCGTCCGCTCGCGTGACATGGATCTGCGCCTTCTTCTTCCTCGGCTATGTTGGCGTCGAAGTCGCTCTAGGCGGCTGGATCGTCACCTTCATGATGCGTGAGCGCGATGGTGACCCCTTCGCTTCCGGTATGACAGCCACAGGCTTCTGGCTGGGCATCACCGTCGGACGTTTTGTGCTCGGATTCATCACCCCGCGGCTCGGAGAGAAGCTCGCCATTACCGTGAGTATACTTTCTCCTCTTCTTCAAATTCCACTCCCCTCTGATACTTGTGCGCTTCTTACGCCACATCTCCACCACTCCTTCCCACTCTGACCTGGACAAACCCCGTCGTCTATTAAGCAACCCGCACTAACGCCGCACCTCAGATCTACCTCCCCCTAGCAATGGCCCTCGAGCTCCTCTTCTGGCTCGTCCCCCAATTCTACGTCTCTGCCGTCGCCGTCGCCCTGCAAGGTTTCTTCCTCGGGCCGCTCTTCCCCGTCGCCGTCGTCGTCGCCACCAAGCTCCTTCCAAAGCACCTTCACGTCAGTGCCATCGGCTTTGCCGCCGCTTTCGGCGGTGGCGGTGCAGCCATCTTCCCCTTTGCTGTGGGCGCGATCGCGCAGGCCAAGGGTGTGCAGGTACTGCAACCGATTGTTTTGGCAATTCTGGGGGCGATTTTGGCGTTGTGGATGGGGCTGCCGAGGATGGGAGGGAAGAGGGAGGACGAGGAGCCGAAGGGTTTCTGGGGAAGGGTCAGGGAGAGTGGGGATGTGGTTGGCATGATCAGGAGGAGGCGCGGGGCGGTCGATACGTAGGCTCTGGCATGCAGATGAGTAGTTGAGGTCGGGCGCAGATAGGCGTTCTGGATGGTGCTTGGGGATAGGGGAATTGCAGTTTCAGAACTTGAGGCCAAGATCAATGTTGCATATGCGGTCTTCGAGACCAATGCAGTTGACACCGATGTTGCCTTCGTTGATAACCCAGCTTCAAATACAACATGTCAAACATAGACAAGAGTCACACTCATAAGGGTGAGATGTAGAGACAATTGTGCAGTAACAGAAGCACATGATGCTGTTAAGCTAGTGAGGGATTTAGCCGCGGTTTCTCCGCTCTGCAAGGACGCCGGATGCTCGACTAATGGCCCACGCTAGATCGTTGCTTGCGCCTCACATCAACATGTCCAGCGAGCGGTGGTCCTTGCCATGGCCATGCCTCTATCTCCAACAGTCCTCCTCACAGTCTCTTGCCATGTTGTGGAAGGATCATTACGGGGAGACGCCTGAGTAGGATGATGTGGCTGGTCCCTGGCTGGTGGTGTGATCCGGCCCGCCCGTGAGTGTGCTCAAGCAGAGCAAGCCATCATGACGATAGCAGCAAGGATGGTGAACAGGTAGGATTGGTGAGGGACGGTATATAAGAGGCACGTGCCGTGATGCTCCTGGCTCTGTTCTTTTATCTCTACTCTTCATTAGCGGCTTTAGTAATTGAAGCTTGTGATATATCTACGATATCAAATAATCTATACGAGTCTAACTTGCCGTTTTTTCGTCATGGATTCCTTGCCAGTTCGCGTTCACCCAGGCTCATCAGCAGCCAAGCCTACGAGCGAGACTGACTTAGAGAGTCTCTCCCCGTTTGGCATCGCTCGTGCGACTGTTAACGATAACCCCTTGAGCGATGATGAGGTACGCAAATACAATACCTACTTCCGGGCGACGATGTACCTCTGCCTCGGCATGATCTATCTGAGAGACAACCCGCTGCTCAAGGAACCACTCAAGCTCGAGCACATCAAGGCCCGACTGCTTGGACACTGGGGATCCGACGCCGGACAAAGCTTCACGTACATGCATTTCAACCGTCTGATCAAGAAGTACGATCTCGACTCTTTCTTCATTTCGGGGCCCGGCCATGGTGCTCCTGCTGTTCTGGCCAACGCTTACCTCGAGGGCACTTACTCCGAGGTCTATCCAGATAAATCAGAGGATGCAGAAGGCATGCGGCGCTTCTTCAAGCAGTTCAGCTTCCCTGGGGGCATCGGCAGCCATGCTACTCCAGAGACGCCTGGATCTATCCACGAAGGGGGTGAACTCGGATACTCCATCTCGCATGCATTCGGCGCTGTATTCGACCACCCGAATCTCATCGCTCTCACCATGGTCGGCGACGGCGAGTCCGAGACCGGCCCGCTGGCTACAAGCTGGCACAGCACCAAATTCCTCAATCCCATCACGGACGGCGCTCTCCTCCCTGTGCTGCATCTGAACGGCTATAAGATCAACAACCCTACCGTGCTGGCCCGCATCAGCCACAAAGAGCTAGAGAGCCTGTTTATCGGCTACGGCTGGACGCCTTACTTTGTTGAGGGCAGTGACCTGGGCAGCATGCACCAAGCCATGGCCTCCACTCTGGAGCGCTGCGTTACCGAGATCCAGAAGTACCAGAAAGAGGCGCGCGAGTCCGGCAAATCCTTCCGTCCCCGATGGCCCATGATCGTCCTACGTACTCCAAAGGGCTGGACAGGACCGCGTAAGCTCGGAGAACATTTCCTGGAAGGCTTCTGGCGATCCCATCAAGTACCAATCCCGGATGTTGCTTCCAAGACGGAGAGTCTCAAGAAGCTGGAGGAGTGGATGCGCAGCTACAAGCCAGAGGAACTGTTTGACGAGCATGGCAAGCTCATGCCGGAGCTAAAGGAGCTGACGCCCACCGGAGACAAACGTATGAGCGCCAATCCGGTTGCCAATGGGGGCACCCTTCGCACGAAGTTGCGCATCCCGGACTTCCGCGACTTCGGGATCGACATCAACAAGAAACCCGGCGCGATTGAAGCGGGCAGCATGTCCAACTTCGCCGTCTTCCTGAAAGAAATTGTCCGGAAGAACGAGACCAACTTCCGCGTTTTCGGACCAGACGAGACCGAATCAAACAAGCTTGGCGCGATCTACGAAGCCAGCAAGAAAGTCTGGCTGGGCGACTACCTCGACGAGGACGCCGACGGCGGCAACCTCGCGCACGCGGGCCGCGTCATGGAGATGCTCAGCGAGCACACCGTGGAGGGTTGGCTCGAGGGCTACATCCTATCCGGGCGGCACGGCTTTCTTAACAGCTACGAGCCCTTCATCCACATCATCGACAGCATGGTCGGGCAGCACTGCAAATGGCTCGAGAAGTGCGCCGAGGTCGAGTGGCGCACGCCCATCGCCTCGCTCAACATCCTCCTGACAGCCACCGTCTGGCGCCAAGACCACAACGGCTTCACGCACCAGGACCCAGGCTTCCTGGACGTCATCACCAACAAGTCCCCGGACGTGACGCGCATCTACCTCCCGCCGGACGGCAACTGCCTGCTCTCGGTGGCAGACCACTGCTTCCGCTCGTCCAACTACGTCAACGTCATCGTGGCGGACAAGCAGAACCACCTGCAGTACCTAGACATGGACGCCGCAATCGTGCACTGCACCAAGGGCATCGGGATCTGGGACTGGGCGTCCAACGACTCCGGCGGCGAGCCGGACGTCGTCATGGCATGTTGCGGGGACGTGCCGACACACGAGACGCTGGCCGCCGTCGCGCTGCTGCGCGAGCACCTCCCCAAGCTCAAGATCCGCGTCGTCAACGTCGTGGATCTGTTCAGGCTGATGCCGCAGTTCGACCATCCGCACGGGCTGAGCGACGTCGAGTTCCGCGCCCTGTTTACCGACGACAAGCCCGTCGTGTTCAACTTCCATAGCTATCCCTGGCTGATCCACAAGCTGACATATCGCCGCAAGGGGCAGGCGAATCTGCACGTGTGTGGGTATAGGGAGAAGGGGAATATCGATACGCCGCTCGAGCTCGCGATCAGGAACAGGACGGACAGGTTTAGTTTGGCCATCGATGCTATTGATCGGATTCCGGGGCTGGGGAACAGAGGCGCGGGCGCCAGGGAGGCATTATTGAACCAGCAGATTGTGGCCAAGAACTATGCGTATCATGAGGGGGTGGACTTGGCGGAGTTGAGGGAGTGGAGGTGGCCGTTTTGAAGGGTTGCGGGGATGATTTGGGGCCTAGCTGACGGTTATACATCAGGGGTTTTAGGCTTAGGCAAGACGTTCGTCATACCGGTCTTTACGGCTGGGCGAGAGAGAGAAAACTACTTCCAGGGACATCTTAGCATTGGAGGTACGTTTTGGATATTCGCGCAAGGAGATTCAGCCTCAAAACAATGAACAAAAGACAACGGCCGATGCTATGATATCTCATGGCGTTTCTTGATCTGAAACTACGACAAATGTATTAGAACAGACCGCAAGCGGACCAGAACGAAGGGAAGAGCGCGATGACAAATCAGATCGTGTCTCTCGCCATCAAACCATCCAAGTCATGGACAAAGAATCTCCAAGGACAGTCTGCAGGCGAGAAAGGCTCTCAACGAGCCGGGATTTCCGTCTTCGCTAGTCGTATAACTTCTTGCAGCCATTGGACGAAGGCTGCCGAGTAGATAATCTAGCGGTGTATTGAGGGTAGCCCGGGAGCGAGGATACCAAGGTAGGCTGAAGTGAAGCGGTCGGTCCTTCTTTCTTCCGGGGGTTTGGGTGAACGTTTGTACAGTAGGTCTACATCAGTCTGCTGCAATAACTTGTCTGTCAGTAGTGGCAGAGAACTATCCTGTCCAATAACCTTGGCAGACAGGTCGATTTGGGCTGTCTGATGGCCGCGCTGGAAATCCTTCAGGACGACATGCAGTGTCCGAAAGAAGCTAGTATCTGGACACGCTCGAAGCGCAATCTCATTCCTCTCTTTCGCTGCAAAACATTGTGCAAAGCCACGCCTCGTATGACAAGCCCGATTTGAGAGAACCTTCTTCCATGGCGAAATGACCCAAACCGCTTATGCCTCGGCCTTCTGCGTCTTCTTCTTGTTCAGCTCCCGGCCCTTCGCTATCCGCTCGATGATCGACTCCCGATCCTTGTCCATCTTGAGCTTCGTTATGACGACCTTGGAGGGTGCGATGCCGATGGGGACGGATTGGCCGTTGGACTTCTCGCGGGAGACGCGCTCGACGTGGATGACGTATTTCTGCGGGGGTTAGCGGGTGGTGCTTTCTCCAAGCATTGGCTAAGGCGGATGCTGGAGAAGGGATGCCTTGGACTTGGGGAGGATTACCAGGCGGTAGACGGATGTGATCTTGCCCTCACGGCCCTTGTTCGAACCCCGTGTGATGAGGACCTGGTTTGGGCGTCAGCTCCCTGTATGTGGTAGTTCGGGCTCAGGGCGTACCGACCTCGTCGTCTTTGCGCAGCGGGATGCTCCGGATGTTGTGCTGGCCGCGGAGTTCTTGGCTCAGTGGCGCGGACATTATGCTGCGCGGCGGCTGTCAGGTCCTGTTTTCAGTGTGGGTTGGCGTTTCGGACGTACACTCGTCGCACGCTGCTGGGAGCCTGGAAGTAGGCCTTGCGGGACTTCCTCCGCGAGGAGTGGAGCGCTGGACACCAATCTTGTCAGCGAGTCTTCTCCTCCCAGCCGTATTTTCCACACAGCTCTCCCCCCGGTGATTGTGATGGCTCGGCTCGTTGCGCAGAGCTTCATGGTGGACGTTGGGGGGATGGACAGTGGACGGAATGGCAGAGCCGGGTCTCGACGTACAGGTGTTGATCTTGGTCATTGTGAAGGGGTTGTTGGTGGGTGGGGGTGGTTTGTCGTGGTTTGTCGTGGGTTGTCGTGGTTCGAGTTGCGCTCTCACTGCCGCTCTCTCACTCTCTCGCTTCCAAAATTCCGTGTGGCCGATCCAGGGAGCGCACTGAGGCTTGTCGCTACCCACCGGAGGAACTCAGCCTCCGACGACCGCCGCCAAGCTTCCAGCACTAGCACCAACTCCAACTGCGTGTCCAAGGCGTGTCCAAGGCGTGTCGCGTCAAGTAGCTTGAGGTCTTGAGGTCTTGAGGTCTTGAGGCCTTGAGGTCTTGAGTAGGTCCTCGACACCTGTCAATATAACCGTTCAAGCGAAAACTTTACAAACCCCCGTCGTCTTCGGAAAGTCAGCCGTCCCAAGCAGCAACAACCCGAAACGTGCTCTCATCCGATCGAGCTGGCGTAACAGGATCCATGTGCCGGGCCGTGATGCTTTAGAGACGCGCATCTACCGCGTCCCAGTCGTAGTCGCATATCCAGCCTCACATCGTGGTCGACTACCAGCAGCACGAGCACGAGCACGAGCACGAGCACGAGCACGAGCACGAGCGGCGCTTGAAGTTTGCGCCGGGACGACCATTCAGCGTCACTACTCCCAAACCATGGCACCTAACAACTACTATCAATCATATCCCGCAAACACTCAAAACTCGTCCAACCCTCAGCAGACATACCCTGGATACCATGCGCAGACTTCAATGTCGAACCAGCCCTCTGGACAGTATCACACTACAGGCCCTCCGTCACCACCTTCAGCACCGCCGACTCACGACACCTACCAAGGTTATCAGCAGCAGTACGCGCACCAGGGAACAGGCTACGGGAGTAATCAGGGCTTCTCGTGGAACGCTACGTATGGTGCGAACTCTGGAAACTCGACAGCAGGCAGCGCCGCCGAAGCGCTCAGCAGCATGAGCATGGCGGACCATTCGAGGGCAGCGAATGCCGGCTACGCTTCGGGCTATAACACGTCCTCCGGTATGTCTGACCGTAACATCGCCGCATTGTCACAGTACACTCAAGGCTCGTCAGCTGCGCCGCAAGACCATCAGACACATACCATCCAGGACACGTCGCGATCAAGCGGCACATCGCACACCGCTCATGCACACCGAACGTCGCGTCCCGAGAGCGTGAGCTCCATTTCTTCAGGCTACGCGGCACCCACCCAGCGGCCAGCGCCGCTTCGATTGCCGACACCCGGTGCGCCTTCGGCCGCAACCTCACAGCATCCGGCGCGGCGCGTGCAAGCAATGTCTACTGAACACCGCTCGCCTAGTCCAGCGCAGGTTCGCGCATCGCACAACGCCCAAAGCGGTGCAGCCCAACGCCCTGCAGGTAGTTCACTTGCCGCCCAGTATGCCGACCTAGGAAGTCGCAGATTGCCAAGTGTTTCAGAAACTGCATATGGCAACTCGTCGACGGCCACCCACCGTCAAAGCTACGATCGACAGACGCAGAACTACGAGCCAAGTTCGGTGACGGTTGATCCGGCGCATGTCTATGACCCCTGGCAGGAGAAGATGCGGCAAGCAGAACTGGCGAGGAAGGCGAAGGAGGCCGAAGAGGCAGCAGCGGCGGTACGTGCGGCTGAAGACGCGGAGCGGCAGAAGAAAGCAGAGGAGACGAGGAAGGCCGCTGAGGACGCCCGCAAGGCCGAGGAGCACCGTCGTACGGAAGCTGCTCGTAAGGCTGAGGAGGAACGCAGAGCTTCAGACACGACACAAGCACAACCAGGCCAAAAAGCGAAAGCAAAAAAGGACAGCGCTAAGGGGAAGCGCGCTACGGATCCAAGAGTTCCCAGCAGGAAAGAGGCAGGACCTGCTGCCACAACTGCCACTCCTGCTCCTGCAGCACCGGCTGCTGCCCCCACCGCGGAGGACTTGGAAGCTCAAATGAGAATGATCATGGCGAACCTCCGAGAAATGAACGCCAAGAACCCGTCACTAGTTGCTAAGATCTGGGAAGAAGAACGGGCATCCCTCGTGCAGGAATCTACCAGGTCTCCTGCCACGCAAGCAGCGCAGCCACCTAGTGCCTCAGCGCCGCAAGTCGCTCCTCGAGCGAATATGGCTGCTGTTCGACCCGGTTCAGTTCAGAACGGCATGGTGAACGGGCACGCGAGTGGGGGTAGATCAATCACAGGGCCAGGTTATCCGCCTCAACAGCCACGACAAGAGCAGTACGCCCCACCACAACCCGTGCCGGCTAAGCCCAGTTCGGGCGGGACCGTGTGGCCACAAGAAAAGAAGGGGGAGTTGGCAGCGGCGGCAGCGAAATGGCTGAACGACATCCCTGCCAACGCCAACAACAAAGTATCGCCAGCGGATATCTTCCGGATGCTAGACAGCAATCCAACGTACATTGATCTTTGCGAAAGATTGGAGGGCCTCGGCGTTCTGCTAGAGAGGAGAACATTTGCTCAGGCTCTTCTTAAGGCGTGCCCGGATGTCAACAATAAGTCGCAGATTCAGAAGCCACCTATGCCTCCTGGAGTACGTCAGCTGCCCCCTCCCGGCACGGCTGGCGGAAGGCCAGCGCCATTGACTAAAGTGAGTGGATTCTAATTCCTTGCTCTTCGAAGTCACTCTGGACATCTCTATCAGGACTGAAGTAATGCCCAAAGGTGTTCTCTCTTTAGCAGCACTGTAGGCATCTGTTGGGACGTGTGGGACGAGACTGCGTAACCTTGAATCTTCATCTTGTTGCACTTATGCGCCTGGAACGTATGTAGCACTATTCGTGTAACCTGACGCTGACCAGCTCTAGCAAACCGCGCAGCCGCTTCATGGCTTACCCACCCCTCATCCTACGGATGACGACATGGGGCCTGCGCCAGTGGATGATCCAATCTACGACGCACCACCTGCGCCCGACCCAGACGCCGTTCAAAGTCCATACTTTCAGCAGCCTCCTGCATCAGCCACACCCGGAGCCGTCGCTCCTATTGCAACAATGATCTCCTCGACGAAGAGAGCTCAGGCAATGAGAACGCCCCCTATCAAAGCCGCAACCAAAGCGGATGCCGCGCGGAAAAGGTACTTTAGCGAGATCATTGACTTGACCACGTTTTCCGATGAAGAACTGCCTCCGCCTCCGCCGAAAGTACCAAGGACCGACCCACACGGGATGCTGGCTTTCCAGCCACCGCCCACAGCTCAGCAAACCACTTTTATCAACCCAAATCTCCGCCAACTCAACGTCCCACCGAATGGCGTGCCACTCCAGCCCCACGCCGCACCCCAACTAGTGCACCCGCCAGCTCCGGTGTACGACGAGTTTTACAAATACACCGATCTAGTCAAGCCAATCGACCGTAAGAAAGCCCTTCGCAGATCCACATACAACCTTAACACCATCGCCCGCGACGTCCTCCTAGCTACAGGCAAACACCCCGAGATGCGGGCTCTGAACGCGCATCTGGAGCCCCTCAAATTAGCCTTCAGACAGGTGGAGGACCGCTCCGACCTCGACACCTTCAGATGGGACATCGTCGACCCGGGCGATCCACCGCCAGGCTACTACAGCAGCGGCGGCGCCGAGGCCGAAGAAGACGCCGACGACGAGGAAGACGAACCGCAGCCCCGCGCTCGACCACGTGTCATGCTTCAAGCAGGCGTCGGCGTCGGCGGCGGCGCAGCCACCTCCCGTGTTGCAGACTACAACCACGACCCAGCGGTCGCGAAGGCATTTTTCAAGAAATCCCGCGGTCGCCCCCCTCGCCACAGAGACCCAGGCTTCGTCTCGCGCCCGCCCGGTCCCAATACCACAGACCCGGCGCACCGCCAGCGCTCTTACAGCCAAGGTGGCAACAACAGCAGCTCGGGACTGGGCCACCCGTCTCTCTCGAACATCGGCCGCGACCCACACGTCACGCCCGCGGGCAGGCTCCCCAGCGCGAGCGCAGGAGCACCACCCAGCCAAGGCACCGGCGTGGGATACTCTGCGCTACGGGTGCAGGAGTACGGGCCGGACGGGAGTCCACTGCCTAAGAAGCGCGGCCGGCCTGTGGGGTGGCGAAAGTCGATCCACGGCTCTGCGGCTGCGCAATCGGGGACTATACGGCCGGGACAGGGGAGTGGGCTGAGGAATGTGGCACGGCCGGGCGCTGGTGGAGCGAGTGGGGCAGTCGTCGAGATTCGGAGTTCCAACTCTCCGGCGATGAGGCAGGAGGTTGAGTATCGCGTGTACAAATGTAGGTGGCAGGGGTGTAAAGCGGAGTTGCACAACCTCGACACGCTGCGGAAGCACGTCTTCAAGCTTCATGGTAGGCCTGCGGCGGGCGGGCGGTGGAAGTGTCAATGGGAGGGGTGTGGGGAGACTGGCACAGTCATGGATGAGGCGACGGGCGAGGAGAGCGACGAACATCGATATCTAGAGTTCACCGACGGCGAGAAGTGGCGCGGTCATATTGAGGCGGCGCATTTGGGGGAGCTGGCGTGGGAGCTGGGTGATGGGCCTGCGGGCGGGCTGAGCGGTTCGTTATCCCTACTCTCTTCTTCCCTACTCTATCCATCCATTCGTCCATCTATCCGTCTCCACTCGCACACAAACACCCAACTGACGCCCCACCAGAGTCTCACGACTCCGACGCCTACCTCTCCGACCGCTCCGGCCGCCGCGCAACGCCGCAGATCGCGGCCCCCAGCGGCGCCTCTTCCTCTGCCCCGGCCTCTGCTGCACACCGTGCCGGCCCAGGCCGTCCAGCCAAGAAATCAGATGAGCAGAAAGCGCTCGAGGCGCAGCGCCGGCTCGAGCAGGTTAAGCGGGACATCGGGCCCGGCGTTGATCGCGGGGGTGCGAGGCTCGCGAATGAGAAACGCAGGGCGGGGTTCGTGGATGATGAGGTGGGTGAAGAGATAGTTGATGAGGATTAAAGGAGGGTTGGTTTGAGGGGGAAAGTATGGGTGGGACGGGGTCGTTGTGGAGGTTGGGGCATGGAGTGTCCTCGGTGGTGGTGCTGGTGCGGTTGATGTTGCATGAGGGGTGGATGGGTCGCCGCTATCATGCTGTACACCGTTTTGCATACTTTCGGTGTGCCGCCTCGCGCTGGAGACAGTATCATACCCTTTCTCGTACCACATTCGTTGTGTAGGAGATCTATCCAGCGAAGTGTAATAAAAAAAAAAAGCACACATCCTCCCCTAACGCAAGCGTCCGTGTGTGAAAACTCGTGAAAGAAGCTTGGTTCGGCTAGAAAACGAGCGCTCTTCGTGAGTGGTGTAGTCACGCTCTATTTTAAAGAGATCAAAGACTCATGCTAATAGTGATAAGGCCTCCACGCAAGCCATCTCCTATACAGAACATTCCGCCTCCCGCAGAGTTACAAGATCGTTTGTATGCAGTGATTAGGCCGGTGATGCGCTTTTAGAGAATCATGAGATCCCTATTTCGAAGACAAATCCTCATATCCGATCCTCACTTACTTTCCAGCAGCTTTGGCAGAAGTTCCTCAAAACTGTACGTTGAATATCTTTCCGGTCTCCATCTTCGATTAATGAGGCGTCCCATGCCTTGCTTCATGTTTCATGACCTACCTCTATCCTTCTACCATTTCTCGACAAATGGCCGGATATCAATCTCGTTCGTGAAGCAGCTCCGATGCTGCGTATGCAGGAACCAGTACGCATCCGCAATCTGCCCATCCCCCACAGACGTCAGCAACCTCCTCAGCAACCCCTCATTCCCATCTCATACTCACCGCATCAGCACTGATCTTCGCATCCGGCCCCGCTCCCTGCAACCACTCCTTCGTCCTCGGAATGTCAATCACCCCATCAATAATCGCATGCGCAACATGCACCCCCTTCGGACCAAACTCTCTCCCCAGACTCTGCGCCAGCGCCCTCAGCGCGAATTTGCCCGCCGCGAAACTGCTCATCTGGGCGCCGCCCTTGAGCGAGGCGGTCGCGCCCGTGAAGATGAGCGTCGGGGGGTACTGGGGAGACTGGTCGACGGAGCGCAGGAGGAGCGGCAGGGTCGACTGGCTGAAGAGGAAGGCGCCGTGGCCCGAGACGGCATACCCGGTCGCGAAGTCGGAGGGGGAGAGCTCGAGGAAGGGCTTGCGGACGAATTTGCCCGAGGCGTTGAAGACGGCGGCCTGGGCGTCGCACAATCCCCATTAACGCCATTGTCCTTCCCCACTTGTATATAACTCACGAAACACGCCCGGTGAGGGAGAGAGAGAGACGTACAGCACATGCCACCTCGCCTCCAAACTCCTCCGCAATCTGCCCAAACGCCTTCTTCACGCTCGCCTCGTCTGATATGTCGGCGCTGATCCCCACGGCCTTGCCGCCGCTCTTGTTGATCTCCTCGACCAGGGAGTCGTAGTTCGAGGGATTCCGCGCCATCAGCACGACGGGATAGGTTTTGGCGAATTTACGCGCGACGGCTGCCCCGGTGCCGGGGCCGACACCCGCGATTATGGTGATGAGCTTGGAGGCCATGGTGGGGGAGTGCTAGGTATGTGGGGTAGCGGGTGGGTGGTAGGCGAGTAGGTCAATTGGGCGGTCTTTATGGTGGACGTGTGGAGAGAGATATACGATGATTGAGGCCAGCCGGAGGAGGGCGGAAGTGATTACGAATGTTTATATGCATCCTGTCGGCGTAGAGTACAGATGGTTTGTCAGACGCGGTTGGAGCTGTCGGTGAGGGGAGTAGAGTTGCGTCATCACATGCTTAATCGATAGGGCTTCCAAGCTTTGTGGACAAAATTCGGTGACCGAGTGTCTCTATACACATGTAATTACTCTATTCAGGGACTATATACAACTGCTTTGCCGAAGCCAAAGCCTCTCCTATTTCGAGCGTCTGCCAGCGGACAGCTCCTTATTTTTTCCCATCCAGATCCGCATAGAAGTTCCACCCAAAGCGCTCCGACGGATCATTAAACCGCATCTTCTTATCAATCCCCGCAATCTTCTTCATATCCTCCTCATCCAGCTTGAAGTCGCCTCCCAGGTTCTGCTTAATCCGCGACTCCGTCTTGCTCTTTGGGATGACCGAGTGGCCGCTCGTGATGCCCCACGCGAGCGCGACCTGCGCGCCCGTCTTGCCGTGCTTTTTGCCGATCTCGACGAGCACCGGGTCATCCATCAGCTTGCCCATGTCTTGGCCGCCGCTGTAGATCTGGTTCTGGTTGCCGAAGGGGCTGTACTGGGTCACGTGGATGTCTTTGCTCTTGTGCCATTGCGTGAAGTCGGTCTGTTGGAGCCAGGGGTGTAGCTCGATTTGGTGGGCGGCGGGCACCTGTGGTGTGGTGAGCAACCCGCAATGGGTGGGTTGGGCAGAGAGGTCACTTACAACACTGGTCTCCTTCAGCAACCGTTCCATCTCGGCTTTGCTGAAGTTTGAGACGCCAATGGCTTTCGCCTTGCCGGACTTGAAGCACTTCTCCATCGCCTTGTATGTGTCTACGTAGTCGGTATCGCCGCTCTTGATCTTGCCATCGTCACCTTTCGGCATCATTTGGTCGCTCCGCGCGAACGGTGAGGGCCAATGCATAAGGTAAAGGTCGACGTAATCAACTCCGAGGTCCTTGAGAGAAGCGTCCAGTGCTTTCTCTACGTCGTCCGGGTGGTGGCTGTTGTTCCATAGCTTTGTCGTGATGAAGATCTCATCGCGTGGGACGCCACTGTTCTTGATGGCCTTGCCTACCGCTGGCTCGGTGCCGTAACTGGAGATGATTTAGCCGGAGCATGACCAATGACACATTGATCACAGGTACATTCGCGCGGTATCTATATGCCTGTAGCCTTCCTTGAGAGCAATGGTAACGGCGGGTTCTTGAGCATCGGCATCTTGCCAGGTCTGACGTACATTAACGCTTGAGACGAGTTTCATAAAAGCTAATCCACACTCACTCCGAAGCCGATTGCAGGAATGTGCGCGCCGGTGTTGAGCTTGAGCAAACTCGATTGGTGAGCCATTCTGCGTTGCTGTCCTTGTATGAATATGGGTGTTCGAGAAGAAAACTGCTGTGAGAGTTGAGAAAGTCGGGAGGTCGCAGACAGAAGAGGTTTCGAGGCACGAGAAAGCATTGTGATGTATTTCTAGTTAACGAGCTTCTCTAACAAGACTGGCACTGTCTATTAGTTGCACGACGGTTGTGGTAAATATTGCTTCCATGACGTCGGTTTTCCTCCGACTGCGGCGCGTTTTGGCCAGCCTCGGTTGAGTGAGAGCCGCACATCTTCGACTTCAATAACAAACATCGCCAGTTTATTTAGTTATCAATTCAAGCCTATAGTAATTCCCAGATACATGTAAAGGCCTTGTCCGTCTCTCGTAAGCTGAAAGGTCTGTGTTAAGAATTCTTACTATTGTACGCTCGGCTAGTGTGGTGAGATCGTGCTCCGTGGCTTTGGAATCTAGGAATGCTACTATGGTAACGCCAAGAAAACCGCCGAGGCGCACAGGATCTCGCCTGAAGACGGCCTCGAGTGGTTTCACACGGGCGACGAAGGCTTCATCGATCTGGATGGCTTCGTCGTCATCGCGGGCCGCATCAAGGACATGATCATCCGTGGCGGAGAGAACATCGCGCCGCTGGAGATCGAAGATAGAATTACCGCTCATCCCGCGGTGGCCCAATGTGCTGTTATCGGTGTCCCTGATGAGAAGTACGGCGAGCATATCGCTGCGTTCGTCGAGCCGTCAGCGCATGCGCCCATCCCATCGGATGCAGAGCTTCGCGCGTGGGTGGCGCAGACGCTCGCGAGGTTTAAAGCGCCGAAGTATGTGTTTTGGCTGGGGTCTTGTAAGGAGTTCCGGGCGTGGCCGACGACGGGGAGTGGGAAGCTGCGTAAGCCGGATCTAAGGATTATAGTGGAGTAGGTTATGTCTCGAAGCCCGGGCCACGGACAGATGATGGCGAGACTGTGATACTTAAGCTGACGTGACGCAGAGAGGCTTTGCTTAGAGATGCCCAGTAGACCCAATGGTCATTGCAGTCTGTGCGATGAACTGGTGCCGGTTGAACACGATTGGAACTTTCATAGTCTACTGAACACGGCTTGGCTAATTAAACGACGATACAGTGAGAACTTCATAAATGCTGCGCTAGCTGCTTTTGTACATCCGAATCTAAACGCCCCACATATATGCCTGACAGTTTCTGCCTTCGTTTTTACAAAGCGAGCATGCCAATGAACCCAAGAGCGCCAGCCAAGCCAGCTCCAATAACAGCCGAGGGGACCGCCGCGCCGGCAGACGAGGAGGCAGTGGCAGCCTCTGAGGCACTCGATGCAGAGCGGCCAGCGCTGGTGGTGCGCGTAGTGTCGCGCAGACTGGATTGCTGGGAAGTAACAGCGTCAGCGGCCGAGGAATTGGCGCCCAGGATGCTATTGATCCTCGAAGAGACGGTGGCATTAACGTTGGTGCCGTTGGCGGAGTTGATGATGGCGCCGCTGGGCCCAGTTGCGAGGATGGGCGCGGATGTTATGGAGGCCAGATCGGACGACACGGAGGCGGGTACGGAGACGGGGGATTCCGTGGCCGTGGCGGCGGGCCCAAGGAGGTAGCTCTGCACGTCTGTCGGTAGCGACGCGAACCAGCCGGATGTCAGGCCGCCGTTCATGAGCTGTGACTCGACTACCGCGGAAGCGGACGGCGCGTTGGTCAAGTAGAGCGAGATGATGTCCGGCGGCATGCCGGTGAGGAGGACTGGGACGATGGAGGCACTGGGGGAATGTCAGCTTTGATCAGGAAGAGTTGTTGGTGCTGGAGACGTACGGGATGCCCTCCTGTCGCTTCTCCACGTTGTGTTGCGGAGCAGCAACCGCCGCGGCGGCCAAGACCAGAAGAGTAAGAGCTGTGTACTGCATGATGCTTGAATCCGGCGAAGAAGGCAGCTGAATGAGTGTGTAGAAATATTAAAGGGCTTGAATTGAGAGAAGACGACGAAGAGTAATGCGGGAACGGAGCAGTTGAAGTGAGATACGGAGAGAAAAGTTTTCCCCTGAGAGGACGCGCAGACTTATCTAAATACGGAGCTGTTCGCCTGAGCTTCATCAGCCCATGTGTTTTTATGGACCCTGGCGTATGCCACACAGCGCACTATCGCCAAACCCTGTAGCTCAGAGCCGATTCGTCAACTGCGTGGCCGCGACTGGATTCGCACAGCGCTTCTGGAACGCCGAAGGCTTAGCGGCCGCATGTGAAGCTTCGACTAGAAAACGCTTCGTTGGATTCAAATGGAAGCTTCTTCAAAGTGGAAATGCGTCGCTCTTCGAATTGAACCGTAGCACAACTTGCGCAGTGGAACTCGGCCGCCCCTCAATGTTCAGGTGCATCTGCAGGAACCTCTTCTATCGTTACACCGCAAGCTGTCCCTGCATGTGCTGTCACCTCAGCCGCATCTGCGGGAGACTCCGCTGGCTGTTTCCGGCACACGACAACATCGCGGTGGCCACCGGGATGTCAGTACGGTTGAAAACAAAGGATAGTATTTTGGCTCCTCGTATCTGCGTAAGTCGCCCAATTTATACGACGATGGTAGGGGGCTCCTCTTCACGGAAGTCAGTTGCTCTGATGGTCTCGGCCGGGAAGATGGTGCTGGATGTTTACCATTGTGTTCAACAGGTATGATCAAGCCCCCTCACGACAAGTTCGGGGTGCGAGGGTTTTTTGAGACAGTTGATAGCAGGCACTCTCGCAGCGCTGCCCATTTCGATCTTCAAAGGATCTGATAGTTGCATTCGTATGCAAAGTCAACGGCTTTGAAGAGCTCCCAGGGCTGAAGATGCGTCTCTTTTTTATTGATGGGCTCTGGCCGGCAGCGTGACAGCAGACTACAACCATCCTCAATTGGATAACGCGAGGTGAAACACGGGTTAGCTTAAGGAGTAGTGAGCTTTTTGTGGCTGCGACCGTCGTATAACTGGCCTTGCCCTAACTAACTAGCGCCATCAACATGGCTTCGGGGCAGCTGAGTCGCATCGGAAGGGGGTTGTCGCGGGGCTTTTATGAGCTGTCCCCGGACCGTTTGAGGCTTGAAGCTCTCGGTCGCAATGCATCAGTCGTACCGCCAACTTGTTGCTGAGACATCCCTCAGTATGAGATCGTTGTTGTTATGCGCGTTGCTTGCCAGCATTGGGGCAGCAGCTTCCGATGACCAGCAAGACCTCCGCAAGCGACAATTGAATGAGTGGGCCAGCTAAATCCGTCATGTCTGGAGTATAACTTGCTGACCAACTCCAGGGCGTCAGTCCTATCGGTGCTGCTAACTGCGCTTCCTCCTTCTCTTCTTGTTCTTGCGGCGACAAATGAAGCCGCCGCTTCATCAGCAATACTCCAAGAATTCCTCACTGGTACGCCGTCATGGTACCAAAACCTTCCAACCGAGGTACAGAACTACTTGCTTTCCTCCACGGCTACAAATGCGTACACCACAGGGTAAGTCGACAGCGTACCTGGCCGAGAGCGGGTGAACTGGGATGTATTGGAGCTAATGGTATACTTCAGACCGACACGAACCACCTTTGCTAGCTCTGTGTCTACACGATCAGTCGCGCTAGGCTTGCCCTCAAGCATTACCGCCCTTCCTGGATACTCATCAATAGCTTCTGCAGCAGCCACGCCAGCAGGCAGCAACGACGCGATCACCCAAGATGAGGGAGGCCTATCCAGCGGCACTAAGATCGGTATCGGTGTCGGCGCCGGTGTCGGCGTGATTGCTCTCATAGCAGCCATCGCCATCTTCTTCACAGGGAAAAAGCGCCGCGCAAGACACAGGAATGAGGCCGCGACAGCCGCAGCGAGCACTCCCGCTTATCAACATCTGATGCCTGAGAAACAAGGTGCCGGCTACTACGGCCACCCACAAGGACAAACCTACAATCCTGTTCCTGCTGGCACGACGGAGATGCCGACGTACGCGAATGTCTCAGAGATGGCAGCACCGGCGCCTAAAGGCTACAATCAGGGTTACCCGCAGTTTGCTGCAGAACTGCCGGCAACACAAGGAGGTGGCCGATGAACTCGGTACAGGACCTACGTTCCGGCGTGGAGAGTACAGAGGAGTGACGCGGAGTGTACATTCCTGAAAGCCGCAACTTACTGAGGGATTTCACACTCGTTCTTTCCCTTCTGTTTTGGGCGTTGTCCACCAGCGGTATTAATTTCGAGATCTAATGCGTAAGACTGTTATGGTCACGATGGCCGCAGACCTTGATACCCGAGGTTTTTGGATTTTAGAGGCATTGCTGTATGTTTTGTAGAAACGCTCGTTGAGCTTTCTTCATAGAGTCGGTGTTGAAGGATCCAAAGGAGTGTCATCTGATGCATGGGGGCACAATCTGCCGTTCAACACTTGTCGCTCCGGTGTGGCACATTCGAAAGCCGGACAGTATAGGTACTGAATCAAATGTTACTAGAATTGTCCGGGTTACAAGGTCCATACAGTGTCAAAAGAATGTCCATAAAGATAAAGACTATCATAGACCTCACAAGAAGGTCTAGAAAGCTGAGGCTGCATTTCGCAATAGCACAATCCAGCTTCATTGATAGAGCTTGCAAAAGAAGCTCCAAGAAGAGGATTCTGGCGAACTCGGTAGCCATATATGAGGTAGTATCAGTAGGGACCGGTGTGCTAATCTACTTTGCTTAACAACCTTAAGCACGTGCTTGGTCTTTCAAGCCACAGCAGGCACCGATCGATAAGATAAGATCTCCGTTGCCACTTCCGCTATTATTTTCGGACCCATCCACTCCACTAAGATCTGTGCTGGCTCAAGCGCGTTCCTTCTATGACGGTGGCCGACATGGCAACGGCGGCGGTAATCTCGAACAAGGAGACGCCAGCGGTCATAAGTCTGGACTCGGAGTTTGGGAACGAGCAGCCTCATTCAAACGGTGTTAAGCGCGAAGAGGCGTCTCAGGCTCTAGAAATGGGTGTGCAATCCAATGACGACTGGGAGAGCGCGTCCATGTACGAAGAGCTCTACGAAGAGATAGACCCGGATGATTATGAGCCCGGTGAGCACTCATGTAAAGAGCTTCTGTTTTTCTTCACTAAGGCACTACAGGAGCGGATGTTTGTACACCAGCGGAAGCCAAAGCCTACAAGGACAGGCTTCACGAAGTTGGTGCCAACATGTTCGTCTATGAGACTATCACCTCTAGGAAAGTCACGGCAAAGAAGCTCTGCACAGCTTTCGGCGTCAAGCTTCCCGTCTTCTATGATAAGCTTGCGGACAGCCACTACTATCCGCTTCTGGGTGTCGCCATCAAGCATGAGATCTGCAAGCGCCGAAGGCTGCCGCAGTACAAGAACATAGATGACGCGGCGAGGCTATTACGGAAGTCAAAGAATATCATGATTATCGCTGGTGCAGGGGTAAGTCTTTCCGCTTTTGAGATTCTAGTCGCAGAGCTGGCTTTGCTACAACCTTGCTGTCCGCAAACGCATGCAGTCAGACATTGCACCATCAGCACTATGCCCCGAAAGCCATCTCCGATGAACTGATGGAAAGCAGATATCAACAAGTCTCGGCATACCAGACTTCCGATCAAAGAATTCTGGATTCTACTCCAAACTGCAAGACCATGGCTTCGATGATCCGGAACAGGTTTTCGATATTGAGAATTTTGACGAGGATCCCACGTAAGACCTGGGACAGTGTCGAAGAGTAATCACACGGACTGAACGCCTTGCAGGATATTCTACAGCCTTGCTGGTGACATCATACCCGACCTACGCACATGGTCACCCACACACGAGTTCATCCGTTTGGTACAGGAGAAAGGAAAGCTCCTCACAAACTACACCCAGAACATCGACAACCTGGAGAGCCACGCTGGCATCAAGGCTGAAAAGCTCGTCCAGTGTCACGGCTCGTGGGCCACCGCTACCTGTCGCAAATGCAAGTACCGCGTTCCTGGCGAAGACATCTTTGACGACGTAAGAGCACAAAGGGTTGCAGTCTGCAAGCGTTGCGTTGAGGAACTCAAAGCGCCCCGTCCTGGCATGAAGCGGAAACGGAATCCGAACGGCAACGGCAAGCCCAAGAAGCGGCTGAGCTCAGACGATGACGATTCGGACGGGGAATATGACATTCCGCAACCAGGCGTCATGAAGGCAAGAACACCACTTCAGATCCAAGCAGTGAAGCGGTGCCGCTGCTAACAACTTTCCAGCCCGACATCACGTTCTTCGGTGAAGGACTTCCGGAGAAGTTCTTCGAACGGATACGCAAGCACGACCGGGAGCTCGTCGATCTGGTCATCGTCATCGGCACCACCTTGAAGGTTGCGCCTGTTTCTGAGATTCCACAGTTCATCTCCCCTGAGGTCCCGCAGATCTTCATTTCTCGCGATGTAAGTATGGGTATCCTTGATTCTTGATCCCCAGTTAATCTGTCAATAGCCCATCCACCACATCAACTTTGACATCAACCTCCTCGGCGACTGCGATACGATCGTCGCCGAGCTTTGCCGGAGAGCTGGTTGGAACCTCCAGCATAAGATGCTTGACCCCGATCAGAAGATTGAGGTGAAACCCTACGAGCAGGACAGCGACACGCATTTCACGGTTAAGGCTCGGCGTTCCTGAGACTGGAGCATAGTGGCCATCAATCCGCATTTCGGGGCGTTCGGTGGTGACGGTTTGCAGTTGCTAGGAGATGCACGGTACGCTTGAGCGCGGAGTATGCGGTTAATATGGCGATTTGCTAGCTTGGTGTGTTGTTCATCGTGTGCATTGGCGCTGCCGTTTTGAGACGCTTCCATGCACGCTGGTGAAGGGATCACCACAAAGGTTGTTGCCTCTTGTCTGTATAGTAGATAGATCACTCAATATACGTTAATGACAGCATCGGTATTAGGGAAACTCATTCCAAGCCGAATCTCCAATATCCATACCTGCTAACCCATCCGGGGAATTGGGGTTGGTTTCACTGCTCTGGAGATGCGCCCATGGCCGTTTAAATTAACCGCGGCCACACCGGATCATAAAATTCCGTGCACTGGTGTGGCCGCGGTTAATTCAACCCGACGTCGGACCTTGTGGCGCCTTGATCGCACCCCGGCTCAGCCCTACGAAACATCGCATCTCAACCACCATCACTATCACAACATTATGTTCACTTTCTCCAAAGATGAGCAGGCAAGCTCGAAATGCTATGTCGCATACAGTACCAGCTCTACACCGAAGAACGACCAATTGCCAGCTGCGAAGAAGAGGCCGTTTACAACTATTGCCTCGCATCCGTTTTCTCACACAGTACGCAGTATGACGCACTCGTATCGGTCTTGCAGCTAATTGGGCGCGTATAGGTTGAACTGATACTACCTGAGGAGCTATACGAGAGTACCCGGCATGTGCTCGACGGATGTATGCTCCGTTATTCCCGTGTGATTATGTCTCTGAGTGAGATTATCACGGGTGACTTCTTCAATCACTACATCAAAACAGGTCAACATCACCGTTGTAGTTCTTACGTCAAGGAGATCCTCACAATACTATAGGAAACATTTTGATGCTGTCCGAAGGAAGACCAACAGTTGACAATATCTTTTCCCTGCGAGATGGTGTGTCCCTTTTCTTTATGTTCGCGCATCGCCATTAAACTATTTCCTGACTGTTTCATTGCAGGTGTTCTTAGGCTAGAGCTTGATAAGCCAACATACGAGCGTTGCGGCCTGGCTGGCAAACCTATTCCGGACGGCGGCAGAAAGCACACGAAATCGCGCTATGGCGGGTTCACCTTTCACCCATCATCTCTCGGACGTTCGTCTCTAACGCGATAAACAGTTGTTGAGCTCAACCTTCGTCTCCCATCCATGCTGCACGGCAAGAAGGGGTTCGAGCGTATCGTCTGGGCTTTCAAGAATGTTCTCACCCAATCAGTGACCTGGCTTTTCTACGACTTGCAGGACAGAAATGCCGTGGGAGGACCCATCTCCAAGCATCACCCGATTCCTAAAACCGTCACACCAACCATCACACGCATGCCCAAGGTGCTTGTGCCCTCGTTCAAATCTGTGCATGACCTTCTTTCGCCGCAGAACGCCACGGATCTACTGGAGTGGATCGGTCTGCTTTCTTTGCGCTCCGCACGAGTCAATGCCAACGATAACATCGACTCATACTTGAGCCGTTACGAGGTGCCCTCCTTCGCTGCGACTGGGTCCGATGGGCCCCTCGCTTCCAGGAATCTAGTTCGATTACGCTGGCATGGATTCACAGATCCTGGATTTATGAGGGCCATGTGCATTGTTCCAGTGGGAACATCAGAACATCACTGGCTCGCAGTGAATGTATCTTGCTTCGACGGGGCGGCCTATACGGTCTTGCGAGTTGGGAAAGAAGACTGCGTGACCTGGGAGTGCGTTTAGGAGTTTGACCTGTGACTATCTGAGCAGGCGAACCTTAAAAGAGCTATGTCGCGGTGCAGTGCTTATTAAAAGTTTCAGTGGTGCTTAAAGCAATTCTGTAAGTTGGCGATCTGATTGTATTGCCGTTCTGAGTACCTAAGATAAGCTCTTGTCTCTTCGCCTCAACTTCACATGAATACCCTCCTGCATAACAAACCACCAGCGCTTCACTGTCCACTCCTTTTCTGGCTCTGCTAACACCACTCGTAGTGCATGCACAAAGTTGGAATCAACTTGCTCATCTTGATCCAGCTGATATTCCGTCCCAAGCACATCCGTGCACCGCTCCCAAGAGCAAAGAAGAATCGCTTTATGTCGCCGGCGTCTTCCTTTAGCCACCTGTCTGGTCGGAAGGATTCAACGTCCTCGCCAAATACTTCCATATTGCGGTGTGCCACCCACGGGTTCACTCCTACGACTGTACCAGCTGGGATGTGGCGTCCACCTATCTCGCAACCGCCGGCGGGCACCACGCGCGGAAGAGACATACCCACTGCGGGATTCAGGCGGAGTGCTTTGTATATGATAGCCTGCAGATATGGCATATTGTCCGCTTCCTCCAGCTTTCACAGGATCGCCGAGTTTGCCTTGGCGGCGGAGATCATCGATCTCATCCACGAGTCTTCGCTTGTATTGCGGGTTCTTCAGGAGATAGTAGATGATCGCTCTTGTCGAGATAGCAGTCGTGTCCGAACCGGCAAAGTTGTTCGACGTCGCCATTGATACGACCGCGTTGTCATTGAACTCACTAGGCTTCTCTTTCTGCACGACGAAGAGTTTGCTGAGGATGTCTTTCCGGTCCGTTCCACGATCCTTCCAACTCTCAGCTTCGCTCATGGCAAAGCTGCGCAAACTTCCATGTCGAGCAGTAATCCCAAGCCAGTTCCCAATGTACGGCATCAGGAAACCATGAGCCCAGTAAAGCCACGGGACTTGGCCGATCCACGCCGCGGACCTGAGCGCGCCCTCAATCTGCTTGAACGAGCCATCGTCCGCACCGACGTCCATGAGCCCGAAGCATCGGGAGAACGTGACTTCGCCAATCACATCTACACCCTCACGTGAGCACCCACTGCTTTCGCCCCATAAGCTACCAAAAAGAAACCACAGGACAGCCTACCAAACGCAAACAACTGCACCCAATTCCCCAAATCCACCACCTCCTTCCTATCCGATCCGCTCCGTCTCCCATCCTCCCCAAAACGCCTTCACACTCTCATCCACATAAGCCTCCAAATCCCTCAAACTCTCCATCGCATACGCCCGGCTCACCAGCCGCAGCTGCGCCCCATGGACCCCCTCGTCTGTCTCCGCAAACAAGTCGAACTCTCGATGCCCCTGCCACACGGAACTTGGTGCCGGGCCCGTAGATTCTCTTGATAGCGGACAGATCGGCGACGTTGAGTTCGGAGGGGCGGTGGCTGCGGTGGAGGGAGAGGATTGTTTGGGGCATGGAGCCGGCCCAGGACTGGTAGGTCAGCCATAGGCGGGTTAGGGAGGCGGGAAGGGGGTCTGGGATGGGGGAGATGGGGGAGAAGAAAAGTTGGTAGAGCATGTAGGTGAAGAGGGGGGCGAGGGGGAGGAGGTAGATGTGGGTTGATAGGAAGGTGGGGAGGGTGGAAAGGGTGAGACTGGGGGAGGACATGGTGGTGCTGGAGCTACACGCACACAAAGGAGCACGGCCAGGGAGTCTGCACGGTGTAGGACATCTTATAAGGAGCTATGGAGATTGCTGTACGGTACATATCTACGGCGATGCTAGAGCTTGCAAGTGAGTTTGACAACAACTCTCCTCCACATCCCGATGCATCGAACTTCAGGTATCCCGTCCAGTCCACGTCGGGCTTGAAGCTGGAGAGCTTGATGTACACGAAGACATCCTAGGGGGCATCCCGAAGCAGTTGATTGTTGACGGAATCATGGCTATCCTGCGAGCTGAGAACATCGTGCTCGGAGATATCTCGCCTTCCTCCATCAGCAAGGTTTCTCACGCAGTTCTTTGCATGAGGCGGGGTGCCAATTGCCGCGGAAGGCATGTCGGCAGACAGGGGCCAGAAAGCTTGGTACGCTTTACCCCAGATTCGCCCACGCCAACCAACCGCACCACTCCCGAAAACATGACCCGACGTCAGCGTCAACCGTCAGCCCCTCCGCAACCCACTAGTTTACACATTGGCGTCGGACGCTATTCGCTACCAGTCGTAGATCGCAAGCTCGAGTCCACTGCCGTAAGTGTGCGCCGCGATGATGGATCTTCGGGTCGGGCGCTGTGAGCTTTCCTACTTTACCTGCCTCCTGTCTCTGCTGTTTCTTGTTCTGCCTTTATCTCTCTCAGTCTTCTTCGCATTACCCTCTACCCACTCAATACTGTGAAACACCTCAGCTTGTGTTCAACTACCTGTTTCCATAGCCTATACCTCAACCTTTACTTGTTGTCTTTAGCATTGAGCCCGCTCTACCACCCCGCATTACGAGCTCCCCTTTCCTTCCCTCTGTCAGCTTCAAACAATGGAAAACTACGACATAGTAATCGTCGGCGCCGGGCCCGTCGGCCTGGTGCTCTCGACCTGCCTTGGAAGATGGGGCTACAAGATCAAGCATGTCGACAATCGGCCAGGGCCCACACCAACCGGTCGCGCCGACGGCATTCAACCGCGCTCGCTCGACTTCCTGCGAAACATGGGCCTCAAGCGTGCAATTATGGCGCATGAGCCTGCGAAAGTCTACGAAGTTGCCTTCTGGGATCCCTCGAAGAACGGCATCCACAGGACTGGCACCTGGGCGAGCTGTCCGAAGTTCATCGATGCGAGATACCCCTTCACAACGCTGCTGCACCAAGGCCTGATCGAAAGGGTGTTCCTAGAGGATATGGAGAAGAACGGCGTGAAGGTGCAGAGGCCCTGGAGTATCACTGGGTTCAAGAATGATGGGAAGGATTCGACATATCCTATCGAAGTCAGCATAAAGCACGTGAACGGTGAGGAGACGGAGACGATGCGCACCAAGTACCTTTTCAGCGGAGAAGGTGCGAGGAGCTTCATCCGTGAGCAGCTGGGTGTCAAGATACACCACAAGGACCCGATCGCGCATGTTTGGGGTGTTATGGACGGTGTAGTGCGAACAGACTTTCCGGATATCAAGGTAAGAGTCTGCCTTCAGATCTATCTACAGCAAGCGCTAAACTTCGGCATAGATGAAATGCACTATCCACTCGGACGCCGGCTCCATCATGGTCATCCCACGAGAAGCAAACATGGTGCGCCTATACATCCAAATCGCATCCTCAACAGACAAAGACTGGAATCCGCGGAAAACAGCAACCGAGGCAGAGGTGCAGGCGACCGCTAAGAAGATTCTGAAACCCTACTACATCGAATGGGACCGAGTAGAGTGGTTCTCTGTGTACCCGATCGGCCAAGGCATCGCCGAACGCTACACCCTTGATGAGCGCGTCTTCATGGGCGGCGACTGCTGCCACACGCACTCGCCTAAGGCTGGCCAAGGCATGAACACCGCGTTCCTCGATGCGCAGAACCTCGCCTGGAAGATCCACCACGTCGAAGCCGGCTTCGCAGATCGCAGCATCCTCAAGACCTACGAGTCCGAGCGCAAGCTGATCGCTGAGAACCTACTGAACTTCGATGCCAAATACGCCAAGCTCTTCTCGCAGCGCCTGCCCTCAGCGGGCGAGGTCGGTAGCGCGAGCAGCACCAACCAGCCGATCGAAGAGAACGAGTTCGTCAAAGTCTTCAAAGAATCCTGCGAGTTCACCTCCGGCTACGGCGTCGCCTACAACGCAAACATCTACAACTGGTCCCCGTCCCACCCGGCCCAACACCCGCTCTTCCTCTCGCATACCAAGTACGAAACCACCCAGCGCCCCGGCCGCATCCTCACCCCAGCGACCGTGACCCGCGTCGTCGACGCGAACATTGTGCACCTTGAGCAAGAGATCCCGGTAAACGGTTCCTTCCGGCTCTACGTCTTCTGCGGCGACTTCCGCGTCACGAAGAAGGCGCTCGAGGATTTCTCTTCCCACCTCACCGCCCCGCGCTCCTTCTACTCCGCCTTCGCCCGCGCAGACAAGGACAGCGTGTCCTTCCACGAGCGCCACAACCCGCATACCCACTTCTTCACCCTCGCTCTTACCTTTGCGAGCGCCCGCCGCGCCGACGTCGCGGATGTTACGGAGCAGCTCCCGGAGACGCTCAAGAGGTATAGAGACCATGTCTACTCTGATGATGTCTGGGATCCGCGGCTGCCGTCGGATACTAAGGCCGCGGCGCATAGGAAGATGGGGTTGAGCGAGGACAGGGGCGGTGTGGTGGTTGTGAGGCCGGATGGGTATGTTGGGTGTGTGGTCAAGCTTGTGGAAGGTGCAGGCACGGTCGAAGCGCTGAACCAGTACTTTGGGACTTTTGTGTCGAAGGGGTTGGGCGGGGAGGAGGCCAGGTTGTGAGATGTTTTGCACTTCTTTTGGCAAATTTCTGGGTCGGGCGCAATGTTACGCGCAATCGTTAGTACCTTACTGAGCGTTGGCGACTATGTATACATGTTTTGTATTTACTGCCCGTTTTGAAGAGGTGTCCCTGCAAGTACTTCCATGTCGCGTGTGTGGAGACCGGAGGCACAAGCCCTCTCGGCAATTGCCGACGCTACTTAGCGGCTCTTCGTTAATTTTCTTCAACCTCAGAGCTCCAAGCTTCCAAACTGCCCAGGTGTCCACCTCTTCTTCAGCACACACTGGCTTCTTGATCGTGGCAGGACCACACACGCCGCGCTTCATGGACTTTCGATAGCGATCAGCTGCGGTTCGCGCAGCCAAATTGAGTAAGTCCTTTGGCAGTGTCTCTTTACAGGCCGCACAGAAGGATGATTACTTTACACGAACAATCCAAATCCTATAGCGTCGTGAAGGACCATCAAACTCTAGAATTAATCTGACTCTTGCGGTTCAACTGAACATCTTCCATGCTGTTCTTGTTGCACAAGCTAACCACTTGTTCAGGGCCCGGTTCTGAATTACCGTCCGACGCCTCAAGACGCGCTGCAACGCACCACACGGCCCGCTCTAGCTTGTACGCAATGCTTCGTCCTTCAGCGGGCCGTGCCACACAATAAAGGTACGCTTATTCTCTGGTTCTTATCCTCTCGTTTAGCGTGATGATCAAGTGACACGGAAAGGCATTCCTCAATCTGAACATATACTGTCGAACCCGTCAAATTAGTTTCAGCCTTGTCTGACATTGCTTCCTCAATTTTGCCTCTGTATCTCAACACTGTTTAGTATCACTAAGCTGACGAAGTTGTCGAACCAGGTACTTACCCTCCTCGACTCCAGCCCCAGCCCATGCTACCCGGCATACCACATGAGGAATGTTTTCGACAGGCGGACAGACTGTGTACTCCTCGTCTGGCGTCCGCAAACAGCGGGGCGTACAAACCTCGTGGGCGTCAGGTGGAGGAAGTACTTGTTGAGATTGTCAATGGCTGATACTGCCATATCTTCATGCGGCACACGGCATCGTTCCCACACCACCTTGCTAATTCGTTGCCGGAGTAGGTAAATACCACATGAGCGCTTTCCTTTACACCAGCAGGCCATCCTTTACATGATGATCACTATTCACACTGTTTGAGCGGGCTGCCTTGTAACGAGGGCAGTCCGGCATGAACGCACAACACTGAAAATTCTGATTTAATGAGGTATACTCCGCTCCGACCGAACTTTGTCCGCGCATTTGCTGACTGAAGGCTTAAGCCTGATTGCAGATGGTTATTCGCTTTGCTTTCACACACATCAAAAAGCGTTATTCACCTCGGTTACGAATCCACGCTAACCGGGCCTGGGTTTGAAGTAGGTAAAGGCAGTGTGCGTCTGGCTTGGGTATGCGTCTCACAACGGTATGTGCTGTCCCTATTGTCCCTTTTTCTTCCATCTGATGAACCCAATGATTCGCTGTGTTCTTCCTGAGATTTCTTTGAAGAAACAAACATCACCTTGGAGAACTGATATTTCGAACTCAACTCGTGCTCGTTCTCGGCAATTCCTGTTTTCGGGTCGCTGACGATTGGTAGCAGCACATGTGTATCGTAGTAGATAGCCGGAACACAACACTGGCGAGCATTAAACAATATTATCTCCTGAGACTCACCGCCTGACTATGCTGTGATGTGAACCCTTGTCCATTATGTGATGCGCGAAATTTCCTCATGACTGCAATGTTTCAATAGACGATATCCGATCAAGGACGATGAATCTCGCCGTTCTTGACCGGATCGGGAGCGGAGGCGTGATGCTTGGGCCGCAGCGTGCTGTCGAATGGTTGAATGTCAAGCAGGGCCACCCAACAACAAAGCAATTATGAACGACTTCCCAGGGGAGCACAGTCGACAACTTTACTAGGCGAGCTCCAATCCCTAGGTATACGGATTCCATCCAGCTAAGGGCTTCTATCTAGCAACTACGGATACAGACTTTACAAAGCCGCAGACCTTCGCCAACAAACTGCACCCCACGCTTGTCGGGATTCCCTTTCCCCTGCAATCGGGGATGTGACATGATTTACAACTTCCCAAATACCTAAGCGATTGGGAACGCTCGACGATAGGAATGGGCCGACCTTTACAACCCTCATCTGCTCCCATAATGTTACACAACCCCAACCCCACGCTGCCTAGTATATCCACGACTCAAACCGGAAGAGGGACTATGATGCCACCATCACCAACCCCCATCCTTAGGAAGCGCCTCTGTGATCGGCACCGCCCGTGGCGTGCCCGGAGGCAACAGCGGATCATGCTCGGGGCTCGGCGTTCTTCTTGCCTTCCAGCGCCTGCCACGTCGGCTGCCACCGCTCCTTGCCCTCGAGCAATCGTCGTGCTTGCTCTGCCAACGTATCCCGCCCGCCGGGGGCCCGGGTCGAGGCGTCGGGCATCATGGTCTCTCGGAAAGCTTCCTGTTCTTTTTCGGCGGCGTCGTGAGTTTCCTTGTCCCATCTGTAGGGTATCTCCTGTCAGCATATTCCGCAATTGATACTTCCGAGCCGCGTATCCGCCACCCAGCGCCTGTGAAGCGACTAATCAAACGAGAGAGATAGACAGGAGAACCACGCACGGCGAAAAGTCCTCCGGCACATCCGGCCACACAAACGGCCTCTCGAGCTCCGCAACCATGTACTTCTTCGCGCGCTCTCGGTACCATTTCCGCGGCTTCGGCCGCTCTGCGTCCGGCTTGTCCTGCCGCACGGGCGACTGGGCCACGAAACTCCGCACGCTGAGCACCTTGACGCCGTACGCGTTGTAGAGGTAGTCCCGGAGGTCGAGCTTGTTGAGGTTCAGGGGGACCATGAATTTCGCGAAGGTCGGGGGGAGGTAGGAGCTGCGGAGGAGGGTTATCGTGAAGGTTGGTCTGGGAGGGTTAGTATGGAGGATTGGAGGGCGGATAGGTGGGAGGATGGGGAGTGGGAGGGGGATGGGGACGGACAGGTAGATCTCTTTGGTGCCGAGGGCGAATTGCCCGCGGACGGTGTCCACTATTCGGAAGGCGGGTCGCATTGTGTTGCTTGAGTGTGTAGGCTTGCGGAGGGCGATCGGAGGTGAGCTTCGAGATGTCGAGAAATTCTGCCGGGGTTTGGCCGGCCGGATATCTCGATGGCTTGACAAAAGTTTCGAATCACTTTCGTTCCAACGGATAGCTGTTCCGGGTTGAGGATCCAGCGGCCATCATGGCAGACACCAGTAAACATGCGGGCGTTCCGCAAGCTGGGGTTGCTGGTTCAGCGGCAGAAGCTGCAGCAAAAGCCCCCAAACCCCAAGGCAATCCTGTCTTCCGGATGATGGGTAGGTTCATGCTACGGTTTGCTACATAATGTCATAAGCTCATGCAGCTCTACAGGCCTCCCAAACTTCCGCTTCAAGCTCCCCTCCCGCAACTGGATGATCTTCCTCACCATCACCGGCTCCTGGACCGCGGCGCTCGTCTACGACCGGCGGGAGAAAAAGCGCGTGCAGAAGAAGTGGTGCGATCTGGTGTCGCATCTGTCCCAGGAACCCTTACCGACCAGCGCGCTGAGGCGGAAGGTCGTGATCTACCTCTCTGCGCCTCCGACTGACGGGCTCCTGGTTGCCCGTGAGCACTTCCACGAGTACATCAAGCCGATCCTCGTCGCGGCGGCGCTGGACTGGGACGTTGTGGAGGGCAGGAGAGAGGGAGACGTAAGAGCTGGGCTGGCGGAGAGGATACGGAAGCTCCGGAAGATGAAGGGGGAGCCTAGTCAGGAGCCCCTGGAAGAAGATGAGGAGCTTGTTGTGCGGCAGACGAGGGAGAGGGCAGGGTTCACGGATGAGGAGGGCGTTCAGGGGGATATAGTGGTGGGGAGACACACATGGAAGGAATACGTTAGGGGCCTACACGAGGGGTGGTTAGGTCCGCTTGACGCGCCTCCACCGCCGGTAGAAGAGCAGCCTTCACTAGAAGCCACACTGGACCCAGCACCCACCGACAGCCAATCTCCAGCACCCACCGATATCCTTTCCTCCACTCCCTCCCAACCAACCGACGACGCCTCTCCCACCGCTCCCTCGCCACCTACAGACTCCACAACCACACCACCAGCACAAGAGCCCCCCAAAGAAGAAGCGAAACCCGCAAAGCGAAAACAACCACCCCCCTTCATCTACCCCTCCGACTACTCCGCCGCAACGCCCTCTCCAAACCTCCCCTCCGAGTTCCCTCCCTCCAACACGATCCCCCTCCCACACATCCTCGGTTTCCGGAACACCCCGCTCCGCATATACCGCTTCCTGCACCGGCGCGTCCTCGCCGACGACATCGGACGGGATGTCGCCGCCGCCGTGCTCGCGTATAACAGGCCGTACTACCAGGTTCATGAGAATGCGGCTGTGGGCGCTGGTGAGGGTGAGACGGTCGGCGTCAGCGACGCGGCTTCTGGGCAGGGCGAGAGCTGGGAGCAGCAGGGGTTGCTGAGGCAAGAGGAGGAGGAATGGCATAAGAGTGTTAGGAAGAGGGAGGCGGGGGAGAGGGAGAGCGTGTGGCTTGATCCGGTAACCCTGGATCCGAGGATTGCGGAAAGGATGAGGCGGTTTGTGCTGTATTATCCGGAGGAGCAGAGGGCGATGAGGATTGCGAAGGGAGAAGAAGGGCCGATTAGGAGCGAGACGGCTGCAGAAAGGGAGGTTTAGATAGGTGTTGAGGAGGCTTGTTTTGTATGAGAAGGTTTCTGTGAGAGGGGCTTTGAGTGTAGCATCTCCGCTTAGTGCGTGGGCTTTGTAGCATATGGAATGATACCACTGTATAGTTAGATGATACGGAGACAGTACCGCCTAGCCTATCTGGTGCAGATGCTGTGTTTCTACTCTGAATCCTGGTGGGCTTGGAAGGACTCGCACCTCCGCTACAAGGTTGCAACGTCTCTTGGACGCTTCTTAGATGCCTCTCTTCCCGAAAAGCTTTCACCTCGATCGATGTCCCGCTTAACTGACGCTCTTCCGGATCGTCTCGCTCTGCAGCGCCTTGCTAATCGAATTCCTTTTCGATCGACGCGCTCGAATCGCGTTGTTCTCTGGAAAAGCCGACGGATACTACGTTTTTAGGAGGTGTGCCCCGGCTGGTGCGTAGCAGCTGGTTAGAGGACGCTAAAATAGACATCTTCACTCGCTATATTTCTCGACTTCAAGCGACTTACCCTAAAAACTGGCCATACTGGATCTCGCTGCTCCTAACAGTACCTTGCGTAGTCGATTCCATTCGTTTTCCCAGACTATTCTGCATTCTCGGTACTGGAAAACCTACAACCTCTTCCGCCAGCATTTCTAGGAATGTCTTTCCCTCAGTTTCGTAACGATGTACCGGTCGGTTACTCCGTCAGGCCAACTCGCCTCCAGACGGCAGATATCTGTCTCCCGCGGCCGTTGACTGAGTCGTCGCCCGACCGGACATTCTGGGTCATGTAGGTGCACAGTTTCTTGTCAAGTAAGCAAGTGAAGCTATATTCGTTTCCAGCTTTGTTCTGTCTCTAAAGTATGGGGTTGAAGTTTGTTACCGGTGGCACAGGATTTCAAGCGGATTTCGATGCAATTGCATGATTTCCCCCCTTTTAGGACATGTGTGCGAGTTGTTTGTTCTTGGTACCTGAACTGGATTGGGAATTCTTTGCCTGTTACTGCAGACAGAGATCTCTATCAGTCACCTTCAAGTCTTCATCCCTACTTCAACACTCATCAGCCTTCTCTACCAGACCATCCCTCAGGCCGCGTGGATTTTCAATCAGTCTGTCCAAAGCACTCGAAGAAACCCAAGTCTGTGTAGTTCTCCACGCTATCACGGTACACAACCGGCACCCCAATCTCCCCTTCCAATCTTGATACCATCTCTCCAATCCGCGCTCCACACACCTTATCCCACATCTCCAACTGACAGCCCCCCAGCTACATCCACGGCGGCGCCTGGCGCGACCCCGCCATAACCTCCACTTCCATCCAGCCAACCCTGACCCGCCTGCTCAACAGTCCCGAAACCCTCTGCCGCATCGCCGGCTTCGCCTCCCTCAACTACCGCCTCTCGCCCTACCCCACGCACGCCACCGACCCTAGCCGGCCCGACGACGCCGCCAGAAACGCCAGACACCCAGACCACCTCGACGACGTGCTCGCGGCGCTGCAGTGGCTGGACCGCGAGTACGACGTCGGCAGCCTTGGCAGGAGGGGGGGACGGGGCCACGAGTATATCCTCGTCGGCCACTCGTGTGGCGCGACCCTCGCGTTCCAGGCGCTGCGGAGGATGGCCGGCCATGGACCAAATCACAGCCCGCGAGGCGGGTGCGGAAGCCAGGCGCTGCCGGCGGCCGTCGTGGGGGTTTGCGGCATCTATGATATCCCGCTGTTGGTCAGCACGCATGAGCATCCGGCGTATCGCGAGTTTGTGGAAGCTGCTTTTGGGGAGGAGGAGCGGGAGTGGGCGGAGGTGAGTCCAGCTGATGGGGTTGGGAGACTGCAGGACGGAGGGGGTGGGGGCGGGATGCGCGTGGTGGTGTTGGGGCAGAGTAGCGAGGATGAGCTTGTGGATGGGGGACAGAGAGATGCGATGGTGGAGACGCTGCGGGAGGAGGGGTTTGAGGAGGGCGGTGCGGATAAGGAACTTGTGGTCCTTGATATGAAGGGGAAGCATGATGAGGTGTGGGAGAACGGGGAGGAGATTGTGAGGGCGATTGAAGTCGCTTTGGATAGATTGAGTAGGCGGATGTAAAGAGAATAAATTTGAGAGCTATGAAGGGATGTTGGTGCTACCTGAACACACTAACATCTGCCCGGGTAATGAGTGGGAATCCTGACTGTACAGTTTTATGCACGCCCTGTAAAACACCAATGCCAATAACAATGCTCACGCTGATGCGAACACAACGCCTAGACCACGCTTTAACTGTACCACTGCGTTTTCAGTACCTGCTCTGCATTCCAGCTCTGCCTCTAGTGCTTCTTAGTCGTCTTATCGAATCCGTCCAACACACTCCTCGCCACCTCATCCGTCTTGGCCCGGAGCTGCTGCGCTTCTTTTTCAAGCTCCTCCATCGAAGCAACAGCCTTACTACCAGTCGGGTTGGTATTGCTGCCCGGTCCCAGCGCCCTCGCCGCCATCGTCTTCGCCTGACCCTCGCTGACCTTGCCGTACACCGCCATCGCGCTAGCAATCATGCCGCCGATGTCCCCGACATTGCCAGGCACGATGATCGAAGTGCCCTCCTTTGCCAGCTTGCCAAAAGCATCGACATACTTCTCCGCCACGCTGAGGCTCACAGCGCCTTGCGCCGACTCCCTGCCCTGTGCGATTGCTCCAGCTACAGCGTCGATGCCCTGGGCCGTCGCCTGCGCCTTCAGCAATATCGCCTGCGCCTCGCCGCTCGCCATGTTGATCTGCTCCGCCTTGAGGGCCTCGGAAGCGAGGATGACGCTCTGCTTCCGTCCCTCGGCGATGTTGATCGCGCTCTGGCGCTGGCCCTCGGACTCAAGAATCTCGGCGCGCTTGCTTCGCTCGGCGGTGACTTGGCGGTGCATGGCCTCGACTACGCCGGCTGGTGCGTGGATGTCTCGGATCTCGTACCGCAGACACGTCACGCCCCAAGCTTGTGCGGCCTCGTTGATGGCGACGGTGATGTTGGAGTTGAGGTTCGCGCGCTCTTTGAGGACGTGGTCGAGGGTTAGCTGGCCAATTTCGGAACGCATGGTTGTTTGGGCGAGCTGGGAGATGGCGTATTCGGCGTCTTCGACTCCGTAGCTGCGTTCTTGTCAGCTTACATGCCCCTACTTGGTGTTGAGAGCTCGGCCGTACCTCGCCTTGTAAGCGTCAAACACCCGGGTATATAGCACGCCGTCAAGCTCCAGGGTGACATTATCAGCGGTGATGGCGCTCTGGCTGGGTATCTCGATCGCGGCTTCCTTCAGGCTCTTGACGTAGGCTATCCGGTCGATGAAGGGAACCAAGATGGCCAAGCCCGGTTCCAGTATCCGGTTGAACTTTCCCATGCGCTCGACTATCCATGCTGTCCGCTGTGGCACGAACTTGATGATCGTGTTGGCCGGTAGCGAAGGGCGTGTGAAGTACGAAGGCGGTGCTCCTCCGGCAGAGAGGCTGGAGAGGCCGAAGGGTGAGTTGGCAGGGGTCGCGGCGGAGAAGGGCGGTCCTATGGAGAAGTTGCGGGCGTGGGGCGAGGATGGATGGCGGGCGGCGGAGCTGGTTAATGCTGCCAGTGTTCTTCGATTGCTTGCTGAGAGCTGGCGCCGCGAGCTGTGTATTACTCTCGCCATGGCTGGCATGAGTAGATCGCTCGCTGGGGCCATGATGAAGGCTGCAGGTGTTGACTTGGGCTAGGTGGAGAGCTTGGTGGAGGTGGAAGGCGAAGTCCATATGGCTTCGCGATGCCGAAGAGACGCCGTGGCAGACCTCATCCTCGTCGAGCAGGAGCAACCTCTCTTCGTCGTGACGTCGAGGGCCCTCACGCTCTTGACGATTGCCACGTTCACCGTGCTTGCACGCTACCGGCCACTGTCATCGTTGCCGCTCCCCAGTAGTATCTGGCCCCTGAGAGGTTCTACGGAAGACCTGATACTGAACTGGCGTGCTGCAACACGTTTTGTTGTTTTATGCTACCCCGCAAGAACGATTGCTTGAGCTGGATTGCATTACACGCGGAGCTGGGAGATTTAGAGTCGGCTTCGGAACCATGATGGTCGTTTCCTGTGATCTTACACCTTGCTTCCGTCACCGAATGCGCTCCCACTGGAACTGTCGAGCTGGAGACGAACACGTAACGAGCTCTCAACATAAACACTTCCAAGTTCAGCGATGCCGCAGCGGCAGACACTATCTATCTGAGATGAAGAACGATGCGGAATAGTCAAAGAGCATCCCTTGGGAATTACATTGCCAATTTGAGGAATCCCACGCGATAAGGCGGCCTTCCTTATCAGACCTCGAGAGGTGCTAAAGACGGATCTGCGAAACTCTACTATACTGATAATGTTGAGAGAGCGACAACGTCTCCATCGCCACGTCCAGCATTCGCTCTCGCCTCGTTGAGTTCCACCAGTCTAACTTCAGAGCGTAACAATCGTGCCGTTATCCGTGCCCGTCGTATCGAACCGAAGATGCAGTCCCGGATACACGATCGGCTGCAGGTGCGAGTACTGCAGGTACCTGTTGGCTGTAGTCACAGTCGCACATCAGCCTCATTACCCATCATTCCTAGCACCACGAGCCCGCCAAGCGAAAAGAAGACCTACCGGTCCGATCCTGCACCCCAACCGTCCCCACAACCCCATCACCGCTCATCTCGTAGTACCTCAAATCAATGATCCCCTGCTCCGCCTCGTAAAACGTGACCGTAAAATGATAATACTCCTCCCAATGCGCCCTCCGTGTGGTATAGAACTCAAACGTCAGATTCCTGCTCCCCATCGGTCCCGTAATCTCGTAGAAGATCCCCTGCGGATATCCCTGCCGGATGTACAAATCCGTCCAGAACGCGAAGACGGTCAAGCTGGGCACGTCGGCGGCGGGTAAGGGCCGGTTGTTGTAGTCGCGCTCCATGGTTACCGTGATCAAGCCGTTTGTCGATAGCCACATGTTGTCGCTGTAGACGCCGTAAGCGCCGATGGCGAAGGGGAGGGCGAGGTCGTAGGACTGGTCGTCGTAGTTGTCGGGGGAGCTGTTGGTGTCGCCTACAAGGGCCGTTGGGGAGGCGAGAACAATGCCGGGGACTGTTTCTGTGGTATAGACGGTCGTTGTGGAGGTGGAGACCGGGCGGTCTGTAGTTGTGATAGGGGCGACGGAAGTGGTTCGATTGACGGTGATGTTGCCGGTTGCGACGGAGGAGCAGGCCTCGGAGATTAGGTAGGGTGGGAAGGAGGCGATGGGGCCTGGTGTTGAGACTTCTCTCTTCTCGACGTTCCTCTTGGCTGGCGACGGCTTGTCCGCGAACTCCGGGGCAGCGGTCTTGACGATGATGCCGTAGTTGTTCCGCTTGTTTGCTACGGGAGTCTGGTGGACGTGTCTCTGGACGTGCCTCTTGGCCGGCGTCGGCTTGTTTTCATACTCCCCTGCCACATCTTCAACAACGATGCCGTAATCGTTGTTCGGAGCTCTCTTCTGCTCTGAGAGGCCACGCTTGACTGGCACTCCTCGCGTACTTGTAATAATGACCACGCTAGACGCGGTGACAACCTCGGTAGTTACAGCGGCAGTTTCTGTGATGGTTGCAGTTCCGGGCTCCGCCGTAACAACTGGCGCCGTGTAGTTGTTGTAAGACGTGCAGAACTCTTGTCCAAACTCCCGGAGATGGGCGATGATGAACGGGTCGATATCCTCAGACCCGGGATATACGGTCTGGGTTACCGTTGCCGCGCATGTCGCCGACGACGGTATGGCGCGTGTCGCAGTGGCGGTGTAGGTGGTGCAGTCCCCTGGAGGAGGTCATCAGCAGCTACGACAGTGACACAACGTTGACTCTGCTCGTTTATACTCTCTGCAATTTCCCGATCCTGTAAACCCAGTTCCAAGCCTGACCGCTCGACGTAAGCACCAACTTGTGCCGCGTATTGTTGTTCTGCGAAGGCGATTGTTGACCACGCGAGAAGCAGTCCGGCGACTGCAGTCGTCTTCATCTCTGCTGAAGTTCAAGGAGTGAATGAGAGTCGGACGAACTTCGACTGATTGGTAACCTAAGGGAAATCTCGAATCGAGATGGGAGGTTCTGGTATACCTCAAGCGTCGCTAGGTCCTGTTTATTGCTAAGAATGTGCGGGGACATGGAGGAATGCATTGTGGACCGGATGTCTCGCCTCAATGGAGCAGAGACTCGACCAAGTAATGAAGAGTAATAGACCAATACAATCTTACCGTGTGCAATTACTTCGCGATCTAGTGAGTAAGGAAGCATGTACTACGCCAATATTGTAACTCACCCATAGCATCCAAGGAGTCTGGTCCCGGCTTTTATGCGTTGAGGGGAATTAAGCTCTAAAACCCGAGCGCCTCCACATGGGCCTACATTATGTCTTCGCCAGGTGCCTGAGCAATTACCGGTTGTAATAAGCTGTACACAGCCGCCCCAACACATAGATCAAGGAAAGCTCGAGTAGCAGCTACAGCGTCGCATTCTCTCTTTTTGTCAAGCTGCATACCGTACTTGCGCCTCGCGACAATCGGAACTTACAGGTGATCTAGAACCAGATATAGCTTATAGGCAGAGCAGAAGCTCATGAAGAAGATTGCTCGATCAGAACAAGGTAGCAGGAAAACGGTCGTGCGGGAATCAAGTCTCTCTCCAGTTCCAACACCAATACAAATATGCCCAGCTCAACAGCGTTCTATTGTCGTGGTCACGTAGAAACGAGGACAGATTGTAGGGTTGGAGCTAATATAAACAGAAGAGGGAGACAGGACAACGCTGAAGGGCGGATGTCACGTGACCCACTCGAGTGGGTCGGAGCACATATTAGATACTGAACATCTCACGGGCACATAAGTCGTAACAGATCTAAGGTAGGGAGGCGTGAATTTGAACAAGGAAAGACACGAAAGCTCCGCTCGTCACATGTGTGGACAACAGCCATCGAAGATATCGTGGATAGGTCTACATTTCGCAACACAGTTGTACAGATGCTGCGAAACAGCTGACGATGTTGCAGCGAAGTAGGAGAGCAAGATACAACATGAAATAGCCATTGTCTTTTATCAATACGTGCAAGGCTACCCAACTGTGCCAAGTCAAAGCAGGTTCACACCAATACATCACGTCACTTTGCAACAGATCATTCAGCTCAGGAAAGATTTCAGACAGGTGAGCATTAATCGTGGTATTTGATTGTTCAGCCCGCAGTGCTATTTCGCTGAAAGGAAGAGCAATTAGTGTACAAGGGGATGCAATGCCTCATAATCCATTCCGAAGACAACCCCAAGTCGTGGTATCTAATAGTCGAAGTGACTGAGAGAAGTAATCTACCGCATGAAGCCCGGCTTGCCGTCACCATCAGCATCCTTGCGAGGATTCAACTTGTCCATCAAGCTGGGCTTGTGGTTGCCGGTGGTGCCGGTGGTGCCAGTGGTGCCAGAGGATCCGGTCAGGCCGGTGCCAGAGGATCCAGTCAGGCCAGTGCCGGTAGAGCCAGTCATTCCCTTGCTGCGGCGACCACCGACACGGGGAAGTCGGGTGCGCCTGCTGCGGCGGCCACCAGCCCCATCAGACTCGCTGCTGCTGGAACTGCTAGAGCTGCCACTGCGGGTACGGCCGAGACCAGCAGCACCGGCACCGACGCCAGCAGCGCCAACACCAGCACCAGTGCCGTGATGATGACCGGTCAAGGCACCGCCGACTGAGCGCGGCTCGCCCTCGAAACCATCATAGCGCTCCTCACGGCCGGTCAAGACACCGCCCTGCTTCTTGAAGTCGGCCATGCTGACGGCTGGGAGAGCTGAGGTGGTGTGGTACTGAGCAGCATTGTGGTGAACCTCGTGGATCGGGATGGTGGTGTGCACAACGGTGGGCTGGATGGTCTCTGCATGCCATGTTAGCGATGGACGTGAGCATGTTAGGTTGATAGATACACACCCTTTTGGACGATGGGCTGGATGGTCTCATGAACATGGTGGTGGATGTGCTCGCCAGCAACGGTAGGAGCGGTAGCACGGGTCTCGCGGGTGGGAGCGATCTCGCGCTTATTGGCAAACTGAGCAGCCTCAGATTCGAGGCGTGCTGCAACATCGCGGTCGTTGCCATGCTCGAAAGTGCGGTGCTGGACAGCGGCGAGGTTGTGCTGGTGAGTCTCCGGGAGGACCTCCTTGTCGAAGACGGGCTGGACGGAGGTGTGGTAGTGGTCCTGGTGGATCTCCTTGTCGATGGCAGTCTGAACCTCCTCGTGGCGGTGAGGGTTGATGGTCTCGTGCACGACGGCGGGAGCGACCTTCTCGTGGACAGTGGTGTCGTGGTGACCGGCCTTGGCCATGAAGTCACTGACGGCTGCCCTGGCTTTATCCATTGCGATCGACTTGGTTTGAGCCTGTGATAGAAAAGTGGATTGGATGTGGGATTGAGTGTGATGGATTGTTGCGAACGAGGATGAGGAGATTTTGAGTTGTGGAAGGTTGGAGGGGAGCAGAGAAAGGAAGATCTAAATAGGTGAGGGGCAGACTACGTCACGCCTCGAACGTTGGCAACCGCGCGGGCCAAAACCTGGCTCATCAGCCACAAACACAGAGCAGAGGCAGTAGCCACACGCTATGGGGGTCACGCCTGCTACGGGGTCCGTTCTTCCAGCATTTTCGAGCGGAACGGCCTACGTCAAGCGGCGTCTCAGCGCGCTGTCTTCACCCAAAGCGACCGGTGCTCCCCCCACACGATCCAATGAGACTGGCGTGTTCAGAGACCGGAGGGACCCACTGGGCACTGAGTGAAGGTGCCTGCTGCCAGATTTTCAGGATTCCAAGATTCACGAGGCACCTGGACAGCGGCTCTTGGTCTCGAAACAGAGGCAACGGACGATCGCCGTCCTCCATCGGGCAGTCCGTGATAGACACAGAATCCTTGGGCCACCGCTCCCCAGGACAGATTAGCTGCCAGGCTTTGTGTTGAGCGTGCACAGGGTTTACCGTTTGCTTTCACCAGGCAGCCGGGCCTCGATCTACGTCAGGCTTTGGCGGCATCAACAAGCTGCCGTGGTGTTCAAGCATCCGCGTCGAACCGCACTCGAACTCACCGCTTCCGGCCCGAGAGCTTTCCCCTCAGTCTGGTCCTTCTCAGTTAATGTCTGGACTCTTCCGTATCCATACGACACGGATGTGATCTGAGTCAGGCATCAGAGCATGAACTGCAGGCCCACGGACAACAACATAAAGAACTGGCCGTGAAGTGAACGTGGTGGACGTGGTGGCGTTCGTTCGCCATGGCCCGCTTGGCATGACATCATCATCTGCAATCCAGCCACTCAAGACAGTCGCTGTGACGGGGGTTTGGAGGCAGGGGAGTCAAGGGGCCGTGGTGGGTATTCAAGGTGGTTGTTTATGGAATCTAGCCGCGTCCTGCTCGATACGCATGACATGCTTCGGTTGAGGCAGATGGCAGGCTTTGATTGGTTGACGCGTCAGATTGACGTGGTGGAACGCGGCCGCTAGACCCCCTTCGTCCCAATCCCGTTAAAAACACTCCCCTTGACAGCCTTAGTAAGCGCGTTGCCCTATCCACATCCGACGCCTCTCAACGCCATACTCCGTACTCCCTCCTACCTCCAAACTTTGCACGACATCACCACTCGCAGCACATTGCTCGTTGACGCGCACCCCAGATAGGTAAGGCTTTGCACAAAAACATGCTTAACGCCCTCTCCTCGCACGGACAGCAGCGTGCCCCAATATGGCAACGGCGAATAGCTTCAGGGCGATGACCAGGAGGTCTGCCTTGGATCTGACTTCGCTTCTGTCACCCCTAATCCTCATCCTGCTCTGGCAGAGCTCCATCTGCTCCAATCACCTCGCCTTTCTCTTCTTCCATTGTTGTTCTCCTCTTCCACGGACCCACTTGCTAACCGCCGCTCAGCCGAAAGTGCCCATCACAGACATGGAGAGCAAGCTCAAGAAGCTTCTGCACAGGAGAAGCCGGAAAAGCCTCGACTACGACGCTACTCCACCGGAAGCCAGAGGCACCGCTCCCACTGACTCGCTCGACGACTCGCCCGTGCGATCAACCTCCTATGCCAGCACGACCCCAGGCAGAGCACCCAAGACAGGCGAACTTCCACTACACGGCAACAGTCCCCGCGCCTCAAAGAGCATGGATAAGGCGAGGAGACGAAGCAGTGCACAGCGGCCGCTGAGCTCTACAACAGGGCCGAACCGCAGCGCCGGCCTCGAACATCCGCCTGGAACCGCCATATCCAATGACGATCCACGCGTTATGCAGTTCAAACCTCTCATGCCTGGCCTTGAGGATGATCTTAGACATCTGTCGTTGGGGGGAGATGATCGGTTCATGACCGAGCCGAGCCGGATGCGATACAGCGAAGATGTTGCACGGAGGAACATTTCAGTCTCGCCGGAGCCCAGCAGACCACTGGATCCGCAGGCCGGGCTATACAGCGAAGACGTGGCAAACCGCAACATGCAGCAGAATTCCGTCGGGATGAATGGTGGGAGCAATTCAGTTAGACGTCGCTCCGTTCCGAACAATGGATACCAGAGCCAATCTGTCAGCCACGGAGAACCACAAGCCTTCACTGAGACCGCAAGGAGGAAGTCAATGACCAGGAAGCCCATCCCGGCCACCCCTCCAGCGCCAGCAGTAGTCCGTCGTTCGGATTCGACAGAGTCCTTCCGGAGCGCTTCAACGTCCCCCGAGAGACATGCGGACCTCAACAAGCCCCTGCCGAGAGCTCCTGTGCAAACTACTGAAAGGCAGGTGCCCAACGGTCCGCGACCACTTGTTGATGGTGGCGATACCCGGATGTCCGTCTTTGACGATGCCGCGGAGAAGCGAGCTCAGTTGTTAAACGTGGTTGATCTGAGAAACACCGAAGCCACGACCGTACACACAAAGTGGGCGCCAGGTATGCAAATTTACACATATTGTCAATCAGGCCCTAGCTAACCCCGGACCTGCAGCTGTCACCGAGGAAAAGGTATTTCCAGAGGTTCACCATATCGAAGAACAGCGCATCACGCGTGAGATCCACAACTACGATATTTACCACCGCATCCTCCCCATCATCGATGTTGAAGTCCTTCCCACCCGCCATTTCCTTCCAGTCGAGGGCGGAGGTTTGGTCGAAGTCGACGAAAGAGACCTGCCTGGGCGGGCGCTCGAAGGAGCGCGTAGGGCACGCAACTGGGTTATCGCCGAAACAGTTTCGAAGGTCCCTTCAGATGAGCCAGCACGAACAGGTCCGCGCCAGTTCACAGCCCGCAAGTTTGGAGGCAGCGAGGGTGACTTTAAGCGATACGTCACCCCGGAAGGCTATGAGCGTACCGAGACCACTTGGGTGCATCCGCCGACCACCAACGATTTGGCTAGGTTGACTGGACAGACCTATCCTATGCATTTTGGCGTTGCTGGGACGGAGCCGTTCATTGAGTATCCACTTACCCAGAAGCCGGCCACGGCGATGGACGCCCCTTTTGTGGGGCGGGAAGGTGTTCAGGGAACGGGTGCCACGCGCATTGTAGATCCGCTTCGTGTTAAGAGGCAGGCCCAGGTCTAGTGCTAAACTGCGATTCGAGTCCAGCATCACGGAGTGCGCTCAGGAACACTGTGATGGAGTCTGCATCTTGCCTTGTTATGCATGTGGCGTCTTAGCGTCTTTAATACATATCTCCCTTCTTGTATTCATCCCTTCAAAAAGGTCTGGCTGCTTAGCGTGGTGTCATGGAGTTTCTTATTTCCTTGTTGAACCCTGTAGATGCGCTGTATAAGTACTGTATCATAGTCACCCTACAATGCGGCATTGCCTTGAGTGGCAAAGCAGCCATTTCTGTCTTCGTGATTGTGATAGTTCCCTGCAAAAGAAAACACTGTCATGGAAGCATTCTACTATGTTTTGAAAATATGTTACCACAACGTGATGACCAAAGCGGTTAAAAGATATGTCACCGATATAGTCGCGAACGGACGCGGACTTTCGTCATGCCTGCGCTGGATCAGAAGAGGAGCCCTCTAAGTAGTTCTATATTACATATGGAAGTATCTATTCTCGTTTTCCCTTGTCAGACCTCTCTACCCTACAGCCGTCCACATCCCGCGACATCAATGCCAGTAGCTCCCCGCCTCCCCCCTCTCCCTCTCCCACCCAGCATCCAGCGCCTGCAGCACCTCCTCCGGCAATGGCCCCTTCTCCATATCCGCCAAATTCTCCTCGAGATGCTTCGTACTACTCACGCCAATAATAACCGCATCACCCTTCTCCCTCTTCAAAAGGCTATCATGCATCATCCACCTCGGCGCACACTCCGCCTCGCTAAACCCATGCCTCGCCGCAACCGGGCCTAAGGATATCCAGCGGCATCGAAATACCTGGCTTGCCGGTTGTCATGGCGCCCAAGACGACGTTGACGGCGGTCTTCTGCATGAAAGCCATGTTGGTGGATGGCTAATGCGACTGTGCAATGGGAGGAGCTGTCAACCGTTCTCGAGATGCTGCGAAAGATAAAGGGAACGAAGAGAGACTGCTAGCTGCTGTGCAAGCATTTCGGCAGACACGGATAGAAGCAAATGCTCTTTGGTGGAGCAACGATGTATGGTGTCGTTCTGAGATGTCAATTCGAGGTCGGTAGAATTAACGCCGTCCCAAGTCCGCGAGTACGTCGTACAGAGACAAGCTTCGTCCCATCCACGTGACATCCCCTGGACGGTAAAATTTCCAGCACGTTTGGATGGTGGAAAGCGCAACTTGTAGATGGGTAAGGTATTACAGCGTATCCGACGTCCGTAGTAAGTGTAGTAGTTGAATTAGACATCTATGACTAGCGCGCAATATCCGCTGCAAAACAAGGGGTATGCCTCCAACAAACGCTCCCTCACATCTATCATAACTCATAAAACCGCCATCAAGATCCACACACAAAATCAGGTCGCAGGTGGTGTTACCGGCGACCTTCAAAATGCCCACCGTGCTTCCTGCATGCGGTCACGGACGCCGTGGGTGTTACCGTGGTCGTCAAGGTCCAACTGGAACGAACGTAAGCTATGATCATGCAACACGAGGAGCACCGCAATCAACAGAAAGAAGTCAAGCACATACGTTGCATATATCGTCCTCGTGGTCCAGCTAGTAGTCCAAGACACAGTGTGCCTGGTACGCGTGGGCGTTGGCAGCGTTATCGTCGAGGTATAGATGCCTGAGTAGACGGTCGAGGGCGGGAGGGTACTGTTCTCGATGTCAGGTTTGATCTGGCGGACCGCAGCAGAAATCCTATTGGCACTCACGTCGCAACCTTGGAAGTGAGATAGCTTAGCTCAGTAGTCGTGGTCGGCGCCGCCGTTTCGGTCATCGTGCTGTTTACAGGCTCTTTGGCAGTCACCGTAATGACCGGCTCATCTGCGGCGCGTTCCTCTAGATTCTGCACCATCCAGGCACGTCTTCTTGCCTCCTGGATGCGCCGGCGAGCCACGTTGATGTCAATGGGCATGTCGGCACGCCTGTGGGGCGATCCTGTCGGCGTGGCGAGCGCAGCAGGCGTGACTCTCTTGGGCGTGATAGTGCATGTCGGATCGGGTTTCTGAGGACGCGGCGGAACCGTGCAGGATGCCGTCTTGGTCTTGGTTATGATGCTTTGGCTCTTGGTGTGAGTGGTTTTGCGCCTGGTCGCCGTTTTTGTTATCCATTCTATGACGGGCTTGGGCCGGATGGTGTAAGTCCTTCTTGCGGTTTTCGAGGGGATGGTGTAGGTCGTCGTTGGGTCGAAAGTCTCAGTTTCAAACACGGTGGAGGTTGCTGTGATGATCTCTGTTGGTGTTGAGGTGATGGTGTATGTTACCGTAGGCGTGATGGTCGACGTCTGCTGCGGACCGCAATTCAGGTAGAGGTTTCGTTGGTATGCGAATGGATCTTCGTAAGTCCCAAGAGGTCCGTTGTTTCCGTAGATTATAAGAATCCATTCACCGGAGTACATCTGGTTCTTCAAGATTGGGCTACCTAGAGTCAGCCGCTGTGCACATAGCCCCTGACCGTAAGGCACTGCTTACCACGTGGACATTTGATCGGTGTTATCGGGCCTGACTGACATGCCGGAGCAGAAAAATTCGCCTCCGGTAGGGTCAATGAATAGAACATCCGCGGTCCCTCCGTAGCATCCTGTTTACCAGGTCAGAGGCAATGCATGGTGCGTGATGTTGTGCTTCCGAACGCACCTTCAAACTGGGAAACCGAGGTAAAGTTCTCTCCTGCAAGGGTATTGATGAAATACGGTTGTCCATGTTGAAAGTCTATACCGTAGGAAACACAAGTTGCTGAGGCTAGAGAAGTAAACGCGATGATCACAGCAGATGCTGCTACGATTTTAGAAAATCGACTGTACGACATAACGACTGAAGCGCGAGAACGAATGCAAGAACCCGATGCTGGGACAAGGACGTTGCACAGCACCTTTGAATACCTTGAAGTGCATACATAAGGCTGCACAGCAGACAGGTTTAATACATACGGGGCGTACCACGCTGTTGCCCTCGTGCTCGGACAATGTCATGCTGGCGACCTACGTACGGTAGACGGCAGTCCAGGACAGGGGTACTGCGGCGTAAGCCAAAGGATGTACCGTACAGACTGTCAATAGCGGTCGTATCCCGCAAAAGTCGAAGCCCGGTCCGGAGCCCTGTCCTTGCTATCTGACATAGAGGTGCAGCGGTGGGTTGTAGACGCATCCTTCCGGCAGACAGCCTGTCCACCAAGCCATCGATACGAGGTACGTCCACGTTACCCGCCAATGGATCTTGCCGCAGAGCGAGCCTCGTGGAGTCTGTGGAGATTCCTACCTATTTCTGTATTGTGCGGCTCCTGTGTCCGACAGTAGGAACATGCTGTCCCGCGCAGTCGGTTTGACATGTTGTACACCCGTCATAACCGCCACCTGAGGAGTGAGCCGTAGAAATATGATATGGCGAACTCGAATCTATCTCACTGGACGAAGATGCTACCGAGCCTTGCGCAACACTGTAGCCAAGAACGGTGGTCCATGGCTTTGATCGTCAGGGCATGAGGCTCGCCAGCCCCCAAACTTTCTGCTGGCCCGCTGCACATTGACGACACGCCGAATGCACAACAAGACGCTCAAGGAACGCCCTCTTCGGCTTCGTGCGGGCTTCCGTTCGGGATGCCTAAACTTAGGTAGTAGGATACGGTAGGCTACGGTAGGATAGGCGAGCCATGCGCCATTAATCCCGCCATGCCAGGATACAGTATCCAGCTTCTCCGACCCCACGGCCATTTGAGAACCTCCACTCAGCGGCTGTATCGCTCCAGACATTTCTAACGGAGCCCATGTTCTTCCGCGCAGATGATCCCACGAAGGGGGGTTCGAGCGTGGCAGCTTTGGCGTATTGGGACAGCCCAGTATCCCAGCCCGGTCTTCCAGCGTGGCAGATTTCAAGCCGTCCACAGACCAAGCGGAGCGTTTTCACCACCTCCATCTCGCGCTGCGAGCCTCTCTGGCCGCTTCCCGCCCGCGTACCGGTGTAACTAGTCAAGCCTACCGCAAGCTAAGGTAGGTTGAACGTGCTGTAACTTTACAATAGCCGCGCTACCGTTTTATGTCGCCATCCATTCGGTTAAGATTGTACATCATGCTTCAAACCGACCTGCTCGCTTACACCCCAGTTCAACACCAGGCTTCATCTTCGTTGCACTGTCTGATGACTCCTTCCGCAAAGGAAGTCGAAATAGGCATGAAAACAAAACTCGTGTCTAGGCCCGTATGAGCTTCTCTAGAGCCGGGAAACCTAGGCGAGCTTACTCGTATCACCGCAGGCAGCTAAAGTCCGCTCATTGGGCCTCCCACTCACAAGAAGCGAAGCCACTCCCGAGAACCTATTTTACGGTTCTCCGCCATCCATCGTGGCTGACGCTTAACCAGATCATCTTACATCGGGCAAAAGCTTGACTCCGTGTCGCCTTGAACGCTACGGTTCGCAAGGATTCTTACATGTACTGCCACCTCACGAATCCTTCTACTGAATATCACAGGCTGATCGCGCTTGCCGGGGTTGCGTGCTTGATTCGTCTCTGCCTCATGCACGCGCCGTGCTGCGTGTTACCATTTTTCGAAGTCGAATCACTGTCTTGGGGTCTAAGACAGTCTCGGGCGTTGCGTCTCACCGCAGGCCGCAGGAACCCGGATTGCTGATTTGTTGCTCTTTACGAATCTGGCTCGTACTAACGTGCTGTCAGACGCCCCTCAGGAGAAATCCACCAGCCGTCGATAGCTTCTACCATATCCTTGCAGCGGCTGCTCTCGCTCTATTAGCAGGTGCTCGACCGCTACCAACATTGAAGGGAAGCCAAGCCGGTATCTCCGCCCTACGCCTCGCATGGCCTTTTTATAGAATTCCGTCTCTTTAACCTTGATCCCTGCCGCATCCTCGGAACTGCATTCTGTGCATACGCTTGTGGACTTCAACTACTCTCTTGATATGTTGACTCTCAAAATTTGATGCCTAGCGAGGGCATCGAGCTCAGCTGTTCCGAACCAATATCCGCTTGCACGACCATGATCGCGAGCATGTCATCTCTGCAGGGACTCCTCCCGTTTCGGGCACGAGGCTCTTCGCGCGCCGAAGCCCTCATATAGTAAGTGAGATGACGGCCTCCAACGGCTGGAACTGTGCTCTAGTCTATTCGGTCTTCTCTCCAAGTCTGCTGTTCTCCGCGCCTTTCGAGGGTTGAAAAACAGCTTTGGGCCCTCTTGCCTCTGGAGTTGCTTGATCCGATCTTCCTGTTGCTTCGTACTGGCGTCATGTTGTTTCTACGGCAAGCCAGCATTGCTTGCCTAGCATTGTGCCAATCTGCCTTCGCCGCTACTATACCTAGCCGTATACAAGAGCGCGGCGTCGCCCTGGTCGAGCGTCAGGCTACAACAACCTCCCGCGCACCAGACGCAGCATGTACTAACGGGCCCTTGACGAGGGCCTGTTGGAGTAGCGGCTTCAGTATAGCTACAGATTTTGACGCTAAGTTGCCTCCTGCAGGGAAAACCGTCACGGTAAACCGCTGAGATTCTCCGCTCTGGCTCTGTTTGTAACGCTCACATATGTTGAAGTACAATTTGGAAATAACAAACACCACCTGCAACCTTGACGGCCATGGTTCGAAACTCTGCATGCTCATCAACAACCAGTATCCTGGACCTGTCATCACAGCTAGTCAGTCATTGCTTCAGGAGGCAACCAAATTGCGCTCGCTGACATGGACTAGATTGGGGAGACACCCTCATCATCAATGTGAAGAACAGTCTGCAAGACAACGGCACGTCAATTCACTGGCATGGTATCCGGCAGCTGAACTCCTGCCAACACGACGGTGCCAACGGCGTTACGGAATGCAAGCGTGCCCCCTGAGTTGAACGCATAAGTAAAACTAACAGCCGGTACAGGTCCTATCGCTCCGGGCAAAACTAAGACGTACAAGTTCCTGTGCACTCAGTTCGGTACGACGTGGTACCACAGGTAGGTTCTCTTGGTCGATCCCATCGAATTTCTGCTGAATTATCACTATCACAGCCATCACTCTGCGCAATATGGCGATGGCGTCGTTGGGACAATGGTCATCAATGGCCCTGCAACCGCAAACTACGATATCGATCTTGGTCCCGTAGCGCTCTCAGATTGGTACTACAAGACCGCTTTCGAACTCAATGCTCTTGCCATGCAATCGGCCAGGGGTCCGCCACTTCCGGACAACATCTTGGTCAACGGCAAGATGGTAAACGCTGGCGAAGGCGGAGAGTATATGACGATGACAGTCACCAAGGGGAAGAAGTATAGGCTGCGACTCATTAACACTTCTACCGATACTCACTTCCACGTGTCTTTGGTAAGTCAGTCTCAAGCCGCTGCCATGTACCACGCTGATAGATTGATCTTCAGGACGGGCACCCGTTCACGGTAATAACTAGGTATGTTATTATTCACGCCCTCTAGGTGATGCTATACTGAGAGAGGCCAGTGACTTTGTTCCGGTGAAGCCGTACGTAACATCGGATGTGCAGCTTAATATAGGTAAGTCTTCGAGACGGGACTTGTCCGAGACATTGTGTTGAAGCTCATCGATATACAGGCCAACGCCACGACGTAATCTTCACAGCTAACCAAGCCGTGGCCAATTACTGGCTTCGCGTAGGCGTCTCCACAGGCTGTGGCAACAACGCCATGATCGGCATCAAACCCATCGGCGGCATTATCAGCTATGCAGGCTCGCCTGCCGGTCTGCCCACCAGCACCGGCGTCACACTGGGTACGGGATGCGGTGATGAATCCGTGACACCGTACGTTGCCAACGTTGTCCCCAAGGATCCCTTCGTGGCAACGCTGAAGCAAATCTCGCTGGATTTTCTGCGCTCAGAAGCAACGGGCAATCTTGTCACCTGGCCCATCAACGGCAGCGCCATGCGCGTAGATTGGGATAAGCCGACCCTGCAATACGTCATGGATGGCAACACGGACTACCCCCGGGCACACAATGTCATCGAAATGCCGAATAACCAGTGGTATTATTGGGTCATTCAGACCGTGACGGTTGCAGGCCCTCGCCTCGCGCATCCAATTCATTTGCACGGACATGATTTCTATGTGCTCGGAACGGGCGGTGGCACGTTTAGCGGCAGTGCGGATGGGCTGAATTTTGCCAATCCCATTAGGAGAGACGTTGCGACGTTGCCTGCTGGTGGGTGGATGGTATTGGCGTTCCCGGCGGACAACCCTGGCGCGTGGTTAATGCATTGCCATATTGTAAGTTCCGATCCCAAGATGTCAATGGAAGGCGGTTAAAAAGGGCATTTACTAATGCTGCGGCGCAACATAGGCATGGCATGTCTCGCAGGGACTGAGCCTGCAGTTCTTGGAGCGCAAGAGCGAGATACAATCAACCATCGGGGACCTGAGTGGCTTTACGCAGGGGTGCAATGAGTGGAAGAGCTACTGGGCGTCGGATCGTTATTGGGAGCAGGATGATTCCGGCCTATGATTTACTTGTTATTTCGTCGCATCTTGGTTGGCCGGTGGGATAGAGGTCTGCTATTAGAATGATAATAATAACCGCTTGCTGCCGGAGACTTTTCTTTTAGAATCGTGAGACTCGACACCGCGTTTTCGGCTAGTGGCGTTAGATGCCTGAATGGCTAAAAATATATGTGCGCTATCTGTCCTTCTTTAAGCCGAGGCATAGCAAGCTTAGTCGTTTAAAGCAAACCTGGCGAGGTAGTTAAGCGCGAAGTGGTAACTTGCATGTACCTTACCGCGAGCACCTCTTTTGAATATGTGCAATACGAAGTTGATACCATCAACAAGGACAGGTGATTGTTCGCATGTTCAGTATTGAACAGTAGAAATGAATTGCTTCTTGCAGCCCTATCAATGGGCGGCGACGATTCCTTGATACAAACACCATCTACACAACATAGGAAAGCGAATGCAAGGAAAACACAAGACACCCACCTTCGCCTCGCTATAAAGGACTCGGAGCGGCGAGTAACACTAAAGGAAAGATGGACAGAAAATCGCTCTAGAGGAGAATAGGTACACAAAGAGCGCAAAACATATGATCAATCTATATCCAACAAACCAACACCGGGCCTCCGGGGGTATATCCGCCGCTCTCAGCCTCAAAACTGCCAGAAATGCATAAACATATAAAAGCGACAACCTATACAGTCTACACAACAAAACGTCTACACTGCACCCCCCAGTCCCGGCCCGAACGCCTGAAGGGGCTCCACTCCATCAACCAGGTTCCCATCAACAGTACTCCCTTCGTCGTCATAGAACCCATTGGTGCTATACTCCCCGTCCTCAGCATCTTGATCATATGAGCTCTCCCGCATAAGCGGCGGCGTGGTCAGCGGAGCAGCCACAGCCTGCTTCTCCTGCTGCCGCACCGACAACGCCGGCAGGGCCGCGGGCTGCTCGAGCCGACGGGCCGGGCGACCTCGACCTTGCTTGAGCTCAAGAATACCAGAGACCGCTGCGGGCGTAGGCGAAGGCGTACGGCGCAAATTCGACGTCGGAGGCGTCATGAGGCCCGAGAGAAAGTTCTGCGCCGACGGAGCGGTCTTGGACGGTGTCTGCGCTCGCGACGTGCTGGCGCTGCTGCTGGTGTTGTTGGTCGACTGGGCCAGCGCGCTGGCGGCGGTTTCTCTGCCCTTGTTGCGCCAGTTTCCGAAGGCGGCTGCGAGCTGGACGGCCTTAGGCGAAGCGAAGTTCGAGATGCTGGCGAGCGTTGGGAAGGTCTGGCTGCCGGACACCAGGCGCTCTTTCTCTTGCTGCTCCATCTGCAGGTTCGTGCGGATGCGGATGGCAGCGTCGCGGACAGTGTCACGGTCAAAGGTCGGTTGCGAGAGGGCGTTGATCAGGTCGGAGAGGTCGTCCAGCCGTACGCCGAGGAGTTCACGCAGCCAGGTGATCTCGGTGTCGCGCTCTTTTAATTTGGCGGGTGCGGAGGCGTCGACTTGGTTGAGTTGCTCGTCGAGGCTCTCAATGCGTCTCTCACGGTCCTGGAGCTGCTCTTGTAGTACGTTTATCGACTCACGGAGGGCTTGCGTGGAGATCCTGTCTGGCGGTTGTGGAAGTAACGCGGCACCGGCGGGAGCCTTTGCTGTTTGTGCGGCTTGTGCAGCCGCCTGTGCAGCGGATTTGGCAATCTCAAGCTTTTCTTCGAGGTGTAGAATCTTGTCTTGCAAGTGGTCGACCTTGGCTTGAGAAAGACTCAGGCTCTCCTGGAGATATGTCTCTGAACGTTGCCTGTCCTCAAGAGCATTGTGGATGGTACGGCTATGCTGACTTTGGAGGTCGTCAAGGTGACGTTCAAACTTTTGCTGCTGCTCCTGCAACGCCTTGCTCTTATCGTCAAGTGCATCACGGAGCGCACCCCGCTTAGCATCAGCCTCGCCTTCGAGCAACATCTCATACCTCGCCTTGCCAGTATCGGCATCCAAACGGACGTTCTCCAGTTCGACTCGCAATCTTGACATCTCGATTTCCAGATCTGCACGGACGATGTTGACCTGGTTGTTCGCAGCTTCGACATCTGCCTCCATAAGAACTCGGGTCCGCTGGACCTCATTGCGACCCGCTTCCCTAGCCTCTTGGAATTCGCGCTCGAAGCGCTCAGCGTTCTTCTGGTGCGCCAGGCTCTCGAGTCGAAGTGCGTTGACCGTCTCCTCTAGCCGCACGTTGGCCCTGCGAGTCTCCTCGAGGACAAGCCTCGCCTTGATAGCATCTTGTTCCTGCATCTCCAGCCGCTCAAGCTCTCTTTCCAGCCGCTCCCTCGTCGCTGCTTCAGCGCCCACTCTAGCGGTCAGTACCTCGTATCTGGTGCGATGCTCCTCATCCGCCTTCTGCCAGCGAGCCTTCTCGTCTGCAACCTGACCTGCAGCAGCAGCCATATCGAGCTGAATCGTTTCCAACTTCGACCGCATAAGCTCACGAACACGTGTCGCTTCTTCGATCTGAAGCTTCAACATACTCATAGATTTCTTGAGCGCCTCCCTGTCTTCATTCGCCTGATCGATGTCATCCCGCCATTTGCTGCTCGAGATTCGATACTCATCGAGGGTATCTTCGAGAGCTTTGTTCTCGGCTGACAGTTCTGTGCGACTCTGGCGGAGCTCCTCAAGGGCAGTATTGGCTGCGGCGATCTTCTGACGCGACACGTGGCATTCATCTTCCAAGGCTCGCATTTTCTGACAGTCATCTCGAGAGGACTCCTTAAAGAGCTCGATCTCCTCTTCGGCCAACTTGAGCAACTTCTGGGTGTCTGCTTCTCGTCGCTCCGCTGCATGTCGAGCCTTGACTTCTCCGTCCATGCGGTCAGCTGCTTCTTTCAGCATCCGATCCAGGTCTGAGACGCTAGGGGCGTCTTCTTTGGACTTTTCATCCTGCTTCGCAAAGACTACGGCTTGGTGCTGGCGCGAGAAAGCGTCCTCGACGAGTCCTTTGATATCCTCGAGTTGAAGGCTTACGGAAGTGGTTTGAGCAACAGACGATCTCAGGTCAGCAAGCGCTTGATAGAACTCTTTAGGGTCAAAGCATGGGACACTGTGAGTATCTCCCATGCGTTGCACACTCTCTTCGATGGACGATTTGAGTTCTTCGAGAGCTAGCTGGAAGTCTGCAGGGCTGAGTCCGGCGGACATGAGTTTAGCATATTCACTTGTTTGAGCAGTCGAGACCTTCAAATCTGCAATAGCTTGAGACAGCTGTGTGAAGTCAAAGGCTCGCTCAGCCGGAGCCTCACGGCTCGCCTGAGCGGTAAGTGCATCTTGGACGATACTTCTGATCTTCTCGAGTTTTCTGTCCTTCCATGGCGAGCGAGTGCGGAGTTGCGGACTTGCTAGGTCATCGTCATCCTCATCATCGGCATCGCTGTCCAACCGACGGTCCATGGAGCTGCTTCTGCGCATGCTGCGATTACTACGACGCTGCGACATTGCGTTCACGGAGTTCTGAATGGATCGCAGAGCCTGCTCGAGAGGACCTAGGCGGCTTTGCAGCACGCCGTCGACGACGCGGTCCACGTGACTGTCAAAGAATCGACTCCGAGGTTGGATCTTATCTTCCTCATTCGACGAAACGACGTCATCCCAGTCGCTGACAGGAACATCGCCTAGGTTGTTCAAGCGATGGACAGGCGACTCGTATGCCAATGCTGCACGCTCTTCGTCAAACGGATCGTTCGTGAGAGATGCAGAATCATTTGGCGGAACAGGAGGATATAAGCGGCGAGGGCTCGGGCTAGGTGCATCGCTGCGAAAGTGGTTCGGCGGTCTTAATTCGAGGCGTTCGAATTGGTGCGGCGACTTCGCCCTTGGACTTGACTGCTCCCAAGAATCACCGTCTCTCTCAACACCAAAGTCAGAGCCTTCCTCGTTGAGATGTTTCATTACCTCGTCAATCTCATTGAAAGTCGGCTGGACGTAAGATTCGTAGTCCACCGCATCACTGTCAGGGTATGGCAACATCTTTCGACCTTCCACGGCGGTCCTGTAGGATCCGTCATCGCTGTGCGGGAAGGTTGTTGCTGGGCTTCGACTTGAAGGTGGTGGCGGGCTGCCGAGTGTCTTAGTGATCTCATCGCTTTGATTAACAGACGGCTTGGTAATGTGAAGGCCGAACTCGGATGATCGCTCAACTGAGGGGTTGAACTCGAACGGCTTGGCTGTAGCCGACAGCGAGCTTCTAAGCTGATGAGTTCTTTTGAAAGGCTGTGACATCTCAGTCAGGGTTCCCGAATCGATGCTGCTCTCTTTGGCGTGATCGCTGATTACCGCTTTGACACTGGCAAGCTCTGATTTCAGTTGGGGTTCGATATGAGCACTCAGAGACTCAGGTACATCTTGACAGTTGAGACTGGCGGCAGGCGGAAGCGGCTCAATGTCAGCCTTGTTCGTGGTCATGTTCTCCGTATTTACCGGTGGATCATCCTGATCCTCTTTCGTATCTGTTGCCTTCATCGGACCGGCGCTTAGCTCATCGAGCGGATTGGAAGGCGAAGCGAACTGCGGGACGTCGTCCCCATCGTCAGCACCGTGTTTTGCTCTTTTCTGGCGTGCATCACTCTGTGCGAGGCGACCTTCTGTATCGTAGTGAACCTCCTCATCTTGGTGCTCCCGTGAGCTGCTGGGCCGAACGATAGGCACCGCCTTCGACTTTCTGACTGGCTTCACAATATCGTTGGGATTTAAAGTTACGTTCCCAAAGATCCTGTTCGGCATATCAGAAACGGCAGAGGAACTGAGGCTATTGGCGTCCAGAACCGGCCCGGGAACATTGCCAGTCTGAAGGACAGGGACGTTCGGCTTATGCGTCGATCCAGTAGGTAGAAAGCTGAAGCTCCCAGTGGGAACGGCCGAGTGACCCATTCTACCAGGCTGGAGAGTGGGTGCAGTAACGTTGAAGCCATTCCCCAATTGGCCCAAGTAGAGCCCGCCGGTCGGGCTGGCATTGTTACGATGTGGTCTAGCGAGCGGGTTGGAAACGAGAGGTTTAGTATTCGATGACCGAAATAAGGGACCCGAAATCACGGCACCCGGATTGAATGTGAACTCCTTGGCTGTCACGTTGAGTTTGGAGACTGATGTTTTGGGCGCATGATTCGACGTAGTTTCGAACTGGGAGCTGCGGAACGGCGGTCCGCTCTCATGATCGGCTTGGTCAGTGCTTGGGAAACCATTCTGCTTATGGTCGAATGACGACCGGCTGATGTGTCCTTTGTACCCTCTAGGGTTGATGTCTGCTTCAGATGGATTCGTTCCCGTACTATCACTCATTTCACTGTGCGGCAAATTCGCGCCTTGACTACTGAGATCCACCGTGTTGGGCTGGCCGGGATGCGTTAGAGATTGGGTTCTGCTGTGGGGTTGTGGTTGGTGAAGCGTCTGCTGGGCTGCGGAAGTCTTTGGCCAAGGATTCCCATTCATGTGGGGACCAGGTTGGCCGGTTGGCTGCACAGCAGCATCATGGATCCCAAAGCGCGCTTCCGGACTGAACTCGCTGTCCTCATCCAATTGCCTATCAATGGATCTCTCGAGGTGGTATTCCGCATCGCGAATCTCCCGCTCCAGGCTTGCACTAATGTTGTGATGATGACCGCGAGGCGTCGGCACAGCAATGGTCGGATCCGGCTGTGTCGCCTGCTTGGGCTTACTGGGTAGATCGTCTTCTTCCTCATCCTCGGGCACCTCCTTCAGTGTCGATGTAGGACGCACATTGAAGATGTTTTGCTGTTGTTGCTGCTGCAGTTGTGTCTGTAATAGTGGCTGCTGCTGTTGTATTTGCAGCATGAGATCCTCTCTAGGGACAAAGGGCGATGCTTGGTTGCCGTAGGAGCCGTAAAGTGAGCCAGGTGACACCACCTGTCCTGGATCCGGCCTGCCGTTCGAAAAGGCGGGTGAGCCTCCTCGAGCACCACCTTGGTGAGCAAAGTAGTGTTGAGGCGAGAACGACGAGGGACCTGGCGGGGTAGGCAGTTGTGAAGCAAAACCTGGAGGCGAGGCAAACGTCGAGTGTCTATGCATGTGTAGTGCTCGAGGGTTCCCATACGCAGAAAGTGGCGACGCGACAGACCGGGTTGACTGATGTCGTGATGGAGGGCCGGATTGGAACGGTATTGTGTTGATTCCACCCGACTGGCCGATACCCCTGCTGTTGGCTGACAACGTTGGAAGTGGAGGTGAGAAAGGTAAAATTGGACGCTGTGATGACATCCGTCTTGGTGGTGCAATCACTTCAGGTTCTTCATCGCCCAGAGTCACTCCCAAAGCGCGAAGCTTCTGCTCAGTGAGGAATTTCACGTACGCCTCCCACTCTGACTTGTTAGGTATATGCACCCTAAAACTTCCTTTCGTGTGGTCTGAACGATCATCTGTCGGGTCCGGAAAGATTGCACAGTTCTGCACTGGTGCGTCGGCAATCGAGTTGCCTGGCTCTTGAGAATAGTGGTCGAATCCGCCAATCTCATAACCAGCTTGCTTGAACCTTTCGAGTCGCGCAGCGACCTCATCTACGCTCAAGGGATACAGCAAAGTACCGTCATCGCTCCTAGGCACATCGGCTGGTATTTGGATTACACAGGACTTTCCCCGCCACTTAATGCTCTTCCTAAGAGGGAGCGCTGTAGGGCTAGTCGCAGGCACGCTGGAAGACCGAGGCAAGTTTGTTGCGTTTTCAGGAGATGAATTGCTCAATGTCGGATCTTTTGACATGGGGGGTGGAGGTAGAGGCTTGTCGATAGATGAAAGCCTTGATACCGATTTAGGCTGCGTATCCAGCTCCGGAGCCGACAACGGCGGCTGAGGGCTTGCATGTTTGGACAACATCATCTTGTCGAAGTTTTCCATTGGCTCGCCGTCGAAAAACTTCCAGAAATCTGCCTGTTTCAGGGTAAGATTGTCCTTCCTTGACTTGTGGCCTTTAATGCTAGCGGTTCGCTTCGTGGCAGTGTTCCGGCGGCTGGTGTCACGAGTACCCTCCGACTGTATGCTGCCCTCGCTATCCCCTGACTCGTCGCTCCACCAATTGCCCCTCTCAACTGTCCACCGACTGGCAAGGTACTGTCGAACCCAGTCCTCCGTGGCCCCTACCGATGGTAGTTTCGATGCCCGATTGGAAGTCGCGCTAAGCGGACGTGGAGTAATCTCAGGAGCACTTTGGTGTGTATGTAGGCCCGGTCTCGTCGGCGTTGCTTGGCTGGTTGATAGACGGTGTGGCAGCAAATGTTCGAGGCCAAACTGAAAATCGTGGGGCGGTTCTTCCAAGCGGGAAGGTAGCAGGTGGTCAAGTCCGAACTGCGGCCCAGGGGAGTTCTCCTCTATATCGTCACTATCTAGAATCGATCTGAGCTTCGGTGGACTAGACTGGATGTTGAAGTTGGGCGGAGGGTTCTGGTATGGTGAGCCCCAGCTGGCTGTATAGTATGTGGTATCGGTAGCTGGATGGCGAGCTATTGTTGCCGGGGTCCGTGGAACGCCGCCGAGGGCTGGTATATAGGGAAGAGGAGGAAGCTCAGGGCTTGAATGGCCCAGTGTCTGCGTAGGGGACGGTGCGGTCACTAAGGTCTGCGCCGGAGAAGACGCCCTCTGCTCGTCTTCAGTACCAACTCTTCCGCCTTGCTGTAGCGATGCAGCTGGGGGCGATGAAGGCACTTCCGGCGAAGAAGTCCTCGTCTGTGAAGCTTGCATTCACTGTTCCTATGCGGCAGCACCAGCTTCTTCGGACGGGCTGGAAGCACCAATTTTTCAATCCCAATGTACTATGCAGCTCTTGCTCGTTCCCTTTACTATGTATGGGCTTGCTAGGACCAATATTACGCCTGGCGAGCCTGGGGTGACGAGAAGGAGTCTTGAGTGGTTCGGGCAGTTGACGCGCCAATTAAGTATATGCAAGAGAATATATGTATCTAAACGAAAGACATAAGAAGGCATACGGCTGTACAAGGAACCAGGAGCGTGATGAAACGGTCTGGCACCATAGCAGCGTATGTACAGGGCGTGCTGAGGGGAGGGTCAATGTCCACGTCTACCACCTCGAGATTCGTCGACAGGGGCTCCAATGGGAAATGACATAGGGCTGCTTCATCACGTGAGCGGCCATGCGCAGCCATCGGCTCCTCCCGCGCTGTGCCACGTGAAACTCCGAGAACCCTGATTCCTCCACGTTTCAGTACATCCACCCGCTTGCAGAGGACGGTGGATGAGCGGCTGTCCAATATCTCACCATTGTAGGATACGACCACCGTGTCTCGATCACCATTGAGTCACAGTGCTCTACTGGCGGGACAGCCTTCATGGTTCCTGCAGTAAGTTTGATTCAATGGAAGGGAGAGCGCTTCGGTAGGCCGCTGATGTGGAACGGAGTTTGGCGGAGTTCAGTACTCAGTATATAGAACTTAAGGCTGCCACATGTTGCGGGAGTAATATGATGGGTCAAACGACATCACGAGTATAGTACGAGTAGCTCGAGGTGGAATCTCCCGAAATCCAATTCTCAAGACCTACAAGACCTTCTTAATTCTAGCGCAACTGGCGTTTGTTCACATTTCCCTGTCATCTTCGGCTGTCCGTACTTCGTCGTTCAGCCTTGCTTCGTACTGCGATCATTAAAGGCTAAAACCATGCAGTCAGGTCGCTGCTACCGATTGCACCTATCGACATAGCACACGGATGCATTGTCTCTACACATGTTGGGGAAAGTCTCTGAAAGGGCTTATCCTTAGCCCCTATTGAAAGCTTCAGAACTGACTGAGCTGACCGACCGACCGTACTTGTTACAGTTTCTACTGGAGATTGGGTGTGGTATCCAGACCATGAGAGTGAACATGCGTTCGGTTGTGCGGCCTTCTGCTGGAGTTCCTTCAACCGATCATTTTCAGCCGCTTCCCAGTTTCGACAATCCCCTGGCCAAGCGCTTCTTGGAAAGCATCCGTGAGAACTACTCAGATGGATACGGGTTTCGATTCTTGAGACAGCGGCGGCTTGGAGCGGCCGTTGAAGTCGCACAAGCAGATGTTCTTCGATAATATATCTGTGAGTACAACTCGACCAACTCACTCTGTACTCGTAAATGCGTCATCTTCGTCTGGCTTTACATACCTGCTAGCGCACGCGAAGAACCGTGGGTGCCATCTCTTGCTTCACGGATGCAAACAGCAGGGTCATGTAGCCTATGTTGGCGTATTCCATAGCCGGGGCTCCCGTCCGTCAAAGTGATAACTTCTCGCGATATACGTGATTGAGAGGGTGTTGAGTTATCAGCTCTGTTGTCAATGTGTAAAACGATCGTCTGGTAACCTGAAGACGCGGATGTTCGCTATGAGTTTCTCCTTGCCGAAAATGCACGATTGCACAGTAGCAAACAACCGGTCGACTCAGAGTCAAGTTGTTGAGACATCAGCTGAAGAATCACCAATAGGTAGCTTGGAAGCTTAATACAGCGGTGAAACCTTAACGCTATGGACTACGAGCTTGGCCAGAGTCAACACTGTGGGTTTTGAAGCTGGACGATATGGGAGTTTAGACCGCCCCTCAACCGTACGTTGGTTAAAGACGTCAATGGAGGCATAACATAATTGCTGAATTGCACCGCACGTCCACTCACTCAACTTCCTTCTCGGTGAGCGAAACGGCTGACAGTCGCCTTGTCGTTGCACAGCGAAGTTGCGCGAAAACGCGCTTGTCACAGCTTGACGTGTGACGTCGGCCCGTCTTTCGACCGCCGGGAGTTTCAAGTCAAGCTTCCCCCCAGCCATCCCAATCGAGCACTGTACCGGTACCTGTTTCAGCACCACCGCGGCCCTCCTCGCCCCCATTCTCCTCCATCCGCCGCTGACATTGCTTAAATTTCTGCCTCTCATTCCGCCCAGGCATTGCGACCGCATTGGCATCTGTCCGAAGAATCGAGCCCGCAAGATGCTGGTACGTGGGCTGGTCAGCCGCCTGACAGCCGATGTTACCAGAACATCAACACACAACCTAGCCCAGCCCGCGCGACTGGTACAGCGGATCTCCCTCGCACACCATGCCAGCTCACAAGTTCTGTCACGGTGGTCCAGTTACGCGCTACCATGCGGCGCCCACCTAGTCCGCCGTAGTTACGGAACTGCCGTCTCCAAAGTTTCAAGGACCAAATCGACCGGCACCCAGACTGCGGATCCGCCGGCGAAGAGGGCTTACAAGAAGAGGACTGCATCAACCACAACCCCCGAACCTGGGAAGGCGGCAACACCTAGAAAGGCAACAGGGAGACCCAAGAGGACGGCTGCACCTAAGAAGAAGCCTGCACCCAAGAAGACAAAGGCGAAGCCTAAGGCCAAACCAAAGCCGAGGAAGAAGGTGCCCTCAGAAAAGGGACAAGAGAGGACAGTGCTGAAGAAAGAAGCCGACCGGATCAGAGAATTGAAAGCCAAGGCGCTTCAGGAGCCAAAACAGCAACCGCACACCGCTTGGAACCAATTGGCCGCCGAGTTCATAAAGCGGGACTCAGGCAGCTTGGCGGAGAAGTCCAAGTCGGCGGCAGAGAAGTATCGCAACTTGACGCCCGAGGAGCGCGAGGTACGCATCGTCTATCCGATCGAGAAAAGTTCCAGCTATGCAAAAAGTAGAACCACAAGTGACTGACTTGGGTACCGCAGCACTACAACCACCTCGCCAACGAAGCAAAAGCCGCAAACGAAGCCGCCTACAAGACATGGGTCGAGTCCCACACGCCAGAGCAGATACGTCAGGCCAATTCTGCACGCGTTCAGCTGAACAAGTTCGTGAGGAAGCGCAACGGGAAGCCTGCGAAGGCGCACAAGTACACGCGAATCCACGACCACAGACTGGTCAAGCGCCCGGTTACCGCGTACATGCAATTCAATAAGGAGCGGCACGCGTCCGGCGATCTGAAGGGGTTGGCGGTCACGGAGTTCTCGAAGCTGGTGCGGGATGAGTGGAATGCGCTTTCCGAGAGCGAGAAGCAGGTGGGTTTCCCTTCATTTTCTAGCCTTCCTTCCCCAAACAACCCCTTCTCCAAAAGGAAGAAGATGGCAGAACACAGAAAACACGTCAACTCCGGGGCGCATGTCCTTTCTCTGCTGACCCACTCTCGCCTACAGAAATATATGGGCTTCAGCCACCAAGAGCAAGAGCGCTACCGCCGCGAGTATAAGGAAGTCTACGGCGAAGAGCCGCACTACAAAAGCTCGTCGAAGACTACTACGTCCCCTGAGCTTTAGCCCTGAGGCCTAATGCCGCCTTCTCTTGTACTCTGTCCTTTTGAGCCTTTCTTATGTCTCATACCCATCTCGTACGTGGCTGTCGCAAGTTCTGAGCATCGCCGTACCCCTGTCATCCTGTGTTCTGTTTCACGCAAGCTTCTGCCAGGAGGGGATATTGGAAACCTAGGATGTGACTAGAGGCGGCTACGCAAGTTCATAGGTGCTCCCGCTTCACGCCTGTACGGGCTACAGGCTGTAGTAAAAGGGATTTTTTCGTGTGAGGATAAGTCTTACTGGCATCCATCACGTGCATGCCCGCGTTTCTGGCATTTCCAAGGCCCTTTGCAAGAATGCTCCGCCTACACTCGACAGCCACCCACAGCGGCTTAAAACGGGTGTCGAGAGTACCGTGTACTACGCCGCTCATATGTCCCGCATACCGCAACCCCGGAAATCCTATGCCAGACTCCAAAACTCCACACCTCAACTGATGCCCCGCGACGCCTACGTCGCCAGCTGCCCCTCTCCTGATCCTACAACAAACTCTCATACTTATCCAGCCCCTGTTTCCCTCCAGCCATACCTCCGGCCGCGGCTCCAGTACCTCCACCGCCTGCTCCACCTCCTACCCCAGACGCTCCCATCCCCCTCCCTAAACCTCGTCCACTCATCTGACTCTGCCGACCCTGCCCCCCCGGCGGCGGCGGCAACAGCGGCGGCGGCGCAATCCCGAAGCCCTGATACGGCGACGTCGCCGGCGGTCCTTGTGGTCGCGCCTGGCTGGGAATCGCTAGCGCGGGCTGCTGTTGAGACGACCAGATGCCTGCGGACGAGAAGGCGGGTTGGGACGCAGCGGTGGCGGCGGACCAGTCGATGGAAGAGCCTTGTGCAGGGGGGAAGGATGGAGTGGCGGACGGCTGGGTCGGGGCGAGGACGCGCATGCCTGGGGGGTTTGGACGGGATGGCTGGAGGGGCTGAGAAAAGGTTGAGGCTGATATTGATGTGGTCGGTGGTGCGTAAGGGTTGGCGGAGGGTGCCGAAGGCGTGAGCGGTGCGAATGCGCTGAGGGTTGTGTCGGGGGTTATGGCGCGGGAGGCTGGGGCGGTGGTCGGGACGAGTGTGCCTGGATGGGGGGATGGGGTGGACCAGGAGAAGGAGGGCGCGGGGGCGGGGTTGTGCTCGGATTTGGAGCGGGGCTGTGCTGGGCGTGTGGTCGTTGTGGGTAAGGTGGTCGAGCTGCTGGCCCAGTCTTCAAGGGCGTTTGTTGAGGTTGCTGGCCGGTTGCGGCCGAGGACGAGGTTCTCGAAGTCGCCTTCGTCCCCGTTTGAGCTGTTGATGCCGTTGGGACGACCGACGCCGCCGAAGCTCATGAAGTCATTCGAGGTGGTGGTAGCGGCTGCATTGCTTGCCGAAAGCTCTTGCAACTTACGAGTCTGTTCCTGCTCTATACGCGTCGAGAGAGTTTTGATCAAGGTCATGAAGGCCTGGAATTGGGCGAGATTCAGCAGCGGACCCAGGCTGAAGCTCCAAAGAATGGGCAATACATCCATGGCGAGGAAGTCCGAATCCGCGATCTTGCCAACTTCCTTAAAGACGTCAAGGACAGCCATCTAAAATCTGTTAGTACAGCATGCGGCGGTTGGCGCAGTCTTCTTACCATGACTGCTGGCTCCTTCGTCTTGATGCCTTTCAACAACGGCACCACCTTCTCTTGAATGGTGTACTTGTCAAGAATTTGGCTGGTGCTCGGCTTCAACTTGGCTCTTTTGGTGACACTGATCCCATCAAAGTCATCCTCGGTTGTAGCGTCTCCGCTTGGAGAACCGCCGCAAAGTGTCTGCAAGGCTTGAAGACCGCGGATCTTGATTCCCATACTGCTCGTTTTGGCAAAGACGTTCGCCACGACAGGAAAGAGCTCATTCTTGATTGTCGAAAAGTCGAGCACGGGCAAGATTACTGGGAGATATCTCAAGGCAGCATCGACTAGCGAATGTGTCGGTGATTCCAGCGCTAAGTGCACGATTGGGAGTATGTCTAACACAAGTTAGCAGCCGTGTTAGCCTTCTAGTGTCGGAGAAACGTACCGTCTTTGAACTCTTTCCCGCCAGTGTTATCCGCAATAATCTTCATGTTCTCGAGTAAGATCATCAATCCTGCTTCCCTAGAACTATCTCTTTCGGCATGAGGTATCTTGGCGTTCGTGGGAGCTAGGAAGACCTCTCGCAGGCGCGGAATGACTTTTTCGGTAAATGCTCTTTTCCCAAACGGCAGTGCTGTGATAATCTGAAAGACATTCTGCAGTATCAGCGACAGCAGCTCTCGATCTTTCATCTCTTCGAGCAATGCTGGAAGCACTTTCTTCTCCAACACTGATCTCGGAAACTGTTTTAATATACGAGGCAATCCTCGCATAAACTGCGACTTCTCATTCGGTGTCTTAGCAGGTAGGGAGTCCAGGAAGCGAATAGTCGAGACAAGGATGTTGTCGAAGTATTGCGCCTGTTGGAACTCGCGAGCGCTGAGTCTTTGGGCCGGCCGCCTAGTGATCATCCTTGGCAGCAACCCTGATAATACATCCTTCGGCAGTGGTGTAGATGATTGGAAGTTGTTGGACTGATTGGGTATGGCAGATGGAACAGAGAAGACTCGCTTATAGGTCGAGAGGTTCCCATTAGTCTCCAACGGGCTGCGGTGAGGAGAATTATATAAAGCGATGATGAGCAAGCCCAGAGAGAACATGTCAGCCGCAGATGTGACATTGTTGTCGAGGACGAAGTCGGGGGAGGTATAGTCGAGATTGAGCTGAACAGTGCGTGGCAGTCGGGGATCATAATTGAGAACCTCCGACAGGGCAATCGGGCTGACAGAAGTGGGCTTCGAGGAGTTTTCTGGGGGACTGCAGAAACCAAGGCCCGATATCTTCCAGTCAGACTATCACGAATCAGCGAACATGAACAATGTGATTGGATTCATATATCCTACTTTAGCATTTACAAAGATCGCGTCAGGCGTCAGATTTCCGTGCACCAGTCCCGCGCTTTCGTGCAGGAACTCAAGACCCTTGCCGACCTGCAGCAGTCCCTTCTGTATCTCCAGCTCATCGATCTCGAGCTCCCTCCTCTTCTTTGTCCCATCCGCCTCCTCGACGACATATCGACTACCCCGTCCACCAACTCCTCCGGCCTTCTCCTGATCATCCTTCTCCTGCAGCATCACCGCTAAAGATGCCGTGACCGGTTCCGTTGCGAACATGAGCCCTCCATTGCGGGTCTCTTCCACAGGCTCAACTAGCTCTAGGATACTTGGATGCCGCAGCCTCGCAAGGGAGCTCGCCTCCTTTTTCAACCTCTCCAGAACCTCATCGTGTGCCCTTTTCAACGATGCGGCATTCATCTTCCCACCGAAACTCCCTCCACCATGCGGGTCCAAGCTCTTTCTATCGAAGACAAAAACTGATGCGGGCTTTCCGGTAGATTTCTTGGTCGCGTCGAAGATCTTCCATGGTCCCGACGTCGAAGAGGGAGAGGGCAAGAGCGTATAATTAGAGGAGATGTTGGAGGTAAACGACTTCAGCGCGGAGGAGAACATGGCGAGGGTGTGTCGCCAGTCCTGATTCAAACGGTGCTGGATAGTTTAGAGAGCCGACTGCTCCTGTTCCCATCGCGTGGGTCACTGTGATATGGATCCAAGCCGGGCGTGTTCTCCAACGATGCGCCGCAGTTGAATATCTCGTCGGAGTCTCTGAAAGTCGGCGAGTCAGTGCAGGCTTGGCTCCGGCGCGGACTCCCGCTGGCCGAGGCCGTCAATATGCGCCCTCCACCAGTCATCCTTGCGACAAAGTAGTATATATTCCCCCCAGAGGCCAATTGACCTCCTCCCGCCTCCACCAGCCCTCACAATGCTGCAACCACGGCCCTCGGCCCTGCTCTCTGCCCTCAACGCTCTCCCCCGCCGCTCCCCCGCCTTCCTCAGACACATCGCAGCGCAGCGATGTCGGCGAGCATACAGCCTCCAGATAGACACGGAGTCAGACCCCAAGCTCGCAGGCATTGAACCCTCGAAGCTCTCTGTAGCAAAGACCACCACGCCAAAAGACCTCCTCCCGCCAGAAGAGCTTGTCTTCGGGCGCAACTTCACCGGTACCGCCGTCTCCCCCGCGCACGAGACCACCAGGTAGCCCCAAGAACTCTACTAATATCTCCATCAGACCATATGCTCTCGATCGAGTGGACCGCCTCCGAAGGCTGGCTCGCGCCCCGCATAACGCCCTACCAGAACCTCTCCCTCGACCCCGCAACCTGCGTCTTCCACTACGCCTTCGAGTGCTTCGAGGGCATGAAAGCCTACAAAGACTCCCACGGCCACATCCGACTCTTCCGGCCGGACAGGAACATGGCGCGGCTGAACAAGTCGTCCGCACGTATCGCGCTGCCCACCTTCAACGGCGCCGCGCTGACAGACCTGATCTCGAGGTTCGTCAAGCTGGACGAGAGATTCATCCCCAGCGCCCGCGGCTACTCGCTCTACCTGCGCCCGACCATGATCGGCACGCAGCGCACCCTCGGCGTCGGCCCGCCGGGCTCCGCGCTGCTGTACGTCATCGCCTCGCCCGTGGGCCCGTACTACCCGACGGGCTTCAAGGCGGTGTCGCTGGAGGCGACCGACTACGCCGTGCGTGCGTGGCCTGGCGGCGTGGGCGACAAGAAACTCGGCGCCAACTACGCGCCCTGCATTGTGCCGCAGATGCAGGCCGCGAGCCGGGGCTTCCACCAGAATCTGTGGCTGTTTGGCGAGGAGGAGTATGTCACGGAGGTCGGGACGATGAATCTGTTCGCAGCGATGAAGAACAAGGAGACGGGGCAGAATGAGCTGCTGACTGCGCCGTTGGATGGGACGATCTTGGAGGGCGTGACGAGGGATTCTATCTTGGCGCTTGCGAGGGAGAGGCTCACGAAGGAGGGATGGAAGGTCGAGGAGAGGAAGTTCACGATGCGCGATCTGGCGGAGGCGGCGGATGAGGGGAGGCTGTTGGAGATTTTTGGGGCGGGCACTGCCGCGGTGGTGAGTCCGGTGAGGAAAATCAGCTGGAGAGGGCGGTTGGTGGATTGTGGATTGGAAGAGGGGAAGGAGGCTGGGCCCGTGGCGCAGAGGATGAAGGACTGGATTGAGGGGATTCAGTATGGGGACGAGGAACATCCTTGGAGGTAAGTTTTCTTGGGGTTCTGGTCTCCTGTCTGACTGTTTGAGAGCAATGCTAATGTCTTGCAGTGTGAAGATATAGATGTGAATAAGGTGCTGGTACTGCGCCGTTTTGGCATGTCCTACTGAACATAGACCTAGATACGGGAGGTCCGGTCTGCTACTAAAAGCGTGGGGCGCTCTCTATTTCGGAAGCTTGGTCTCACAGCGGGCTCATACTGAGCCTCTATTGGATAAGCTCAGTTCAGTCCTAGCCACTATAGCATCTCTTGTTGGCTGTAGCCTGCGAGTGTAACGCTTCGCTAAACCTTGGAAGGCTGGGAGATCAAGAAATCTCTTATAAAATGAATGAACCATAAGCCTCTTGTAACCACGTCCGCTGTGAAGTAAGAATTTCCATTGGCTATGGTCTTCAGGTTCATAGTGCACGATGATGACTTAATGTTCGGAGTCCGTTGACTAGACTAGTTAACGCGGCATGGATTACCAGAATGTCCTCCACCCGAACATAGTCAAATATTAGGCACAGTAGTATCCAATCTAAAATCCGTCTCGCCCCTCTCGGTCTCGGGAGACTCGCCAGTAAGGTCGGTATGACTCTCTCCGGGATCCACATTTGGTTTGATTGGAAAACTATGCGGTGTTGCCGCCTGCTCGTATCTCTTGCCTTTCTTCGAACACATCTTCAGAATGGGAAGTGTCTCTGGACCGAGTGCGATTGTCCATCTCGGCCATTCTGCCGGAACTCAGATCGCGGCCCACGTATGTGTCTACCCTCGGAAGCATCTCAAAACCTCTCACGAGATCCTATAAACGTCATATCTCGGTCTTGCATTCTAGCCTCCCTGGGCTGCTGCTTCAGATACTGATTGTAAGATCTAGGGTTTGACTCATCATGGCTCCTCTTTGACCAGTTTTCCTTGAGAACTTGTGCAGGCTAGAGTGCAACGAGGATGAAAGCCTTGACAGTCGCTCTGTAATCAGTTCGTTGCTGTATTGAGGGTCTCGGCCAGCGGGAATCCGCTCCGGCACCAAGCGCCAAGGGAAGTGTTGAGGCTGCACTGACTCGCCAACTGTCTGAGACTCCGGCAAATTATGTTTGGAACACTTTCATCCAACAAGGACTATATCAGCGTCATTATGGAAGGCGGGCTCCTTTAGATATACAAGCTTGATATTTCATCTTCTGCATGCCCATACAGAAAATTGTAGGAAAGAAACCCGTAGCAACCTAAAGTTCTTTACCACAAGTATCTACTCCTCCTTGACGCGAATCAGCACACTCTTGGTCTCCAAATAATGATCTAAGCTCCATCCAAACCCCTCTCTCCCTAACCCACTAGCTTTGTACCCACCAAACGGCATATCATGGCTTATAGTCGGAGAGGTACAGTTGATACCAACAGTTCCGGACTCCAGAGCCTTGGCCATCCTCATGGCGCGACCGACATCCTGGGTGAATACGCTCGCATAGAGCCCATATTCTGAGTCATTAGCCTTAGCAATGACCTCAGCCTCGGTTGTGAACACATTAATGTGTACCACGGGTCCGAAGATTTCTTCCTTGTGCGTCTTCGCATCCTCAGGAACGTCGGTGAAGATGGTGGGTTCGATGAAGAATCCGTTGCCGCCGGCCATTTTGACCTCATTCCCGCCGGCGGAGAGGCCTCCGAGGCCTTGCTTGCCGGCTTTGACGTATTCCATGACGCGCTTGAACTGGATCTCGTCGGCCTGAGGTCCGTGGTTCGTGGCCGGGTCGAGCGGATCTCCGATGTGCGTGGCGCTGAAGTGCTGCGTGAATGCGGTCTTGAACTTGTCAACCACGCTATCCTGGACGTAGATGCGTGAGTTGGCGATGCAGGCTTGGCCGCTCAGGAGACGCATGCTTGCGGCGGTCTCGATGGCGGCTTGCTCGACGTCCGCGTCGGAGAAGATGATGGCGGGCGATTTACCGCCCAGCTCAAGCACGACCTTTTTCAGGTTTGACTTTGCGGCTGCGATTTGTACAAGGCGCCCGGTTGCACCGGAGCCGGTGAAGTTGATGACACGGACGTCCATGTGGGAGGAGAGGGTCGTGCCAGCGGGTGCTCCATAGCCTGAGATTACATTTACGACACCAGGGGGAAACCCGGCCTCCTTGACAAGCGAAGCCAGCTTGAGAGACTAGGAGGAGTGAGCAGATGCGATTGTAACTTCACACAGACAAGATTCTTACCGAAAGCGGCGCTTTCTCGGAGCTCTTCAGCACAATCGTGCAGCCCGCAGCAAGGGCTGGCCCAACCTTATGCGCGAACAAGATGACCGGCACGTTCCACGGGATGATAGCGCCAACGACACCGATCGGCTGTCGAAGCACCAGGTTCATGAATCCCTTGGCATTCAAGCTGGTCTCACCTTTGGCGGCGTATCCGGCTTCCGCGTAGTGGTTGAAGACGCTGGCAGCGAAGTACCCATCGAAATAAGAGGAAACCGGACGACCCATGGAGAGCGCATCAAGGGTGGCCAGCTCGCCATGAGCAGCGGCAACTAGAGCACCCAGCTTGCCGATGTAGGCTCCTCGTTCACTTGGCTCAAGATCGCGCCATGCGGGGAAGGCGGCTTTGGCTGCGGCAACTGCCTTGTTGGTGTCGTCTTCGGTCGCTTCGTATACTGCGAACCTGTTAGCGTTTTAGTGCAATGAGAATATGGCTTGCAGGCTTTACCCACTTTGGGCTACAACGTCGTGCGAATAAGGCGATTTCAGATCGAATGTTTTGCCGCTCGACGATTTGACAAACTGGGAAGTTGCGTCAATGTCATGTCTTTATGGCAAGATGGGGTTGTGTCATACCTCGCCGTTGATGAATAGCCGATTCTCGATGTAGGCGGGGACCTGGGAAGCCATTTTTTACGGTGGTGGGTTGAGATAATGGTAGTTGTTTGTCTCTTTGAGTGCTAAGTGTCTGATAGTCACTGCAATATCTTGCGGAGATTGAGCAAACTTATACTCTTCATGAAGTCTGCAAGTGACGGCTAGTTAAATCCGGGGACCAGGTTCTAGCGGTGATAACACCTTGATTTGAGCTCGGACTAGCTGAAGAAGCATACCGTTTGGCCCCCTTCACGCTGCACATGGGCTTATAAGTGGCGAGTCGACTGGATGACACTTCATCATGCTTGCTTGAGAGGTATTGAAATTGTCATGCAGTGAGACAAACAGGGGAACTCGAGATAGGGCAGTTGAACCGCGCTCCCACCTCGAAGATAGCAAGAAAATACACATGGACAACCGTTGTAGAGAGACATTTTGCTCGCTAGGAAGTTGTTCTACAGAGTACAGTCAGCCCACATCTCGCTTGCGGAGCGGCCGGTCTTCATATGGGGCGATCCGATTGGATTTCGCCGCGTGCAAACGGTGCTCGTCTGCTGCGGGTCAGCAAGCTACGGCCTGGAAGCAAGGATGAAAGCGCTGTCGTTGAGTCGTATCACCTCGGTTGCATCTGAGATTGGTGAGTGATCAAGATGGTGATGATTGGGGGTGGTTATAGGATTTGCACAAGGATGGGACGTACACACCGGAGCCACTGTATATTATTGTAACCTAAGTCAAGGGTGCAGCAAGTGGCCGTTGATTGATCACGATTTTGATTGAGGTTTGGATTTACTTATCAGCTTGGACTGATGACCGCTGCAGGCTGTGCAGCATTGAACGGGAGGCACCAAAAGTCGGTGTCTTCAACACCGGAGCGCCAAGGGCATTGGACTTACGACGCAGGCGTGGCAGGCTCGCAAGTAAGACGCTTACAATTTAGCAAGTTTCAGACTACGTACATCCAAGTAGGCAGGGTCACGAACTCACGTGCACCAAGTAGGTCTTGTCCAGAACAAGCTGTCCTTGCTCACACCATATTTAGGCTCCATCATCGCCTTTATATTGTGTCTTCCTTATCATCCTCGTTCCGGTCGTCGTTTCGTGATCGCTCCGTGCTTCTAGCAGATAGGAAAGCTCAAACCATACTCTATTCCTCCCACAATCCTCTAAAATGACAACATCACTCCACTCTCTCGTCCCCTGGACCGCTAAGCCTCTGATCATCAACGCGCCCATGGGCGGCTTTGCAGGCGGTTCAATTGCCGCCGCCGTCACATCAGCAGGAGGTCTGGGCTTTATAGGCGCGGTGTACGATATGGCTGACTTAGATCGCGAACTTTCAAAAGCTGCCTCAGCCCTGTCTGCGTCACCTACCTTCGAGAACTCGAGGACCAAAGAGGGACTTTTGCCTGTTGGAGTCGGCTTTCTGCCTTTCGCAGTAAAGGTGGAAGATGCGCTTCCCGTGATTGCAAAGTGGAAGCCTCATAGCGTATGGCTCTTCGCGGCGCAGGAGCATGCCGATTACGCTACGTGGGCCGAGCAGATCAGAGCAACTACGGGAGGGAAGACTTTGCTTTGGATCCAGACGGGTTCTGTTTCCGCTGGTGTGGAAATCGCCAGGCTCGCCCACCCAGACGTGCTCGTCCTCCAAGGCTCGGACGCGGGCGGCCATGGTTTCGAAAAGGGCGCAGGCGTTATCAGCCTCCTTCCCGAAGCTGCAGACGCGCTTGCCGATGCCGGATTCGGGGACATACCGCTCGTAGCCGCAGGTGGGATTGCAGACGCGCGGGGCGTAGCTGCGGCACTGGCACTTGGCGCGCAGGGCGTGGTGATGGGTACAAGGTTCCTTGCGTCAAAGGAAGTGATGATGCCGCATCCACTTTACCAGGAGGCGATATTGGAGACGCTGGATGGTGGGCAGAGCACCGTACGGACGAAACTGTTTGATACTCTCAGGGGACCGAATATATGGCCTGAGGCGTATGATGGAAGGGGTGTGGTTAGCCAGACATGGCGAGATCATACGAATGGTATGAGCTTGGAGGAGATCAGAAAGCTGCATAAAGAGGCGGAAGAAAGGGAGGATAAGGGATATGGTTCAAACGGACGGGTGACAATGTGGGCGGGGACAGGAGTTGGGTTAGTTAGAGAAGTGAAAGGGGCTGGGGAGATCGCTGCAGGAGTTAGGGAGGAGGCAAGGAGAGTAGTAGAAGGTTTGACAATGGGGATCTAAGTGGAAAGAATGAAAGAACGCAGCTAGGTGATCTCTAGCTGGGTAGATAGCTACTAGTGAGTGGTTTTTCTAGATTACGCCGAGAACAAACGCTGAGGAGTTTACGTTGACAACCTAAGTACAGACCCGACCTCGAAAGCCTTCTACAGCTTTACCGTAACAAAAACCCTCCGTTGGTACTCAAAATACTGCCACTCAAATTTGTATCCTTCATCGCATACAGATACGCCTCAACTACATCCCCTACTTGTCCTACCCTCCCCGTAGTCGTTGCGCTGGCCAACTGTTCAAACCATCCGTTCTTCTGATCCTCAGGGATGTCTGACCACAACTCAGTATCTACTGCTGCAGGGCTCACGGTATTAACCCTGATAGGTGCCATGTCGAGCGCCAGGTTTCGCGTCATGCTGCTGATGCCGCCACCAAAAGCGGCAACGACAGTCCAATTGAGCATAGGCTTCTCAGAGAGGGAGCTGTTCGTCAAGGTGAAGGAACTGCGAGGTCCGGGAGTGAGGTGTTCGCTAGCATGGCGAGCGACGATGAGCGGACCGAAGAAGCGGACCATGCCTGAGAACACCAGGTTAGCATATTCGAGTGTTGGGAACACAGTTTGTGCCATACCAGCTTGCTTCGCCTTTTCAATCGTAATCTCACCCAACGGCATTACCGCTAACTTATCTCCCGCCGTATAAACGACGTGGTCGACCTTCCCAGCATTTTCAAACAGTCTCTTCACCTCCTTTTCGATCGTGGATTCATCTCCAAGATCGCAAGTCTCACCTGCAACTTTCGATGCAGCGGACGGGTACGCATTCTGCAGTTTTGCGACAGCATCTTGCACCCTCGCCGATTGAGAGGATGAGATTGTCACTCTCGCGCCATGCTCGAGGCAGGCTTCAGCGATGCCGAGACCGAGACCGGAAGAGCCGCCAATAATGAGGACATGCGCGTCGCGAAGTTTGCCACTGTATTTCTGCTGGTCTGCCATGGTCGGGATATCCGAAAGCAAATGTTCTTGCGAAGGTTTTGGTCTGCGGATAGGTCGGACGTATTCTTCAGCGCTTGCGGACTCACACCTTTATCATAGTTTCGGTGATCAGATGCCCTCTAGCTTTTGTCGTCAATACCAAACACCTGCCTTTCTCTGCGTTGGGTCAAACGTCTCGGGTGAGATTGCGGAACGTAGAACTCAGATCCCCTAGAGACCGACGGCAGCTTCCACTTCCTCAAATCTGACCGCCGGAAGATGCATTTGGCAACTGAACTGATTGACAATATTGATGACAAAACTTCCTGCGTGTTAGAGTAGGATCTCTAGCTAGCTGTTTAGGCTGTCAGAGCTAGTGTAGCGTGTAAGCACCGCTTCGATTCTCCATGCATGCACCGCCTCTTGTACCCTCAGCTGCTAAGCAGCGCTTCGCAGCGAACTATGAGCCGGCATACCATGTTCTGGAAGGGATTTCAAGGTTTAAAGCAGGTCGGCGACTCCCGTTGGGGTCCAGGAGGCGATCTCGCAGCTTGCACACCGCCCCACAGGGGAAAAGGTCTCTATTTTGCGCCGTGAAGGATCAAACGGATTAGCGATGAGCCCCCGAATCGATGTATCTCTACGACGACCGGGCAGTCATTTACAGGATATTGAGCATGCGAATCATCTCCTCTCACCACAAATACACTTAACATCCTTGGTAACATCGATGTTGCTGGCTCGGTCGACGTCAATAATGTGCTCACAACTCTGCGGTGGGGCAGTGCAACTAGCAAAGCATGATGTTTATGCCAGACGGTAAGGCCTGTCGCTTAAGCAGAGTGCTTTCTGAAGAAGCGGTCTGGCCGCTCGACGGCTCTAAGTGCACCACTTGGCTTCAACGGCTTGTCGTCCGATATGGCTAGACTTGGTTTTGCTCTTGTGAACAAACCACTTTGATACCTGAGTGCAAAAGGCATGATCGCTTCTTTTAGTTGTGGTCGTGTTCCCGGGTGGTGATGCTGTGAAAGACGAAAATATCAGATCTACCACCTAACATTGTGGAGATAAACACCAGAATCTGACCACTGATATCCGGATCTAGAAAATCATTTACATCAAGGGACGCAGGCGAAGCTCAAGCACAAACACTGAGACTGTTGAGATGCTGAGCGTCTATTCCATCATCGGTTGGAGCTTTCACGCATATTGACGGTTTATGTGAGAGGCCCATGCTGAGTATCCGATCTGGAATTATCACTTGAAACGACGAAGGACGGCAGTTTTAGATTTAGGATTGTGAACCTTACACCACGGTTCCTCTGTTGAGAAAGCAGACGTCGAATGCAAGATAGCAAGGCGGAAGCCTCGCAAGGCGGTGGCTATTGCGCCACGGTTGTAGCCGCAATTCGGCCCCGAAGAGCCTAAATGCAGATCTTTAGCCCCCAAAATAACTTCGCTGGCACGTGGGGGCGATGCACCAGCTTTGGAACATCATGGATGGCCTTGAACACCGCCATCAGTCCGTTTCAGGTTCCACACGAAGGAATGTGACTGAGGATTCCTCTCAAGCTATTGTGCATTACCCCAAATTAGCTGCAGTCCGGCCCCTTCCGCGCAATACGCTCGGATATACGTGATACATCCGTAGGAAGCCGGCTGTGTACTTCGTTAACAGCCCGGACCGTCGCATAGGGAGAGATAAGGTTCTCATCTGGGCGCTCACTAGATCCATCTGCGTCGACCTTCTGGGGTCTCTTTTTTTTTTGACGAAAACTCCATACCTCCGGAGCTGTTACTGCGGAATCTTCATTGGGAGTAGGTATCAGAGGACAGCCCTGCACTACTCCAAGATATTTGCCTAACGTCGAGCATTACGCATCCAGCGGATAAGCGCGGAGTTAACGTCGGCCGACTCGACCTTAGCCGAATTGGACCTATGGGTCAGGTCTAATTTCTCTCAAGAAGATATCCATGCGTTCTGATGCTACAGAAGAATACTACACAACTCGCTTCAGAGAGGAGTATATCGGAAGCCGAGAGATGATTTGCCAGCAGCTTTCTAAGCATGTTGACGACAGCCAACCTGACAGATAGTGGGGCTCCAAATCCCCAGCTACGCGTGAAGCATTGACAAATCACACAGTCTGGGGTCGGCATGACCGAGGTATTGTGACTCGGAGGCAGTTCAGCTCCTGGTCTGATTATTTTGCAGACAGCACCGACACGGAAGAAGTAGAAGCAGTGGAACGAGTTACTGCAAGCGGTATGGGTCAAGAGATCATGACAGAAGGAACCCAAGGGCATGGAATGTTCTATTGAAAGAAGGTGCTGACGAGCAAAAGCTTGCCCGGTCAGCCATAGGACACGTGCCGTGAGGGGCCCTGCCCGTAGGGCTGATATGCCGTGCAGCATAAGATGCTTGTTTGACAAAGCAGCTAGGTCGCTTGAGATAGGAGTGAGTGCTCATGGTGTGCGCAGGTAAAAATGTGGTGTGACGAAGACGCATCTACAATGGAGGAAGCCGTGCATGCGGTGATAGGTCGCTTACAAAGCTCCGCTAATATGGGCCCAACCCGAAGCGCACCTAGCGCAAAGCCCTGCCCTCGAGACGTCCATGGATCCCTCCATCAGGGTACAAGATCCCTCCTCCATCGCGATCCCTCGGCCGGTGAACAGCCAAGCTGCACGAAGATAACGCGTGTCAGGAAACTCGCTCGGCCCTTCCGAGTGCCATGCGTGCGAGCGTCCTGATCCACCCGGCCCCTCCATGTCTCATGTTTCGAGCGGTGTGTCTAGTTTTAGATTTCTCTTCTTGGGCGCGTAATTTGAGTATCTACCTGCAATAGCAGAAGTCGGTCTTCCTGAGGCTCTCCGCATCGTCATCCAGCCCTATCGAACAGTCTATCCCATGATAGGGCAACGCTCAGAGACGTAGCGACAGCCGCTCGATGCTGTTCCCCTCAATGATCGTGCGATGAGGGTGCAGTTCAAGCGGCCGAGTCCGGAGATATCCAAACTACGGCGTATGGATTGCGCCGCCAACAGGGCAGTCCACAAATCCCTCGCAGTATGTGACTTGCACTCGTATCGCACTGAGGCGCGCATGGATGCTGCTCGCTTGGCGGTCAAGACATGGCTTGCGAGTGACCATATCCACGCAGCCTTACCGCCTCTACTGGGAGGCCGCAAGTCGTTCATGCACTGCCCCCGTCGTAACCGTTAGTCCCGTTGGCCCATCATCATGGCCCCGGCGTTCAGCTCCTCAGCCATCCCGCAGTTTACGACGACATGCAGCTCTTGTGCTTCAGCCTGGTGCGGAGTAAGTTTGTACAGCCCATGCAGCCCTGCGGATTTAGGTTACTGGTAGCTATTTTGCGGCCGCGAAGCTTGGGGCCCCTGCACGCGCTCATTCGCAGAAGCGAACGACAGGCGTCGACACCTCCGCCCTGCAGACCCCAAACGAGGCCTTTGCAGCGCTCTGTTCGCAGCTCGAGCCAAATTCCGGAATAGCTTCCTCGATAAGGCCCAAGCATCATTGGCCTGTCAACCGCTACCAACAGATGCACACTATGGCGGTTGGCTTAGCAGGGTCGGGCCCTGCATTTAAGCAGCGACGTCTGCGGAGATGCGACAGCCTGCTCGAGCTGATAAATATACTCAGCTGCCCCGGGACAGACCTCCTCCCTTGACTGTTGATAATACCTCGACCTCTCTCTCTGCACAGCCTACCTCTACCTTCAAGTTTGACATTGAACTGAACTATACAGCACCATCCACACATCTGCTCGCCATGCGCAGGCACGCCAGCTATCCCTACACGCAAACGGCCCCCACGAACAACAGGTATTCGGGGACCAGCAGTGCCTTCAGTGCGAGTGCAAACCCAAATGAGGACTGGACGAAGATATCAGATCTAGCAGAACGGAGAAGAATACAAAACCGTATTGCTCAGCGAAACTACCGTGAGTGCTGAGGCTCACATAGAATCAGTAGCATGTGCTGACTGGAAGAAGGCAAAAAGCTAAAGAAGAGGCTCGAGGATCTGGAGCGGAGAGCCGCGTCAAGTTCTGCCTCGCCTGAGCAGACGCCCGCAGAGCTTGACCGGTCACACTCGCGGTCCCGTGACGATGCACGGGAACATTCTGTGGAGGCATCCGACATAACAGACCGGGGTCGGCGTACGCCGGAGTTGTGTTACAGCCAGTACTCCGGAGTCACTGACGACCGGAGTACATACGCCCAACATTACTCGCGTCAAATGTCGGCGTCTCCGCCATTGTTTTCGTACGCGACCTACCCGGATGGCACGACATACCCGCCATACTCCCAGCACTCCACCTACCAGTCATTACCAGTCACGACATCAGAGTATCCGAACTATGGCAATTACCTACCGGTACTGTCGTCCGAGTACCCCGCGGTCTACTCCGGGACAATGCAAGCACTAAAGCCCGGAAAGTATGCCGGCGAGGAGATGAGTCCGTTTAGCATGAGCTACGCCAGTATGGCCGGTATAGACATACCTGCCATGCATCCGTACCAAGAATCAATGCTCCATGTACGTAAGTTTGCTGCCCGGTGTCGACGGCTTTCGTTTCCGTGACTGATCATTTGGTAGACGCCGCCGCTTTCTGAGTGCTTCGGTCGCTCTCGGGCTGGAACTCCAGCAGAGACAGCGTCTTTGTTTCCAACTACACCGGCGTCTATGCCAGGGACACCTCCCCGGCACTTCTAGCAAGGATAACAAAAGCGACTCGCGTTGATGAATGATGAAAATTTCTGTTGTTGTGGGAAAACGATATGGTTACCGTAGGAGGCTTGGATGGGCACTCCACTTGTTCCTGCAGCGCGCAGCGGACATACTATCGTTAAGGAGTTATCTCAAAAGGATACGGGGCGTTAGCGGCGTCGTTAGGGTTAGTTTTCTTGCTCGGTCGAGCATAATGATCTGCTCGGTAGGGAGGCTCTGCATCTTGTAGTGGTACCGCTCTTCTCACGAACTCGAAGCTGGAACGATGGGATATTCGAGAGTGACTCGGATGAAATCGATGGTCGTAGTAAGCTGTTTGTAGTGTAGTGAAAGCTTCATCTATGCTCAAGCGTAGTCTGCCGCCTCTTATCTCAGAAGTGTCACCTCCGTTGCTTCCATCCCCGACTGCGCGGACAAGGGCCATCTGAAAACTCTGTTGCCGCGACTTTCCTTGAGCTTATTCAACACCAGATTCACGATCAGACTGGACTCATGGTCTTGTTAATCGCAGAGCAGCTAGAGTGATTTCGCACAATAGAACTTAAAAGACGTTCAGCGGTTTACCTCCCTAATGCACCGATCGCCTAAGATGTCTTTGAGCTGTAAATTACACTGAAAGGCTATCCCTCTCTGCGGCTACAAGTGGTTTTCGGTGCGGTAAGGAGCTTTTCGGATGGCGCTTGGGAGTCAAGATTGATAGAGTGCGCTGCTCAAGGAGATGCTTTTCCGTCAACTACTAATTCTCAAACCCACCACTCCGACCATGCTAGTAACAATTGCATTTGCCTCGAGCCACAGTTGTCAATGCTTCACAATACGTGCGATGAGATGGGTGAGAGAGTGAGCGGGCGAAAGTGTGAAGTGAACGAAGGCTGCGAGGATTGTGCGGCAGCAGGTGACGCAGCCCATTTGGCGCGCTCCACGAAAAGTCACGTCGGCGAAACGCGCTCCAGAATCTCCGACTACCACCGTCGTCCGGCCACAGATTCCACAACGGCACTTCGTGATATCGAAACGATAACGAGGACTATCAATGGCGCCGCCACGCAAGCGGACGAAAATCGAAAAGGCTAGGCAATGGCTGCATGGCGGTGGAGTAACAAGGGAAGACTCCGACGACGAGTTGGGCCTGGAAGATTACCCGTGGGAGTGGATATACGAAGAGGAAGAGCAGAACGATGCAGGACAACAGCTGGGAAAGCAGAATGGTGCAACAAAGAAGAGAGCGAGGCATGCTTCATCGCCTTCCCCTACCACCGGGAGACAAATTATAGGAGCACGGATGGGCAAATTCACCTGCCGGATTGGAGATACCGTGCTTCTGAAGGCCGACGGGAACGAGGCATGGGTGGGGATCATATGTGATTTCTTATGGAAGGAGAACGATAATGGAGTGATGCAAAAGCACGCCAACTTCATGTGGTTCTCCACACCAAGGGAGATACGCAATAAAGTCAAGAAACGGGACGATGCGCTAGAGGTAAAGGCGATCACTGAAAGCACTTGAACCAGTTTCTAACGGCCCCCAGAACGAATTGTACATCACGCCCTCATGGGACGATAACGAACTGACCACCGTCAACGGCACCGCTCAAGTTGTCTCACCAAAAGCTTTTCACGCTAGGTTTCCTAACGGCAAGGTCCCTCGCAACCACAAGGACTATGGCAAGGTCTTCGTGTGCAGAAGAGGGTGTAACACAAGAACGGCAACGTACACAGAAGAATTCGTGTGGGATGAGATATATCATGGTGAGGAGGACATCGCTGCCCTTATGGAACGAGTCAAGAGCCAGACCAAAGCGACGCGCAAACGTCGCAAGACCGAGAAAAAGGATCTCGACGAATTCGTCGTCGGAGAGGACGGAGACGAGGGGGTCCCAAAAACGCCTCGCAAACGCCGGAAAGTCGATGGTATAAGCACACCAACTTCCAAACGCAAAGACCTTACACCTCGCAAGTTCATGACACCAACCCACAAACGCATCGTGCTCAAGAAGCCTCTTGAGTTCACACCCCTAGGTACCCGCGTACTCTCTCCATCCGCCCTCTCTTCCCCGTTTCAGATTGCAAGAACCCAACTCCATGTCTCCTCTGTGCCCGCTACGCTCCCCTGCCGAGAAGAAGAATTCTCCACCGTCTACTCCCACCTCGAAGCCGCAATAACCGATGGCTCGGGTTCCTGCATCTACATCTCCGGTACGCCTGGCACAGGTAAAACCGCTACTGTTCGAGAAGTCGTGGCGCAGCTCAACGCATCTGTACTCGCCGAAGAACTGGACGACTTCATCTTCGTCGAGATCAATGGCATGAAAGTCACCGACCCGCACCAGTCCTACTCCTTACTCTGGGAGGCCCTGCGAGGCGATCGTGTCAGCCCGTCCCACGCCCTCGAACTACTCGAGCGTGAATTCTCAGCGCCCAGTCCCAGAAGAGTACCGTGTGTAGTCCTAATGGACGAGCTCGACCAACTCGTCACCAAGAACCAAAGCGTGATGTACAACTTCTTCAACTGGCCTTCCCTGCGCCACAGCCGCCTGATCGTGCTCGCTGTGGCCAACACTATGGATCTGCCCGAGCGGACGCTCTCGAACAAGATCAGCAGTCGATTGGGCTTGACCCGTATCACGTTTCCGGGCTACACGCACGAGCAACTGATCACCATCATCCGGTCGCGCCTCGCAAACGTACCAGGAAACATCGTCCACCCAGACGCCATCCAGTTCGCCTCCCGCAAAGTAGCCGCCGTATCTGGAGATGCGCGTCGCGCTCTCGACATTTGCCGGCGCGCTGTCGAGATCGCCGAAACCGAGGCACTCTCGATCAAAGAGATTGACAATGACAACGACGATGTTGACGACCTCGCGCCAGCCACCCCCAGCAAGACCGGCCGCGGTAAACCAAGGGCTTCCACAGGACCCCAGCAAGACCCGCCACCAAAGCCAATCCCCACCGTCACAATCGCCACCATCAAACGCGCCATCCACGAAGCGACCTCCAGCCCTCTCCAACAACACCTCCGCTCCCTCCCCCTCTCCTCCAAACTCTTCCTCGCCGCCCTCCTCGCCCGTATCCGCCGCACCGGCATCAGCGAAGCCGTGCTCGGCGACGTGGTCGACGAGGCGAGGCGGCTTGGCCTAATGAGTCAGCTCTTGCCTTTGCATGAGTATCTGCTGGCTGAAGGGTCTGCACCGTCTGAGACGGAAAAGGAGAACAGGGAGAAGAGTGGTGGAGGGGCGAAGACGCGAGGCGCGAAACAGCTGGAGGCGAAGGTGCCCAGGGCGCTGGGGATGGGGAGGGCGGCGGTAGAGTTGATGGAGGCGGGGGTTGTGGGGTTGGAGTGTCGGAGGGGGGAGAGGGTAGGGAGGGTCAGGTTGGCGGTTGGGGAGGAGGAGGTAAGGCTCGCGTTGAGGGAAGATGTTGAGGTTAAGGGCTTGGGGCTTGGGGGTTGAGGAGTATGGGAAGGCTGATTTGGTCGCGCAATTGCTGATTATGTGGAAGATGATACCCAGATATGGCGTTTGCTTGCTTGCATTGGTTTGGGTATACTGCTTCTAGATCCAAATCACACTCGATCGAAGGCCAGGGACATGTCCGGCTACCGAGCTCTTGTCCCCGCTTCTCATCCTTCCTCGTTTGCTGCAGCTGAGACGCTCCGTTTTCCGTTACAATTCGACCCCCTTGACTGAGCGCAATGCTGGGTATGTGCCACCATCCATTCCTGTCATCATCTCTTGGCGTGTGAGATGAATGGAACCGCTGCTGGTCTGAGCGGCTCACATCATAGCCGCTTGCAGAACCTCATCCTTGTAGTTACCAGACATAGCTTTCCTTAAGTACACCGTTGTCCCTCAGAACTTCTGCCGGCCGAGTGTAGGCTTCCACTCGAGTGGATGTGTTTCCGGGGTCGCCTCGTCGTCCGGCTTCCAGACCTTGACTGCAGAAAGGATTAGCATCCAGTATACATGTAGAGTAGACGTGAGTCTAACTTACTAGTCTTATCAGCTTCGCCGGTAATCAACCGCAGTCCAGTCTTGTCAAAGGTCGAGCTCATGAGCCCGGCTTCAGCATCCAGCGAGCCAGGTTGAGCGATACTCTCCAGACTCTGGAATCGGTGTCCAGTCTTCCAATCCCAGAAGCTGACTGAACCATTATCACCTATCAAACCGTTAGCGTCTCATTGCAGAATGGCTTTGCCAGGTAGACTTACCACCCGAAAACAGCACGTTATCCTCATTAACAGCCAGCGTATTGATAATACTATTATGCCCCTCAAAATTCTGCATGAACGCCCCTTCCGGGCACTTCCACTGCTTTATCGTCCCGGTGCTGCCACTCGCAAACGTAAACTCCTTCGGATGCACCGCCAGTGCCCTAACCCCCTTCTTATGATGCGTGAGCACTCCCATCGTCTTGCCGGCTGCCAGATCCCACATCCGTATAGTGCTGTCTAGGGAGGATGATATGACCTGTGGATCGGCTTCCTGGCACTTGACGTCAGAGACCGTGCCCTTGTGCCCAGATAGGACGTGGATGTTGGAGCGGGTACGCATATCCCAGACGCGGGCGACGCCGTCGCGGCCGCCGGTCACGAGGACGTCGAGGGTTGGGTGGAGGGAGAGGGTGTAGACGCCTGAGAGATGGCCGTGGTAATGTCTTATGACTTTGTTTGTCTCTAAATCCCAGCACTTGACCATCTTGTCCTCGCCGCAGGAGAAGAGGTACGGGTGGCGGTCGGATACGGCGAGGCCGCGCACCGTGGAGATATGGCCGGTCAGCGTGAGCCTGCAAGTCCCGGACGCAAGATCCCAGATCTTGATAGTGCGGTCCCCGGCTCCAGACGCGAACCACTGGTTGTTGGGCTCCACAGCGAGAGCGCGCACCCAGCCGAGATGCCCAGAGATGACGCGCATCAGTTTCCATGGCGCATGCCAATCTGGCTTTGCTTGTCGTACTGTGTCTTTCCGCACCAGCGCCGAGGAGGGTGTATTTCTCTGCGGAGTCGGCCCGTTTGCGTTCGGCGGTAGAGCTCCAGCACCCCTTGCGCGCACTGTGAGCGCGTTTGATATGCCCGCGCTCTTTGCCTGCTCTGACTTTTCTGATATGCCCTCGATCATCTTGACTATCTTGGGGTCTAAAGGCGCCTCATCCTGATTTCGAGGCTTTTTCCGTCGCGCGGCTGCCATCGCGGCTGCGGAGGCCTGTTTCTGCGCGAGCGCAGGAGGAAGCTCTGTGGCGTCTGCATATTCGCTGCGGATACGGGAGGAGAGGCTGGTGCGAGATGCGAGCTCGAGGGGTGAGGGCTGCGCGGGCGCGACGGAGAAGACGGTTTGGCTCGCGCTTTCAAGCCCGGAGAGTGAGCCAAAGTCGGAGGCGAAGAGCTCGCGCGTACGTTTTGCAGACGTTCGGAGGAGTATTTCTGGGTTAGGGGTCGAAAGAGGCGCTGAGGGAGCTATTTCGGTCATGGTTCTGGCGAGTGAGGGCGGGCGCGCGGCGGTTGAGAGGTAGGTAATGGCGTCAGAATTGAGGTTCAGGTGTCAGCGTGTGTCACTAAACCTAGGTCTTGGATTGAGGAGCGGGTCCGATATAAACGGGAATGGGCTTTGCGCAACAACTGAAGATATCAGATACATACAAAGCGCAATCAACGTCTACTGGTACCGCACTGCGTACCGTATTTCTTACCCGCAGATTTAATACCGTAAGCTTGGCGCTCATCGATACATGTAAAACTCTCTTCCATTCCAACGAATAGACGCATTATTCACTCTGCTTGTTAAAAAGCTTTCTTTCTGAAGGCGTCTATTAACATGCTTGATCCATGAACCTAGGAGGACTTGCAGGAATACGGGAAAAATTGAAACTGATGGGGGCCCTATGACATGATCCTTGTGGTCGTGCATATGTCCAATCAATATCTCAAATGATTTTCATGAGAAGCTCATTTCTTCCTTCAAATAGCTTCACTTCTCTCTCCTCGCTAATGCGGAAATGCGGAACCAAGCCGACTCTCTCAAAGGTGTACATCCAACGCTCCTCGACAGGGGAGCCCGCCTTGTCGGCGTAAAAGCTCCTTTCCGGTACGTGTGAATCCAAATAACGGAGGACGAGCAGATCGCCGTGTCTTGAGGTGGGGACCATTGTCGTATACTCTGGTTGCCGCCTACCGCTTGGTTGCACGTACCTTTTCCCTTCATGCAGGAGTTTCCCAGCCGCAAGCAGAACAGCCGTTCTCCTTCCTCGGTGCAGTCCCTTCCTTTCTGGTTGAGTGGGTAGTCTGGAAGAAAAGCGATATCACCCTCCTGGGAGCGCAGGACGAAAGAATTACTTGGACACTCTTCCTGTGTGCCGAAAGTATCGATGAGACGGCCAAACTTATCCTGACTATCGTCATTGCTTTGTGGATAAATCAGTCGACACGGTGCAATGCGACCCGTGATTCTGAGATAAGCTTTCTTTACCTGTCCGGTCGGATCGTCCCCGAGAGGTTTGCACACTGCTTCTAACAAGCGAATGTGGCGGCTATCCATCTTAGAGGTTTGATATCCGTCAAACTGATAAAGCATCTGGAAAGTCCCAGTAACACTAGCCCAAGACCACGATGGGCTTATGTAATCTACAGTCCTGGCTGTCCTTCGCCCAGAACTATCGGGTGTCGAGCGGTCGTGGAGACTTTCGATTCGCCAGCGCAGCTCGTTACAGAGATCGCTTTCCCATAGACCGGCCAGATAACGGTACTTCATCCGCTCTTGGAAATGCTTAGCCAGGTCGGAGAGTGCTGGTAGTCTATCTTTCTCGAAACTTATCTCGTGTTCCGAGTACTTTTCCACCAACCTGTGCCCTTCGTCGAAGCTGAACTTATCAGATGAGGCGAGTCGAAACCTGTCAGAGCTATCCAGACGGCCGCATCTGTATTTACGCCCTTTCTTATTTATTCTGTCCTGCATTCCTTAAGAAAAATGGTGATTACTTTACGTTCTTGCAAAGAGTTTCCACATTCTTCCGCAAGGGCCAGAGTTTAGGCACGAGGAGAGGATCGCAACTGAGTCAACAGCTGAGCCAGTCACTTACCGAGCCAAGGGGACATGGCGTACGGTCTAGATCATGAAGCCCACGGTTTGTCGAGGCTGGCGGCGTTTCCTGCTGTCGAACTTCCTAATCGGTCTTGCCCGCTGCCCCTTGCAGCATGTAAGGACTATACAGTTCCTTAGCTATATTTAGCGTTGTTGCGTTCCTCTCCACCAGCCTCTATGTTGGCACGGCGGAGGATGAACAGTATGCATCAAGCACGCAGATATTACCGTCTCACCAGTCATTCACGCTATTAATTTTGTGCTCGGTAATCTCAATGAATGACAGACCTGCTGGTCTACATGTCTCGTTTTGTCCGCTTGCGGTACTCATACCACGTTTGTTGCCCTTGGCTACAGCCGCGCATTTCCCGCAGCTCCACAATGGCACGCTTGTTATACGGCCTTGTCCGCGGAGGACTGCTAGGTGTGAACCCGAGCGCAGCGTGGCGCTAAGGTTGCCGCTTGCGGCAAGAATTTCTTTCATAAGCTACGTCGTGCGTCAACATTCAGGCCTCACCCAACCAGCAAGGAAATCATCCCTTGAAGGGTTTACCACGATTCCCCGTCATTTCAGCATCACCACTCCGTCTGACACCTCACAAACATCTACTCGAGTATACCTCTGTGCTTGTGAGAAGTCGACCCAGCATGAAGACTTTTACCGTACTCGCTCTTCTGGCCACTGTGGCTTCTGCTCAGCTTCCCAATATCCCGACATGCGCAGTAAGAACGTGTCCAACTCACGCAAGTTCCACGTCGTACTAATTACTCTGCTCTCCAGCTCCAATGTTTCCTCGGCGCCCTCACCTCCGACGGCTGCAGCTCCCTCACAGACTTCGCCTGCCACTGCAGCAAGACGGACCTGATCCCCAAAGTCCAACCGTGCATCCAGACCGGCTGCTCCGCTGAGGATCAAGCCGGTACGTTCTGACACTTCTTACTACCCTACTTTCTACATCGGAGACTAACTTGCTTCCACAGCCGTCATGAAAGCCGCCACAGAAGCCTGCGCCGCAGCCGGCGTCCCCATCGCGGTTCCCGCCGCCGCTCCACCGGCCGCCATGACCCCTGCTCCCGCGGCGGAGGAGGCCCCGGCGGCATCGATCGCTGCTACAGAGGCGCCAATGTCTACTGATGCTTACGGTGCTACTATCATGACGACTACCACGCGTACCAGCATCAGCGGGGTTGTTGTCACGGCTACGTTGAGCTCGGGAATGGCTGCTGCGTCGTACTCTGCCGGCAACGCTACGGGCAACGCGACTTCTGCGACGCCAGCTTCGTTCACGGGTGCGGCGGAACGAAGGGGCGTGGCTGTTGGAGGGTTGGTAGGGCTGTTTGCGGGTGTGATTGGTATTGCGGCGTTGTGATGGGTGAGGAATGAGCTCGGCCTTTCTGAGTGTGTTTGCCGCTGTATGGAATGTGGGACTTTCCAAAAGATGAATGTCAAATTGAGAGCTACGTTGTAGCGTCTAAGTGATCTTCTTCAATATTACATCGGCGGAAATTCCAATCTATGGAAAGGCTTGATGGTATTCCGTACAATGCAGTCCGAACGAATTTTCTTCAAAAAGTAACAACACGTAATCGCCACACAAGACTTTGGTTGAAAGTCACAATGAGAATGCCAAAAACATACAGCAGTAGGTATTCGCTAGTGGTCACCCATCTAACTACTAATCTACCGATTCAAGGCTTATGTGAGGGCAGAGCGGACGGGATACCCAGTTCTCTTTGATCTATGGCCGTATGTGGCAGACTGAGGCCATGTTTGCAATACATGTCAATCATCAATAGTCATCTGGGGTAACAGTCATTCTGCCCATGCTTGAATCATTCATATTCATTCTCTTCGCCCAGGACTATTCAGCCACTAGCGTTAGAAAAAGAACGGGCTGGCCTTTCTCATAACAATGTCTGCTGCACATGCGTCTGCAGATGAGACAGATAAGGACAAGGTCAGGCGCACTTTCGTAGGCGGGGTGCCAGGTGCTCCTCTTGCAGCCCATACCCAGATTTCAGTCTCTTCGAGAACCGAAGAACCACGCTGGTCGATTTGACACTGTGTTCATACAGATCTTGGGGTTTTGCCAAAGTCACGGATACCGTGGTCGCTTTGGAGTGTTAAAGAGGCTATCCAAAGCACCAGCTCTACGAGACAGGCCCGTCAAAACCCTGTTACCCGCAGCAAATCAGCGACTGCGAGTTAGATCAGTTCCCCAAGGCGTCGGGAAGGAGATCGGGCCGCAAGAGCCCAGATTGGCTGAGCGATAGCGCGGGGATGTCCGAAAGCACTCCCTCATGCGCTCTCATGCGTTCACGGCTACGGTGCGTTGATAGGGTTGGATCTTCGATAGACGAGCAGAGGAGCAGCAAAGCGGAGATGAAGACTACCTCCCAGCCCGTGCTCGCGGAGCTCAAATCGATTAACATACATATGTAGGCACATCAGTCTATTCGGCTACATGCAGCAGCAGCCATCCCTGTAGAGGCCCTTCTGTCTAGTCGGCCGTGTAAATTTCCTGTACAATTGGCCTCCTGCACATCCATGCATGCCGCACTTGCGTGGACATTTGCGAATGGCTGTAGGATCATGCTGCCGCTGGGTCAGGCAGCACCTGATAAACCTTGATGCAATCCGCACTCGGCAGCGCGTTTTGTCCAGCCGTCTTTAAACCGCCCGGCTCCTGGGTACAGCTCCTGGGTACAGCTGTGGATACATGTTCGGGCACTAAGACCCAATTACTTCAGTATAAGCCTCGTTCGCCCAGCTTTCTCAATTTCCCAGCACGTGTTGCTCTTCACCCTCGACCATGACGGGCCTCAACGACATCGAGAAAACCGCGAAGACGGAGATCCCCAAGATTGAGGTCCAGGAAGCAATCGAGGGCGAAGATGTCACGTTCAATCCCAGGGCAAAGGGCAAAGGCGTCCTTGAGGTGCGTTGCGCACCGTTCTGCCAGCCGACCACTTGCGACTGCACAGAACCGCTAAGAACCTCACAGAGATATATCAACTTTCCCGCCGCCATCAACTTCGGCTTCATACTACAAGCCTCCTGGGAGACCGTCGCGCTCACCTTCCAATTCTCACTCCTCAACGGTGGACCTGCCGCAATGCTCTACGGGAGCTTGTTTGCGGGTATCGGCTCAAACATCGTTGCTGCTTCGCTGGCGGAGATGGCTTCCATGTAGATCCAACATTAGCTTTCAAAGGGCCAGGCGGTGACTTAACACAGAGACCCTTCCGTCGGTGCACAATATCGGTGGACTGCTAAGTTCGCGCCTCACTGGAACAAATTTTGGGGGCTGATGCAGGGTATGCTCATGGTGTGTACGTCTTGCATCTAAGATTGACATCCCACAGGGTGGATTACTGTCTTTGCCTGGATGTTCGGTTGCATTCTCAACCCCGCAGGCATTGCTCAGATCGTAGTGGGCCTCTCGATCTTCAATTCCGAATCCTATGTGCCCCAACGCTGGCACACAACGCTACTGATTTGGGGTTTTACCGTCGTGCCGTTCCTCGGAAGTCTCTATTTTAGGAAGATGGTGGACGTCCTCCAAACACTTGGCAGTATATGCCATATCGTCTTCTTCGTAGTTTGCATTGCCCTCTTGGCTGTGCTGGGCGAACGTAGCACGCCGGGCTTCGTCTTCAACACCTTGACTCATGACGTTAGCGGGTGGACGAATCCCGGGGTGGCGTGGGGAATTGGATTACTGACTGTAACTTTGCCACTCGTAGGTAAGCATTCTGATGTACGTACGCCTCAACAGATATAGCAGTTGCTCACTCAGAATCATGGAACAGGTTTCGACTCAGTCATCCACATGAGTATGTACAAACGGGGTCTTCTTAGCCTACTTCTCAAGAACAGTCGGAAGAGAAACTGACCAAAGCTCAGGCGACGAGGTCAAAGAAGTGCGTACGCGATTACCACGCAGCATGATCTCGGCCTGCGCGGTAAATAGCGTGATGCAGTTTATCTTTATCCTGTGTCTACTCTTTACAATCGGCGATATCAACAAGGTCGCAAACACACCGACGGCGCTCCCGATAATCGAAGTTTTATACCAAGCGACCCGCTCAAAACCAGCGACTAACTTCATCGTCTCGATGCTGGGCGTGGTTTACTTTATCGCATTCTTTAATGTCCTTGCCTCCGCCTCTCGTCTCGTTTGGGCATTCTCCCGGGACAATGGCCTTCCGTTTTCGAAGCTCTTTGCAGATGTGAGTTGCCCATCCTTCCAGTCATCAGCTCGACTCCTTAACCAGCGTTGCAGGTTCATCCCGGACTAAAGATGCCGCTGAATGCGTTGGTTCTGGTTGGCACAACCTTCTCACTGCTAGCCCTCATCAACATCGGCTCCTCGACTGCCTTCAACACCTTCTTCTCTCTTCCAGCGTTGCTGATGTACATCTCGTATTTCTTCCCAATCCTGTTCTTCTTCCTCAAGCGTTTCTCAGATAATCCTCCCCAGTTCGGCCCGTTCACGCTAGGGAGATGGGGTGCTTTCTTCAACCTCTATGCGCTCTGCTACATCCTCTTCATCATTACTTGGATGCCGTTTCCCACAATTCGTCCGGTTACGGCGCTCAACATGAACTATGCGGGGCCGCTCCTGGGCGCTGTGATCCTGGGGGCGTTGCTGGACTGGATTTTCAGTGGGCGCAAGCGCTTTCAGATTCCGGTCTTGCGGCACACTCCAGAGTTCTAGAGCACGGCAGATGTTGCATGGACTCCGGCGCAGCTGAGACTGCTAGAAAAGCTTGACAATAGCGTTCGTTGGAATCTCGCAGAGCCTGTTCGGCTCAGCGTGATGAGTTGGACGCCAATCTTTAACGCATGTTTCCCTTAGTTTCCAACATAGGAAGAGGGCCATGTAATGATATGAATGACCAGAACCAGAAGTGGTTGAAGGATATAACCGCGAAGTTCGTGTCTGTTCAGCCATCTTGTGTCAACTCCACGCACACCGTCTCATCAACAATGAAGGATTGTTTTAAAGGCTTAGAGTTGTTATGCACTTAGACGGACAGTCTCGCCGTCAGCAAGGCACGGTCTATCAAAGATGACAAGGCCTTCCCGCTTAGTGAGGTTCATGGTAATGCCAAAGACGGTAGTAGTCCCTCCCCAGGCGGTCCCCTCCAGGGATGGATCAACAGGCCGGCAAATGGCACCGCACCCATTCTCGGTATCCTTGAGCACCTGTAAAAGGTCATCTTCGCTAGCATCAGATGGCAACCCGCTGGTAAGCTTGCCCAAGCGCTCATTGCGGTAACCCGAATCCGGCAGCCACGGAAGCTCTTTTAACCCGAGCGGTCTGGACTCAGATATCCAGTGGTTCGTATGGGTGATGAGATCCCGTGCCTTGCCGTTAGGCTCGATGAGCGCGATCCCGAAAGGCGAGACTTCCACCCCGACAGCGCGATCCGGGTCTGCGATGAGGAGGTGCCCGGCACAGCCTGCCCCGCCGGTGCCGCAGGATCTGACCACTTCCAGCGCTTCGGATACGGACTTTGCTTCTAAGATGCAGCGCAGGAGGATATGTATTGGCAGCTTCTCGTAGTCGGTCCCCGCAGCGCGTAACGCGTTAAGAGTGACCCCGACTCCGCAACTGTTGAAGCCGACCTTTCCCACAATGCCGGCCTCCGTGACGGTTGTCAGATTGACTTGCCCAGGCGTTTGTAACTTCAAGATCACGACGTTGGGCAGCTGCGACCCTTTCCAGTCCCAGTTCTGCGCGAGCCATCGCACTTCCCTCATGCCTTCTTTCGCGAGCAGCGAGAACGCGGAACAGCCGTCTGGAGGCACGGCTTCTTGTGGTGCTGCGACTAGAGCTATTTCACTGCGCACATTGAGGGCTAGGATGTCTTCGAAGTCGATACCGGCGCCGTCGGCGATGCCCCGCATCTCGTCGACGAGGTGCGCGGAGTAGCGGTTGCGAGCTATCGTAGGTAGGTAGCGCTTGGCTGTGGTTCGGACGGCATCCCAGTCGAGGCTTACGGTGTCGAGGAAGAAGGCGCGGTAGTTCTCGATGCAGGATGCAATCTGCTTAGTTGCACCGCGTCCATGGCATTGCCCTATCTGAGCGATACGTTAGCTGCCAGCGGCGGTTTGTGATCTGTTTACAATGAATTTATGGCTTGCGCCTCGAGAGACATCACCTCAAACGGAGTGTCCCCCGAGCAATGGATCACGCGGGGATTCGATGCAGAGCCCATTTCAATCTTAGCTTCCTCAGGTAACCGGATCTTGTATATAGACACGACCAGCTCTGCTTCTCGGTGTCGTAGAAGAACGTTCAACCGATCCGAGTTGCGAGACGGACAATTCGGACTTCACACCATCGTAACCTCGGTTGATATCTGCACAGTTGGTTCCAACCGTCGCCCGAATGCATGCTCTCACGTGATATCGCTCAGATCTGCGTATCTCCAGTCGTTTCTGATGGTGAGATTGTTTTAAAGGCTACGAAGCTGTGAGCGGCATGAAACCTCACGATGACGCATGTAGCAACACTCTCGAGAGACCGCTAGTACCTGAATGCATATCTGTAAGCTCCTCCCGAGTTCCGATGAGTCCGACCATTGTGTAAAGACACAAAATCAATGTCAATCCATGAGCCGAGTCCATCCTTCTCGAGGCTGGTAAGGGCTTATGTTTGTGTACTTGCGATCTGATTGTTACACGCGCTTCTCCTCGCACACACCATTACCTCTCATTTCCGATGGAGAAACGTCTAGAAGTAGCGGAAGGATACATGCAGGCTTACTCCCTGACTCAGAAACGCCTTAAACCGGCTAAATACATGTAGAGCTAGGAATGATTACAATGCTAGAGACGAAGAAATGCGACCGCTGAAGCTGTACCCAACGGTGCACACAGAAGCCAAGGACATGTTTTCCAACACAGGACGGAGGCTGGGGTATAGAACAAGAGAAACCGGACAATGAAGAAGATGCTGATGCTGTGATCGTGCGAGCGTGGTGTTGATGAAACGGGCCGGGGGACGTGAAAGTGATCAGGGAACTGATGAGATTGCTGACACGTTCGTACTTAGGGGCTCCCCATTCCTCCACCCCCCACCGTACTCGAGTCCCCCTCAATAGTCTTCCGCCAATGCCGCGGCACACACACGCAAACCAGCGGAAACGCCTTGATCTCGCCCGCACCCTCAGCCCCCACGACACTCCCACCACTCATCCCACTATCCCTCTGCCCATTTCCCCTCGCCTCAAACTCCTCCGCCCTCTCGGAGAGCTTGATGCCAGTCGCCCACCCATCATCCCAGATGCCCACCACTTTGAGCAGGTCCCCGCGCTCGAGCTCAAACTCATCCGCAGCCCGCGGTTGGTACGCCCACAGCGTCGCCACCGTATCGCCGGGCCGAATCTCGTCTTGGGAGTAGTAGTCCTTGAAGAAACCCAGCTGCTCGCTCTGGCCGCTCGCCACGCCCTCGGGGGAGGACTGCGAGATGTGGTCGCCGTTGCTGTTGCTCTGCGGGGAGGTCGGGTCCGTGGCCGAGGAAGTCAGCGCGTCGAGTGCCGAGCGGCTGGAAAGGCTGCCCTCACGCTTCGGGAGCGGGCCACCGCCGAGGCCGAGGCCGTAGCTGGGGGAAGCGCCGTACCGGCTCTCGGGACTGGTATTGTATTCGTCGGAGGAGTGCCCGTTGGCGTAGCCGTTGTGCGCCGAGGAGCTGGACGTGTCTTCTAGCGCCGTCATGCGCGCGACGCGGCCGCCGGGCAGGATTTCGGGGTTGCGAGAGCCGTCGTATGCGGCGGACATTGTCATTGGTGGAGGTTGCGGCGGGCCCTGCCGCGATGGCGAGGGCTGATTGAAGACGCTGCTGGTCTGGGAGCCGTTGCGGCGCCGGCGGAGGAGGACGCAGGCGCAGATAATGAGGCCGAGGAGGGCGAGCGCGCCGAGGAGCGCACCGATTACTATGCCGGCGATTTGGCCAGCGGAGAGGCCGGCGTTGGCGGCGGCGGGCGCGGCGGTGCTGGGTGAGGTTGCGGAGGTGGGAGGCGCGGAGATGGAGGTGGATTGCGGGAAGACGGGGTCGAAGGAGGTGGTGGATGGGAGATCGACGCCTTCGCACCGCGCCTCGACTTGAGCGTTGATGCAGCAGGAATCGGTGGAGTTGAGAGAGCTGGTGGCGCAAAAGGAGCAGAGGCCGGAGAGGTTGGATTGGTAGCCGCAGTTGTCGGGCTCATTGTCAACGCCCGCTATGCAGGTCCCGGAGAGTGAATTGGCGGGCAGTGCGCAGTTAGTAAAGTCTGCTCGTATCTGGCTGATCGCATTGTCTCCCGGGCTGCCGCAAAGCTCGGGACGTGAGGCAATCGCGTGCTCGCTGAGTGCGTACTGGGCCTGCTCATAGGTCAGCTCGGCCAATGAGCAGTCTTCGAATATACATACACAGGTTTCGGCACACAGCGGTCGCATTTGCTCTATCGTCAAACCGCAGGGGACTTCTGATATCTGGACTATGGCATTACAAATTACAGATGTCGTGTATCTCGCATAGTAGTCGGTGGTATTGGTGAGGTTTACGTTATCGCAGCCGATGAGCTGCTCATATCTGTTCCTCTTAGCATTCGCTGGAGAAGCCAGGCGGGAAGTCTCACCTCTGTTGGGTGAAGGACGTTGCGATATAATTTTGTAACCGGTCGTCGAAGGAGGCTACATCAGACACGAATGACAAGAAGGGACTGCGCGGAGATATCAGCACAGCAATTCGCAAGGGTCTCCACAAGAGACGTACAAATAGCCGACCAGTGTAGGGTTCGTGGATATTGAGGACTGGTTGAAGGCCGGACAGAGCGTCGAACCTGCCAGCGGAATGCAATTCTGAGCCATAGCGGACGGTATACACGCTGCGGCGAAAGCGAGGAGCGCAGACTTCTTCAGTGGCCGTGGTATTCGCCGTCGCCGAGTGGTCTTTGGTACGTGGTACGCCGAACGCAGCTCATCCTGTGGTGGAGCACCACCTTGCCTCGGTCCTTGCTCGTCCATGGTTCCCTTGCGCGCGAATGTATACTGTGAATGTTCGGTGTCTGCAGGATGCTCGTATGTGATCGTTGTAGGTCCGAATGCTCGCGTTCAGGTGTTGTTTGCAAGACACCGCGGGGACCGGCTGGTCAGGTCCAGGCCATTAGTCTAAGCCAACGGCTCGTGCAGGAGCCGAGGAGGGTGATTTGGGATGAAAGAAGCGGGTTTCGCCCGGGCGGAAAGGTGCACCGGCGCAATTGGACAGAGACAGGAGAAAGAGCGACTGTGGTAAGAATTGACTTTAGAGATGTCTTGTAAACAAAAAGTCGCGATGTGCTGAAGCCAGACGAGAAGGAACGCAGCGATCTCCCAAGCGCACTGCGCAGGAGCAGATCATCTCGTGTCCAGCCACATCCCGCCTTCCCGGCCTCGTTCCTGCTTGCCCCCAAATTAAGGCACCGGAAGATTGGGCTATCCGCGTCTTGCCCTTGTCAAGGCAAGCGACGGCTTGCTGATTGGCAGACGGCCTGTCTCGGTCAGGCACATCCCGGTCAAACGTCGCTAGGAGAAATTGCAACGCCAAGTTTCGCATTGTGGGAGAGTTGTGATTGGGCGAAGCTGTCCCTCAGCAAGCGCGATTGTATTGTACATGAGTTCCCATGAGCTATTGTACAAAGCAGAGAGACTTCACAACAGAGGGCTAGGGCAGGTCAAGGCAGCGCACATTCGCAATTCCTCGAGACAGCCGAAGCAGAACCAACTCAAACATAGAAACTGCGAAACCTGTCCATCAACAAGCCAGCTGCCTCTTGCGTCAGGACGCGCCTCTGCAGCAGCTCCCACGGCATCTCCGCTGGGATCGGCTCCTCCTCCCCCATCATGAAGCCGCACGCACATTCCCAAGGCTCTAGATGGCCATACGGCTCGCAAACCTGCCGCTTGATATCGGCTTCGATATCCTGAAGTCCTATAGGTGCTCTCACGAAGGCGACACTGCTTTGGCCGTCAGCCGTCGGAAGAATGACTGCATCTAAGAGCGGATGCTGCCAGAATGCTTCCCGATCTCCGTCACCCATCGTCCTGTCTTGAACCCGGTCAGTGGGTGTTACGCAAGATAGGAAGGAAGTGACATACGCTCGAAACCCTCCGTCGCCGCCTCTGCCTCCTGCAACGGCCACGTCATAGTAACCCAGTTACCGTATATCAGATTGTTCGGCGAGTAGCCGCCGAAGTCGGGGCCAGTCTCTGTCATTTCCGCATCCCGGTCCTGGTAGGTCTCTGTGAAGTTCGCATCGAGGTCTCGGTTTGTCTCTGTCATCTCTGCATCCCGGTCCCGGCCCGTCTCTGTCTTGTTCTCTGTCTCCTTCTTTGCCGCAGGGTTCATCTGGAGATTTCGGTTCCATTCCACCTTCAAGTACGGCAGCTCTTGAGTACGCACCTTCCTCCCTGAGGCATCGCTCAGGAGCTTGACGACCAGCCCATCCGGCCAAAGCCAATGGGTCAACCACTCCAGGTGGCGTTGGTTAGGCACGCTCAGGTCTATACCTGATACTTGAAGAGTGATGAGAGAAGCATGACTCACCCGGTGACCTGGTCTCAAGACAATGTTCGATTCAAGCATCGAAAGCTTGAACAGCGCGCCCGAGAACTCGAAGCCCGGCCTTGTACGCCAGACCTCCAGCGGGTACTCGTCTGCTTCCGGCCAATGTGCGTACGACTCCTTAGGATCTGCCGTTGGGAGTGAGAAGACGATCCTCTGTACCAACTGCGCCTTGCCGTGCGCCTCGAGGTAGTCGATGAAGGGAACAAGATCTTTCATGTTATGGCTGAAATCGAAAGTGTTCTTCTCATAGAACCGATTACCGATTTCAGATTGGACCTGACGAGAGGTGGCGGCTAAGTTAAGCGTGGAGCGAGTGATCGGATGTGCCGGTTGTCTGCCGGGGTACGGGAGTTGGATGTCGTAGAACTGATAGACACTCCATCCCTCGCGTTCTTGTCTCCGAAGTAGTCGATGCGGACAGATTGGATAGTTGCGAGTGACAGCGAAATCGTAAATAATGTCGCGGAGTTCAGGTGGCAAGTCCATCAGGCGGAAAGGTTTGAGCTGTGCAGGAGCACTCTCCTCAGAGCGGTGCGATGATGCTTGCGTAAGCGTGGAAGCCGGTACTAGGCGCATCGAGCCTCCAAGAGCCGAATGTCCGGCCGGTCTGAAGCCGTGCCATTGCAAGAGGGGCATGGCCAAATCCGAAGCTTGATCTGGCGGCATGGTTGACAAACCAATGTGAGATCCCTGACCGGGCGTGATGTGATCCATCTGACTGACGTTGAGATTAGAATGACCGGAGACGGTGACGCGATTCAACGCGTCGGCGAGTCAACCTACACTGAAGGGACGGAATTGAAAGAGCAAGCGAAAAACGAAGCGCAGAATATAGAGGATGTCACGGTAGTCGCGCTCTGACGCGCTGTTAGAACGACCTTCAGTGAAGGGCTGGTTACTTGGAACGAATGAGGCGGGATGGAAAGCTCACTACGCCAGACGATCCACCACGGTAGCTTTCTGATAGCTAGAAGACTGACGCACGCGAAGCGAAGTGAAAAGGCGGTTCTTCAAGCTGCGTCGAACGAGGGACGCGTCGAAGAGAAACGTCGAATGTGTCCGGTACGAGCGACAATGAGCAAGCGAAGCAGAAGAGAGCCAGAAGAGCTCCGAGAGCGTATCAGGCCAAACGTGGTGAAAGAAAGAGCGAGAGCGGGAAGGAGGAGAAGAACGGCTACTTAAGGTACGCGAAGCAGCGCAAACGCCATTGCTGAATGCCGTTATCTGGGAAATGAGAAGTGACGATGCCTGACGTATGTCTCTGGTAGCTTGATAGCACTTGTCCGCATGCGGATAATTGACTCATCGTGAAGAGAAGAAGGAGAAGATAAGATTAGTATCACATGCTTGGCCTTTCACTCTGGCCGCACTGTTGGTGATGTCCCCTCGCCCACCGACAGGTAGAGGAGAAGCGCTCGAGGCCTAGAGATTGTATGTAGTAGATGACATGTAGTACCAACGGGAAGCATGCAAATCAATCACTGCAGCCAGCCTTCGTATCCTGCAGGATCTTCAGCGCGCACTCCCTCCATATCTTCCCGAACGCGTAGCAATCGGACCCTTCCAACCCTCGCTTCTGATCCTTGCTGCTCATCGTGATTCCACCTCTCCAGCAAACCACTGAGCTCAGATATAACTTCTTCCCTGTCTTCGATCAAGAGTGCCACAGCGTCGAAGCCACCAGCTCCAGGCGCCACCCCACCAACAACCCCGGGCACCGATGAGCAAGCGTCCAAAAGCCTGGTCTGCGACTCCGGCTCGACGGGCACACCAGAGCACTTCGACATCTCCCGAGTCAGGGCACGGATGCCCGTGATGCGTTCTCGCAACTGTTGGCAGTCATGTGACTCGGTTTCCGCAAGCCTCACCAGCTCAGCGGCGAGGCCCTCATTCTTCTCTTGCAACTGCTTCCATATCCTGTCCGCTTCTTCTGGCTCGTCTTTCCGCCATGCCAGTAGCCTCTTGACCATTCCTGGCGTCTTTGAGCCGCAGTCTACATCACACATCACCAGCCGTAATCCATTGGGCACCTTTACCGCTGACTTGACGATTTCGGTATCCCACTTGGTGGATGGATCCGATTCTTCAACCAGTGACTTGAGCTCCGCTGCGAAGCCTGAAGTGCCAGGTTCTCCGTGAGACTCCAGCAGCGAAGGCGAGAACCTCCGGTAAAGACAAGACCCATAGACAGCAGATGCGACGTCGAAACCTGAGCCGACCTTGCCCTGAGCGGCGCAGTGGGCGGCTTGCGCTAGGTTGTGTAGCCTCGACCTTCCAGCATCGTTTGAAAGCGAGAACTGGTCCTCAGACAGGTAATGAACGAGAAGGGCCGCAGTAAATGCTGTGACGAGCGCCGCAGATGAGCCGAGACCAGTCTTGTGCGCTTCCGACAGGGGTACTCCGAAGCTTGAGAATCGGTCCATTGAAGTCTCTTTGTCGGTCGCTGTGTGCGAGTAGTAGTCGTTGTCTGCTAGAATCGTGATCGAAGCTGGATTGATGGCGGGACCGGCGACTGTGGAGATGTACGAAAGGGCGTAGCTGAGTGCTGTTTCGACGAAAGGATTCGTTTGAAGTTTTTGCAGGGCGGAACTACATGCGGTTGTCATGAATGAGCAAAATGTGTGCAGGGCCACTATGGAGAAGCCCGCCCCTTGTGTTGACCTTCGCGTCTGATGATGTGAAAGGAATAGATATTTCGAAGACTGAGACTGCTCACCTCGACAGAGGCTTCCGCTGCATGAGCACAAGCACGCCTACGAATCATTGCATCATCTTCTCTCTCAAGCCATCTTCTCTTAATCGATTGATATCCAAGAGTGTGGGACATGAAATGACCAAGTGAAACTGCTTCTCGAAACCAAAGCTGTAGGTTACTTACACTCTCAAGTGCGTGACTTGCATTCCCCCATCTGGCCCTGTCCACCTGTAACCATACTCCCATATTGCATACTTGAACTGAGGAGACCTGACGATGATCTCGGAAAGGGTGACGCCCGAGCTAGTATGCAGTGGCTGGATGTGCACGTGTATTCGAGCGTCAAGGCCAAACACCAGCCCGGTGTATTCACGGTCAAGTACGAGATACCCGCCTGCCAGGAGTACTTTTCCAGGCGCGGAGACAGCTTTGGATGATAGAGCCATTGCACATCTAACTACAACAATTCCCTTAGGGACCTTCGTACGACGGGAGGTTCGGATGCGAATTAATAGCCCCCACTCCCAAAGCAGTAACAGCTGCGAACCCCACAAACTGTCCCGCGCTCTTCCGGCGGTGCCTGGGAAAGCAGTTCAGGGCGTTCTGCGTGGTCACAAGCCTGTCGGCAGGGCTGATGTTCAATTGGACACGGGTGGACAGCAGCCACCTCTTACGGCCAGGGGGAGGGTCCGCAGAGCAGGAGACGATTTGTGGGGAGGCTGGGGTACAGAAAGTCGCTCTTGACCTTTCGAGAACGGCCGTCAGCAGTCGGGTTGGCCGTGAAGGATTCGCGATGGCAGATGACTGCGTGCAGGAGCTGATAAATGCGATCTTCCACTGAGGCTGGGAGTTTCCAAGGCATGGGGGCGTGGCCTCGAAAACTGGCCGGCGCTGCTCTGACCGTGCAGCCACTTGTCGCTTAGCGCGTCGGCGATTTGCATGGCCGACAAGAAAATTAGCCGGAGCGCGACTCGGGCGCAGCACCTTCTGGCCGCGCCCTTGGAGAGCTTTCGTACTCGTCACCATCATCGCCATTACTTGCATATGGGGAGCTTGTCCTGACTCTTCAGGCCAGCTTTCGCCTTCGTTCTTGCTTCTTCGTTTTATCCTAGCGCGATTGTCTTGTGCCCGTACTACTTGGAATTGCAGCATCTAGAGAGCTTCGACTCATCTATACCCACCCATCCCAAACCCCTTCTACAGCGCGTTCTTTGGCGGCTACGTGTCGTCAAATGAACCTGCAGTGTCTATTTCATCTCCGGATTCCAGTAAGCTCTCGCGACCATCCTCCCCTCACTGTACATCGCGCCATCCAACGCCATGTGCGGCGTGGCTGTCTTCGATGCGCCGTGTACCACCAGACGGAAAATACATCTCGCTAACGTCTGACACAATAGTCTCGCCCTTCTTACCTGAGGGGTTCATCGAACAGCTAAATGCTATATAAGACCCTCAACCTCGCGCGCCAGAGTCTTGCAAAGACCTTCACCCACGGTTACGCCCAGTCCGTTGTCGCCGCCTCCCAGTCCTCCTACGCCTCCCAGAACCATTCCTTCGGAGCCTACAGTCGTTTCTCGAAATCTCAGTCACAACAACCGCAGACCCACTTTTCGACCGCCCACGGCCAGCCGAGCACCAGCTCGAAGCCTGGTCAAGCCGACCATCACGATGGTTTAGCTGCGTACTACGCCGCATGGCAGAAACATGCGCGCCTCGAGGATAGGGAATGGCAGCAGTTTCAGTTCAGGAAGAGCATAGAATGGAAGGCTACACCCGCAGCAACAGACGGCAAGGCGAAGGTTAGACACCACGACGATGTCGCTGTGGAAGAGGATGTGGAGCTGGCTCCGCCCAGAGGTAGCCTAAGTCGCGCTTACAGTACGAGCGCAGTCGATGACCGCAAGGAAATCGTAATCGATGAGCCGGATGACGTTGCAGCACTTACCAGGCCGAATGAAGCTATCGTCGAAGAAATAGTTAGAGATGAGGCGCAGGCTCAAACCACCGCATCTGAAGGGGACGCTTCTGTGTCGGTCGAAGATGGATTCCGGTCCCCTACGTCGTCACTAGAGGCATCTGTCGAGTCCTTCGTTCTGAGCGACATTACTCAAGCGACATCAGTTTCGGCAGCGGACACATACGCAGAGCAGCTGAACAGGCTTGCGGAAAGCCAGCATTATGCCGAAATTCCTGCGGTCTTCGAGGCGATGCTTCTGGAGAATGTCAAGCCCACTGCGACTGCTTACCATGCGCTGCTTGCTGCTGCCATTCGGCTTCCACGGTCAAAGCACCAGGTTGTGCCCAAGGCGCTGGACATCTACTCGGACATGCTCCATCGCCGAGTCCTTCCGGATAGTACCACCTACGCCATTTTGATCGAGCTCCTTTCCGCACGGACTCTGGATGTTGTGGGGATGAAGCAGGTCCTTGAGGAGAAGCGTCTCAGGTATGGGGGCATGGAAGAGGAGGGAAAGTTCATGCTTCAGTCGAACAAGACTGAGTCCGACATTCTTTCTGAAGATGACTCGCTCAGCATCGCCGTCAAATTGTACGACACTGCCTTGGCTATCGATCGGGACCGTGCATTCGCCGAGAAGACTTACCGTGTTCTGGTAGCTGCTTGCGCGGAAACTGGCCGCCTCGAGGACATGGTACGAATTTACGAGCATATGGAAGCGAAGAACATTCTGCCATGTGCCGACCTGTTCGTACCAATGATCCATGCGTTCGGGACTTCGGGAGACTTGCGAAGCGCTGTGGAATGCTATGATGAGTACAAAGCCATGGCTATCGCGAACGACAAGGGAGAGATCTCGATGACTCGGAAGGACAACCATGTGTATGCGGCGCTCGTCAAAGCATACATTGTTTGCGAAAGGCCTGAGGGCGCTCATAAGTTCCTCGGCAAGATTGAGAGCGAGCTGCCGGAATCTAGTCAGCTTGTCACACTGCGGGATTCCATAGGCTTGAGGGCATTCATTCCGGCCTGGCTAAGAAACGGCGCATTCGCGGATGCGTTGAGCCATGTGAGCGAGAAGCTGAGTCCCAACGCACGCAGTATCGCCATGGCGGCCATCTGTGTGAAGGCTGCCGACAAGAACAGCATTGATATAGCGACCACAGCTTTTAGCTCGCTGGGCGAAGGCATTGATTTGTCTGTGCCTGCCATGGCCATGGGCGCGATGCACATTCGCAACGGCAACATCGAGGCTGCTGAACCCTTTTGGTTCACCTTGGAGACCTCCAGCATCAAGCCTCAATTCATCGAGGCGACAGTCATGCACGCCGTGGCCTTAATTGGCAGCGGTCGTCCGGAGACCGGCTTACGACGCAGTCGCCAGATGTTCACTCGCATTCGTGATGCTCAGGCAACCTCGAACCAAGCCAAGCTGGAAGTTGTCGAGCAGATTGATGAGGCGATCGAGGTCATTGGCCAGTTCATGTCCAAGAGAAACATTGTGCTTCCCGCTAAGGCAAGCATGGAGCTGATGTGGACTATGGTTGAGAATGGCGGTCTAGTCCTTCCAGTTGCTGGACACCTGCTCGCAGGCCTTGGATCAGAAGGCATTGCTGAGCTTGGCTGGACCGACCTCACCCTGCTGATGCAGGTACAAGCCGGCATGATCATCAATGCGTCACATATGGGTGTTGCGCACGAGGCCCGATTTGCTCACCTGCTCGACGTGATAATCGGCGGCGGCTTGACTCTCGAAAAACGGACAGCGACCTTGATAGAGAAGGTTCTTATACGGGTCGACCGACCTGACCTTGCTCAACGATGGCAAAACTTCTACTACCCAGCACCCGTACCCGCCTACTCGCCTGCTCCATATCAAACATTCACTTATCCTACTCCGATGCATCAAAGCGCTGCCGTCGAAGATGCGTTTGATCCGTACGCTGCCACAACCGACAACAAGGGCTCAGTAGCCATCACCGACCTTCTTGAAAAGACCCATGGACGCACCTCCTCCCACTTGAACGAGGCACTAACTAAGTTCAAGAATATGCGCCGGGCTGGCAGGCACCCACGCTTCTTCGCGTATGCGAAGCTTATCACTGCGGCAGCGAAGGAAAACCGCCTCAACCTCGCTCACGACATCCTGGCTCTGGCCAGGCAGGATGTTCCTCTTCTCTCTCAGTATCGCATTGTGCGATATGGATGGGTCACCATCCTGGATGCCATGGTTGCTGCATGCTTAACAACCGGCCAGCGTCAGCTAGCTGCTCAGTATCATCAAGATCTGCTTGAAATGGGCGCGGCTCCCTCAGCGAACACCTTTGGCCTCTACATCACCACGCTCAAGGAATCTACCAAGACCTTTGACGAAGCCACCGAGGCGGTGAAGATCTTCCTCCGCGCCAAGTCTGAAGGCGTCGAGCCGTCCTCCTTCCTCTACAACGCGCTCATCGGCAAGCTGGGCAAAGCCCGTCGCATCGACGACTGCCTCTTCTACTTCGCCGAGATGCGCAACCATGGCATCCGCCCGACCAGCGTCACCTACGGCACCATTGTTAATGCTCTCTGCCGCGTCAGTGACGAGAAGTTCGCAGAAGAGCTTTTCGAGGAGATGGAAAGTATGCCCAACTACAAGCCTCGCCCCGCGCCCTACCACTCCCTCATGCAATTCTTCCTTGCCACGAAGCGTGACCGCTCCAAGGTCCTCGACTACTACAACCGCATGCGCGCCCGCAACGTAGAACCCACGGCGCACACTCACAAGCTCCTCATCGACACCTATGCCACCCTGGACCCCATCGACATGCCCGCCGCCGAAGCAGTCCTAAGCCAGATCCGGCAGACGGGCGGCCAGCCCGAGGCGGTGCACTACGCGTCCCTCATTCACGCCAAGGGCTGCGTGCAGCACGACATGGCTGGCGCGCGGAGTCTCTTCGACGCCGTGCTGGCTGATGCCGCTATCCGGCCCCAGGCGTGTCTTTACCAGGCGCTCTTCGAGTCCATGGTCGCGAACCACGAGATCGAGGGGACCGAGGCCGTTCTCGCTGACATGAAGGCAAGAGGCGTGGATGTGACGCCGTATATTGCGAACGCGCTTATCCATGGCTGGGCCGTGGCAGGCGAGATCAAGAAGGCGGAGAGGGTTTATAATGCCCTTGCTACGGAGAAACGGGAGCCGAGCACGTATGAGGCGATGACGAGGGCGTTTTTGGCGGTTGAGGACCGCGAGGGCGCCGTGAGAGTTGTGAATGAGGGGCTTAAGAGGGGGTATCCTGCTGCTGTTGCGGGAAAGATCTTGGAGCTGGTGGGAGGTGGCCGCCACGGCGGAGCGGCGGTCGCCGAGATTGGAGCGTAAGAGGATCTCCACTCCATTTCTTCACTTCTTTGTATATATTCCTGTCTTGTCTGTTGGTGCTGTGTAAGAATTTGGCTCAAAGCGCTGGGGCTGGTATGAGAGCCCCTTGGCACTGGCGTTTTGAAAAGGAAATAGCGGCACTCCGCATCTGCTGGAGGTGCCTAGGACGGTGGCGTTACTGAGTTTTGGAAACCAGCATAGGGTATGGCGTCTGTGGGCATATGTGGTAGAGGTGTTCGGGAGCTGTACATTACCCTATGATACCATCTCCTCTCTATCTTTGTTACCTTTGGGAGGATCATCTAACCAGTGCAGTCTGTGTACAGGATGCTTTTGCATCAAGATGTGCGCTGGAAACTGTCACCGAGAATATATCGTGCGTTGTTGTGTTGTCGCAATCGACGGCCCCCTACGGTTCCTGCTGCAGCTGCGAATCTGATAAGACCAGCCTTGGAAGCCTTCCTATTCGGGGACTGTTTGATCGCCAAGCGGCGTGACATCTGTGGAGCAGCCCAGTCCCAGTGGCAGCTTCGGCTAGGCTATTGTAGGCCCGCGGCTGCCAACGTTAGTGTCGCTGCACGTCTCACACAGCGCTCACCCACCCGCACCCTGACTCTCACCCATTGATCACATCCGCTTTACGCATCCGACTAGCAAATCTGGCCTGTATCTTTACTACCCACCAAGTCTGAGTGCAATCGTCTTATGACTGTCGCTCGCTGCACTCAAAGCCAATTGCTTGCATCACCATCCCATCCTTTTTAGCGCTCATACCTCATCCCTCATCCCCCATCTTTCACTCAACACCCACATCAAGAATGGCGGCCCCAGCAAGCGCATCACTCTCAGCGCCGGCCCAGCAGATAGCTGAGCGAGCGACGTCCGATGAGCCTACAACATCAGTCGAACTGAACACTTTGTCACCACATCAGCCATCACCAACAGAGCCTGCCACAACCTCCTCCCTACCGCCGCCCACCACATCCGCCACTCCTGCCGCGCCGAGCGAGCAACAACTCCCAGCGCCTTCTCCAGACCCACAAACAACAGCCACATCACCCACCGACCCAGCAGTCACGTCCGCAGCTCCCACATCTCGACCCCATGCCGCCCCCCGCGCTGAAACAGAGGCGATAGGCCCCTCCACCGACACGCCCACCCCCGCGGCAGACCCCTCAGGCGGCCCCGCCGTCATCATCACGCTGCTAGTTACGGCGGGCACGAAGCACCCGTACAGAGTGGATGCGAAGTACCTCAGGAAAAGAGGGGTTGAGGTCGAAGGGATGGATCCATTCAACGTGAGCGTTTACCAGCTCAAGGAGCTTATATTGCGAGACTGGCGGGAAGAATGGGAGTCCCGGCCAAGCTCGCCAAATGCGATAAGGCTTATTCACTTTGGGCGGTATTTGGAGGATAACGCGTATCTAAAAGGTAGACCGGCCCCCACCCCCAGCCGACCCAGTGCTGCTAGACATTGTCAACTTACATTGCCCCAGATTGCCGCTTCAACCCTAGTTCTCCCAACGTCGTCCACATGACCGTCAAGCCCCCCGAGCTCGCCGACGACGAAGACGCCCACGCCTCCAAAGCGCAAAAGGGCTCGCGGACGCGGAGCGACAGAGGTGATGACGAGCGGACGGCTGGGTGTAGGTGTGTCATTCTCTGAGTAAGCTGACGTGGAGCAAGATGATGCAGAGGATGGGCCGCCCGTTTTGGACGTCTACATCCCGAGTGGACGGCTGGGTTGGCTGCCGGCTTTTCTGAGGAGGTGGGAGGCAGAGGGGAACGAGGGCGTTGCGGCGGCTGCGTGTTGGGAAGCTGTGCCATGGTGGTAGGGAAAGCGACGCGGCTGGGGATTGAGCGTGTCTATCGTTACAGAGGGCTTTGTACAGCATTTGTTTGGCGTTGAAGGGATCCGGACGGCCTCCGTTGTGGGCGACTTGGCCGGCGTTTAGCATTGATAGCACCGTAAGTGCTTTTCCGTATTTCTTTCCTTTCTCTGTAGTTGAATTGGGCTTCGCGAATTATCAATCTGAAGTTATCGAAAAAAGTTTGTACCTACATGCTCGATTGTGGTGATCCGGCCAAAGGCGGCAGCCAAACAACCAAAGCACGTGACTCGTTTGAACCGCTCACCTCCAACGCTGTAGAATCTACGTACCTAGGTACCTTGCAGCCATTCATCGACGAAGCTCGCCGCCATGGAGGATACCGAATCACGGCAAGCTGTGGCCGCTCTGCTGCATAAGGTTCAAGGTGCCGACCTAGCCCAGAACGATGGTACTGACCGCGGATAAGAGGGTGCGCAGCCTACGTACCCTTATACGCTATGTACTACCTACTTAGGTAGGTATGCAATCACCTACTCAACTATCAATTACCAACTACTAACTAGTACCATGCAGCTCTACTTGGTTGTAGCTCCCTCACGCTCCAACACCTCGCTCACTAATACATCCAAAACATAAAAGCCTCCATAATCTGAATCAACGTGAAGAGCATCGCTGCGCAATCAGACCCATCACTCGCCCGCCGCGTGATTAAACCTACGACCAGACCTGCTACCGTTGACGACAGGACGGAAAACGCCAGGCCGTAGGAAATAAGGGACGCTCGATCCACCTTCATGTCAACCAGCAGAGCCTTCCTCATCTTCAGGGCACCATCCACCTCAGTCCCTTCTATTAGATCTTGACAGCGTATAGCAAAATCCCGCACATCGGCCAGTAGCTCTGGCCTCGCGAATGCTCCAGTGAGCTCGCTGTTAAGCTCTTGCTTAGCGATGATGATTTCGGTGAACCGACAGTCGCAGACGTCGAGGTTTGCGAACTGTATCGGCAGCACAAGTCAGACTTCTCAACTGCAATAGCATACCTTTATGAAGGACTTACAGAGGATAGCGTCACGACGTACACTGCAGGCTTGCGAAATAAGATCCCGAAGGGTGACAGTGCCGACTGAACTCGCCGCAGAAGATGATCAACAAACTCGAATCCAGTCTCAGAGCAGGGTCGTTCGATGTTCTCGAGGTAAACCTTTCCTCTCTTGCCTTTGAGTACGAGCCTCCAAACCGCCGTTCTTGGAGCTTCCGGGCCATCTTCCAGTGGAGTTCTCTGCGGAAGCTCTGCGAGCTCTTGCATGTCGATCAGCAACAACCGGATTGACTTTGCCGTATAAGTACAGATGGAGATAGGTAGGTGCAAGCAACAAAGATCCACGCTTCATTCTAGACATTCTGCTGCGCCTTTTGTATTCGTTTTTGGACGAGCACTCGACCAGTGTTGGCATTGGGACTAGAGTCGAGTACTGGACGGCTTACAAGACGCCTATGCACCGTGTGCGTAACCTTGTAGTTCGATGGTAGCTTGTCCTGAAGCCCACTTGTTGCTTGTAGAAGCTAGCCGTCTCCGCAGAGAGCTGTTCGACCCGAATAGTATGCATGACGAGTCAACGGTATTTATGAGGCTGCTTTTCTCATGCTCGCAGCAGAGTGATTTCGATTTCAGCTCGCGTTCTCTCAAAGTCTATCGTGTAACGGTCAGCCAGCTTACGAGGTACCCTCTTCTGTGGCTTGGAAGAAACCCTGTTCTGTGGCTTGGAAAGCACATACCCTTGCGCTTCGTCACGTCTCGTGGTCGAGCACTCGACCGCACCAAGAACTCTCTATATCATATGGTTTGCTCCTTCCCTCCAGCTATGGAACCATTACCTTCACGATGGCTCAAACCTCCCAATCGTACCAGATTCAAAGGTGGTTGAATAGTACGGACGACTCATGGCACCCGTTGCGCAGCGAGACCAATCGCTGTATCAAAACCCTTTCGTTAACTGAGCGTACTAGCTCACAGTTGGGACCTGGTTCCTCCGAGCTAATACGTGCAAATTGGCCGGAAAGTCTCCTTGCAGTTTTGCTAGTGGAGCTAGCAGAAGACTCTGCAGGTTTCAGAAGTCCTCAGTCTTTGGAGTGGGAAGCTGTCTGGTCGAAATTGAAGCCTACGCTCTCAGAACTGAGGTGAGTCGATTATACGACAGCTGCTGGCACCGACTAATTTCTGAGCAGTGATCGGACGAAATCGGAAGTGTCAACCTGCGGCCAGAGCCCCTACTCCGTTCCTACTACCACCATACCGTGCGAACAGCTCATACACGATCTGACAAATCTGACGATTCGCGATACATCTCACGATCGCATCGTTCCCTTTGATACGACGTCCGTGGAGAGCGTATGGAGCATAATCGATGGGACAGACCCGACGGTCCGCGACGTGTTTCAAGAACGGACGGCGCGTTGCGGTCACCCACCGATGCGTTCCATGCTCGGCTTGCTGGTATCATTCACTTCGTTACTGGTCATTGCTGGTCTAGGTGCATCTTCCGTAACATCTAGGCCTTTGCCGAAGCGTCGGGCACCTGCCTCTTCAGGTGGTGGTGGGAAGCGTTCCAAAGCTACGGAGACCACCCCCCAGCCTTTCGTCGTTGTATCATCTACGGAAGCGCGGTTCTGGGCCTGTTCCATGGCAAAGCACAACCGTGTCAGGTATGAAAAAGTCTACAACTCTTGTACGGACAGACCGGGCTTCCCAGAATTCAAAAGGGTCCTGTAAGTGGTCTTACCCCATTGTCGTTTCTCCCGGCTGACAGTAGAGCGGTCCACATCTGAGGGAAGTTCACTCTAACCGGTTCTTCTGCAAGACCTGTCGCCAGCGATTCTCTAAAGGAGAGAAAGATCAGCTCGAAGAACACATATTACTGAAGCAATGCGAGGCCAGAGAAGAGACGATGTCTGAACCGGAATGGCTGGCACCTGATCAGGAAGAAGCATTGGGCAGTATATCCTATACTGGAACCTCGCATGTAGTGAGATGGAGAGATCTATACCGTACGCTGTTTCCTGCTGACCCTAGGGGCGAGGACATGGACCCATGTAAGCTTGCGAGGCTGCGCCAATTCTCATGAATTAGCTTTAACACCGCTTCTAGATTACGACTATCTGAAGCCCACGCACAAATTACCCCCCACAAGCCCCGATACAACATCAATGTCAAGCAGCTTGCCACAGCCCTCAAATTTGGACCAGGGTCAAGGAGTTGCAGGCCGTACTTCCGTAGCATCATCAGACACGCTGCCTTCACAAAGAGTTGTCGTCCAGCCCTATGAACCGCTGCAAGACACAAGACATTCTGCCATCCAGGGTCCTGGCTATGAAGTGGGCGTCCTACCGCCGCTACTCCAAGCAAATATCTCACGAGAGCCTGGTAGCAGTAACGCACCCCAGAGCTTCTTCCAGGACCCCAGCTCGTGGTCGGCTACAAACAACTGGGATCACTCCCCGACCTCCGCTTTAGCCCAATGGCCTTCACTGGAAACCCCTTCGTTGGCGCTTTCCGCACCGACGTTTGGAACTCTGCAGAAGAGTCACGCGCAGGACCAAGACCTAGCACTTATAGAAGCCCCTCATGCCGCCGTTCCGGGTCCTGAGCTCTTATCAAGTGTAGCCGATCCAGACATGGAGTATATTGATTTGGCGGACTGTGGTTTTCCTATTGACTTTGGAACTTCACCATGGGAAGAGTTTCTACTTCTGGAGGACACACGATAATATTGCGATGGCTGTTCAATGTAGAGTAGAATAGGCACGAGCTCACGAAAGTCTGTATGCGCCTTCCCGTCGGCCCTGGCACCGCTTGCACGATGAACGCCGTGCGCGGTGTTCGAATAAGCCCAGCACGTGACCGCAGCCGGGTTCGCAGCTACCGATTTTGACCTCACATCCAAAGTTCGAGCAACACCGTTTGCTAACGACTAACCCCCGTTATGGAGGAAATCGAGGTACGGCAAGCTGCAGACGCCTTGCTGCAGAAGCTTCAGGGAGCCGGTGTAGTCCCAGGCAACGGGACTGACTATGGGGAAGGTGATGTCCAGCGCGTAGAGCTCAGCAAAAACCCGCGGCCCGAATGCGTCGCATCCACAAGGTCTTTATACTGTAGCCCAGTTGGTGATCCTACAATTGCTAGTGAAGTCGGCGCTGGCGCGTCGAACTACTTCAAGAGCGCACAATGGTCGCCAGACGGCACCTGTATTCTGACCAACAGCGCCGACAACCACCTCCGAACCTTCGTGCTGTAAGCGTGCTCGTCTGCGCGCAGTCTCTTCTAACGGCTAACCAACACACAGCTGATAGGCCTGCGGACCTCCTCTCCGAACCAACAAACCACGCATTGGCGCCCTATGCGTCGCTGCACCAGCAAGTCTACGCCTATGCGCTCCACCCGCTCTTCTCCCTCTCAGAGACCAGTTCCACACTCGTGCTCAGCAGCTTCCGCGACCTTCCGCTCCGCCTGCACAATGCTCTTGCCTTTGACGTTGGGATGGTAGCAAGCTATCCACATATCAATCCCCTCACCGAGGAGTACATCCTCACGCACTCGCTTATCTGGACCAGCGCCGGCACACACTTCATGACAGGCAGTGAGCACCAGCTCAGTGTCTTCGATGTCAGTCGAGGCGGAGAAGGCCCGGTGACGCGCCATTTCGCCGGCTCGTCGAAGTACAAGGCGAAGAACGCGTTAGGCGGCATGAGAGGGATTGTCTCGGCGCTCGATATCAGCTGTGAAGGCTACCTGGCAGCGGGGACTTTTGCGGGGAATGTTGCTTTGTTCGGTGACGAGGGCCGTGGGGAGTGCTTCTCCTGCTTCTCTGTCGCTGGGTTCCGTGACGAAGACGAAAAGATTGGCGGCTTGGGGATCACGCAGGTGAAGTGGAGTCCCTGCGGTCGGTACCTTTATGTCGCGGAGAGGAAAAGCGATGGGGTACTTGTGTACGACATCCGTGTCGCTGGCAAGAGACTCGGCTGGCTGGCCGGTAGGAAGGCGAATACAAACCAGCGGATGGGCATGGATGTGATTGCAACAGCCGAAGGGCACGAGGTTTGGGCAGGTGGGACTGATGGGAAGGTCCGTGTGTGGACTAATGCTACCGACGCAGAAGGAGAACAGGGGCCTGGTTTTGAGTGGCAGGCTCATGAGGGTAGGAAATCCTGTGCAGATCTTTGACGATGATGAATGCTCACACAATGCGGTATAGATGCGGTGTCTTCAGTCATCGTGCATCGGACTGGCTCGGTCGTCGCAACTTGCTCTGGTCAACGACATCCTCCCTCAATCACAAATCACGAGATGTCTGATGAAGAAGACTCAGATGCCTCATCAAGTTCAGACGATAGCGACACTTATTCGGCTAGCAGTGGTGAGGATACGTCTTCTTCTTTCTCTCTGACTTCTACTGTCATACCTACGTACGACAACACCCTCAAAGTCTGGGCGATTTGATCAAGTTACCCGGCGTTCAAATAAGATAAGGTAAAGGCCAGTGGAAGTCAGACCGCGTTACGGCGATTAGCCTACCCTCTCTGTTTGTTCGGCCTGTGCGATGCCGGCAAGCCCTCTGCTGGACATTGGTAGAAGGTGGTAGCATTTGGAGCGCCGAAAGATCCCACCATGAGCAAATGGGATCCTCGACAAATATTTCCGTGGCTTTGGTCGTGGATGCAGGAATCCGATCTTGTTAACAGCATCGTCTTGTCCCTCTCACAAGAATTCGGACCCAAGCAAGTGATGCTGTATGCAACCCTCTTCTGCCACAATAAGTCACAAGATAAAGAAGCAAGCTGCTTATGCAGTGTCTCAAACACTCACTATGTTTGGTTCAACATGAGGCTTGAAACCTGCCTTGCTGGTATCCCGTCTAGCCGATTCTGAGTATTTTGAGGGATGTCCGCTTTGTCCGTGAAGCGCTTGCCAATCTGCAAAGTTTTCTCTCTGCTAAGCATACCAGTCCATAAATTCCTGAAAACACCTTCGTCTTTTTTCTTTGTGAATCATCACCACAATCATCCCCGCTTCAGAGGAACAATCATCATGGCTCTCAGAAACGTACTGCATCAACACTCAGTAGCCTCACTCTTGATATTGTTCTCTCTTACATCCCTGATATTGCTGTTCACTCACCGTCGGCACACTCCCGCCCTCCCAAAGGACGCACCCATCTCCGTAAACTACCACTTCACGCGCCAATGCAACAAGACGTGCGGCTTCTGCTTCCACACCGCGACAAGCTCGCACAAGATGTCCGAGCACCAAGCAAAGCAAGGCCTTCGCCTGCTCAAAGAAGCCGCCATGCAGAAGACCAACTTCGCGGGGGGCGAGCCCTTCCTCTACAAGCTGTTCCTGGGCCACATGATCGAGTTTTGCAAGACGCAGCTCCAGCTCGACAGCGTGTCTATCGTCACGAACGGCAGCCTCATCACGCAGAAATGGCTCGAGAGTTACGGGAAGTATGTCGATATCCTGGCCGTGTCATGCGACTCGTTCGACGAGGCGACGAATATCGAGATTGGCCGAGGAAGCGGGGATAATGTGAAGCAGCTGTTTCGGATCAAGGAGTGGTGCCGGCAGTACGGCATCAAGTTCAAGCTAAACACCGTGGTCAACCGGCTCAACTTCGAGGAGGATATGGTGGCGACGGTCGAGCAGCTCAACCCGTTCCGCTGGAAGGCGTTCCAGGTGCTGATGGTGGCGGGGAAGAACGATTCAGAGACGACGCTGAGGGATGTTCGAAAATTTCAGATCAGCGACGAGGAGTTTGAGCGGTTCTGCGCCAGGCATAGCCATCTGAGATGTTTTGTTCCAGAGCCGAACAGCCTGATGGCGACGAGTTATCTCATTCTGGATGAGTATATCAGGTTCTTGGGACGTAAGGACGGGAAAAATCAGGCTTCCAGGGGCATCTTGGAGGTTGGAGTCAAGCAGGCGATGAGGGAGGTTTTCTGGGATAAGGAGAGATTTGAGGCGAGGGGCGGGGTTTATGACTGGAAGAGGGAGGAGACGGCCCGTGGATGCGAGCCTGATGCGGGGGGGAAGGCTTTGCGGGAGGCGCTGGCTGCGTTGAAGTAGGTGGTGTTTCGCGTGTTGGTAGATTGGTACGCATGATGGGTGGTGTCTAGATACATGGAGTTGCAACTTTGTTCTCACATCAACACTACTAACTGGGGACAGGACAGGTATGGCCAGCATTGCGGTTCGAGGAGAAGGGCGCCATGGTTCCGAATAACACAGACCCAAAGCCTGCAATTGAGACCTGAAGTCAGAAGGAATCTTTCCGGCCTTGTTTTCTCAGGAGACCATACTGAGGCAATGCAACTTGATTCTTCCGTAGAATTTTATACTGCTCCGCTTTAAGACCATTGGACGTTCGAAGCGGGAAGATAGTTGTCCCGTCTCCTCGATCGAGCACAGCTTGGGAGCTTGTCACCCTGTGCGTCTAGGCACATAGGGTTGAAGGATGAACACAACACGAATGACTCCGCACTTTAGATCAACGGCCCCCATGAAAGCTCCTACATCCTCCTTTGCATCCGCCTCTCCCAGGCTCCACGATATCACTGACCCACCATGACTTCCCAACCCCGCCTCATCGACCGCGAGACCAGCGCGCGAACGAAGCCCATGCGGCTGCTCGTGCTGGGACTATGCAGGACAGGCACATCGTGTACGCCGCGTGAAATGTCTCTCATTCGGCGATGAAGCCTGACTAACGGGACAAATCCATGAAGCCATGTGTGCCGCCCTCGAGCAGCTGGGCTATACGCCGCACCACATGAGATCATGCATGAAGAACCCCCAATCCCTCCGGTACTGGAGCGAAGCGGCGCGGATCCGCTACTTCGACGCGCCAGGCGCGCCTTACGGGCGTGACGAGTTCGACAAGCTGCTTGGAGAGCACGATGTCGGTTTTTCGCCTTCCCCACTGCGGCTCCATCAGTCTCACCAGCAGCATTAAGATGGCGGGCTGATAGCATTTAAAGGCTGTGACAGATTGCCCCTCCGCCCTCTTCCCCACAGATCTCATGCGCGCCTACCCCGAGGCCAAAGTGATCCTCACGCTCCGCCCACCGCACAAATGGCATGCCTCAATGCTCGCCACCATCTGGGAAGCATACACCTGGCGCAGCATGCACATCCTCGCCTACCTGGACCCGGCCTTCGCCGGTATCAATGCGGTGTTCATGGATCTTTTTTTCCGCCAGCTCTGCAACAGGGATCCGGGACAGGCGATGGTCGACGGATACGAGAAGCACAACGAGGAGGTGCGGAAGGCGGCGAAGGAGCTGGGTAGAGAATTTTTGGAATATGACGTTGTGCAGGGATGGGGTCCGTTGGTGGAGTTTCTGGAAATCGAGAAGCCGGAGGGGGAGTTTCCGAATGTGAATGATTCGAAGCACTTTATTGGGACGTTGAGGATGATGAGGAATTTCAGGATTATGGTCGTGCTGGGGAAGGCGCTGGTGCCGGCGGCGGTGGCGGGTCTGGCTTGGTGGTGGTTGTACAAGAGAAGGTAGACAACTTTCTGCGCGAAGTGAAGCCGAATGCCATCGGGAGTCGGCTAGGCGGAGAAGTCGGATGGTTTAGCAACGGCACTGTGCTGGGAGATGCCAGGGGTTTCGGATTGGGCAAATGCCTTCTGTAACAATGCAACAGGCGTAGTAAACTCGGCTCCATCTTTAGTCAATTGCATGAACCGCATTTTCTGAGACGTTGTTTTCGGCAGCAGCCTCTTTTGGTGTACAAAACAATTTCAAAGACTATTTGGCGATGTTGGCTGCGGACTAAGTGGCTATTGTTCTTGTCCACCATGTAGATGATAACTCAGTCTCACCATAAGGGCAACAACGGCGGGCCAAAAAGCCGTGCGGAGGAAGACAGTGTTCGATTGAAATGACATGCCCAAGCTACCTAGGCGGCTCCCGGTTCTGTAGGTTGAACTTCGAACTCTTCGAGAGGTACCAGATTTGTAGTTCTTGAAGTGCACTCTAAGAGTCATAAATTGGGTCCGTAGATCAGTGGTAGATCGCATGACTACGAATCATGAGGTCGTCGGTTCGAGACCGGCCGGACCCTATTCATCTTCTTTTGGCTTTCATTCCTCGATCTTTGTCGTGTGCTTGAAGAGATTTTTTTGCGTTGAGCGAAGTGGAGGCAGAGTGGGTCACGGAAAGGTCTGTGCTCACGTAAGCATGTGGTTTGAATAGAAACGGCTAGGTAATTCCAGTCTTGCTCCTTTTGACTTGAGAAGCAACTATGTCCTGGGTATAAGACTCCAGCAAATGCTAAACATTATGGGCGTCCGGCTTAATAGTGGGTACCAGTCGTTTCGAAGCTATCAGCTGCTCATCTTCCTCTGCCCCGTCCTCGCCCACGGAATCCGCCCCTCTTCCCACCAGCACCCCTTGGCTTTCTCTCATACAGCTTCTCTACCCCGAAACCGGCATCCGCGACACGTAGGAAGCTTGTAAGGCCCTGATCGACGACTGCGATAATCACGTTCCGATATCCATGCTTTAGCTTCTGATATAAGTTGCCATCCATCTTTGGCGGGTCATATGGCACCGTTGCTAATAGATCGTTGAGCTGATCCGATGTCGGCAAGAACGAGTCCCGGGCGCTGACGACACAGATGTAGAAGTCTGGCGGGCCGGGAGCGGTCTTTTTGAAGGGCGTGTTCGGCTTCCAGACATTGTACGTGACGTGGAAGGGATGCTCGTCTTCCGAGGAGACATTGAATGTTGAGGTCCTCGGTGGCGTCTTGGGATCGTGACACGGTACTATCTGGAGGAGTCGGTAGATGTCACCTGTGCTCGGTCAGCTTGAGCCCCCATGCGTAGCGCCCGGACAGCAGCCTTAAGGATGCACAGGACGATTTTAGCTGCTAAGTGACATACTGTAAGACCGATACAGGCCCGGTGTTATGAGTGGACCTGTTGTCAGGCGTCCATGCGGATGCCTCGGCCCTGGGGCGTCGCTCAGTCTCCGCCACATCTCGGAGAAGAAGCCAGAGCTCCAGTGTTTACTCGGCAGGTCAACTGGTGGGAGGCTCTCTGGTGGGATCGCTCCGGTAGGCCCGCCCCAGCTTGGCGCGCGGTGGACTACGTATCCTAGCCGCTTGAGGTACGCGAACACAGTGTAACGCTCCAGCGTCAAGCTGCCGCCTCTCGAGGCCTCAAATCCGATGAATGTCGCGTAGGCTCCCTGCAGGCTCATGGGCACACCATGGGCATTCTCTGGGCCTGATCCGTTGTCCTCTTGCCCTTCGCCAGCTTCAAGCGGCTGCTCAGGCCCATCGCCGTTGTGGTCATTGGAGTGGATAGCAGGCCACCGAATATCTAGAGTGCCCCTTTCAAGCAGATAGAGCGCTTCCTCGGGCAGTAGCCACAACCTGTTATTGCCCACCGCCTTTCCCATGGTGCGATAGTGGGTATTCCTCGGTTTATCGACATACGCCATATTTACAGACGGCTCGTACACGGCGATCTCGTGGTTCCTCGGCACGTGTACGCGGGTCACGGCGAGCGCGTCGTGCATTGCCTGGCGGCTGGCTTCGAGGGTGGAGGCTTGCTGAGCGGTAGGATGCGGTTCGAAGTCCTTCTCGCCGCGCTTAGGTATCTTTCCTGGGGCGCCATTGGACTTGCTAGCAGCTTCGATTAGCCTTTGTGCCGACAAAACTTCGCGCGGGAAGCTTCATGATATTCTTGTGTATCGAAGCAGGCCTCGTACAGGAAGTTTGAGAGTAGGCGGAAATCGGGCACTTCGTCGTCGAGCTCCGTATCCTCTGGAGGATTAGATTCGGTAGGCTGCGGCAGGTCCTCATCTGCGTCCGCCATGATAAGAAACGGAGGCTCAATGGCCTATATTTGTTGCGTGAAGCCTTCGTACATGTGTCTTGGTGGGGCCTTTTCGAAGCTCTGACTCGACGCGCCAATCGCGTCTCCCGGCCTCGGTTGCGGCCGTGTTTGGCGGCTTTTGAACGGCTCTTGGCGCCATCCCACCTCAATCCGGTGCCCGTCCTTCCAAGTTCCGCGGACAGCGAAAGCGGTCGGTGACATCAATGTGCTTTCCAAAATCCCGGATGCGCTGTGCGGAAAGTGCTCTGACACGGCTCGCCGTCCGTGGCCTGTCCACTGCGGCGATAGAGCAAGCGCGTTCGTGCCCCCGGCTTCAGGTAAAGATGCTTCTCTTCCGTCCACTGTTTTCTGTACGAGTACTTGAGCCCCGCAAGGGCTTTATGTCGCTGTCCTGCGGACCTCTCAGGCGTAATCATGTCCTTTAGACCCTCTGTTTCTCTACCTCTGAGCCTGCTTAGCCTGTCTCTCGCGTCTATCGTGTCCGCGCAGTCCGCGTCCCTATCTCCCGCCGCGCAAGCTGCTCAGGCTGGCGCATCGCAAATCCTCAGTCCTTCCTTTGCAGGTTTCGGTCTCGAGCCGTCGAACCTGTATTCTTTTACCGGAGGCTCAAGGAACAACCATTTTACGAGTAACCTACTCAACACCCTCACCCAATACTCCGGCGCACCGCCAGCCTTTCGCATCGGCGGCAACACTGGCGATTACATGATATACGATGAGTCCTACAACGGCTATCACCTCCGGGAGAACGCCAATTCGCAAGGCGCAGGAGCCATTACGAGCGATTCGTCGTACTTCGGGCCTACGTACTTCGAGGTCATTGATAGGTGCTTTCCGGCCGGCACGCCCATCACCTACCAGTTGAACATGGCTTGGGATGGTGATGGGTATATCGAGGGTGTTGTTCGGCAAGCGCAGGCTGCGGTCGACCGCTTTACCAATGTTGAGCTTCGGTCGTTCGAGATGGGCAATGAACCGGACTTATGGCTACAGAACGGATTCCGGACAGGCTCTTGGGGTGGCCAGGTGTATACCCAGCAGTGGCTTGAACGCGTAGCAGCAGTTTACAGTCGAGTCTTGCAGCCAGCTGGCATTCGAAGCAATTTCTTCGAGCCCCCGGCGACTGCCTCAACCATGGGTACCACTTTTGAGATCAACATGCTCGTTGAGTATGGCATCACCGAGCCTAGCAATGACGCTCCCAATGGGTACGTGAACGCTTGGAACCAGCACGACTACTTCTACTTCATAAGCGTGACTCCGTACCCCATTACCCTTGACCACCTCCAAGTCCTCCGCAACACCGAGAACCAGTTCAAGTACTGGGAGAGCCAGGTCGCGCAAGCCCTGGGAACTGGTCTCCTATACCATCTCCGCGAGATGTCCAGCGTCGGGCCCATCGGCCAAGAAGGCGTCTCCGATACCTTCGGCGCCTCGCTCTGGACGCTCAATTTCTTCCTCTACACCGCGACCCTCAACATCTCATCCGTGCAGATGCACATGACCGACAATTCATTCGCCAGCCCCTGGCAGCCCGACCGCCGTTACGACCGGGACCCGCACGTGCGCCCAAACTACTACGCCTACGCCGCCATGGCGCAGCTTATCGGCTCCGGCAACGGCACCGCCCAGGTCGCCCGGCTTGCGATGCCCGGCCTGCCCCCAGACTACGGCGATAGCGTCCGCTGCTACTCCGTGTACCGAGACGGCTCGCTCTCAGCCGTCGTGATGATTAACTCCAAGCCCGCCAACGCCTCCGCACCAGCTAAAGCGAGTCTAACCTTAGACCTCACCCTCCCCTCCTCTCTCGCTGGTGAGACCCTCTACCTCTCCTACCTCACCGCCCCCGGCGGCGACAGCCAGAGCGGTACGACCTGGAACGGCCTCTCGTACGAGGAATCTAACGACGGCACCCCTACCGCCGTCGCCGATTCCATCCAGACCGTCCAGGTCTCCAGCGATGGCAGCGCCAGAGTTTCGGTTCGGGATAGCGAGGCCCTGGTCGCCAATATCGGGTTTCGGCTGGGCGAGAGGGCCGTGCTGGCGCCGAATGGCAGCACAACGACTTCGAGTGCGAGTTCGCGGACCACGAGGAGCAGTGCTGCGGGCGGGGCGGAGAGCACGAGGAATGTGGCTGTTCTGACGGCGGCGGCGACGACGACGGTCGCGTTGTTAGGGAGTGCGACGCCGGAGGCTGCTGAGGCGGCGACGACGAGTCGGCCGAGTAAGGCGTCAGCGAAGAGCGAAGGCAGGAGGGTTGTGCTTGCGATTGGGGCGGTTTTGGCTGGGGTGGTGATGGCTGGGATTATATGGTAATATAGGCACGTGGATATGGTTTCTTGCATATACTTAGAACATAATGTGTTTAGAAGGACATGCGATATGTGGGCCTCAAGCACCTTTAGGCGCATGCATAGACGACAGCATACAAGGGGAGTTGGATGTTTCTGACGTTTGACTAGAGTTAGCTACATGGCGGAGCTGAAACTATCTCAGCTCTAGGTACACAATATAATCGACATCGCGAGTGATGTCTTTAGTACCGTTCAGAACTGCCTGAGTGATTCTTCCTGCTCGTGTGATCTCTAGGTGCCTGGTATCGGCACCTCCGTTGCTCGCTCCCTTAGCGGCCCCCACCGTAGCTCCTGTAGTCAAATGGTTCCCGCGTGGGATTCCGACACCATGCCAAGCATCGCCGATTCCAACCGCACCGACTGTGGCTGGCTGAGCGTCAGGCAACGTACCATGAGTCGTGGGACACTTTTCGCACGGACTTCTAAAAGCATCCCAACGCTTCTGGTACGTTGCCTGGTGTCGCGCTAGTGCATACAAAACTCCGCATTCGGGCTTTTCGTCTGTGGGGAATGCCTACGTATTTCTACATTCGGTTGGCTTTTTGCTTCCCGGTGCATGGAGCTTGTTCCTAAGAAGTGAGAATGAGTGGATCAGCTCCCGAGACGGCAATATCAGTCCACCGGAGCCGCCGCAAGTTCAGCTGATGTGGATTTCCTATGTTCCATTTCTGTCTAGACCGATGTTACTACCTTGGCAAGTTTTCCTCGGTAGATCTAGTTGCAAAACCATAAGGCTTGTCAATCAAGTACTATTTAAACTCTTCCCGTCAGTCAAACAACTCGCATCTACTCATTTCCAGCTTTCAAACTTCTAAGCTCTTTCACCCAGAGCCGTTCACCAACCACATCGCCCGACATGGCCCCGCCACCTAGCATGCCCGACGGCTGGTACGACGGAAAGGATAGGGACCAGTTCTTCACAAGTAAATGGAACCGTGGATGTTACGTCCGCTTTACAGGCTCCTTCCAAAATGCCCAAGGGGGCACGATGTTGGATCTGCATGGTGGCGGAGGGCATACGCCAGCGGTTGCCGGATTGTAAGTAGACCGCTGTACACCAACTCAGTCATGTTCCACACCCATACGTATGGAGATTCAGTCATTGAAGGTGGAATGTAATTTCGCAACGGTGGTGGCTGGGCTGACCGTAAACAGTAGCGACGGCGGCCCGTCAAACAAGAACCAGATATGGAAGCTCGTCGAGGTGATAACCGGAGCGTATGCGATTGTGAATGTAGGAAACAACCACCATATTGTTGCTCAAGGTCTGTGCCTCAACTCCCACAACCTCGTCACCAGGCTATACGGCCTTCTGCTCGCGGCGGAGAGCTAACACTGGATCACAGGCAAAACCCAGCCTGTTCTCTGCGACGACCGCAGCATTGACGACAAAAAAGGCTGGTGGCGCCTTAGCGGCCAGACCGGCAACAACAAAAACAAGTTCGAGACGCTCAGGTAAGCCGCGTTTCATGCGAAGGACCGTCAGCTCGCTAGTCTCTACAGAGGAGCGTTCCTGAACTGATGACGAAATGCCTACGGGATAGATTCAAGAACCAAGAATTTGACGAGGATGGTTATCTTGACTTGGCTGCTGGACACAGTGGTAATGGCACCCCGGTTTACTGCTACAAAGGCAACAGCGGGAACAACCAGAAATGGAAGCTTATCTCGCGAAGTGGTTGATGGAGCGATTAAGGGACGCCGGCCGGGAAGGGTCTGCAACATGCCCACACCCTCTGTAGCGACGACAATCCAAGTATACATTTAACTTCCTTTTCCGGATCCATAGACCTGTAGAACACAAGCGGACGCTGAGCAGTGACTCCCACTTGAGAAGCTGGACCGAGCCTCAATTTCAAGACCAATCTGGAGTGATACTTGTTGACAAAAGGCGATGCTTGAATTTTCTATCGATGGAAGAAGCAAGCTACATATACATTAACTCGGAAGAACCACATGAGCTGGAGTCTGCTAAGTAGCAACATGGCCACGGCTTATTGCACTCACACCAGGCATTATGGCTGGATCCAAAGACACATGACTCCACCAGGCTGTAGAGTACATGATATTTACGACTCCGCATGACTCGCTTCGATCATTGGCCTCAATCCAGATTCCTGCCAGCCATATCAGCAGGCAAGTGCGCAGGCGAAAGGCCTTACCCAGCCGTGTGCTCAGCCACAGTTACCCGTATCTGTATTAGAATCAGTCGTCTGAAAGGATCCAAGCTGCGCAGCATTTTATTCTCCGCCAGCCTTCCAACAGCCGATGCTATCTTCTTTCTATCAGTGTCAGAATCTTAGATAACCGCCGCGTGAGTTATAATGATTCCCAAGTTCTATAGCTTCAGGCTGTTGCTGTGAGGTAAAAGCTAAAAATATCTCTCACAAAAGGCAACTTCTTTGAACGGCAACAACATTCTAAGTGTCATGTATTGGCGCAAGCCGCATCTGCTAGGAAGAAATGATCACTGTGGATTCTTACAAGATGTTCAGCGAGACTGCACATGTTGTGAATTTGTTATCCTACAATATGTACCTGCATGTTCCGACTCTGTGTCCTCTTCGAGGTACGTGTACCCACGTTAGATCAGTACCTTGTCGGAAGTTTATGTGCTGTGCATAGAAGCTGTTGCCGGCGAAAGCGTCGCCGCCGCCGGGAGCGTTTATAGGATCGAATCAGTTTTGCCGGACTGCGCTAGCTGACGTTGCACATCGTCAAGCACAACGATCAAGAATGTTTGGTCGTCCGAGGTGGAGCCTTCTTCAGAGCGGTCGTGAGGTGGAGCGGTGACGCTTGGCGCAGCTGGGGCTGAACTGCCTCGCGCTCAGCCTGACGATAAATAGCAGTCCGCCATAGCTTTCAATCTACTTGTAGCTATCGCCTCGAAAAGGAAAACTCGGACTCCACCTTCCTCTCGATCTTTCCGTCGCAAATCCCGTCCAGAATGGGCGGCAAAGCGTTTCCAAAGCTTCATGTTCCGCGCATGCCACCAGCTGAGTATCTGAAAGTTCGCGACAAATCCATCAAGACTGTTCGAAAATTCTTCAGACACGTCGTATGTCCTCCCGGGTCTCCCGAAAAGATCGATCATGGGGATGTGGACCTACTTGTATGTGATCCGACCTCCAGCTACGCGCCAGAGAGGCTGGAGAAAGCATTGGGAGCGGTCGCGAACACAGGGAATTCACAGATAACATCCTTCGCCATTCCTGTCGATAAAAGTAGCAAGGACGCTTTTGCTCAAGTGGATATTCATGTGTGCGAAACGGAATACCTTGATTGGGAACTTTGGATGGGCGCATATGGCGATTTATCTCAGATCATTGCATTCATCATCCAGCCTGTCGGACTGCTCATGACGAGTAAAGGTCTGACGCTGATGAATGGCAATTCCTCCGCCCTTTTTCTAACCACTCTAAGGCAAGGCAGTTTCTTGGTCTCGATGAGAAGAGATACCAAGCCGGGTTCAGGACTTTGCAGGAAATGTTTGTCTGGTCCTCAGAGTGCAAGTGCCTCCAGGAGCCGATGAGAGACCGTGGTATCGACCGAGGTCGTCCAGTCTTCAAGGCATTCCTGAACTGGGCTGCTTCCAATCTCAAGGCTCCCAAGGAACCAATTCTTAGAAATCAAATCCCTCGTCTAGCGATCTTCGTGTTCGGTGTGCAGAAGCAATACGACACATTGGTTGCAAGAGATCGAAAACTAAGCACTATCGAATCAGCTGTCCTCAAGAGCTACGGAGGTCGGCTCAACACAATGATCTCAGAATTAGCAAGATGGGCGCCGCTCGAAAAAGGTGGTTATGCGCTGCTCCGACCTTCAAACGAGGCACACATGCACATGGACATCAATGCGAATGACTGGCTCGATGAGATGAATGAAGATCGTCTTGAGCAGCTTATAGTCTGGATAAGAGATAATATGGCCGAGATCAAGCGCAGGGAGAAGTTCTGGGACTCTGAACAGAAGCTCGTCAATGCTCTGCAGGAGCTCCCAACACCAAAGAGACAAGTCTTCCAGGAATTCGAGTTCACCTCCGAGCGATTCACGAAGGAGTTGTTGATATGCCGGATTCTTGCACTATTCAATCGAGACGAAGAACTACTCAGACAGCACTCTACGTGCGCTAGACGAATTGAAGAATTGTTGGGGGTTGAAACATCCGCACCAGTTCTTATACTTGACCAAGCGAGAAAATCGGAGCTGATTGAGGGCCTTCAGTCTCTCTTCGCCAAATCCGAGGTAACGCTTAACGCTCTTAAAAACAAAATCAAGGCGAGCGCCTTTTCGACTTGTCGTGACTTGCTATGGCAGATTCGAGTCCATTTGAGCTTGTACGCGAAGCGAGGAGATCAAGACCCTACGCAGACAGCGTTGCTGCTGTGGATGACCAACACGCTCGCGAACCAATTCGCTGGCAGTAGCCAGAAGAGTAGAAAGGCCGCGAGCCAAGATGAAAGACAATCGGGGGTCATCAAATATGAGGGGGGAAGAGTTCTATCCGGCCCCTCCAATGCCTCATATCATCAAAGCCGTCATAAGCGTCATTGCTGTGCTTTGGATTTCCGGGTACATCTGCGGTGTGTGCTGGGCGCTATACCGCTATCCCCGCATACTTGGACCTCTTATGCCGCTCTTCATTTTGCTGCTGTACGGGCAAGAACGCCGCAAAGTGGACCACTTCATCGAGATTATCAATCCATTCAAGAGTCGACAACAACGACCCGGCCAGGATGATTTTCGTAAGAGTCTGAGAGAGTTCTATGCTTGCCAACATGAGGACACTATCTGGTGCCCCATCACCAAGCAATATATCCCATTGGGTGCCTGCAAAGCTGCACACATTCTGGAGTACTCATTTCCTGACAACATGTTCGAGCTTCTCTTTGGCCCACGTGGCGACAATGACACGGATCCAACCATGGTTGCGGAAAATGGTTTATATCTCTACGAACCGTTCGAGTCTGCCATGGACAGCGGACAACTTGTCATTACACCGCATGTTGTGAATGACAAGCTTGAGTTGACAGCCCATGTTGTGGATGAGAACTTGATGTCGACCGATGTCCGGCAGGACATGAACCGCAAATGGCGTCCCCGAGGACTCAAATGGAGAGATATTGATGGAACACAACTAGAGTTTAATCACCCTACCAATCGACCAGGAGCACGATTCATTTACTTTCGCATGCTGCAAACAATCATTCAGAAGTGCATCTATCAGCCTCCTGGGTGGGCCTACCGACTGATGGAGTTTCTGGAGCCGACACTGTGGACAGAGAGGATCTATGTACCACCCGCATCATACCCTGCCGATGGAGCAATGATGATGCTTACAGATTTGATCATCGACCGACGTGTCTTCGGTCTGAGCGCACTATCTTTGCCTCCAGTATTAAAAGGAGAAGATGATGTTGAGGCAGGAGAGGATAGTAGCGTCGAAGATGGTGTTAAGAAGCAAGGTGTCGAAGAGGAAGAGGATGCTATGGAACTTCTTGACGACTTTGTCGCTTTCGACTCAAGTTGCTTCGACTAGCCGCGGTTATGACTATCTTGAATGGATCAGACGTGATCGTCTTCCCCTCTTCCCCGAATCGCGTGAATCACTCAGTGGCCCGGGTAAGGCCAGATCTGTTTTGGGCATGCTACGATGTAATGACTAGTATTGATTTTCAAGCAACTGTGTCAAAAACAGGCTAGAAGTCAAGAAGCCTAAAGGAAGCGATACACATAAGTGATCAAATCTAAGATGATTCTAAATCGTGCATACTCTACGGGTAACGAGAGAAGGGCGAGATGTGGCCAGCCACCCTGGCCGTGAATGATATATCAAAACCATTGGTACATGGAGAAATATTCAGTCGAAATTAAATCGTGATTTTGCAATTCGCAACAACTCCTTTTTTCATTCCGATCTCTATTTAAATCTCAAAGCATGCAGCACTGCTACAATCTATTCACACTCTAAATCCTTCGCCTGGATGATCCGGTTGGCTACGCAATCTGAGCCTGCTAGAAGATACTGGCAGGTACCGTCCAAAGTGCCTGCGCGAGCGCTACGATATGATTAGCATAAATCAGAGCAGCGCATGAGAAAGTACCTACACGCAGAGAAGGTTCAGTAAACACTTATACTTCTTCGCCTGACCACCCAAGGAAGATTCAACGGCCAAGTCCCGAACAGCCTGAATCGCCTCCTGACAAATACCACGTTCACCTCTTGCCTCCTCTTGAGAGTTGCTGGTGAATACGTCAGTGGTTGGACTAGTGATCTTCTGGAGGAACCCTACATGCAAAGAGTGCCGGCCAGCGAATCAATCCTTTCGACATTCTCCTGTCCAATTGCAGCTCTGAGAGATGGTCCAACAATAGTTCCAAGCTTAGCTGCGGCTGGGAACAGGAACACGAGGGGCGTTCCTGGTGTCAGAGCCTGGGACAGTTGGCAGGTAACATCAGTAAAAATCTGATGCGGCTGGTACGCATTGAACGATAGACCGATGTGCAGAAGTTGGGGTCTTGCGACAGCCGATGTAATGACACACAACAGGGCAGCGAAGGTAGTCTTCATGGTTGATGACAGAAGAAAATAATCCAAGAAGGAGGATTTCAGCTTAAAGTTCAAATGGGCGTCTTAGTCAACCAACTGATGTAAAATAATCTGATGTGATTGAAGCTGAAGTGCGTGATTATCTTGAGTAGACGGCGGACTGTCGCAACTCTTTATATGTCGAGGGGAAGATTAATTTAGCGTTTTTCTGTAATTTGTGTATTCCACGGAGTCTCATAGAATCTCGCTAAGATGATACGAAGATCTTACCAAGACTGCTACATGATCGTCAGTGTTACTTTGATAAAGAGAAGCTCGCACCGCGAAAAGGATTAGTACGCCGCTCAGATACGCTCATGATGTATCGAACGAATGCTCTACGCGGCCCTAAAGTCTATACTACTCGATTGGGACCACTACACCAGACTCGCCTCGACGCTACTAATGCGGAATCGTCATGGACGCCGGCGCCAAGCGATGCCTAAGACCCGCTTACACTCCGTATGCTTTCAAAGATCGCATCTTGGGTGCTGCATCGCAGCTACTAGATCATAGTGCGATTAGTCGTCATGTGGCTTTATGGCTACCGCACGAGCCCAAAGAAGGGCTATGTGATCCTCGATCTAGGTGAGCCCCACCCGATGATTACCTAGATGGATCCAATCTAGGCTACCATCCTTGGCGTTGCACCAAATATGGCGTTTACCTAAAGGTGAAACTCGACCAGATCAAGTACAGCCAATCAAAACGACTTATCTGGCCTCGTCAAAACAGCGATAGATCTTGGACACCCTGGGATTAGTCTACGAACCAGATCACCGCTCCGATGCAACACAAATGGAACTCTACCGCCGTCAAGGGATGACAGCTAAATCGCCTAACGTCATCCAGGGGGTTTTGCACGGTACTGTGTTCTGCACGATCTAGGCCCTCTAATTATCCGCGCTGGTCACGTTTTTGCCCAGGCCAGGCGCTCGAAGCGCTTTACTCGATATTTTAGAACGCTAGCCCCATCACGTTAAACTGTGCAAAACCCAGTGTCGTGCAAAACACCCTGGACTACGTTATCTTCACCGTTGGAGGAATCAAGCCCTTATACTTCTTGTATGTGACTGCAAACCGTCGATTCTTGCATCTGTAGCCTACTTGGTCGCTATAGGGAATGGCATCTTGCAGCAGCGACGCGAACTGCAAAAAATTCCTCCAAGTCTTATGCAGGAATGATGAATCCACTGAAAACTCGACAACCCAACGCAAGCTGTCGTAATGTTGGCGGAACCCAGAGGGAGCGGGTTGCGTGCTGTCAACCCGCTCCGCAATCAGCACTCACCATAGTTCATCATGAGCTGTTACAGTCGCTGAGTTTGACAGTGATTCTGCAGATAGCCAGTCGCACTTTTGAAACCAGTAACGAGTTTTGAACATCTCGTTGTCCTTTCGCGACCAAGGGTAGGTCTTGGAAACGGCTTGTATGCTGTCAACTGTGATACCTGCCAGCAGTAAAAATCGATCTTTATGAAGACGTGGTGTTCTTGGTAGGGTTTCTTTAGCTTTGGAGTGCGTCGAAATACCTCCGAGAGTCTTCTATGCTAACGATTTTTTCTGTCCTAGAAACTTCCAAGTTGCACCTTTCCCAGTCGATCGAGAACGTTTTGCCTAGGACGCTCTAATCGGGGACCCAGGTAGGAAGATTTTGGATCGGGCTATCCTTGTTACAAGCTTCTACCGGGATTGGCTCTAAACCGCTTGTTAGAATCATGACCTGTGCAGTGTTCATATATACTTGTCGGACAGATATATCGTGATCGACTGGAAGAGGAACGGTCTAGCCTTGTTGCAAGATATGTAAACCAATTCAGCTCTGATGTCGGCTTCCAACTTGCATGTGAACGTACTTTACTAAAGATTCCAGCTTCGAGAATTTGGCGTCAGGTAGGGTGATTGAAGGCCGGAACGCCGCGAAGTCCCATTCTGCGGTGAGTTTACAGTCATGGATTTTAGGGTAAATGTGGTTAGAACACACAACCAACATGGTACGGAATGTCCAGCATTTAGAGATGGCTGTGCCGCAGTTGTGTCGTAGTGAAACACCTGATGAGCCGTCCTTAGAGGTGGCTGAGTACAAAGCAGCAGGTTTGGCTGAGATCGAGTTGAAACGACACTGGAACAAGACTGAAGAACTTGTCGCCGTATCTATTATCTCATCTCTGCCGGAAAAATCTGCGTTATTAGTTTGTTGTCTCCTAACTCTTGAATATTATTGGCAAGGTGGCCGAGTGGTTATGGCGTTACGTTTAGGACAAGCGTGCACGCTTCAAGACTTTCCGTAATTCGAGAGAGCGTGGGGTGTGTTGTCAACAACATGCACACCTCGAACATTACAGACATGCTAACATGTCTTAGTTCGATCCCCACCCTTGTCATCGTCTTTTGCTTTTGCCGTGGACTTCGTTTTGTTTTGTGGTACTCGAGAGGAGCGGAAGCTCCCGCTTACTCCTACCCCTCCACCCCACTAACCTTTTGCACCTCTGGCCATCTTATGAGGTGGACGAAGAGCAAATTCCAGCTATCAGACGACAGTTGGTCTTACGGCAATAACTCCAACGGAGCCCATGGTTCTCCTAACGCCCTCAAACTTCCGGACCGGCCGGAGAAAGTTGCCTAATGTGAACTGCCCCCCTGGTGGAGCCATATGTACCTTGCAGTAGTTTACTATGACACTTGCCCCATTCATGAGCTTCGCGCAGAACCTCTACGAACGAGTAAGTCTAATAAAGTAGCTCACCGGAGCTTCAAAAAGCGTGTATTCCAGGTCGAGTCCAGCGCTTCTTGTCCTTCAATCTTCCAACAAGTCAGACCATCTCAAGCTGTTCCACGGCATATCTTCTCGCTCATCTCCACACCACTCCTCTTTGATTCAATCACGCTCAGACCAAAGCTCTCCTCTCTGCTCCATCTCGTAGCCCCACAATGGCAGAAACAATAACCCACATCGTCCTCTTCAAGTACCGCCCCGACATATCATGGACAGACTTCGAATCCCACTTCGAGACCTTCATGGCGCTCCGCACCAAATGCCTGCACCCCTCCACCAACAAACCCTACATGCTCTCCCTGCGCGCCGGCAAGAACCGCTCCTGGGAGCCCTTTAGCAAGGGCATGACGCACGGCTTCGTGCTCGAGTTCGCGAACCAGGACGATCTGGACTACTACCTCACAGCCGACGCCGTGCATCTCGCCTTTTCAAAAGCTGCAGCGCCGCTGATTGAGGATTCTGTGGTCGTGGACATCAGAGACGGGATACTGTTCGGACCGCCGGCGAAGAGGCCTGGGTTGGGCTCGGGGGAGTACAGCGGGGCGTGTCATTGTGGGGAGATGGCCTGGATGGCGCGGCTCGAGAAGGCGGAACATGTGCTGTGTCACTGTGGGACGTGTAGGAGGTTGGGGGGTGGGCCGTATAGCTGTAATCAGATTGTTCCGAGGGAGGATTTGAAGATTACGAGGGGCGAGCCGAGGGTGTATATTTACAAGGGGGCGTCTGGTGAGTGTGCTCTTCTTGGTGTATCTGCAAGCGGGCTGCTCCAGCGGGCAGTGTGTCGTTGACGCTCGGTTCGCCCGATATATTTCGGAGAAGTGGGTGGCTGACAACGATGAATACAGGCAAGGATGTGCGCTGCTACTTTTGCGGAACCTGCACATCGCACATCTACCACCACCAGGACGCGATGCCTGATAAAGTCATCGTGCGTACGCTGCTGCTTGAGGGTGGAGACAAGATGCCGGCAACCGGCGAGATATTTGCGGAAGGCCGACTGGGCTGGGTCAAGGAGCTGCAGGAGAGCTTAGTGAACGGAGTCAAGTGAGGGAGCCGGTGAGCCATCAAAAATAGAGGATGTGCGGAAGGCAAAAGGGAACGACTGTCCGAACATGACTGTTGGGCGCCCAATGGGTTTACGACGCGGCTGGATCCGGAGGGTTCAAGAATACCGGAAGGGTGGTCACTGGGGACAGGGAATACCAGTTGCTATATAGAAGTATGATAGACCAACTCATGAGACCTCTAGCAGGGCTTTCCAATCAGTTATACGGGCAGAAAAAAATCCATACCAGAACCTTATGCTGTGTAGTGATTTGAGTGTACTGGAACCACTGGACTGAATACGTCTGTGGTGCTGATACCAGGCTCCGTGATTGCTGCACCGACAAGCAGAGCGCAGCAGATTGACACAAAGGTCTCTATCCCTGCAAGAGATTGACTTGACAGATCCAGTCGCTAAAAGAGTCTGGGCAATTCGCATCCCTCGTGCGGCAACGTTTGCTCTGGATAGCTCAGAACATCGTTGTCGAAACACGCAGAGGCGGTTATTGTAAAGTTCGGCAAGCGCGCGCCATATCTTCTACCACACCAATCAGCGGCACTGAAAGTTCTGAGACGCGGCTAGTGCGTCCGGAAAGAGAAGTATCCAAGCTTTGCGAGACGAGCATCCAGCAGTGCGGATGAGAGGGCTCTGATGGAGCCGGAGTGAGAAAGGTGACCACAAAATTATGTGGGTGTGGTGCACTCAATCAGTGGGTTTGATCTTAGATGATATCAATGAAGCTTGAGTAATTAACGGGGAAGCTGAGGACAAGCAAAGTGGAAAGGAAGAAATTCTATGAAGTAAATTTTGAGACGACTAGTGGTGGATGAGCGAAGTTTTCGAACATCATACTTGCTACAACAGCGCCGGGGCATCAAACAAGAGTGACTGCTTCATGCATAAACTGACCAATGGTCTATTTTGCCTACGCAGCGGAAAAGCGAGTTGTCTATGGCCAATTTCTGAGGAACCTAGTGATTTGACACACGCACGAAGAGAGAATTGTACGCTGATGCCAAGCTATTGAACACAAACACTGGTACAACAGCCAGAGAGACTTGAGACGTCGTCTTAGGTTCCCCACCATCTCCCCATATCTGCTGCCGCGCAGCACAAGCCACCATGAAAAACAGCCCGCCCAGCATCTCCACTTGTTCCACCCACTCCACACTATGCGTCACTGCGTTCAAGCCTCTTATTTCAGATCGGTCTTGGCCTCGTCGCCAGACGACTGGTGTGTCTTCTCCGCCAGCTTGACGCTCTCCTCTTGTAGCTGCTTGATCGTGTCGGCCGACGCGTCGATCTCACCTCTGTCAGCTTTTATCTGTGGGCCGCATGTCAGTATTCGGATCCGCAAGAGATGACAGGTGATAGATGAACGATTCTCCCAAAAGGGCCTTAGGTATCCAAGAAGCTCTCGTCTTTCTTGGGGCATAACCGCGGAATCAATGGAGAGGGGACGAAGTGGGGAGCGAGGCATGCTGGGTTGGTGATGAAGGTGATGGTGGACAAAACCTACGATAGACTCGCTATCACTCGCCAGCTCATCCTTCCAGTGCCCCTTCCCTTCTTCCTGCTTCTTCAACAGATCCTGCTTTTGCAACTCGACCTCTTCAGCCCGTCCGTCGTGATCTAGATGTCATTGCAAGAAAACGTTAGCCAAAATGCATCCTATGTCTGTACAGGCTGTGTTCGCCGTGACAGCAATCGTCGCAGCTCCCGGCGATTAATACGCCCTGAGTTCCCAAGCCGCCTGCGAAAGGGGGTGTCCCTACTGAGCGCCGACTCCTTGCCCGCAAATCTAACCGCAGACGTCTGGTAGCTCGCTCGCTGCACGAAGCGGGCTGCGCTGAGCGGGGCGGCAGCATTGCGCCTCGAGAGCGCGGCGAAGTTCCTCAATGTGAAGGCCATGGTCGGTAGAGCAGGTGTCGAGAGCTGTGTCGTCGATGTCAAGCTTGTGGTGAGCAATTGAAAGCTCGGGAAGAAAGCTGTTGTCGTCTGTCGTCCAATAGTGCGAACGATGTTGTCAGTGCACCGTTTGCTCCGACGACTCCTCGGCCAGAGCGCGGGATGGTCGGGATGGTCGGGATCGGGCGCAGTCGTCATCGTGCCAAGCACCTGGGGAGCTGTGGATGGCGGAACTCCGTGGAGTCGGAAGTGTCGAAATCACGATTGAGGGTCCGGCAAGTTTTCATATACAGGTATACTTCAGTAGATAGGGATAGGATAGATGGTGGCTACGGAATTCCTGACTCTGTGTTGCCCAGAGCTTTCATACATCCCAAACCGCAAAATGCTTCGACGCGACTGTGCGGAGGGGATATGCGCAGCATCATGCTTTCAAGATACACAAGTGTCACGTTTAAGAGCATTCCGCTAATCCTCAAGTGTGAGTGAAAGTTATAATTGAATCCTGAAGCTATGGAAGGCACCACCAGCGATCCAAAGGCGCCAGTAAGCGAATTGACAGAATCGAAAAAGCATGAACCTCATCCCAGAGTACAGAGTCCACGCAAAACACCCGCCCCCAAATAGATACAGGACTTAAAGAGCGTCCCGCATGCCTGAACCAACCCGACACCATCCCTTCCCAGGATTTTCGCGCCATGGTATACCAACGACACCCCGCACCGCCAACAACACGCAGTCCTCTGAGAACACCTTCTGATAATAAAAGAAAGCTGAATAGAGAGCAAGAAGCCGGTTCTAGGAAGACGTGAGGCTAACGTTCAGCTCCACCGCGAACTGCCTATTTTCTTGATTCTTCAAAGCCCATGAACCCAAAACTCCAAACGTGATGCGTGAACGCTACCAGAAACACGAAAGCCAGATGGAATCTAGTCGAGAGACATCTTCGCGGCATTGCAACGCCGTCGCCCGTGCCATGTGGTATCCCAAAGAGAGGTCGAGAAGTCGTTCGTTTGTACAAAGGAGTCGAGTTGGATTATGCACGGATCTTCCGGAAAGGTATTGTTGAGGAGTGAATAGTAGGGAAGTCCACCGAGCCAGCAACGAAGCGCGCCGCAATGCAAAAGCCGAAAGAATCACAACTGGTGTCGTGCTGGTAGCGACTCTAGTAGCGGCGGTTGAGGTATTGTTGCATCTGTCGAGCAGGCGAGACAGATGGAGGTGGACTTGCGACAATGCCAGTGCTTGGGTCAACTATCGGGATTGCGTTGCGCGTTCGCTGAGCGAGCGGCTGATGGATTTTGGCGTGCGAGGAGGTTTGCTGATAAGCAGAGACTGGAAGTGTGTTCATAGGGCGATAGAGAAACTCGGCTGTCGGTTGGACTTGATGCTGGAGAGGAGAGGATTCGGGGGAGCCGCTAGACAAGGATGACCGATCGGAGCCGGAAGAGTGAATGCTTTGAAGCTGTCGTTGATGGTTAGTCAAAGTTACAGAGATCTAGTCTATAGATGCTGGAGGTTGCTTACATCGTCTTCGGTCAAGAGGTGGAAAGGGCAGAACATCTCGTCGTCTTCAATGTCGAACGAGCGAGCAGCCTCAAAGTCCCGTCGGAAGGCAGTCACGGGCACAGTTTCGACAACCTCCTTTGGGCTTCGCACCGGCTTGGGCTGGGCTTGCGAGTTGTGCGCAGATGGCAGACGTGGACCCCTTCGAGAGCGACCGCCGTGGTGATTGTGCGACGCCGAATGCGAGTGGCGTGGCGGCGGATAGTGTGGAGCATTCCAGTGGATGGCTGACAGCATTTTGGCTGCAGATCGACTATTGGACGACAAGATGCGATGGTTTGTTGTGATGTGGTGGTTGGTTTGTGATGATTGCGAAGCTGTTGGATTGCGCCGAGAGATGCCGACCGGCAGGTTGCTTGGATGAAAGAGCCGACGACGAGCGAGGGTGGAGCTTGAGTGAGTGCAAGTCGAAGTCGGTTCGAGAGAGCAAGCAAGGTGGTCAGGCTGAAGTGTGGAGTGTTTGTTGTTTGTGAAGAGGCGGAGCAATGAGACTGGTGAGAGGCTGAGTTGCTGGTGGTGTTCGGGAGTGGGCGAGGAGGAGGGGGATGAAATGGCTGGCGCCGACGCTGTGACATGGAGCGATCCGGTGGCAAAAGTCTGTCTAAGCTAGTCCTCAGTCGTGCGCGCTAGTCCATGTCGGGCTTGGCGACATTCCGCGGGGCCCTCGAACCAAGCAAAGAAGCGCGCGAAGCTGATCTGCATCCGTCGGGCCAGGTCCAGCGCATGGAGCTGCCCTGCCCACAGCCCTGCGTTCCCTCTCCCTCGTCATGCCCGCCCAATCTTCCTCCGTGTCTGGGCGGACAAACAGCGCCGCTCTTGCATGTCAGCTTCGCTCGACGTTGCTGGCCGGCAATACTCTGGGGCGTTTAAAGCACTGCAACGTCCGAGTACAATACCATGCCGCGCTAAGCTTCTCCGGCGCCCCGATCGCTAAACGCCCGACTACCAAAATGCCAGCACGGACGCCAGCCTCGACGGGGGGTTGGTTCCACATTTGACCGCTTCTTGCTCCCTGCAGTCCCCAGACCTGCGCTGCCACAGAAAGGGCCTCTTGCGCTGCGTGTTCCCAGCCCAATCAGCGCCTTGTTCGACCACGTTTGCGCACAGAGATTCTGCACTTGCTGTGCTGGCATTGCGGTCTGACAAGAGCGCGCGACTTTACCACCAACCGGCGCTGGACGGTCCCAGCTCGTGGAGTAAAGACGGCTTTGCGTGCCTTTCTTAGCTCAGGTACAAGGTCAATGCGGTGCCGTGGGTGCTTGCGCCTCCGCCCTCGGGTCCCGCACCATGCGCCCTGGGCCTCCTGCATCGTCACAGCATACGATTCCCTAAAGCAGAGAGCGTTGATATCAAAAGGTCGTCTCATCAACTTGTCTGAGAACACTTCCCTTAAAGCAAGACAAGGTTCAACGAGTGAGACAATGTGATGAGGCGGGCTCCGCACTGAACTGCCACTTCACTCACGCGCTGTAAAGAGTGAACTAACGCCAGGCGCACCGTGGTAGAGACTAAAGTACTGCAAGAGTGGTCTGTCCTCTTCCTGAGTAAAGCGACATCGGCTGGAACACGATGCCAGACACTTGTAGCAAGCAGGCCGTCCGATCCGTACACGTGTTGCTTACACTCTACTCGTACACCACTTCACTTGTCCAGGCCTCTCGCCTTCATAAACCGCGCTATCTGCTCCTTGCAGACCTTCTCGTTATACGTCTCCCACAGCTCATACAAAGATATCAGCTCCTGCGTGCAGTCGACGACTGCCTCCATGTCTACGCTGCTATCTGCTAGCCAGTCTACAAACTTGCGCATTCGGCTTGAGGCGGCAGGAGTTGCCGCGGCCTGTGGATTGCTCAGAGCCTGCAAGGCACCCGAGACGCCTGCTGCATTCACCTGCAGGGTGCTTTGACTCGGCTTGAGCACGACTGCCAAGAACATGGCAGTGACCGCGATGATGTGCGGTGGGTGGAGCAGTGGGAGGTCGGTCAGGAAGCTATCGTTGATTACTGACCAGGCCAAAGCGCTCTCATCTTGCGCCAGCGGGAAGCTGTTCTGCAAATCTGCTAAGCTCCGGTAGGGATGATGAATGATGAGCTGTGAGTTCATCTCCGATATGAGCGTAAACTCGCACTCGCCGATCTTGGAGATGTCGGACAGGTTGAAGTCTGCACGAGGTCAGTAGGCAGATAGAGATCGTAAGAGAACGATATACATACCAGGCCACACATGACAAGCCTCTCCAAGAACGTGACGGATGTGCTGCGGCTGCTCCTCAACCTTGCAGGCCAAGTAGAGTGCCGTGGCTAAGACCAGGTACGGATTCGTACGGCGTATCTCGACTTTTGTATAGAAGCGGCGAACATACACCTGCGCCGTGGCAAGACATTGCTGCCGGACTACCGGTGATTGCAAGCGCCGTCCTATTTTAGCAATTTCTGCGCGAAGATTAGCTTCATGCTTAAAAAAGGGACAAGGGATCCCTACGAAGATTGAAGTAGATGTTCAACAGCCGCCGCTCCGGCAAAGGGTACTGTGTGATCAAACCCCGCTCTTGCTCGTCAAGCTTGCGTCTCAACTCAGCAAGTTCTGGCTTCGTGAATGTCCAGTATCGGCGTTGGGTTGAGCTCCAATAGCTGGCTGACATTCCAGTTTCCCCAGAGACGGATTGGTGATGAGTACGCAAAGGGGGGGAAAGTGGAGATCGAAGATAGAGACAAAGCTCAGCAAAAGACAGCTTCAGTCCCTCAGACTCCTCACTTTCTGAAGATTTCGAAGCACCAAATAGGACATGCGACGACGACTACTGGACCCATCACTCAGTACATGACAGTTGAATTCAAGTGATGTGAAAATGACTTTGATAAGGAAAGGTATTCCAATGTAACAAGAGGCAGGAAAGCGACCTATGTAACTAGCTGAAGTGATGACAGCTTCGTCAGAGCTGCATCAGCTCGGGCAGTCTTTATCCTTCCTGCCTTCCAAGTTGTTCAGAACTGGCCTCACCGGAGACATCCCGGCAACCGGCATCTCGCCAACAGGGCTGAGAACTGCCGGCTGCGACCGCCTGCCCCCGTTGGAGAGGGGCCTGGGGATGCGCTTTTCATCATACCTGGGGATGCAGCAGAGGTCCCACATTGAATCTCGTATGCTTTGTAACCCAGTCCAAAGAGCTTGCCCGCTGTACCTCCTCATCGACCTGCTGCGAAAGCACTCAGCGCAATACCCAGATATGAGCGTTCGAAGAAGATAACAGGGCTCGCAGAGCGGAAAAGATGGACAGCGAGTCCGCTCAGCAGCAGGAAGCGAGGGTGGAGCACCTATGGAGGATACTAGATACCCGGGGAGAGGGCCAGCTAAATGCTGCGGACCTGAAAAAGGGACTGGCAAAGATGGACCATCGTCAGCAATTACCTCACCGTGTTGAGGCCGTACTCTGACACTGCTGGCAGCACTCAAGCATGCCGATGAGCTTCTAAGAGACGTGTTGCATGCTGTCGATTCGAACAAGGACGGCAAGATACAATTCCAAGGTTAGCGCAAGCCAGCAGTCACCGCTTCCGCTGGGTCCATGTGTCGCTGATTTCGATGCCAAGAGTTTTGTGCCTTTATCAAGGAGACGGAGCGGGAGCTTTGGTCACTGTACAAGAGTATCGACAGCAACGATGATGGCAAGCTCGACAAGAATGAGCTCCGAGCTGCTTTCAGCAGAGCGGGGTTGGCAGTGCCGAATTCGAAGCTCGACCGTTTCTTTTCCGAGGTTGACACCGATCACGATGGAGTCATAAGCTTCGAAGAATGGCGGTACGCGTTTCGCTTGCCTTCGCTTCGCTTCATGTCGACCAGACTCTGACCTGCACAGGGACTTTCTAATCTTCCTACCCACCCACACCACGACCCTACAATCCGTTTTATCCTACTACTCGTCGACCGTCCAGGTGAACCCAGAAGGGGACGTCATTATCAGTGACGAGACAATACACGGCCTAGGTACTACACTCTTCAATTCTTTCTTTGGCTCCATCGTGAGCATCGCCAAACCTCCGAGACGCCAAATGGTTTTCGATGAGATCCTTGCCGAAGCGCGACAACCCGCGCCTTTGACGCGATCACTCCCGCCCGGCCGCGTTCAACCTGTTCAGCTGCCGTCGCCGGACGTGTCCGTTGGCGACTGGACAGCATGGGAATCTTGGAAGTCGACGCTGATTGCTTGTGTGCCGAATCCAGGCTATTTCGTGGCGGGAGGCCTTGCGGGCATAGTCTCTCGATCGACAACGGCGCCTCTAGATCGACTCAAAGTTTACCTCATTGCGCAAACCGGTGTTGCGCAGAAAACTATTGAGGCGGCGAAATCAGGTGCTCCGCTCAAAGTTGCGAAGAGCGCATGGAGGCCTCTAGCAGATGCATGCAAAGAACTATGGGCAGCTGGCGGTATGCGAAGCCTCTATGCAGGTGAGTAAAGCTCTCAAGGTGGCTATTGCACATAGCTGATGTCTTAGGGAATGGCTTGAATGTGATCAAAGTTATGCCAGAGTCCGCAATCAAATTTGGCTCATACGAGGTATGAGTCCGATATGCAACCCCTTAAATGCGGCTTACTAACCTTTCAAGGCTTCGAAACGTGTATTTGCCAAGCTTGAGGGTCACAACGATCCCGATCGGATTCAGTCGTGGTCTAAGTTCGTCTCTGGCGGCGTTGGAGGCATGATCTCTCAGTATGCAGAAATACCAAGGAAGGCTTTAATTATGAGACTAATTGCTGGTAGGTTCGCTGTCTATCCTATCGACACTCTGAAGTTGTAAGTACTGCATCTTAGCACCAGCATTGGTTCTGTTACTGATAGTTTGTAGTCGCATGCAATGCGAAACTGTTGCCGGCGGCCTCCACGGAAACAGACTCATAATTGCGACGGCCAAGAAAATGTGGGCTCGCAATGGCATAGTCTCCTTCTATCGTGGATTACCCATGGGTCTTGTCGGGATCTTCCCATATGCCGCCCTCGATCTCGGAACATTTGAGTACCTCAAGCGCGCCATCACCGTGCGTAATGCTCGCAAGAATCGCTGTCACGAGGAAGATGCTCAGCCCGGCAGCTGGGCTACTGCTTTCATCGGTGGCTTCAGCGGTGCTTTCGGGGCCAGTGTGGTCTACCCGCTCAATCTGCTTCGAACGCGGTTGCAGAGCCAGGGAACCGCAGTACATCCTCGCACATATACCGGAATAATGGATGTCACGCGCCAAACAATCCAAGGAGAAGGCTTTCGCGGCTTGTTCAAAGGGCTGACACCGAACCTCCTCAAGGTGGTGCCCGCTGTGTCTATAGTGAGCAGTGCCCTATTGCAAAGTCTACTGAACTCAACTGATACGAGAGAATAGACCTACGTTGTATACGAGAATTCAAAGAAGCTGCTCGACCTCCGCTGAGGCTTCTTCTTACCCCTTGTCAGCTTTCAGCGGCTCATTAGCGGAGATACCCCTTCGACATCATTCCATGGATTTGCGTTGTGATTTGGGTAGAATCCAGAGGTTAGCAGATGCATCGTTTTCCGGCATGCCTATAAGGCGCATGGCGTTGATGGCGTCTTGCTACCGCATCGCCAAGAGGATTCCGACAGAAGATCTCGACAGCGAGTTGCAACAGTCGGATATGCTGTACGTTAAAACCCTTACGTACCAGAGAGATCTTTAGCATGGTCCTTAGTGTAATCAAGCTTATTACAAGAGACACCACCATGTGTCTCTCATGATTTCATCTGTCAGAGTTGGCCAGAACTTCACTAGCACAGATCCTGGCTTGCAGTGAAGCCGCAAGGGGTTCGAAGGGGAGTTCGTACGAGATCTAGTGTCTACCGAGTCAATACTTCCCCATCGATCTTTGGCGCCGCTTCATACATCGAACTGAATCTCGCTCCTGTCTTCAAGCTAAACAGGGCGTGCGGAAGGCTACGGACCCTTGGAATTACGAGTAGAGACAACTGATGCTCTCGAGAGTAAGGGAAGAAACTGCTGAAGAGTACCTAGGTCGGACTTCAGTCTTGACCGTTGTCACGACACTGGCAACAGTTGAGCGGAATTGAGCGGCATATACCAGGACTTTGACCGCTACAAACGCTTCATCGGTAGCTCTTCTAGTTCCTAGGCGCTAGTTGTCCAACGAGAACGCGACCTCATGCACCACTCCCCGGCCTTACTCAAACCCCGTTCGTCTCTTTAAGGGGGACAACTGTTCGAGACCTCTACCGCGTGGCAGAAGCCATTTTTGGCAGAGCCTCATCGCTAAGCAGAACGTCTTAGGCCCCTACCTGCGCTGGTGCGGTACCTGTACCGCGCAGGCTTTGTATTCGCCAACATGACATAACACCGCAAACCTTTGGTCACATATCCCGAAAGCAGGCAGTGCTGAAGTGACGAGATCGGAACTGGCGAACGCAGTATCCATAGATTGAGGACACGGCGCCAGAAACGCCGTTCAAGAAATCCGCTGGAGCAGGCAAGGTAGTCATGAGACAGCCGAAGCTGACTGTGGAGACGTGAAGATAAGACAAGGAGGAGTAATGGCGACATCCCAATGGAAGCAACTCGTTGGATGTGAGAGGACTGCCCGAATTCGACATGGACCGGGAGCACCGACACCTCATGACACGTCACGACTTGAGCGATCGTATCACATGTCACCTGGTCACGTGTCCGTCTCTCAAAGGTCGGTTCTTCGCGGCTCAGATAACGCACAAGCTGCGGCATACCGTAAACCGCCTGCAACGACTATCGTCACCTTCGCATCGGCTCGAACCAGGATCTCGTATCCTTTCTCGGACATTTGTTCCCTCTCACCACGAGGAGCCGGACTGCTCGCCGTTACATAAGCTAGCTTTGGGCACCCTGATTCTCACAATGACCTCCGTCAGCACCTTATGCCAGAGACAGTTCAATTCGAGCCGCCAACGTTCTTGCCATGGTCGGACTCACAAAGACACTGCCGGCATCGTGGTATCGCAGTCTACCTCTTCTCCAGCTTGAGCGGCGGGCAGTCTTCCTCAAGTCATGGTACCTGCTGGGACCGGTAACGCGCTTCCAGCTCATCGGCGAAAAACTATGCTACGAGATCGCGCAAGTAAAACTTGTCGCTGTACGAACTTCCAGCGACGCGCGAGGTATACAGGTCTGGGCCGAGCAAGATGAGTCCGAGCTGCCACGGCATTTCACAAGCACCGGCCTGCTTTTCATCGCCTTGTCGCCAGAAGCGGAGCCCTTCGAAGAGTTCTTTCCAGAATTGGAATCATTGCTAGCAAGAGTGGACTTCACGAAGCTCCCGCATCGTCGCAGTATCAGCTACGAAGGCAAGTTCAACTGGAAGACCATGGTGGACGGCTACCAGGAGTGCCTGCACTGCCAGTACACCCATCCCTCCTTCTCGATATACTACCCGCCGACGTTCTACACGGTCAACAATCACAAGAATTTCAGCCAGCATATCGCCGACCCGGCGAAGCCAGATGACGGACTGTTCTTGTATTTCTTTCCCAACTGCACGCTCAATGTTTATGGGGGCGGCATGAGCTCTTTCCGCGTCTGTCCCACAGAGGACCCCGGAGTCACGCGAATGGAGTTCGATTACTACCACCGGGAGGACGGCGAGAAGTTTGAAGAGTACTTCAAATTTGTACGGCAGGTCGCTATGGAAGACTTCGACTTGTGCGAGAAGGCCCAGGAGAACCTTGAGAAGGGCATCTATACCGAAGGCATTCTCAATCCGAACAAGGAGAATGGTGTTGCCTGTGAGTAACTCGGAACTCATGTTGAGATTCCAGGATACTGACGTCGGCGCAGACTACCAACAGCGAGTTCTTGAGCTTGTAACGGAGCAATGTGAGCCCGAGGACCGGCGAGCCTCCGAAGCAGCACCCATGGATCCGGTTGTTTTGGTCTTGCCCACAGTTGCTGCTGGTGCTTGAGATTATTGAGAAACGTTCCGTTGGTGCAAGATGCCAGTCCACGTCATAATGGCAGCGGTGAGAGCGCCTCTATCGCTGTTTAGACGAATGACATTCTCTTATCTCTTGTTTCGACCACTGGTTTCAATTATCACTTTATTGGTGTCCATTTTGGCGCACCACTAGACAGTCTAACAACCAATCAGACTTTTCTTAGATCCTAGCAAGACCCTGCTTCCGCAGACAAGCAGGATCGGTATACTGAAATAGGAAAGATTACATACAACACGCTTCATCATTTCCCTTTCCTACGTCCATGTCTTCCGTGGCTGCGGTACGCATGTGTCAGAGTACAACCACGTCTTGATTGTTTCAACGACACACGAGCTCAACATAGGATTGTGATAAATGGCTGTGCAGGACTGCCTAATCTCTCGAGCAGAGCCCTCGCTGCACTCACCACAACAGTCATGGACGACCTACCTTACATAGCCTCTTTCCCGACCGCCGCCGTTCTGACAATCTTCCTCCTCTTAGCCTGCAGATATGCCGGCGTAGCAGGCCCAATCCATCTCATCCATCGCAACCCCAAGTATCTCGTACATGCCGACACCACAGCACCACCGACTCCAAGAGTACCCAAACAGTCCCCCTTACCGCCCGACTGGTTCACCTCCCCGACCCTCCTCCCGCTTGAAAACCGCGCCCTCCACAGCACAACCTGGCACGCCCTCCTGCACTCCTCCCGCCTCGCGAATCCCGGCTCCTACATTACCCTGACCCTCGCGACCTACCCGCTGATCCTGATCCGGGGCCGGGACGATGTGATCCGCGCTTTCCACAACGTGTGCCGCCACCGCGCGTACGCGGTCGCAAGGAAAGAGACGGGGAAGAGTCTGGTGCTGAGGTGCGGATATCATGGCTGGTGCTATGATGCGAGGGGCGAATTGGTCAAGGCGCCGCAGTTTGAAGGGATCGAGGGGTTTGAGAGGGAGGAGAATGGGTTGTTTGAGGTGGGGTGTGTGACGGATGGGGACGGGTTGGTGTGGGTGAACTTGGATAGGAGGAGGGAGAGGGGGACGCCAGAGAAACATGAGATAGGGGAGTGGGTGAGGCAGAGGGGAATGAGGATGGAGGAGGGGGTGTGGGTTGAGGGATGGGATGTCGAAGGGGAATTCAATTGGAAGGTTGCTGGTATGTTGTTCCTACCGTGTCGGTGATATTTGCGCGGTGTGTATGTCCTGTCGGAGTTGACGAGCGGCAGCTCAACGGCCAGGACAAATTGTCTCTTCGTCGCCCTTCTTCCGCAGTTACTGGAGAAACCGGCTCTCCTCAGCTGCAGGCTGGCTTCGAAAGAACTTCTACAGCGAGGCTGAGTTCCGTGCGAGCTTCGCCGTCTCTATGCTGACGAGCATTCACCTCGTCCCTGCGACATCGGCATGGGTGATGTCAACCGTCTTTCCCAGCTCTGCCACCCGAAGCAAGGTCCGCTTCGACGTGTACTCGTGCGAAGGGGCAGAAAGATTTGCAGTCAACCCTGGCGAAACAGATGCTGTGAAACAGCAGAGCGAAGTTTGGGTGCAGCGACTGGCGGAGACGCAATCGGCCATTGACCGTGACGGTGGTGTGAGAGCGATGTCCAGCGTGAGCCTTGGTAAGGTCTTTGAGCTTGGCCATCACCCGTTCTGCCGTAGGCTGATCTTTTTAGAAGAGACTCAACATGACATCCTTAAGCGGCTCAGAGCCCATGTTAAGCTCGAGCAGGTCGGCGGCGAAGAGATATACCCAGCATCGCCGAGGCAGACCAAGCGGGACAACGTCTGCGAAGGGAAAGCTGAGAAGCGTAGGGTTCTCTCGTCCGGATCAAAGCAAGTGCGAGAGCTGACAGAGCGACGTAGTCTGCAGCCAGTTGGAGGGCTCGAGGACCGGTATTGCGTGTGATGTCGGCGGCGGACAGAACCCTCTGCTAGCCTGGTAGGCGTATGAACGCAAAGTTTGCGGGCCTAAATAGACCTGTGTTGTTGTGAACGATATCAGGAGTATATCAGATTGGAGTTGACGGCTATGAGTTAGGCTCCGCGGAGCACGGTCCCGTCGAAGATCTGCTCGGGGACCTACAAAATACGGTACTAGGATAGATAGCATAACAATTAATAATCAGCGGCGACTGGGATATCGCGTTTACACAGCAGTCCATTCTTATGTCCTAGGCTGATACCTTTCTCTGCAGCGAGCAGTAGACCTCGATAGCATTCACGTTCGTTTGGTTATCCGCAATGGTGAACCAACAAGAGGAGAGGGCGTAAAACACCTTCATCTATACGGACGGGCGACTATATCATGAACGATCCGGAAGAAAGATGACACGGAGACGGCGGACAGCGGTGACTTGTGACGAATGTCATGGCTGGAAGATGACTGCCGTGGTTTGGAAAGCAGTGATATAGCCAAAGCGCGTGCATGTTAGAGGCAGAGATGGAGAAAGTCAACTTAGCTACCGAAACCAAGATTTGAGAGAAACTGTTCAACAGGAGCCCTCAGACCTCTGGCGCAAGCGCTCATCAGATCACAGCTCGACGTCCTGGTGAGTCTGGCACGGCAGTGCAGTCGCCCGCACAAAATGCACCGTCTGGACAAAGAGCGTTTGGTAACGCGCGCAGCCTCTGAACGTCCACCGCCAACCCTCCGGAGTGCCTCGTGCCATTCGCGCAGAAGACAGCCGTTGCGCTGGACAGCGCTTTCCAGGCAAAGATCCTGTGACCAACGGCGGCAGGCGCGTTGCATTTGCGACGTTCTATGGTGAAGAGCTGATTGCCGTTTTGGGAAGGGTGCGTCCGCTCGGGGAACGGCCCGCTGGGCAGCCACGATCTGAAGGGTGCAGTCCAGTCCTCCAGAGCAGGTAAGGTACGAGGACCGGTCCGTTGCGGGAAACGAGTGTCAAGATTGGATATTGCTAGCAGTTTACTCTAGACTGGCGTCCGAAGATCGGGGGATTTGGTGCATGAGAACGTTAGGGGTGCCATCTATCAGTTCTACACTGGTCGTACATTTCTCAACTAGATAGTCCAAACGTAAGACTCCTCGGCAATGCCCAGATGCATCCCACCGTGCCGCATGACCGATGCTACACACGCCCGAGAGCCCTGCAGCCAAAGCGCGAAAACAGCAACGGATCCAGAAATCCCTAAACCCACCAAATCCAGCTCCTATGCTTCGAGCGCTCATCCCCTCGAAAACGACCCCCTCTGCGCGTCGTCAATCCCACTCAACCTCATCTTTAGCCTCTCCTCCTCCTCTTCTATCTCCTGCAACTGCAGCAGCCTCTGCCGCTTATCCTGCAGCTGCGCCTGCCTCTGCCTAATCTGCGCCATCTCTTCATCCGTGGCCCAAGGTTGCGAGTCTGCCGAGCCTGTCGTGGAGCCAGGCGCAAGGAGGACGGGTGGCTCGTTGCTACTAGAAGCCAAGTCTCCTATGCTGGTTTGGCGCGTGGGTGCGACGGAGCTGGCAGGGGAAAGGAGTGTGGGAATTGGTGGTGAGCTCACGTCTGATGGGGCGGAGGGTTGACGTGAGTGCTGAACTGGAACGGATGCTGGAGCGGCTAAAGGACTCGTGGGCATCTGCGTGGCTGAAGGGCTCGTAGGCATCTCTATCGGTGGTGTTGCGTTCTGAGGGTACGCGTGCTGCTGTTGCTGCTGCACCGGTTGTGGGTGGCCGCCTCCGTAGTACTGTGTTGCGACGGGGTAAGAGGTGGCGTAAGCGGACTGTTTTGAGGGATCGTAGTAGCCGTTTGGTGTCGGCGCCATCACTTCCGGTAGGTCTTGCTGCGGCGCGTGGTACGCTGGCTTTGCTCTCTTTCGCCGCCAGAATATCAAGAATGCGCCGGCTAGCACCGCCAGCAAGACAACGGCGACAGCGACAACGATGCCGACCAGTGCGCCTTTGCTAAAACCTGAGCTTTGTACGGTAGTAAAGGTTGTGCCTGTAGCAGAAGCTCCACCAGTCGCAATCCCAGCGGGTGTAGCTGTATCAGACGGGCTGTTCCTGGTGTGGGTTGGGATTCGACCTGGCCGGAGAGGATCGGTCTCGAGGTTTGGGAGGTCAGTCTCTTGCCAGCGGACCTGAATCGCATATGCTTGGGACCAAGTCGAAGACGTGCTGGAGACTGCAGCGGTCTGATCATAGACCCAGGAGTAGCAGTATGACTGGATGCTGCTAGCTGAGTATCCACTGCTTCCATTTCAGCAACTGGTCCCCTTAAAGTTTGGCAGTTCAGCGAAACGAACCTTGGGCAGCATATTATCGCTGTCTCCCAGAGCTGTACGGCCGGACCAGCATCGAAGGATGTCCGCGTCGCCGCGCTCGTATAGCTGTGCGGGCAAATTGCGGGCGAGTAGTATCCGACATCACCGTCCCAGTACGCTGACCAGTTCGGTGGCATGCAATCCCTGGTGCTGAATCTACTTTGGCCAGTTTCACAGTATCTCGGCGTTGGCCTGAAGGCGGTAGTCAGGGCGCCGGCAGGCGGTGTCGCGGGAATGGTTTGGGTTGCCATATCGACGCTGGTAGAGAGCAGTTGCGGGAACAAACCAAACCGGAAGACTTGAGAGAACGCGCGAAGACGACGACGGTGGACTTAGGAGGTCGCATGGCGGACGCCAAACATGCGATAGCATAATTCTCGGACTAATCCCCAGCCCTCCAGCCTCCTCTGGCGCTCTGATAGCATAACTGGGGGCCAAAACATTGCAACGTTACCCATTGGTTACATGGCGCCATCCGGACGCCTTGACTGCCTCAGGCTGGTAGGATGGCTTGTCTTGCAGGCACAAATCGTGCATATATCTACGCGCCGAACATGGATCAGGAGTTGTGGCTTGCCAAGCGAGATGAAACGGGTCGAAGGATTCCAGGGCCAGCGCCGCGGGAAATGGGGTAAACTTCTGGAGAGAACGTGGTGACAAAGATGAAACCGCATGTAGGAGCTCAAGCAGATGAGTGAAGAATGAGTACAGACCAACAAGCTGTCGTCTTGGATGGCATATGGATAGGTATCAGCTAGGAGCTATCCGTCTACCACCTATCCTGCGTGAACGTCAGTCCATTTGACAGGCGGTATCGACAGCCGAGCATACGGGTGATCTGAGTGCACATTATATTAAGAGTATCAACTGCTCAACGCCATCCTTCTAGCACGCTGTATTGGTGGCCACGGGCCGTCCCAGGTGGTGGAAGATTATACAATACCTAAGGGCTCGAAGACATGGAAACCTTTGAGACTCTCGGCCCGGTTGCCGAGAGCCGGCAAACGGCCCCCTTGATCCCTAAATCACCGACAGCATGGGACTACGGACGATTAGAGCGCCAACAAACAAACAGAATGCAGGCTTCAAACGGGGACATCCTCGCTGCAGTAAGCGCGACAACCTTAAGCTCGCATAGCTAAAGCTGATCAAGTTGCATCATCAAGCTCCAGAGCAATCTTCGCAATGCCAAGGCCACATTCGGCGGGCACAGCGCGCAATATCAGAGTCTCAAAGCCATGGTGGACGAGCACATGTCCGACACAGGCGAGACCACGCAATCCCCGAACACCTCGTCGTCGGCTACCCCCGCTCAACCAGCTCAACTGTCGCTCAATCTGACGATTCGGACTAAGCCTACTTGATAGAGAAACGAGTGAGCAATGATCCTAGCTTCTGCTGTGGTATCGACTGCAACACTACAAGTAACACAGTTCCAGCCGGCAGACTCCAGAGATACACGCCCCGTGCAGGAGGAAAAGAGTGAACAAAACTCCAAGGCGATGCACATGTTTCGAGTTTCCCAGGAGCCATTGGCCCTCTCTCCGCAAGCCATGCAAGACTCCCAGCCTATGTCCAGCGTGCAAGCACTTGGCGCCTGACGCCTGAAGCGAGATTTCCCAACCGTATGCGCCTTCGCTTCATAACCAAAAGGAAGTCGTTGAGCGCATGTACGTTACGCGTTTCCCTTACCTCTCGTCATTCCTCTCCTGACCCGAGCTCCTGGCTCTGTCGGTGCATTGTCTCTGCACGCGTGGAGTCTTCCTCCTTTAGTCGTAAAGCCTCTTGCAAATCACCCGCTTCAGTCGATCAGCGGTTTCCTCACGCCCCCGACAATAGCCATACCCAGCGCACCAAGACCGCCAGGCTCGTTCGCTTTGATGATGTATGAAGCGGGGACCATCGGGTTGTCCGGGCTAACGTGCGCTGCATCCTTCGCTGCCTGCTCTATCGCCTCCATTTCCTCCTTGCAGCCGGCGTGATCGAACGGACAGACGACGATGGGCTGCCGTACCAGTATGTCCTTTGCCGACGACATTTGGGCCTATCACGCCGCGTTAGCCGATAATCCACGCCAAGCCGCAAATGTTCAAACTGCACAACGTCCACCACCCCTAGTTCCGGAAACTCACTTTTACTGTAAGGAAGTACTCAATCTTATACAGCGTCCCCGTAGTCGTAAACCCCCCAACCGCAAACGTCGGAAACTCCTTTTTCCCCCTCGGCACAATGCCCTCACTATCCCTAAGATCCTTCGCCGGAAACACCAGCCCCAAATTTGTGAAATACCCCGCCTCCGGCATCTTGACCCCAATCGCCTGCGTGCTCTTCGCCAGCACCTTGACCTTCTTACTCGGCTCATCCCCCTCATGATTATACGTAATCTCCTCCTCGATTCCCACCGTGATCTTCTGGATCGTCACCTTCCGCGCCCTGGACAACCAATCCGGGTTCGGGCTCAGCTTGATATACACGCTCACCGGATCGAGGGGGCCGTACGACCAGCGCGGCAGCGAGATGCCAAGCGTGACGAGGTGGTCCGTGACGCGCTCCGCGCTCTCGGGCCGGTTGTACATCCCAAACGTGGACAGCGTATCGTATCTGCATATCGGTACGGGAAACGGGTATTTCTTCTGCTCCTGATGCCCTTGCTGCACCGTGACCACGAGCTCGTAAAACGTCTCTGCCGTCCGGCTCGGCAGCTGCAGACTCGCGGGCGGCACGCGCCGAGCCACCTCCTCGCCGCCGCGGCCGTAGGGGATGAAGATCACGAAGGGGAGGTCCATGCACAGCACGGACTCGTACTCTTTCCCTGCGGGACATCGGAACAGCAGCATCTCTTTGCCGACGACGTCGGCGATCTCTTTGCGCGGCGCGGCGAGGTGTTTCTTGGTGACGGAGTCGGCGGAGGGGTGGATCGTTTCGCGGCGGACGAGGGCGATGGTAACGAGGGAGACGAGGACGGGGGCGGAGACGCCGATGAGGGGGCGGATCTCGACTTTGCCTTCTATGCGCGGCTGTAGCAATCGTATACAATTAGCCCGTGTTATGTTCTTTCCTCCAAACTAGGTATCTTCGCAACGTCCGCACTGGGGGCGCGCGCAACAACGTGGATGATTAATATGAGACCTACCAGCGTCGCCGATATACCCGGGTATCCCACGAGGAAATTACTGTTCGGCGGCCCAGAGACCCGCACGAAGGCCGCCATGCTTATGGTGAACGAGGACAGCGGCCTGCCAGCGGTGTTGGCCGCATGGAGGATCGCGTACGCCCGATCCTAGCTCTTCCTGCCTGTGCCCCTCCGCGTAATTGACTTTTACTGCGCAAATATCCGGCAATCAGGTTGCGCTCGTGGTTGCGCTGACGGTATGAATCGCGGCGGCAGCTGAACCGTAAGCTCTGGCGGAGGTACTTGGGATCTGATAGCGGCGAGTCGGTGTTGGATATAGTTGCGGGGCGAGGCTGTGGGCTGCGAGGGGTAACAAGTTGTGCTCGGCCTAGCAATACCTAGGGATATGGCGGTAGCTTGTGGGGATAGTTGGTGGCGGAGGTTCAATGGTGAAGTCAGGTAGGTGGACAGCTTGCGGTGATTGGCGGTGTTGTTGCGGATGTCCAGGGTCCTAGGTGTTGCTGTCGGACCCGTCGGACACGGCGCTGACGAAGTGTCACCCGCTGGCCGGCTGGAAACGAACGATCAACCAAGGCCACACAGCAGCTGTCACGTTGTCAGGCTTATATTGTGTGCAAAAACGATGCGCGCGTTCCAGAAACACTATGTCCGTCACAGTGAGTTCCAATTGCACCTACACACACCCATGGCTCCGGATACGTTCAGCTAACATATATGTCTACCCCAGCTCCACACCACCCACGGTGACCTCAAGCTCGAGATCTTCTGCGAATCCGTCCCCCACACCGCCGAGAACTTCCTCGCCCTCTGCGCCAGCTCCTTCTACAATGGCTCGCCCTTCCACCGAAACATCCCCGGCTTCATGATCCAGACCGGCTCGCCTGCCGCGGACGTAAGACTTCGTCCCCTACCTCGCTACTCCCCACGCCATGAACATAGAGGAAGCTGACGCCCACATTTACAGCCCAAGTCTAAGACCTCGACCTCCATCTATGGCAACGGCCTCTTCGCCGACGAGATCAAGCCATCCCTCCGGCACAACGCGCGCGGGATTGTGAGCATGGCGAACAAGGGGCCGGATACGAATGGGAGCCAGTTCTTCGTTTGCTATGCGCCTGCGCCGCATTTGGATGGGAAAAACACCGTCTTTGGCCGGGTGATTGATGGGATGGAGACGCTGGATCGGCTGGAGGGGCTGGAGGTGGATAAGAAGGGAAGGCCGAAGGAGAAGTGTGTTATCGAGAGGGTCACTATGCATGCGAATCCCCTGGCTGGTTGAGGAGTGGGGGCTGGAAGGGGATGCGAAAATGTGGAGGATCCGGCAGAGGAGGCTTTATGCGAGAAAGAGCGCGTGAAGCGCGAGGCGGTTGACACGCATCATGTCAGTATGAAAAAACAGCAGTAAGAGTGTGACACGAATCCGAAGCACGTGGCATACATTCTGCTCAATTGAATACGCGCAGAGAAGAAAGGAAGAGCATCTCTTCGTCAGTCAACGTTCCTCCCGCAAAGTCAAACACAGTCTACTCATCCCCTTTCCCGTGCTCCAAACAACGCTTTCATCCGCATGACTGAGTAGTATCAAGATAATCTTTTCCACACTGGCTGCGTCTGAGACAGATCTCATCTTCAGAAGCTCGACTTCTCTTCCGCTGCTGAATCGAACTCCATGAAGCATCCTCCGTAAACCCGTACCATCAAAGAGCTTCTTTGTGTTCCTCCCAAGGCGAGCATGAGACACTCTCCAGGTCGAGATTGCCACCCTTTGAAGCCCCGGAGAGTGAGTTCGTCGTGCTCACTCGACCTTCGCCCGTCTGTGCAAGTTCATTGTCCCTTGGTAAGACGAAGCAGCAAGAGCTCGTGGAGTGCCTTTCGGGACGTAGTACTGCCTTGCAACTACCGGAGGGTGTTTTTTCTTCGATTGCTTGCGTTGCATGAGTGGGCCGTGGAGATCTTCCCGAAGCTCGTCGCCAAACGTCATCTTTTGTTGATTCCGCTCAAAGTACGTCGGCTGCATTTTGCGAATTGCGATAGCCTTGAACATGCGGCGGAGTGGTGATCCAGATTTCGTATCTTAGTAGGTACGCGACAAGGCGTGGGAGCGGGTGAAGTTGTCCATCTTCGTGTGGTTGGCTTTGGATGCGAGAGCCTCCATGACTAGATTCTGCACTCGCGGCAGTTGAAGCTTCTCGGCAAGAATCCAAAGGTCGCAAAGGTGATCCCAGCTTCCCATTTTTCCACGTCGGTTGTTCTCGAAGATCTGACCTCGTTTGATGTAGGAGCTGACATCCCTGAAAACTTCGGGATCGGTGCCGTCGAACTTGAAGACGCCCTTAGTGGCCTCGTCCGATCCGTTCCGGAACGCCTCCTCGAAGAACGGAGAGATGCGACAAGCGAGGGCTTTATTGAAGGTGATCATATAAGGGTTCACTCCTTCATTGAACTGATCGATGTAGCACTGGAAAGTCTCGTCTTTGGCGTCACTGGGCTCACTTAGAGGAAATCAACAAAAGGATGGAGATGGGACTTTACTCGACGCTTGCCTCCGATAGATGTTCGTCTAGCTTCCTCTTCTTGACAACTTGTCCGATTCCCGCAGCCATGATCGAGCGTGTAGACTGTGAGCTTGTGCAAAATCTTCAGTTCGGTCTCGTAGATCTATCTATGTTAACGGTGGTGGGTGCTCACGACGAGGCTTTTGTAGCGGGACGTGGAACAGGTGATTGACGAAAGGAGGTTAGGAAAAGAGGTGAGCAGATCAGGTTGAAGAAGTGAGGTTGAAGAAGAGAATGGAGAAAGAGGGTTGAAGAACATAATTTGCATTGTGGGCCGGAAGGTGAACGGAACTAGTGTGTGATGCATGAAGTGAAGTGGGCTGGAGTGAGTGGAGTGAGTGAACTGCATCCAAATGTGGACTGATAGCGTAACAACACCAGGTATCACGACCACGAGAACGGAGAGAATGCTCCCAACTTTGACTGCGTAACGGTTGGTAGTGCAGAAAGCTAGAACTACGTAACTGCTCAACCCGCCGTACAAAGGAAAATGCTTCATGCGCATTGAAAAGCCTAACAAGAACGCCTTGGAGTCAAACTTCTATCCCCTCCAGTACTGACTTCCTATCCCAACGTGCATAGTGCACTGCGACTTTCTCGGGAGAGAAACCTCAAGCCAGCGCATCCAGAAGAGTTTCCTGATCGAAACCCATGGATTCACTGTGAGATGGATGTGAGAGACGGGCAAACCTGGGAGAACGCGTGGTGAACCGCATACTAGTCTTAACACGAGCGGGAACACACAAATCAGGAACACAATCAGGAACAAACAATTAGAAGATTTCTTTGGTATCTAAGAACGCCAGGAAAATGCTTCAAGAATTCCAAATGGCCAAAGACGTCAGACGCTTGTTATCATGGCCTTCCGTGGGACTCCTTCTCCTCCAAGGATAGGGTGCCAGTCTCAGTCGCCAGTGTATCCTGCGCGGTATCGGAGGTCTCAACATTTCGACGCTGATGCTCCTTGACTTGCCCCTCCTCTGCCGTTCCATCCTCACCCGCCGGATTCTCATATCCCTCGGTCTTGATGTCGTTCAGCCCCAGGTCCTCTTTCTCTTGGTCCGTGCGCTGATAGTCCTCCACCGTGATCTGCGCGTCAGGCTCTGGAGCCGTGTAGCTTTGCACATAGCTGCTGGCCAACGGGTCTTCCAGTAAGATGGTGAACTTGACGTCCCCGTTGATGGCCGCCGAGAGGTTGCTGAAGAAGGCTTCCCACTTCGACTTTGAGGTAGCGTCCATTGAATCGCCGCCGCTAAACTCGTTGTCATCGGTGTCGAATATCGAAGAGCGGAGGTCGTCGCGGACTTGCGTCAAGAGGCCCTCCACGGTTGTGAAGCGGCCGCCGAGAGTGCCTGGCTCAACGCTCAGATTGAGTTCGGGGCAGGTCATGGCGCATGACTCCGACTTCAGTATGTCGCGCGACAGGTCTTCCTTGTTCTGAACCGACAGCGTGATGCGGCGGCCCATATCAGGAACCTCGCCACCTGTCTTGACTTCATTGCTTCGGTAACCACAGTGCTCGCATACCGTGCTCATCAGCACTACTTGCTTGAAGTGGGGAATGTTCACCATCTTCATGTTGGTGGTGCATGACTTCATGCAACCGGGGCAGCTTGCTGGAAAAGAGTAGACTTGGTTCTCGACAATGTCCTCTTCGTCTACGTTGTTGACCATTTGCCCGGATGGTGGCATGTGGGGATACATCTCGCTCGCGTGGTACTCTGGCCTGATCTCGGTGTCGGGCGCACCGTTCGTCTGCTCCTCCCCAGACCCGAGGCCTAGCGCTTCATTCTGCGCTGCGGTCCTGGCATAATCGTGCCGCGCATACTTGCCCGCTCTATCGTCAGGCGAGGGCTCTATCCAGGAGTTTCCTGCCGGATCATCCACCGATATCGAGAAGTCGATATTTTCTCCTTGGATCATCCTACCAAGCGCCCGCAATAGGTCATCAATTTTTCGCCAGACCTCCGGCACTAGCTCCTTGCGCTCTGGCTGCTTCTGAGCGAGATCTTGCTGCACCATGCTCAGTATGCCCTCCACGTTGGACAGTTGTCCTCGCCCGGGTGGAATCTCAAGATCGATGTCTTCTATCCGGAGTATACAGGTGTCGCTCTTCACTATCTGTCTGTTTAGATCCTCCTTGCTATCAACCTTGAGCGTGTACTTTGCGCCGCGCGGTTGTATCTCGCCTGCGGGTTGGATCTCGGAGTTGCGGAAATTGCAGTGCGGGCAGTCGAAAGACATGATGACGATCTCGCGAAAGAAGGGGATCTTCGTCAATAGCAGCCTGGTGGTGCCCTGCGATTGAGTCAGCGCGTTGAACATTAGACGGCGCATGCGGGCCAACGTACGTCCTCGTGGCAGTTCATGCACAAGCTCTCAATCTCATCAACCACCTTCTGCTCGTTGTCTTCAACATCCTGGCTCGCCTCTGCGACCTTGCGCCCCATGTCTTCGAAGAGGTCTCGGGCTAAGCTTTTACCGGGCGTCGCCATATTGGTAAAGGTGTTGTGAAATCGGGTGGGCTAAAATCGCGTAGGGCGACAGATATTCGGAGAATAGAGAATGTCGATTGTTTGGAGTGGCTTGTAAGTTGCTTGGTACGAGTGTCAAGGGTGTGACTTGATGATGGGACTTTTTTTTTGCCCCACGTTCGGTGGGCTGCACCCCTGTCAGCGCTAACTCAGCCCTACGAGATCTGTTGCGCACGGACGCTACTGTGGCATTCGATGCTTTTCGCTGATGACGGGAGTGATGGGGAGGTATATTGTTAGAAGGAACTGTTCTCGATGATCCATCAAAGCATGACCACGACGGCATGCTGGAAGGCTGAGCTCCAACTCAGTTAGTCTTCATCAAATCCATCAAATCGAGACCGAAGCCTCCACCAGAGCTTGACGCAGGCGGTCCAGTCCTGCTCTTCGCGAGCGCAGCTTGGAGACTACCTTGCTTCCTTGCCTTAGCCCGTTTCTTACTGCTAGCATTTGCTGAGGGAACCGCTCCCGTTGCTGTTGGACTAGCAGTGCTGCTCGCTGTGGGCGTGGACGGTCCAACCGATGAGTCCAGGGATGCGGATAATGGCGTTGGCGAAGGGACTGCAGACGCTGCCTTGGATCCAGCGGCGGAGGGCTTCGGTGAAGGCTGAGTCTTCGATACCAGCAGTGTCTTGCGGCTGCATCTGTTGCAGGTGTAAACTGCTGTTGTAGTGGATTCCACGACCGACGACCGCTGCTTAGCCTTTTCCTTCTTTGACACCTTATGGGGAGGCGGTCGTAGTGACTGCTGCCTGACGATAGCGTTGACTCCGGGAACAAAGATGCTGCCACAAGCACCGCAGACCTCACGACGGCGCGCCTCTGGGAGTTTGAGGTCGTTCTCCAGTGCTAGCTTGTGAAACTCCGTCTGCATGAAAGCCGATGTGGATGGTGAAGCCAAGGCTAGGAGATGTGCAGAGTCGTGGAGGTACCTAAGCCTCGCAGTAAGTGCCGGCGATGCCATGATCCCTAACGGTTTGCAGTTGATGGATTGTCGTAAAAGAAGCATGAGACGTGCGAGGGAGAAGCGTCGAAGTGATCTCGCTTGATGCCTTAGGCGCACGGTGAAAACTCACCAATGACCACCTCTCTCGAAACCAGAACAAGTGCAACACCGCCGGGGCAAAATGTTGTATTGAACATGATAGAGAGCTAGTGCCTCTATGCAGAACTCTGAATCCGCATTGGAAATCCGTTGAATAAGAATGCATACACCTCAACACAGCGCCACGACAATGGAACCGGAGATGATCGAGAAGGCAGGCCTGCGGATAGCCGTTCAGGGCTGTGTGAGGACATTCCTTTAGACACGGAGCGAATTTTACTAACATGATCAGGGACACGGCACTCTTCACGAGATATATGCGTCCATCGCAAAGACATGTGAAATCAAGGGCTACGACGGCGTTGACCTGTTGATCATCGGCGGAGACTTTCAGGTACCTCAGTCAATATCAAAGATCACGTGCATCATTATGAACATCTTCCAGGCAGTGCGCAATGCATACGATCTGAACTGTATGGCTGTACCGGTCAAGTACCGCCAGATTGGAGACTTTCATGAATACTACTCGGGCGCCCGAACAGTCCCATATCTCACGATCTTCGTTGGCGGCAACCACGAGGCGAGCAATCACTTATGGGAGCTTTACTATGGCGGATGGGCCGCGCCAGGTATCTACTACATGGGAGCCGCGAACGTTGTCCGACTCGGTCCCCTCCGCATCGCTGGACTCTCCGGAATCTGGAACGGTAGAGACTATAAGAAACCTCATTTCGAACGGTTGCCATACAACTCGAGCGACGTCAGGAGTATCTATCATGTTCGCGAACTGGATACGAGGAAGCTGCTGCAGATTCGAACTCAGGTCGACATAGGTATCAGCCATGACTGGCCTCGCGGTGTGGAATGGCAAGGCGACCTAAGGGGTCTGCTCAGAGTGAAGCCTTATCTGGAGGAGGACCTAAATAACGGGCGCCTCAACAGCGTAGCAGCAAAACTTGCCCTTGACAGGCTGAGGCCGGCATACTGGTTCAGTGCACATCACCATGTCAAGTTCGCCGCAACCATCAATCATTCGAAAGAAGAGAACGGGTCGGACGGTCAGAAACAAGCAGTGAATCAGGCACAGCCTATGTCCAATGAACAGCAAGCTACCGCAACAAAGAACGAGGAAGAGATCGATCTTGACCTAGATGAAGGTGTTCCCGTCGCTACGCAGGCCGCACCTTCAGAACCGCCGAAGTTGTCGAATGCGGATGAAATTGATCTCGGCCTGGATGATGAAGACGAAAGACCGGCACAAACACATGATGATACACCCACTGTGCCAGAAGACCTTCGAGCGCAGCTACCTGCGGCATTCTCCAGACCTCCAGCCAACACTAGCACAGAGGGATTCCTCCCACCTCCCGACATCACAAACAAGCTCACGCGCTTCCTCGCGCTCGACAAGTGTGGCGCAAACCGCAGCTTCCTCCAAATCCTCGGCGTCGAGCCCGTAAGCCAGCCCTCAGCACCGGCACATCAGCAGAAGTCTTTCCATCTCGAATACGACAAGGAATGGCTCGCTATCCTCCGCGTCTTCGCCGCCGACCTCACCCTCGGCGACCCCTCGGCACAAATCCCCCAGGACCAGGGCTCAGCGCACTATCTACCTCGCATCGAAACCGAGGAGGCCTGGGTCGAAGCCAACGTCGTCCAGCCGGGCAAGATGATCATACCCGAAAACTTCGAGCTTACCGCGCCCGTATATGACCCGGCGATGGGCATCAACGTACAAGGCCAGCCGCGAGAATACAGAAATCCGCAGACAAGGGCATTCTGCGAGATGCTACAGATCCCGAACCCATTCCACGCAACCGAGGAGGAAGTTCAAGCGAGGATGCAAGCTGGCCCTCGACCGGACGATCCTAGGTTCGAAGGCGGTCACCGGGGCAGAGGAGGTTTCGGTGGTGGTCGGGGCTGGGCTCGCGGCCGAGGCGGAAATAGAGGCGGGACCAGGGGCGGACAGGGGCGGGCACGGCAGCGGTAGATGAGCGGCCAGAAGCAAAGCTGTGGTCGCGGAAGTGCCGGGGACGGCCAGTGACATGGAGGAAGCATCTGGTTAGTTCGATGCACGTGACGTCCAGCTGAAGCAACTCAGTCCCTTCCGTTTCACATCCCGTGATCGGCGGCTTCTCGGCCCTTCTCGCTCTCCCGCCACACTTCCACGCCACACCTGGTGGCAAAACCTGGAAGAATCTCCGCCGCTTGTCCTCATTTGCTGCGCATTCGGACAGACGTCGAAAAGCACCTCGGCTTTCGCGGCTCGAGCTGTCTGATCTGCCTTACCCCTGCAGGCGCGACGCATGGATATCCCGCCTGGTCCGACGCACCAGGCGGCGCCGAGACGCTTTTCCCGCAGCTGCCCGCGTGGGTTCCCTGTCAGGGTCTCGATTTGCCACATCGCCGTCATCGTGGAAAACCTTAATGGATCGGTGCTCGAAAAGGAAATCGAGAATCTGCAGGGTCTGGACTTGATCTACCGGGGACTAAATGTTCGTTCTGGGACGCAGCTGGATGGACAACCGGGCACCTCCATGTGGCCGGCTGGACGGCGTTGAGTCGGTTTCGTGATGGCCGCTTCCTCTTGTGGACAGGTTTCCGTTGGGTCTCGTGCGAGCAGTGCCCCCCAAGGCTTTGTCACCTACGGTTGGAGACGGCGACTACGGTGTCGTCTCCGACCTCTCAGGGTTGGTTTTGCCTGAAACACACTCACAGCTGCGTGGCTTCCTGAGAGAATATCTTGAAGAGGCGGTCGCGTCTTCCCATTCTGTATCCCTCTAACAGAAACACTCACTCTTCTACTCCGTCTCTCGCTGTTTCCTTCTTCTCCTTCGACCGGTCACTACATCCAAGTACCAAAGTCTATCTGCATCCATCCATCCAGTCTCCACATCTTCCTCCAACCCTCAACCACATTCGCCACCCCCACAATGTTCACCTCCAAGTTCACCGAGCACCTCGACGAGCGCACCGTCGAGACCTCCTACTTCTCCTCGCACCAAGACGTCAGCCTGCAAGACGTGCTCGCCGAGACCGAGACCCGCCGACGCTCCTCGACCAACCAGAGCAGCAGCAGTAGCGAATCCGCCAACAGCTCGGCGTCCGCTTCGTCGGCCGCGACTAGCCCCAGGTCGCCCTCGCCGTCGAAAACAAAGTTCAGACGCTTCACGCTGAGCGGCAAGGGCCGTTCGTGATGAGGCTCTTCCGCCCGGGCTTTTGGGGTGACCCGGGAGCCACGACTTTCATCTACGCGGAGGATTGCGGAGCTCGTCTGGCCACATCGGATCTGTGGGGCTTCATTCGGGAGGAACTATCGAATACATGGGATCTTGGGCAATAGACGCATGGAACATCAGAGGCATTAAGGAAAGCCGATCAGCATGAGAGACTGCTTGCTGTGGGTAATGGGCATCGATTCAGCACGATCATTACGACAGGACTTCGGGACGGAACGAAAAGGCATTGGCGTTGAGGAGTATTGTTCGCCACTATCCTGGATGGAAAATGAAAGGCATCGCATGTGTTGCAATGGCAATTATTGGAGGTGTTGTTCGCCATATGGGTCCTTCCGCTTACATGTGGTGGTATGGGCTTGACCATGAAGAGGAGGACGCGAAGCCTTTGTGTCATGGGGGATGGGCGGAGTGAGGAGACCTCACTGGAAGATTATACCCTTTTGTTAACATGTACGACTCTTCTTCCGTACACCGCATGTACTACGCTTCAGTGCGATCATAGACTTTTTCGTTTATGCTATTGCTATAAGGCAAACCTTTTTCTACTGTTCACTCTTAATTCATCGATCTCTCTGCCAACTTTTGATTTCGTGCACCACGAGCCCTAGACACTTCCCTTCCCTCCATCCGCCTTTAGCGCACTAGCATGCCGTCAGTCGTTCATGCTGAAGCGGCGCCTCACTGGCACTGGTCGTCGTCAACAGCCTCAGCACGCATAGCGCAAACTGCATGCACCTAAACCCTAACCCCTCGACAACGCTATCGACTACAAGTTCTCTCAAAGAGCATCACATGAGGCACCCATTCTTCTTACTGGAATGCATCTCGCTAATTCCCAGCCTGACCCTCCGTCCACCCAGCTCCACGAACGCCTCAACCAGCCACTCATACCACACCTTCCTATCGTCCGTCTGGCGCCACATGCTGACCTCCACGTCCGCGCCGTCGGGGAGGTATATCGGAGTCTGCATGGAACCCGTCAGCGCTCTACTATCCCCCACTGCTCCCAGCAACAACCACACCCGGCGAGGGACGAAAGGGGGCAGCAGGAGCCAAAGCACTCAACCCTACCTTCAGCGGAAAGAAAATCGGAAACCAGCTAATCATGTCCTTGCTCTTGGCCTCCATCGTCGCCGGATTCGTGCTCAGTTCCACTTCCCCGTCTGCGCCGCCCGCATACAGCACGGTCTCGAAGTAGCCCGCGAGCCCGTGACACACGCCGCGGCTCGGGCACTGGAACCGCGTCCGCGAGAAGCGCGCGTTGTGCTCGTTCGCGCCGTCGCCGCCTGTGGCTCCCCCGCCGCCTCCCGCTGCACTGCCGCCGCGGCGGAGGTGCGATTGCGCGAGGATCTTGGCGGGTAGCGGATGGGAGAACTGCCAGGCTTGCTGGATGTCTGACTCTGGCTGTTCTTGGTCCTGCGGAGAAGACATGCTTTTCCGCGACTTTTTGCTTTGCTGAGACGGATCCTGTGGGGGTGCTGGCGGCGTGGCCTTGGTTGAGAGGAAGTCGATGGCGTGCAGCATGACCACGTAAGGCAGGTCGAAGGCCTGCGGATCTGACGGTAGGCGGTGGAGGATATCTGCGTGCAGGCGCGGTGCAGCGATCGGTGTGAGGTGTGCGGTGTACAAGGATGGGATCGAGATACCGTGCTCAGGGTTCAGGACGTGTTGTACGCCGTCCAGACATTCTGGACTGAGCTCGTTGTCTGCGAACGAACCCAGCAGTTCCGACACCAGGATATCAACCTTGCCATGCGTGCCGTCTTCCCCATGTGGCCCTTTCCAGGCGCGCATGTCAGACTTGACGACAGTGACTTGCCGCTTCCAGGTGTCTTCGTTGTGCCGTTGCAGCAAGACGTACGCGTTCGGGTTCTTCTCGACGGCCCACGCCTCGATCGCTACGCCTGTCGTCTCGCTGGCGCGTAGGGCCCGCGTGACGAGGGGGCCACGACCAGCGCCGACGACTGCCACGACGACCGCGCCGCTCGATGACGAGGTGGTCTTGCTTTGGGCCTTCCAGTCCCGCAACGCTTGTGCGATAGCTCGCTCGTACCATTCGTACTTAATCGGGTCCTTCTCGAAGACTTCATACGTGATGCTCTCCAGATTATCCGTCAGCGGCTGAAGCGGCGATTGGAGGTAATCCTGATATCCAGACCCAAAGCGCTCGATCAGCGATTTTGGAGGCTGGTTGCGCTGCAAGTATCGAATGTAGCTCAGATGTGGTGTCGGATCATTCTTGGTCTTTTGGGCCTGCTTCTGTTGCGGCTGGCGTGCAGCTTCCGCAGGCGTTGGAGATGGTGACTGAGTGTCTCCAGCGTCTGCTGCGGCACTGGCTGAGAGGTAGCCATCCGCGACTGGGATTAGTGAATCGGGGTCGTTGAGTCCTGGTATCGGCCCGACGTCGCTGAGGAGGAGCCAGGGCGGCGTCTTGAGCCGCATACAGCGGGCAATGAAGGCTTGGTTAGGTTTGGAGAGAACGGGGTATCCGAGTTTGTTTTCGAGGAAGGATGATCCTGGCAGCACGAGGAGGCGTAATGGCTCGGAACACCACCGGGACTGAAGTGACATGGCTGGGAGGTGGCGAGGCAGAGAGAGGGCTGGTCAGGCATGAGTCAGCTTGCTTCGCGGTGCTCCTAGACAGACTATGCAGGGAAGGGGAAGTACCTCACAGAGCATTTAGCACATTAAGAGGAGCTGGTCGAGCAGGCACCGCAAATCGCATGGAATCATTGAAAATTGGCTAGAACGAGAGAATCGAACCACTTACCTACTGATAGTCTAGAGCTGTATTTGCAAATCGATCTGATGACGTTCCAGGCGTCCCAAGATTGGAGCTGACTGGGCTTCTCCTCTTGCCTTTGCTCTTCAGCGCTTACCTGCAGATACTCGGGTCTAGCGAAAGGGCCTAGGTCTCCCATTACGGCGGAGCTGTCATCCCAAGATGGATCGCCAGCCATGGGCAAAAGGATCTGCAAGTTCAGATAGGGTCCCATATCCAAGGCCTCCTGAATGGCACGGGCGTACTGCGGCAACCCTTGGCCCGAACAGATGCTGTGCAAGCTCGGGCCTTGGACGATGACATTACCCACACCGCAGAACGCTGCGTATGCAATCTCCTGGTTGAACACTTGCAGAGACAGACTGGCAATGACTGGGTCCGGAGACGCCAGGTCTATCCAGGGGCTGGTGACTGCGAGCAGCTGTGAGATAGTTTCACTGGGAGAAAGTGGAGTGTCGGCTGGCGTGAGAGGGGCGACCAAGGGCGTAGGGACGTCTGACTCAGGAGTTCCTGCTTCGATCTCGGCCTGGTAGGATGAAAGGAGCGTCAAGACTCGTGAGTGGAAGTGCGAGGTTGTGATAGGAGTTGTAAGCATATCATACTGCTTCTGGGTTAGCCAGCATGAGCCGTGTGTTCTTGCCCATTGCACTCACGTTGCAATCCTGGGCCTGCTGAAGCACATGTTCAGAAACAGGCGCGCTTCTTTTGCTCTCATGCTGGCCGACGTAGAAAACGGGCATGTCGCCCATGTTGGCCGAGGAATCCACGGTGAATAGGAGTTTTGGAGGGGTGGTTCTTCGGATTGCTGGCTGTGTATCCGGGTCAATATCAAGTTATGCCGGATAACCACCTAGGTAGAGTATTCGTGATACTGCCGTTAAACAGTCCACCGTGGTTTGATATTTGGCATCCACGTGACGTGCCACAGTAAATTTCGCTGCGCTTCTGGCACGACTCGCCCGCCGCAGTGGCAGCCTTAGGCCGATCGTCGACAATTTTCTACGACGCGGAAGGCGACTGATCGAATTTCACCGACCCTACCCTCACCGCCAAACCTTAGACAACTACTTCAAATGGATCGCAGACCCAACGGCGAAGACGGTTCTCGTGTAAAACGCCAAAAGACATCTGCCACGGACATGGACCCAAAAGCAAATCCCTACCTGGCGCACATGTACCAGGACGACGCTCCCTCCAGCAACGGTTATGCAAACGGCTATTCCTCGAACTCGAGACAGAAGACCTCCGCCCTGGCCAAGTTCTCACGCCATGCCAGCACATCAGTGCTCGCCCAGGCGGCGGAGGATGGCCCGAACAATCCCTTCACCGGACAGCAACTGTCGCAGCAGTACTTCAACATCCTGAAGACAAGGCGCAACCTGCCTGTCCATGTTCAAAGGTCGGTAGAGCCCGTTTGTGAGTCGCAGCAGAGGCTAACAATCTTGCAGAGATGAGTTCCTTCAAATGTACCAGAAGAGCCAGATCCTTGTCTTCGTCGGTGAGACCGGTTCCGGCAAGACCACTCAGATCCCACAGTTCATCCTCTTCGACGACCTCCCGCACTTCCAGAACAAGATGGTCGCTTGTACACAGCCTCGCCGAGTCGCAGCCATGTCCGTGGCCCAGCGCGTAGCGCAAGAGATGGATGTTCCTCTTGGAGAGGAAGTGGGTTACAGCATCCGTTTCGAGGACAAGACGTCGTCCAAGACCATGCTCAAGTACATGACGGACGGCATGTTGCTGCGCGAGGCGATGAACGACCATGACTTGACCCGTTACAGCACTATTATTCTGGACGAGGCTCACGAGCGTACCTTGGCTACGGATATTCTCATGGGTTTGCTAAAAGAGGTGGCGCTGAGGAGGCCTGATCTGAAAATCGTCATCATGTCTGCCACGCTTGATGCGCAAAAATTCCAGCGGTACTTCAACGATGCGCCTTTACTGGCTGTGCCCGGACGCACGCACCCTGTCGAGATCTTTTACACGCCGGAGCCTGAGCGAGACTACGTAGAAGCGGCTCTCCGCACGGTCCTGCAGATACACGCAACCGAGCCCGAGGGCGACATCCTCCTGTTCTTGACCGGTGAAGAGGAGATTGAAGACGCATGTCGAAAGATCAGCCTGGAAGCGGATGAGCTAATACGGGAAGCCGACGCTGGTCCGATGAAGGTTTATCCGCTTTACGGCACGTTACCGCCCGCACAGCAGCAGCGTATCTTCGAGCCCGCCCCTCCTCCCCGAACTAAGGATGGACGGCCAGGGCGTAAAGTCATCGTCTCTACTAATATTGCCGAGACCTCGCTCACCATCGACGGCATCGTCTACGTTGTGGACCCGGGCTTCAGCAAGCAAAAGGTCTACAACCCTAGGATACGCGTTGAGTCTTTGCTAGTCTCGCCCATATCCAAGGCCTCCGCCCAACAGCGCGCCGGTCGTGCCGGTCGTACGCGTCCAGGCAAGTGCTTCCGGCTGTACACCGAGGCAGCCTTCAAGAAAGAGCTCATCGAGCAAACTTACCCCGAGATCCTGCGCTCCAATCTAGCATCGACGGTACTCGAGCTAAAAAAGCTCGGCATCGACGACCTCGTCCACTTCGACCTGATGGATCCACCCGCGCCCGAAACCCTCATGCGCGCCCTCGAAGAGCTCAACTACCTCGCCTGCCTTGACGACGAAGGCGAGCTCACGCATCTGGGACGACTAGCTTCCGAGTTCCCGCTCGATCCCGCGCTCGCCGTCATGCTGATCTCCTCCCCTGAGTTCTACTGCTCCAATGAAATCCTCTCCCTCACCGCCCTCCTCTCCGTCCCCCAGCTCTTCGTCCGGCCCGCCAGCGCCAGAAAGCGCGCCGACGAGATGAAAGACCTCTTCGCGCACCCCGATGGCGATCACCTGACGATGCTGAACGTGTACCACGCCTTCAAGGCCCCAGAAGCTCAGAACAACCCCAAGCAGTGGTGCCACGACCACTTCCTGTCTTACCGCGCCCTCCAGCAGGCGGACAACGTGCGCCTGCAGCTCAAGCGCATCATGGAGCGCGAGGAGCTGGAGCTGATGAGCACGCCGTTCGAGGACAAGAAGTACTACGAGAACATCCGAAGGGCCTTGGTGTCGGGCTTCTTCATGCAGGTTGCGAAGAGGGATGGGAGTGGCAAGACTTATGTGACTGTGAAGGACGAACAGAACGTCCTGTTGCATCCGAGCACTGTGCTTGGACAGGACAGCGAGTGGGTCGTGTACAATGAGTTTGTGCTCACGACGAAGAATTACATCCGCACGGTCACGGCTGTTAAGCCGGAGTGGTTGCTGGTGAGTCTCTTCCTGTGTGATGTGGGGGTTGAGGATAGGAGCTAACGGGTTGTTGCAGGATATTGCTCCGACATACTATGACCTGGATACTTTCAAGAAGGGCGAGGTCAAGACGGCACTGACGCGGACCGTCGAGAAGATGAGGAGGAGAGAGGCGATCAAGGGGGGCAGGAAGTGAATGCACAACTCGCAGCGGCGTCTTGGGAACTTGATCACTGCATTCACGGTTGTTCGGGATGTAGAAGGGAACTGGCGTTCGTAAACGGCCGTCTGCTGATGCATTGAGCTATCTGCTTCTCGGTGATGGAGAGACAGATACGGTCTCGCGCGTCTCAGTCGGAGACTTTTCACCGTGGGGGCGTGACACATTTATGCTTGTAGAGGTTTTTGTCTAAACCAGGCGTGATCAATGAGGCGTTCTCTAACCTTGAGGCCAGGAGTAGACCGAGGCCTGGCAACAAAACTTCATCTGTCACTGTAGAATTCAAAGTCAAGCTTCACCACCTCACCAAGCTCGTCTCTGCTCATAACCGGGCAAATTCTTTCTCCGGCCTTCCCAGCCTCTCACGACAAAAGTCGCGTCTCAGCGCGTCTCCAGCCGTGTTTGTCGCGCCACGGTTTGAACATCGCCGTGATCTCGGGCTTCGTCAGGCTACTGCACTTCATCTCCTTGCCAACTGCGACTAAACATTCTCCAATTCTCTTCAGTCCGGCCTTCAACACAGTCACTCCCGCATCTTCGCACTACCGTTCAGATGTCAGCTCCTGAGCCGCCGCGGTTTCGCCGTCGTTACAGGCGCCCTCGCGGCAACTTTTCCGGCGCATCCGGAGGGTCGACGACGACTGCTCCATCCGGAGTCGGAGCGTCTGGATCGTTCGGAGGGTTCGGAGGGTCCGGAGCGCAGCCGAGTCAACCTGCTCAGGCCGGATTGTTGGCAAGCCAGCCGACTGAACCTGCTCAAGTCTCGCTGTTCGGAGGATTGTCGACTCAGCCAGCTCAACCACCTGTTCTCGTTGCAGGCGATCAGTCGTCTAGTCAACCTGGCCAGCCTCACGTAATGCAGTCCGGAGGTGGGGAAGCCGCCGCCGACAGCACCGTCTCAGCGGTGGTTGTAGAAGACGACAAGGTGGTTAAGAAGAGGAAGGTCGACAGCGAACCAGCACGGTCTAGCTTGCAGTAAGTTTGCCACTCTGGCATCCTGGGCCCGTTCACTGAACCACTCCTAGCACCTTCTCCAGCGATGTCTTCGAAGTACATGTCGGCCCTGAACCCGTCCGCTTCGTCCTACATGAAACCCTCGCCTGCCGCGTCTGCCCATTCTTCGAAAGAGCAATTCAACGCGGCTTCGCCGAAGCGACCTCAAGGATGATCACGCTGGCCGATGACGAGCCCGAGACATTCAGCGAGGTCGTATCCTGGATCTATCGAGATGAACTCTTCCCAGACATCGCGTTGCCTGAATATCCAAAGAACATCCAGCTCTGCAAGCTCTGGGTTCTCGCAGACAAGCTTTGCATGCCCGTCCTCCAGAATCGCATCGTGGAAGTCATCGCATGCAAAGCTAAGGCGCAGAATCGTGCCACTTCCACGGAGACCTTGGATTACATTTGGAGCCACACACCCCGGGGAGCACGACTGCGCACCGTCTTCGTAGTCATATGTGTACGGACCATGACAAAACCTGATTTTTGGGACAGGAAGGAAACACTTCCTGCGGAGTTCGTACAAGAGTTTTGCTACGCATTGATCAATACCCTTGACGCCGCGCAGCCCGACCGAACAAGAAACATCTTGGAACTCCAATAATACTCCGTCGAGACCACCACTCCGGGAACCCTTGCCGCGACTACTATGCTGAAGTCAGAGGCGCCTGGAGAGGAGGAACCTCTTGTTAGCACTGCTGCTTCCCCTTCCGCAACCGCGACAAGCGCTCTCACCGGCTCCTGGCTTGATGGCATGCCCTTTAGGGAATGCTAAGCCATCTCCTCGTTACCTGCCGAGGGCGGAAGCACATCCTCGACTTCGTCATCTCTGAGACTTTCCAGCTTCATTAGGATTGCACAAGGTGGTTAACAGCATTAGGGGGGGGGGGATTGACATTCAAGGCCGTTGATACTGTTTTTGCACGGGCAGCATTAGATCGACGCTTATGAACTTACAACCCTGCGAGTTTTTGCACGTGAAGGGGTTTCACTTGCACGGTGAGGTAGCTTATCACATGGTTCGGCCTTTAAGTTAAGTTATCAAAAAATGGAGACTTCTTCCTCCTTCAAAGTGCCTGACGAAACCACTTTCATTGTAGCATTCTCTCAAGAGTCGAAGATCAAGGCGACAAGCCCTTTGAACTCCTCCATCAAGCCTCTGCCTTGGTCAAAGCGATCCGAGCAGAACACAATCGACGGACGTTGACCGGCTCTCCTCTTTCGAACTTTGTTTGCACAGCTCCCTTACCTCCACAACGTGACTAACTGAAACCGAATCCCTCTGCGTCATTCATGTCCCTGTGTAAGCAAACCGCGCCCTAAGCTTGCATCTCGTCACTTCTGAACTTGCCAACGTTGTACTTCCGTCAGCGATCCATCATGCAGAACGAGAGCGTAGCGAAATATGTTTCCAGCTGGAATAAGGTCGACCCTCCACAGCGACGGAAGGGCAGACTGAATAGAGCGGAGTTCTCATCTCGCATCAACTATAGACATCCAACTCATGGAGCGAGGAGAGGAATGTATATGCTCGTGATGCATTGTGTCACTTCACGCCTATCCCGACTTGGTCACTGCAGACGTGAATGAAAACCGATTTACAGTAGCTTCTTCACCAGCACTCGCGTCCCTCTGTCTGACCGTCAAGACACAGCGCGCACTGGGTATTCAATCCGTCCCAAATATCCTCCCGATTCAGCACGGTGCAGCAGACCGCCCCGCGCCCAGAACTCCGGCTAAATGCTCGTAGACATGACCCTCATAGCTTCATGCAGTGGCACACAAAACCAATCTCATACTAACCCGGTATCAGCATTTGAGATCAAACATACCGCGGTACAAGACTCACCGTCCAGGAAATCAGCCGCCATCAGCAGCTCCAGACACAGCTCCGGCGGGATATCCATGTCCGGCACGTCCTTGTTGTTCTTGTGTTTCTCGTTGTAGTAGAGGTATTCGCAGACTTTCTCGAGCACGACGCCGCTGCGTAGACCATCAGCACCGAGCTCCATGAAGACTGCGGGAGCCAGAACGGAGGGTGAAGGGCGGAGGGGGAGTCGTACTTGATGTTCTCAAAGGTACATGTGTTCGTTTGGGCTTCGGTAAAGTTGCCTAGATGACATATTAGGATGGTTGCTTGTATGCGTTTTGAGGCTCGCAGGGGGGGGGGGGCATACGTACTGATGGGATCCAACATCCGCTTGATCGCTCCGCTGACGGTGGCTGCTGAGCGTTGCAATTTGAACTCGAACCCGTCGCTCGAGACGAGCGTCACGTAGTCCGTGGATTGCTGAGCCATGGCTGCAATACAGGTGGTTGTGGCTGCTACATCGATTTTGGGATTTCTACCGAAAGCAGCAAGCTTCGGTTGTGAAGCCGGATTACGCTTCAACGCGAAGGCACGTGATATCGCGACGATGCGGAGCGAGCCGAGACCTCCAACAAACGTCGACAGCATCAATTGTAGACACCAAGAAAATGGTGCAGTGAGAAGACCATCCTTGGAACTCAAATGTCCTTCTTCCTCCGCACCCGGCCCTCCTCATCCCTCCTCACCAACGCCCTCCGACCCCTCCGCACATTGCCCCCTCCGCGCTCATCCCGCACGATCCACACGCCGCCCAACTTCTCCGGCCTCAACTGCGTGATCACAGGCGCCTCGCGTGGCATCGGCCACGCCATAGCCAGCCACCTCGCCTCGCTGAGAGCCAGCTGCTTCCTAGTCGGCCGCGACGAAGCGACGCTCTCCTCCGCCGCCGCCAACCTCACCGCCTCGCTCGCACGCCCAGAATGCACGCCCGATATCAGCTACATAGTCATTGACGATGTCGCGTCCACAAAGTCATGGGAGGAGATTGCCAAGGCGTGTCCGCGCCCGCATATCGTGGTCAATGCGGCGGGCGTGAGCCAGAACCAGGTGTTTCTAAGGACGGGCGCGGAGGAGTGGGATAAGGTGCTGAATACGAATCTTACGGGGACGATGCTGGGGTGTAGGTATGCGGCGCGGCAGATGCTGCGGATGAAGAGTGGGGGGTGTATTGTCAATATTTCGTCTTTGCTGGCGATTAGGGGCGGGAAGGGCGCTGTGGCTTATGCGGCTAGCAAGGCGGGAGTGTTGGGTGAGTCTCACCTCAAGTTTATTTTGGTGGCTTTGGATCGGCTGTAGGAGGGAATTGAGGCTGATGAGTTGGATAGGTTTGACGAGAGCACTGGCGGAAGAACTGGGACCAAAGGGTATACGCGTGAACGCGATTGTGCCGGGGTATATCGAAACGGATATGACAGCAGGTGCGCCGCCTCCTCTTCCATTCCCCGAATGCCCTTTCCCGGAATGCCATGATCCGCCATCACCATGCCTGAGCCTCGAGAAGTCTCTAATGCACGCCGAAAGCCGTCGCCGAAAAGCCATGCTAATGTACAAACAGCAATGAACCCTGCCGTAGTGAAGTCTGTCCGTGACAGAATACCGCTCCAGCGCTTCGGCACCGTTGATGAAGTTGCTGAAGCAGCGGTGTTCCTCGCGACGAACAAGTACGCAAATAACTGCGTCATCACTCTGGATGGGGGTATGAGCGCTGCGGTGAGCACCTCTTTGAACGCCAACGCCAAGATGATCTGTTTTGATTCTGATGCATTCCAGTTGTCCGATCCGCCCAAGGGTGGTAGCAGCCAGGTGGTTGATCCGCACTGATGCCACGCCTTACGGTTGCTGCTCTATACAGCGCGAAGAACGCGGCAGCAGTAGAGTGAAGTTAATGGGTACCCGTAGATACGCTTGAAACCCGAGGCGCACAGAACGAGTTGTGCGTAGGGGGACAACCGAGAACGATGTTGGTACATGCAAAGGATTGGTAACTGAGGAGCAAGAAAGATCCAGGCGGAGACTTAGTCGTCATCGATGAATATGGCTCCGTTCGTCGAATCCTCCAAGACTACGACATCATCGTCGTTGGATGGCTCCTCCGCAACCTTGCCCCGCTTGCGGATCTGATCGTCCTCGAAGCCGACATCGGTGGCATCGCGTTTTCGCTTGCCGGTGACGCCGTCGCCAAGGGTACCACTGACTCCGTTAGCGACAGCAACCTCATGACTGCCGTTGGTCATATGTGGAGCAGCAGTCTTGGGCTTCCGTGGGATCTCGAGCTTTTCGGCTAGATGGATGGGCTTCATGTCGTCTGGCAGAGACCTATCTTGTGTCAGTGGCTACGAAGGTGTAGGAGGGCTCGATGTACGTACTGCTCAGATATCGAGAGGACGAGATCCACTCTTGGGCTCTCGTCCTCTTCGTCGACGATAGTGATGAAGCTCCCATTCTTTAGACCGAGATCACTGAAAGACTTGGAGAGGTTGTCGTCAAGCTCAGGATCATACAGAATACCAGCCTCGCTGCTGACACTAAACTCTTCTCCGTAGCCGAGTTGCATGCGGAGGAAGTCGTCGACTAGCTGGCCGAGCGTGGCGCGCGATGCGTCGACCTCGAGTCGTGAAGAAACGACGCTGCAGACAGGACAGTCAGGCCGCGGAGGTCGTAGGACTTCGGAGCCAATCACTCGGTCGGTCGACCTCACAAGGAAGACCATGCGGGCCTTTTTGAGGTCATCCCGCATGACCTTGAATGCCTGAAGGACGCACAACCCGGCGGTCATTGCGTTTGTGGTAGCGATCGCCGGGATAATGTTGCCGGCCATCTGCTTGATGTCAAACTTTGACCGCGCCTCGATGCCGAAAATGTGTGACCTCAGGTTCGCACTCGCCGCAACGAAGTCCAGAATATCCTCGTCGTCTTTGTCGAAGGTCAGGATAGGCGGCGCGTTGCCCGTATCCGCGTTCGCCCTCAGCTCTTCCAGCCTGTCACTCAGCCGCCGTAGGCTGTTCAGAAAGACCGCGAAATTCTCCGCTACCGTCCACACCACCTGATCTTGCCGCGCAATTGAGAGGCCCACACCCAGCGCCTCTTGTGAGATCGCATCGTAATCCAGCGGTTCGGGCGGTCTACGATTCTTCCACATGTCCTCCATGCTCCGCAAGCGCTCGATATCATCCTTGAAGACTTTCTCGAATACAGTTCGCGGAAAGTCCTCCGACCCCATCGACTCTCGGATCTTCTTCAAGGCCTGCGCTTCCTTCTGTAGGTTCTCGATCTCCTTTGCGTTTTCAGCGCTCTCGGAGTGATCCAGCTCAGGCGCCTCATCCTCGCTTGTTCCAAAAATCTCTGTGAATAGATACGACTTCGCCCAGACGATGCAGTGTATCGGCTGACTCGGCGTACTTCGGATGGTGCAGACGGGGAAGGATTTAGGCGTCTCTCGTGGACCGGCGCAGTCGTAGCACTCGGTTTTCCCCTGTTAGACGAATCAGACTGCGCCAGGAAACTCGCTGGACGCTCGAGATAAAGTCGCCCCACCTTCTTGATCACTTGCACCTGCCCATTGAATCCCGTTGTCCCGCTCTCGATCAACGGCACGTCTGCCGCCAAGCACATCCTGTTCACATGTCGCCGCGCATCCAGATTGTCCAGCGCATTGAAGACGATTGCGAACGTCTTGAACCAGTCGACATTGAACTGAGGATCTTTGATATTGGCGTGATGCGCCTCGATCTTGACATTCGGGTTGAATTTGCCGGCGGATTCTTTCGCGACCTGTCGGCGCTCAACATTAGCTTTGCCCTTCTCGTTGCTGTTGTAGCTCACTCGTGACCGTACCAGTGCTTTTGACTTCTTAATGTGTTCGTGCCTGAAGAGGAACTGCCGGTTGAGGTTGCTAAGATCGATGGTGTCAAGATCGACAACATGGATCTCACCGAAGCCAGTGAGGACGAGGTTCTTGAGGAGTTCGCAGCCGATGCCTCCAGCACCGACCATCAATATGCGCGACTGTGCAGTTGCTGTCAGCTCGCACAGACCGAGGAGGCGCGTGCTGTGAACTGACCTGTTTTATGCGGCTGTGGAGGGTGCCGAGTGACTGGCGCGGGTACTTGTCGCGGCCCATGGTGGCTGTTGACGGAGCTGTTGTTATCCCTCAAGACATAGACTGCTAATGAGGGTTGCGGTCGAATGAAGTGAAGGAAGGAGGGAAGATGTGTTGCGGATGACGGTCACGTCAAGCAATGCGATGCGACAGCCGACGAAGAAAGCTTAAGCTCGCGCCAAGCGCGCTAATGACGCAGATCAGGTCCGCGGGATCTCGCGGCACCCAATCTGCCAGATCCCACCGCTCGGGTCTGCGTGTGCTACATGGTCTTGCGGGAGATTTACTTCACATACCCACGCAGTAGGTTACTGAACCGCTACTTGGGGAGGATCCCAAGACGCCGGAGAGCTGGGGTTTCGTTCTTGGCCAACGCGCAACTTCAGATCTGCCAATATAATCTGTCAACCACTAAATGTACCGCTCGTCTACCAACCCGTAACACATTCCACCACAGCACCACGATGGCAGACGATGAAGCAGACCCAGAGCTCGTAGCCCTCCTCCGGCAACATCTTGGCCTAGACGCACCGTCAAAGGATGCACCAGCGGACACCGGAGTCCTCCAATCAGCCGAGTATGTCTACAACAACAGTATAGACGTCGCCATTGACATGCGTGGAACCAAAGCGGCTGCCGAGCTCATATACCGGCAAATGCAACAGCGTTCTTACAGTACCAGCACGTGGTCCGAACACGAGCTGCATCCCCAAGCTAAAGACGAGAGCACCGTGAACTTTATCTTCACTATGGATCTATTGAACTTTTGCTTCTGGTCTGAGAAAGGACCAGCGGAGAGATTTGCAGTCAAGTACCGCGGGCAGTGGTGGACAGGCTACTGGAGTCTGGTGGCTGTGCTGCAGAGGGCGTTGGATGAAGGTCAGTTGAAGCCCAGTGGAGAGGATGTGACCTTTAAGCTCATCAATGCTAGAGATACCGATCACGAGCCCAGATTTCTGGCAGAATGAGGATGCTTGCACGGAGGAAGTGTTACGACACGTCTTCCGCTCTGCGACCGCTGAGGAGATACCGCTCTTCCAAGAGCGCGTAGCTTGTCTCAGAGAGGCAGGACGGGTACTCTGCGAGGTGAGCCGACTATTGAATTCTGACCGTACGTGTTGCCGTACTAAATTTGCAGAGTTTCGGCGGAAGCGTTGTGGATTTGGTGTCCGAGGTGAATAGCTCCGCGGCTAGTTTAGTCAACTTGCTTGCAGAGCATTTCCCTTGCTTCCGAGACGAGGTCGAAGTCGAGCGGCGCAATGTTCGCTTCTTGAAGCGAGCACAGATCTTTGTAGCGGATCTCTGGGCGGCGTTCGATGGCGAAAGCTACGGCTCCTTCCACGACATTGACCAGATCACCATGTTTGCGGATTATCGGATTCCCCAGATACTGCATACTCTAGGCTGCTTGTCTCACAGTCCACCCTTAGCCGGCCGTATCCAGAGGCAAGAGGAGATCCAGTCGGGACACAGCTGGGAAACTCAGCTCCGAGGTAAGCACGCGTTGAATAGTCGAAAGGCTTCTCTTCGACGAAGATACCCTTCATTGCTGATCCGCTTCGATTTCTAGGCTGCAGCATCTGGTGCGTCGAGCTGATCAGGCGGGAAATTTTGCGGCAATACCCGCAGGCGCACCTGAATGCCATCTTGATAGATTTCTTCCTCTACGATACCATGAAAGAGCTAGAGAAAGCGGGCAAGGAGCAGATTCCTCATCATCGGACGAGAAGTATCTGGTATTGAGTGGAGGATCTTGGCACCAAAAGTGTGTTCACAAGTGGAATTCACCTTTGGTGAAAAAATGCCCTGAATGGCTGACTTTCTGTACGCGATCCTTGTGTATGTGCAACGCATATTGTGATGTTGATTGTATGGGTTGATCGTAATGAACTCAGCCCGCTAAATCGTCCATTGGACTACCCACCTCCTTCTGCTACCGCTCAATCTGCTCGATGCGAGCCATTATACCAGCCTTCCATTCCAAGAAGTCCAATCTCCGGGCTTCACTTAGATAGTCCACCTTGTCTTGCATCATCGTCCCCAGACCGATCTGCAAAGAGCCCGACTCCTTCTTTGACGCTGCAGCCTTGCGCTGTTTTTTAAGAGGTGTCCTTCTGGCCGTTAGTACGTTGATTTCATCGCTATCTGCTTCTTTGTCATCGCCGACTCCATCTAGGTCGTCCACTTGAGGTAGTTCATCCCCTGGGGCGATGTTTTGATACCATTCCAGCTTCAGCCAGCCACTTTGGGCCCGGCGCAGTAAACGCTCGACATCAGATGTAATGTCGTGTTGTTTCGGGCTGGTCTTGCCCACTTCGGTCTCCAGCAGTGTTTTGATTGCTTTCAGCTGTATCTGCGTATATTGATCCGGGTCGAGCTTTCTACCTGACAACCTCACGAAAGTGTATAAGAAGATTACAACAATCAACGCAGGTATGTTTGCGTCTTCTATAGCACCTCCTGGCGCTTCTTGAACAGACGGTGGTGCTGGTCTGCGGGTTCTTGCTCGTGACAATACTGAGGTGGGTGTTCCTGCGGCACTTGTTGGTTCAGACGCTCGGGAGTTCTCGTGTTGGAGGACTGAGCTGACGCCTACAAAGACGTGGGGAGCAGCTGCGGGCAAGTTGAACGCTTTGCAGAGGTGCCGTATCGCAGGCATGGTCGAACTTAGTCCTTCGCTATCGTCGCCGCTAATGTCTCCGATCTTGCGCTTCAGAGGTGTTGCTCTAGAGGGTGTTCGGACAGTTGGTGTGCCCTTGGAAGGTGTGTGCCGCGTCGATGGTGACAGGGTCAAGCCGTTGGCTTCAGTGGCCAGCTGCCTCTGTTTCCGTGGTGTTCGTGGTTCTTGTGCCGTCAACGCACTGTTGAAGTAGGCGTAGACCTTTTTGTAAACCCTGGGTGCGCATGGTGGGCGTGATACGATTTGAGGGAGGTTGAGTGGTTGCTTTAGCCTTCAGCAACCAAATCAGCTGTCCGGTTCGCAGCTACCGCTTTCAGCGTGTCTAGAGTGAGTCCTTACCTGTCACAAGCTATATGGGCGCAAGCGTACGCTCGCGCTATCTCTTCGTCCTGCTTTAGGCTACTGGCCTTGCTGCGGGATTGCGCAAGCAGGGATACTGCGAGGTTAAGCAGCTCAGGAGGGAGTGGGCCACTCAAGGAGGGTATCAGGCCTGTCAGCGCTTGTTCGATAGATTTGTTCATGGTAATCTAGGTAGGCAATATAGCTGAGTAGAAAAAGCTGAAGTTGTTGTGGTTACGGGTATGTGAAGGCGAGCTGAACGCGACTCGCTCATCGCGTGGTCACGTGAGTTGAGTTTCGCGTCAACATGGAAGTAATGATTCTGTGTAGGTGGTTTTCCAAAACAACATTGCCGCTTGGTCCACCACAAACCTTATGTTTCATGATGCTTATCAGTCGATACACTACCTAGGTAGTGAGCACTAGATACCAGCCCAGGCAGGCTTTGAGGCAGACCAGCATATGACACTGCAGAACAGCCAGCTTCGTTGCATCAGTTGCGGACCTCAGACTTGGATACAGATAACCGCCTGATCGGATTTCACCATCTTTTGCTCGAGTCACCAAAATCTCCGCCCCTCCTCTCTCGTTCAATCCTCGCATCAAACTCTTTCTGTGCCTCCGCCTTCGCCAACTGTCTATCCTCGTCCGCGGATGAGAAGGTGAAGCTGTCCCCAGTCGTCGATCCCTCTCTTTGCTCCCGCTGAATGCCACTACCCGCATTGCTCGGTGTTGGATATCGTGGTGACCCACGCGATACGTCTCCACGCCCCGCCTGTTGCCTGACACGATCCCACGCTGATCCACCCCCTGAGCTTCGTGCAGGTTGCGAGCCGGAGCCAGATGCATCCTCGTAGTTGGATGGTTGCGAGGTCACCTTGTCCATCTGGAACGTAGCTCCACGATCCTCGGTCGGACTTCTCCTCGGGTCTGCTCGCTGCCGCACCTCCTGACCGCGCATCTGACTGTCAGAGAGGATGCCAGTGTCGGTGGTTGAGTTCGGGTCACCGGACAAGTCGTAATTGTACGCGCCGCCGGTGGGTGACATGTCGTCCTCGTCGCCATAGACTGACTTTCCGCCGGGGGTTGCGGCGCCACCAGCTGGAGCACGACCTTCTGTGGGTGTTCGAGGCGAAGACGGTGGGGGCCGCTGAGTTATTATCCTTCCTCCCCGCTCCTGCACCCGTCTCCTCAGCTCTTCGTTAAAGTCCTTGAGACGCGGATCCTGCGACATTGACACAGCAGCTTTAAGCGCTCCGTAGTTGTTTGTCGCGAAAGCGCCTACCAAGCTCACGAGCAGCACGTACGGTCCCGCTCTAAGAACATGCCATGCTTGTCTTGCAGTCTGGCCCCTAAGTGGCCCAAAAATTTCCGGGTTGAATTTGTCCGCCGGTGGCGTGAAGAATGGAAACCGGAACGTCTCCCGTGTCCTGTAGCATTGATACGCGCCCAACGCGGCGCCCGTCGCGCAGCCGTATGATGCCAGTGACTTTGCGTTCGCCGTGTTGTATGCGATTGCGTCTACCTCACCCTTGTTCAGCGGCCGCTTGAGGATCTGCGTAGCCAGACTGATATGCTCTTTTATGTCCATAGCGATTCTTGCTCGAGAATAGCCTAACATGGGTCCGACGATTGGTATTGGTCCTGGGAGTTTGCTCATGTCGACGTCCATGGGGCCTGCTTGGCTCGTCTGCGGTTGAGAGCCTGCGTAGGGGTCATTGTCGGAGGGATATGGCTCGTCTGTGAAAGCTTCTGGCGCAGGCGCCGTAGCTTCCTCGAGGACCATCGTAGCTGTTTAGCTGTCCTCAGCTCTTCGTGGAGTTCTCTTCGCAGAAGCCACGGACGGGCTGGAATATCATGCGGTATGGCGAGACCCGGCTGATGGTTTCGGTTGTGTCTACAAAGCGACCTTGAGTCTGGAGGAGAGGGCGTCAAGCACGCGTCGCTCTTGAAGCATCCGTTACATCACAGCATCATCACAAGCATGAATACCTTGCAGCCTTACTACCCTTGCAAGCTCTGTTCTGCTAACCGATGTTGGCAAGCTTACCCAGAGAAACACCGCCAAGCTTTCCCATCTTCGACTGCGAAATTCTCTGGCTGGGAGTAGCGAGCCTAGTTAAACAAACAAGATGCTTGCGAGTTTTATATTCCCTTGTTAAGAATATTTGGTTGTCTAGGTAGATCGTGGTTCTGCGTCATGGCGCCAACAAAAGCGAATAAACCGAGGCCAACAGTGCCGAAGGTCAAAGGCTAGTGGCAAAGGCAACCCTCAGTAGATGTAGTCTTGTATGAGTTTCTCTATACTGACAGCTCTCAGGCTGCTTTACTTGTTCGCAAAGGCGCATTAGCTGCGACCGGACCACCCCGCAGTGTCTAAAGTGTACGAGAAAAGGCTTGGTGTGCCCAGGTGTAGACGCAAAATTTCGATTCAAAGAGCATTCTACATCAAGATCTCGCCGCGTTGAGAGTAATCTATCAAGTCCTAAGCACAAGGCTACGTTAAATAGCATCGGAGGAACGGGCGACTCCGAGAACGATGGCAGTTCCTTGGCTGTTGTGCCCTGGAGGTCTTACGCAAGCACGCCGTTGAGCTCCTCTCCGTCTACCTCTGGATCCAGTTCATTATCTTCGGCAAGCCTTCCTTTGTTTTCCTTGGATCCACAGGGTGTTCAGGTTAGAACACTGCTGAGGTATTTCGATGCAGAGTTTGCGAAAACCATGGTAGCGTTTGATTGGGACCGGAATGGCTGGCGCTGGTTCATCCTCCCACTGGCAGAAAGCAACGACGTAGTAAGAGACGCCGTTCTCGCAATATCGGCAAGCCATCTGGCCCAGAAGTCTCCAGGGATTGCACCCAGAGCCAAGATTCTGAGAGGCGCTGCTATCCAGAGCGTCATCCTACGCTCACGCAACCTATACCAAAATAGCGCGCCAGATCCGCCGTTGATAGCCGCTCTGGTGCTACTTGTGCTCGACGACATGGTGTCCGGCGGAGATGAGTTTTCCTTTATCTTCAAGATGCTAAGATGCTTGCTGCAGATGCTCGGAGGCGAAGACGCGTTGAGTACCTCCGAGTTTGGGGTTTTTCTCCTGGAACACTACAGATATATTGAATTCATGTCCCTGCCTACGCTCACAGAAACCGAAGCGGTAGCAGCCATCACTACAAGGCTCCCCCGTTACCTCGATTTCCTCGTCAATTCATTCTTGGGTGATAAAGCGGACCCTCTCTGCCCTTCGGTGGCGACGATGTTGATTGATTGTTTCTCACAAGCCTCCAGTATCTATGTCTACCGTGCTCTCAGCGGACCTTCAGCGCCTTTGAGCGGACCAGCCGTCGAAGATTTGAAAGCAACCGTGGAAGCCATCCCACCCGGCAGCGCAGGCGAACACGTGCTTGCCTGGGTCTTCTTTGTCGGTGCTGCAGAGAGCTCGAGCGCTGAACATCGACAATTTTTCAAGAAAAGACTGAAAGGTCTCTATGACCACGGATGTTCCGGCTTCGGGAATATCTGGCCAGCCTTGGTCCTGCTGGAGAAGATGTGGCAAAGGAGCGATCAGAGCTGGACTTCGATGTTGGCAGAAGATTCCCACGTGCTCATTGCTTGAGCCTGTGGTCGATGCTCTATCCCACGACTGGCTGTATACCGTCGTCGGGCCACAGCAGATTTCCGATACGAAAGACGAGAGTCATCAAAGACCACTGCTTCTGCACTCTCGCTACGTGTCACGGATCTTGATGGCCAGCAGTGAGGTGAGACTTCACACCTAAGGGGGTCTGTGCAGCGTCTAGCCTGCTTCACTGCTTCACCGAAGTGTCCGACTGCTCACTAGGCTGTTCCCCGGATTTCGTATCAAGTACTTCTACGAGGACCAACTCCAAACTCAGAGGCACACAGAGAAGAAACGAAACCGGCAGCTGCACCGCTCTGTGAGCGTGTCTTCCGGGGAGACATCACTGACGGAGAAATTCTCGAGTAAGCTTTGCCGCGCCGCATCCAAAGCAATTATCGGCGAGAGAGTTCTCGTGAATCGCAACCCTGCTACAGCGACTATTTTGACACACATATACGATGTACCTCGCGGCTAGACACCTCATATATCGGGCGAAGGTCGAAGTGGAGCGGAAGTTCACTCCACACTGTACAACGAGCATTTGGCACGCAAACAACCAAACACACTAGGAACCCGTACCTACCCCGTTGGAAAGTCCGCAAACCCGTGCCCTGTTGCTACGTTATTGGATGGAAGTGCACCACCTTCGAGGGCATGCTGTCAAGAAAGGCTCTCTTTGCTACTTCAAGACCGTCAAGCCACTTGGAGCGTAAATTATCGTCGACGCCTACTTCGACAAGGCCAACCTACTTGCCAACAGAGGAATCTGGGTGCGTCGTCGAGCATGTTTCCTGGCGGAGAAGTTGTCGGAGTCACAAGAACGCTGTCAATGGGAAGCGAAAGTCAGGATAGGCGGCAACTTTATTAAATCAAAGTTTGAAGAAGTACCCGGGCAAGCTGAAGTCAGTCGACTAGTGGCAGAGCACCTCCAGGGCACTACAACCGATGAGCAACGGCCATTCTGGCGACATGCAAACATCACGGCAGAGCTCCATACGACCCGTTACGGATGGCAGATTGACGATGCCTTCAATGTAGTCATTGATTGCGTTTCAGCGGAGAAGCACAACTTTCGGCATTGGGTGGGCGAGGTTGAGCTGGTCAAGACTGTGGAGTCGTCAAGTGAGGAGGGTCTGCTGGAGGCCAAGCGGATGGCGGCGGCGAGGATGGATGAAGAAATTCAGGAGTTCATGGAGCGCTATAGCTGGGCTTTCTCGGCGGACAAGCCTGTCGGCAAGCTTTCCGCCTTTCTTGCGCTGAAGAGGTTGAGGAAGGCATAGGAAACGTGGCTCCGACTGCTCCCCCGAGCGCTTCCTGAATGTGGCGGGCCGGGACATCGCGAAATCTAGGGCAGGGATGCTTTTGGTAGGGACGAAACCACACGCCGTGGTTGACTGGTCGTGGTCTTTGTTGGCTGGATGCAGCTGTGAAGTGCTGTCTTGAAAGCTGTCTTGGGCGGGTCTAATGTACACTTTGCTACCTCATGGAACAATATCAGCTCAAAAGCCATACGTTCTCGAACCTGACCTCGCAAGTGTGTTCTCTGGATGTAATCTGATTAATCTTTCTCACGTACTGCTTTGTCTTTCTCCCGTGCGATGTGCGCCGCTTGCTCCGTAAGCATGACAGCCATTGAGCAATACAGCCAGCAATTTCCCCGATTCTCATGTGCTCTAGCGGGGATACTAATCCGCTTTCGAGCCCGTAAGGAGTTTGCAGCGCTGGTACAGATGTGACGACAGTAAACGGTAAGGCAAAATGTATGAAGACACGCCAAGCATGGGTGGCAGACTGATACCGATGTGAATGACTTGACCACAGAATCCAAACTCTACTCTACGCAAAACCGCTATGGTTGCCGTATCGGATTGACGGAAGAGAAGAAGTGCCGCGTCATACAATGGCTCTCTTCAGCAAAAATGTAAAACATACAGCAGTAGGTATTCGCTAGTGGTCACCCACCTAACTACTAATCTACCGATTCAAAGCTTATGTAGTGGCAGAGCGGACGGGATGCCCAGTTCTCTTTGATCTATGGCCGTATGTGATAGATAAAGTGGAGGTTTACAATACAAATCCATTGCAAATTACAGATTGGGCTAGGCGCGTACGGGCGGTCCCTCACAGACAGGAAGTAAACACTTCACAGGACGAGTAGAGTTTCTCGACACTAGATGACCAGGTCGTTGACACTTTAGTGAATTAAGAGCTCATAACAGTCGAACGTATAGACTGTGTTACGTATTGAGAATGAAATGGCCTCAATTAAAAGACAGTGAAGGTGAACATCCGAAATCACTTTCCCCCCTTGTCTTCTTCGACCTGCACTGCTACACCGGCATCCGCCTTGATTCTCGCACCCACCTAACTACTAATCTACCGATTCAAAGCTTATGAAGTGGCAGAGCGGACGGGATACCCAGTTCTCTTTGATCTATGGCCGTATGTGATAGATAAAGTGGAGGTTTACAATACAATTAATCTTTCTCACGTACTGCTTTGTCTTTCTCCCGTGCGATGTGCGCCGCTTGCTCCGTAAGCATGACAGCCATTGAGCAATACAGCCAGCAATTTCCCCGATTCTCATGTGCTCTAGCGGGGATACTAATCCGCTTTCGAGCCCGTAAGGAGTTTGCAGCGCTGGTACAGATGTGACGACAGTAAACGGTAAGGCAAAATGTATGAAGACACGCCAAGCATGGGTGGCAGACTGATACCGATGTGAATGACTTGACCACAGAATCCAAACTCTACTCTACGCAAAACCGCTATGGTTGCCGTATCGGATTGACGGAAGAGAAGAAGTGCCGCGTCATACAATGGCTCTCTTCAGCAAAAATGTAAAACATACAGCAGTAGGTATTCGCTAGTGGTCACCCACCTAACTACTAATCTACCGATTCAAAGCTTATGAAGTGGCAGAGCGGACGGGATACCCAGTTCTCTTTGATCTATGGCCGTATGTGATAGATAAAGTGGAGGTTTACAATACAAATCCATTGCAAATTACAGATTGGGCTAGGCGCGTACGGGCGGTCCCTCACAGACAGGAAGTAAACACTTCACAGGACGAGTAGAGTTTCTCGACACTAGATGACCAGGTCGTTGACACTTTAGTGAATTAAGAGCTCATAACAGTCGAACGTATAGACTGTGTTACGTATTGAGAATGAAATGGCCTCAATTAAAAGACAGTGAAGGTGAACATCCGAAATCACTTTCCCCCCTTGTCTTCTTCGACCTGCACTGCTACACCGGCATCCGCCTTGATTCTCGCACTCAGACTCCGAGGATCAATACAAGCACCTTAACATTTGCTCTCATCCTCGCTCTCCATCTTTCTCATCCCGCACCACCATCCTGGCGTTCGCCTGGGCACTCACACCTCTCGCGGATGTCGGTGCCGGCCACCATGGTCCTCGCCGCTCTCCGAAAGCGGTGCTCGATTGGTGAGTTCAATCGTCGTTCCACGCGAAGCGCCACGATGGCCGTGTTCGGAAGCAGATATGTGTCCGTAGAACGACTGTGAACTATGAAAGTGCCGGAACGCTGCTGGTGCGCAATGAGCTTGAGTATACTGTGCCAGCGCGTTGATTTTCGCATCATGGTGTGCAACATTGTGTTCCTGAGGTGCGCTAGAACGCCGCCTCCCGCTTTACGGAGCGCGTCAGCATCAGCGGGGCAAACTTCAAGCATGCCACGGCAGTAAATGAGATGGCGAGATCCTTGGAGGAATGCCAGGTCTAGGCGCCGGCCGGGTTCCGGTAGCGCTGCCCGCCATCGGAACTGACCGACATTCTGTGAAGAGGGAGGTATTGCCAAATTAGGACATAAGTGATGTGCGTAGAACGGCTGTGAGGTTAGATTTGACTACATGCCAGCATATCGGTTCCGCACCATCAATGTTCCGGCGCTGTCATAGAGCGAGACGAGATAACGCTGCTAGTCGTGAAAGTGACAAAGGTTCTACGAAGAGCATGGGTACCACCGTACTGCGAATCCAATATGAAACGTAGGGTAAGCACAGATGCGGAGAGCGGCACTAAGGGGCATTGATGGAGGCGTTTATAAGGCTGGCGGTGGAGTTGAGATGTCCCGCCGAACGTACAGTCCCCACTAGATTCGGAAAGGAACAATCTCCATAGAACTCCTTAGAGCGTGAAAGTCAGCAGTGATGCTGCGAGACAGCTCGTGATAACGAGAGGCGACAGACGTACCACGGAGGGTACTATCGTTAATGCATGTGAGAGAATGGCAGGACTACTGTGAGCCCGAAGGATCGCAAGACGTAAACCATACTCGGTAGCAGTTGATATTGACTACTCAACAATCCTAGCCGCTCCACGAAGAACACACATATTACCAAATCCGGAAGAATGCTAGAAACGACTGAGACATGAGTATTCCCTACAGCAACGGTGGAGTTTCCGGCCACGTTGCCTTCTTTTCTCTTGGCCTGCTCAGCTGCATAAGAGCGGATAAGTCGACTGGGACCGCCATCTTGGAAACCCGGTTGTCCCATTGTCAAAATGTACAGATACCTTCGAGTTTGGCACTGTTTGCTCTCGTGCAAATGAGGACTAAAAGCGAGGCTGCAGGTAGTTGATAACTTCTAACGTCTTCTATGAAGCCCGAGAGGATCAGACTGATTTACGGATGACATGCATTTGGAGAACCCATCCTCGGCCAGCCGGTGGTGCTAGACTCATAACATGAGACTTTACGGGCCAAATCAGACTTAGCCGTTGACATTCTGAGTGGGCTGTTCATAACACTCCCCGTGGCTTTGAGAAACGGCCGCTCGTGCAGGAAAAACTCCTGACAAAAAGATCGAGCTGGTGCTGACGAATAGAGATATTTGCACTGCCTCCTGCTTACGCAGCTCTGCCTTCCAAGTCCTCATGGTCTTGAAGAGTGCTCCCCTCTGTCAACAGGAGTAGATGGTTCGCCACGCAATGGCTCTGGTACTTGGCGAAGACTGCTGACACAGCCACAGGTAGAAGCGACGATGCGTGCGTCATCCATCACGAATGCCCATGTGGCCGCAGCAGTGTGAGTTGAGTTTGGCGTCCATTTACCCACTCAGATCGTTTGTCACCCAGACGCTGGGTACGCATACATGCTTAGTCCGCTGTTGGGCGACAATGCGCGGCATCCGGGCAACGTGCAGCAGTTTGTCCGTTCGCTGTTCCAGCGGCAGCCCTAAAAAGCGAGGCTTTCAGAGCTGTCCGCTGGAATACGCTGCTGTTGGTCATTGTGCTGTCGCCCCGCCGTTCCAGTCTCTTCCCAAGAGGTTCTTCCCTTGATCATGACTTGAGGCCGCGACTGCTAGCTCTCCTAGAGTCCAGGTCGATAGCGCACGATGAGTTGGCGCGCTCAAGGCGGATGCAGCAGGCTTTGTAGGGCGACCCCGCAAGGCATTCCTCTCCCACGGCTCTGTGTGACAGGCCGGACGGATGCGAGAAGAGGCATCCGCGTGAAGCACCAAAGCTGCACTATTCCGCGCCGTCGCTGCTGCAAACGAATGACAAGTGTTTCATAGAGGCGCCATGTTGTTTTCTTCGTGGGCTGCAGAAGTAGGAAGATTAGTAGCACGGCGCTAATCGATAGGCCGTGTGGACAGCATGGACAGCGGAGAGCTGCATCACGGGTTTCAGCCAATGACACCGGCCTGCTCTCTCGGTGCTGCTGTCCGGTGTTGATCGTTTCGTGGCTTCGGCACGGAACAGCATCCCTGATCAGGCGTTGCGACGGTTGAGCTGTCCCACCCCCTTCGCCAATCAACGCAACGGCCATGCAAGAGATGCGCCGTGTCACGCTCCCGGACAGCGAGCCCAAGAGCATCCGCTGGCAGGCTATCGAGCTAGAGGAAGCCTTGAGGCAAGGAGAGTGAGATCGTTGCAGGCCCAGAGAAAGCGAGCACGAGCGGACACGAGCTTGACTCGCAACGGAGAGTAAATCTCAGTGAACGAGATTTACTTTCCAAGACGGGATAATCCCCGACGGTCCCCATGCGGCTCAGCAGCCTCAGCGGCAAGCAAGACAGGGAGTCCTAGCAGCCAACGGGACAGCAGATGGTCTTTGCCCCGTTCAGCCAGTCCGGCCCGGTGTCTCGGATGCGATCTGGATAATTGTTTTGTGGTTTCTGGGTAGAGCGCTGGAATCGAAAGCTGGAACAACGCTCCTTCTGGCTGGTGGTGGGTATCTGCAAACAGTGAACGTTCATGCGCTTCGGTAGCCGATAGGGGTGCGCGGAAGTCGTGCCGGGGTTTGCAGGAGTTTGCGTTGCGCATCGAGAGTTCACAAGCAGACTGGTAACGAATCATTTGCTCGGGTTGTGGTACAGCTGTGGTACAAGAGAGGTACAGTGATCCAGCGAAGACGCCGTGCTTACGAGCTGCTGAGAAAGCTCTCAGCGCAGTCGAGAAGCGTCACTCAGCTTCTGCCAGGAACGTGAAGAGAACGTTATGCATCCCGTATGCTTTGTCCCGTAAGCAACACAGCATGACATGACACCTGCGATACGGATCAACCCTTTTTGAGTGCCGTGGAGCATCGTGTGAACGTCTCCCTGCTCTCATAAGGGGCCCGAAGGCGACACTTGGGAGTCATGGTATTCCCAGGCACTCCGGGCCACGCAGACCCTTTATGACCGTCCCAGCTTCCTGACTGGAAGCAATTTGACGCGGATTTCGAATCTCACGAGTCACACCGCTGCCTAGGTGCCAATAACTATCAGTGCCCAGGGGTGCAGCCACTTTCTAGACCCCTGTCTGGTACTGGCCCAGGGTGCCTCGCTTGCGGCCGGTGCCCATAAACCGGGCTTGCCCCCTCCTTACTCACTGCCGCTCGAGAGTCTTCTCAACTTCTGCAACTGTATTACTGGACACTGTTATTTCCACGCCTCTAGACATATTCCATTAGGGTCTACAGAGATCCTACATCCATTTGTAAGCGACACAGCCACGAAACCTCAATGTCAGGAAGCCAGCATCAAGTTTTCTTTTCCTCTTCCGCGACAGCAACGCCATCTCTTAGCACTCCGTCGCACACCGGAGACGACCCGTACTGTCCACGACCGCAAAGTTGTTCTGGGTGAAAGGGCTTCACCTCTTGTTTGATCGTTTCTTCCAAACCATATCTCTTCGACATTTCCGCCTCATCCACCACCGTCAATGTACTCCCCCCAATATCCCGCACCGCCCCCGGGCTACTCGCCTTACGAGTATCTGCGAACGCCTCCAATGTCTCCGAATGGAGCATACTACGGCTACTCTCCCCGATACTCTGTTCACACCGCGACGCCATCACCTCGCGCGTCGCCACAAACACATGCGCGCCGAAAGAGCCAGGACCCGTCCAGCTATGCCTACGGATCGCCTCGAGGGCCGGCCTACTACACCCAGTACTCCTCGCCACGGTACTTTGCTTCGCAGCAATCAACGCCTCAGCGCAATGCCGACTATGTAAGTAGCCACCACGATCGTGACAGGAGCGACTCTCGACGCTTCTGGGCACCCTCGGACGGCATGCGCAGCAAGCAGTACCACTCGTGGGGTCACGGCAAGCATCGGTCGCAGAGCGCCTACACCTGGGTCGTCGAAGACGAGTACAGCAGCGAAGAGGATTACCTCTACGACGAACCTCTGCCGCCTTACGAACAGTATCAGAGGTACAGTGGCGCTGACCACTACTACTACGGCCAGGTTCCCATCTACGAGCCAGAAGCTACACCACGCCGGTCGCACGCTCGTCGCTCATCGCACACGCCTCGAGCTGCTTCGACGCCGCAGAAACCGCGACCCTCGACGGCGAAGTCGCCTCCCAAGGCAACAGAGGAGGACGCGCGTAACGCGGGCATACCGGCAGGCTACTCGTACAAGAACTGGGATCCGACCGAGGAACCGATATTGCTATTGGGCAGCGTCTTTGACGCTAACTCACTAGGCAAATGGATTTATGACTGGACCGTCTTCCACTACGGCGCCGCGACGCCTATGTCCGAGGTGGCTGGCGAGCTCTGGCTATTACTCATACAACTAGCCGGCAAGACGAAGCGAGCTGAAGAGGTCATGCCGAAGATTAGAAAGCAGGAATGCAAGGACATGGTGGAAGAGTTTCTCGAAAGTGGCGAACGGCTGTGGATCCGATTCGCCAAGCTGCTCAAGATCTGCGAGGACTACATGATGAAGGCCGCTAGGCGAGAGAGCGGCGAGAAGAAGCCCGTCCAGATGGGCAAGAACAGTGGCTGTGAGTTTGTCGATTCCATCTTCGGACGGGATCGCAAGCTGGAAGAGACGGAGAAGCTGATGACTGGTATGCGCCTGTGGAGCATGCGCTTCGACGCGAACTGCGATGACATCCTGCGCAATCCTGCTGCCTAGATCGGGGCTCGATCTGACCGGTGCCGTGTTTTACCTGGCGTATCTGAGGTGGTTTATCTCTGGTCTCATTTGATCATCGCGTTGCATTTGGAGTCTCCCTACTGCCCTATACCCTGCACCTCCTGGGTGCCAATTGTAATCTTATTTTCCTGCTTTCTCTGCGCTGCATACTCGTCGGATTCAAAATGGGTCTCAGTTCTGGTGCTGACGGTGGTACAACTTGCATTGGGCGGCCTCAAAATCGGGTTCGTTTGTTTTGGCGCAGCCTCTTGGGGTGAGTCTTTCGAGCTATACCGCGTTCAAGCGTGCTGGCGTTGGCGACTCTTGGCTGGCTTTCTGGCTGGGCTTTCTTCATGATATCCCGCAGTGGCTTCAGATTGGCTTGAATTTGACTCACTTTCATCAATATACTCGTATCCATACACGGCTGCTTCGCTTACACAGATCGCACCTTCTCTTTTCACATACCTTCACGTGAGCCATCCACTCTATGAATATTTGATGACTTCCACATCCTTCGCGACCTCTACCTAATCACGAAGGTGACTCGTCTGCGGACGCGTTTCGCGCCTTCGTCGCCCGCGCTCGCCTCCCTCCCTCCTTCTCCATCATAATCCCTAAAAGGGTAATTGTCGCGCATCACACCCCATGCTTACGCGGTCCCGCGTTCACGAACCACTATCGCCCCCACCACACCACGCACACCCATCAACACACCAACGTTTCCGAACGCCCCAGTATCCGCGGCATTCCCCCAAACTTCCTCCCACCACAAACCCGCTTGTGCAAAACCCCCTGTGAAACCCCTCATCCTACCCGCAATCCAGCGCTTCTGCCAACTCCACTATTGGCCCCCCAAAAACGGGCCCGCCGGCGCGAAGAATGCAGTAGCGGGATCGAGCGGCATTTTCAGCCCTACGATCCCGTTTTCGCGCGGGCGGCCGAGGGGGTGTCTCATGCATGGAACGCTGCATGGAAATGCGGCTAGGGGGGTTTGTCAGCTGCACATCAGCCGCGCTCTTCCTCGTCCAATGCACGGGTTGCTAAAGTTGGCTCTATCCATTGATGATGTCGATTCGGAGTGAGCGGCGGGATTCAGGCTTTGAGGTTCCTTCAAGGTATCGTGTTGTACTTCGAGTAGCAGTGCTTTGAAGTGCTTTCCCGTCTTTGCACTCCGTCTAAGACTGTTTCAGCCGCTCTGCGTGTTTCTCATCTCGGTCCGCATTCCGACGGAGGAGCCGTCCGCGCCATCCATCCCCACCACACACAACCAGCGCCAGCACGAGCAACCCAAGCCGCATGCCGCGCGACGATCAATTCCGACTCCAGCACAAGCCCGAACCCAATTCCCCCGAACCAACACGCAATCTCCTGCGAACACCCACGCAAACCCCCAAGACTCCTTGGCGCGGTTCTCGTTCCTCAACGGCCCCCCCCGGTTTCCCGCCCGTGCGGTCATCTGAATCACATGGCCCCTGCCGCTCATGCCGCGGTTCCCGCTTGCTGCCGGATCGCAGATGATGGCGGCCGCATGTGATGGGCGCCTAAGCGCTCGGGGGCGCTTAGGCTGCGGGTATGCGGTGCTGAGGATGCGGGTTCGCCATGGTGTGGTGTGCAGGTGTTGGTGATGGGCTTGTGGTGAGCGCTTGGGGAGGATGGGCGGGTATTGTGAGAGTTGTCGACTTTGCTGTGACTTTGTGCTGGCATTGAGGGCGGAATACTGCAAGGAAACCTGGCTTGTAGAAGCATGTGCAGGCACGTCGGGCAGGGAAGAACTTGCACCGCACATACCAATTTTAGTATATAATCACTATTCGTTAGTATAGCATAATAATGAAAATGTGCTTAAATGTGCGATAGGATATAGGGAGTATCTTAGAGCATTCTAAACCTTAATAGCTTATAAGGGACTGCATTGAGGGTGGTGAAGAAGGTAGTGAGGAGTGATTTTGCGGTGCAAGTTCTTCCCTGCCCGACGTGGCAGGTTCAAGCGGTAGCGTATAGATTGATGTTGATGTCGCTGGATGGAGACGCCTTTGGCCATCATGAGTGCCCATCTCATCAAACTTTGGGAACCCCTTCTGAGCCTTATGCTACGTCTTTACCACTAACGCCTGCATACTCAAGCTGCTCATGCCAACGACGGAAAAGACGTCCTCAGGCACCGCTCCTATGAAGGTTGCGTGGGATCGAGATTTGCGTTGAAAGTCTTCTAGGGAAGTAGGCGGTGACTGTAAGGTCATTCCTTGGGTCGAGAGACGCACCCCGTGGCGAGACGAATTTATTGTCCAGGCATCACAAGTCTCTCCCTCGCGAGTCTTTAAAGTTATGGTAAATTTGTCGCTGTTTTCCAGCTACTTCTCCCTAGAAATTCAGTCTTCGATAAGAAAATTACCACGGTTTTGGTCATGTTGTGGATCGTTCCGTCAATCGCATCGTTAGCCGCATCAGCTGTTCCTCCCTGCTCTACCACAACCATCCACATGTCTTCGAATTTCGGAGTCATGCTATGAAAGTCCCATCGGGGAAGAATAGAGAACCTCTGAGAATCGAGGCCATGGCCTGATAGAGGAAGGGGAGTGCTAGTGATCTGATCAGCCCAGACCAAGATTGAGCAGACTGATCTCACCGTCCCAAGTGAGACTTGAAATTCGAGTGAGTATTATCATGGAAGTGTAGTCAACATATTCGACTTCGCAATTAGACATGAAAATAGTCAAGAAACTCTCAAGTCTTCTGAGAATACAACGTCTTTCGATGTTTCAAACGATGTTTATGGCACATTCCTCTCGCCGCGATTCGAACATCCGATAAAAGCCATTGTCGTCAACCGCAAGCATCATCAACCCAATCCTCTCGAAGGTCCCAATCATACCACGTTTCTTCCTCAGCACGAGAAAATGATCTGAGCTCCTCCCAATCTTCGGATTATGCGTAGCGATCCGCAAGCAAAAAACGCGGTCTCCATTCTGGACACGAGAGTCATCATCAACATCGAACCTATAATCCGGGGAGAATTCCGTTTCGTATCCCCCCTTGGCGATGTATCCCCACTCATAGCCGTGCGCAAAGGATCTGAAACATCCTGCCATTATGGAACCTCTTAAAACCGCATATCCACTGGAAAGCTCTCCCGTGATGTCGTCTCCAGCTGGAATACAATTGACAGCGAGGACGTCTATACACGAAGTCATCCCTCGCCCGTCATCATTCCAGCGGTTGTACGCAGCGCTTCTAGTCATAACTGCCGAGTCAACAGATGCCCACGACCAAGTAGGCGCTCTCCACTTCTCCGGCCGTGGTCGAAGGTCGTGCTTCTCCGAAATCCCATAGGATCCTGCACGCCAAAGCAGGTCTTCCGCAAAAGAGAACTCCCACAACCCAGCTAGATATCTATCTTCAGGGCGAAGTCCTATAAATTTCTTCGCGATGCCGGAAAGTGCTGGCAGCGTGTCTTTGGCATGACTCAAGTTAAGTCCCATATAAGCGTCGGCCACATGCCGCCAAGCGACTTGTACGCGATAGGGAGAAGCTGTAAAAGCTTCCAGGTAAGAGGACTTCAGAGTATTGAAATAGCCAACGGGGTCGCGTTTTGTGGTCTCCAAAAGTTTGTTTTCGTTGCATTCACAGTCCATACCTTCTTTGCATTCCCATATCAGTTCATTGGGTGCGAAATGCAGAAAGCGAGGTGACAGGTAGCGTTCCTGGAAGATCCAGCCCCGTTTGAATAAACGCTCGTCGCCCATATAGTGGGGGAGTTGGCGTCGTGCGTACACGATGTATCTCTTTCCTTTTGAAGTCTTACCACGAAGTTCAATGGAATCGTGGATCGATGAGCTTGATCTGAAGAGTCCTTCTGCGTCGGATGCGGATGCTGTGGCGCCGAGAGTCAAGACGGCGTTTTCGTAGATGTTGGCCATGAGACTCGCTTCGTGGCGCCAATCGTCTTCATCATCTTGAATGATGCAGAGGGAGTCGATCCATAAGTATTTCATGCCTAGCTTTCTCGTGAATATGATTGCATCTGTAAATGTTCTTGGTAGTGAGGTAAAATCAATATTCTTTAGGCTTGAACTGAGGTTCTCCCGAGTGGTTTTGGACGTCTGTTTTGCAGTAGTCGAGTCTTGGTTCCCCCAGCAGTGACTGAGGCAAACGTAGCGGTCATGCATGCCCTTTGTCTCCACGAGACGTAACCCAGATTCAACGTCGATGAGTCGTGTGGGAAGAGGAGTATCGAGACCAATGCTCCCACATCTTGAGTGGGTTGCACTGCAGCGTCGCAACCATCTCTGGACTTGGAGAACAGACAAGACAGATGCCGTGTCGCCTGGAACACCACAAGCCGTCCTAATCATCTCTGGGAAAGGGTTGAAGCTACCTAGAGAAGGTTGTTAGAACACTGACCAACATATGCAAGTAAGTAGCTGATACCCAGCTGTCCAGAACACCTACCGGGAGGTACATATAACTCATAAGTTCTATCTTCCGCCACATCACGACTATGGATCAGCATCCCCTCAGGATCCCAAATGAAGCAGTTCCCTCTCTTCTCTACACCCGTAGACGACCTGTTCAGAGCCGACAAAGGAAGACATGCGAAAATTCCCTGGAGAATCAAGGTGCATACTTCACAGCCTCCACTCGCGGATCTTTGAAGTTTGCGTTGCCGGATGAAGAACCCTAACTTGGGTCGTTTGGTACCGTAGCGACACACTCTGCAAATCTCCTTCTTGGCCTTGGGCTCCATGGAAGCTCGGCACAGGGCTTTTATGCAGGATAGATGTGATGATTAACATTGAGTCCGAATAGAACGAATTATTAGTGATCATGTCAGGCTGCGAAAGGAATTGTTGGCATTGACTCATCAGCTGCTCAGCCTCAAGCGGCCCGCCCCACTGGGCGTCTCCGTAAGTTTACACGTTGGTGCTGATCAGCCGTTCTCTCAACATTGACTAACGGCCAGAACGCCAGGGACTTCAGTCCAGCCATAACACCGACTGCCAATCACTGCCACAAGCCTGCATTATATAATAAATTACATTGTAATCAATATCACGTCGGATGTGCCGAGTTGTCTTAGCCTGACCAGAGATCCTTGATCGGTCGATTGAGGTACCAACAGATGTGGCGACGTCGCATGAAACACACGTCCACGGCCGTTACAACGCTGACAATGACTTCTCAGCATCATGGTGAGTTTCGGAAACGTATATCACACATCTCTATCAGTTCAATAGGCGAAAGGAGCTCGATGGTGGTGCTGTGAATCGAGGGTCCTGTGACACCCATGAAAGGAGGCTCTCCGCAATCGGGCGCGCAGGGGACCACGTGATCGTAGTTTTGAAGTAGCCGAGATCTGGAGTGCTCACCAGTGGCTATACCACATGTTCGACGCCAAATTAAGAGAAATTTCGATGTGCTGACAGAGCCAGAGTTAGTTGAATTCAAAGTACCTATGATTTGTCTCGCAACGGGGTGCGTCTCGCAACCCAGGGAATGACCTTAGAGAATTCAGGTGTATCATTAATCGACTTCAAGGTATTTGAACGAAGCAGCACAGCACCAAAGAAGCCACACGGTAGAGTGGAGGGTAAACTAGTTTGATTCTATGTATGACCAAGCTCCGCCACCTGCACCGGTAACCTCTCTCGCGAGTACCAATCAATCTCCAATACACTTCAAAAACCGAAAGTGCAAAGCCTGTCAGAATTCCATCAGCGCCCACTCTACCGGCCAGACCGAAGTCGAAGCACGGCAGAGTCGAGATCATCGCCACTCCCGCCGAAGCAGGAGCAAAATTCTCACTCTTGGGCGCCGAGGATACGGATCATCAGCCAGGTTGGAGATTCTGTGGCTCTGGTAAGGAGCTCAGAAGAGGACGTATACTATAGAAATGATTCTATGAAGTACTGCAGACAAAGTCAGTAATGCGATTGTGCTTGTGTATGGGGTGGGATTCTGCTCACTCGTCGAACTAAGGAGGGAAAGAGGAGCCCGAGGAGGAGGCTTTGGATATACGAAAATTTCCGCGCTAGCGGGAAGCGAGAGCTGATGTAATCGGCGTGAAGCATTTGCATTGCTGAGGGTTGTCTGAAAAGTCCGCTGCGGCACCCTGGGCGTTATTTATTCACTGCCAGATTCACGGTTAAGCTGGACTCGTGGTCATATTAAGGGGGAAAGAATCAGACGGAGTACAGGTTGTTTGGTAGTATGTTAATCTACTGCATCGATCACCTAAGGCGTCTTCGAATTCTGCCTTGATGTTCACAAGTGGCTCCCTAGACTGCAACACCTTTTTTAGAATGGCCTTCCGCCGAGTCGCCGACATCGCGGCCAAGCATCATGGTCCACCAAAAAAGTGTCCCTCCGTGGGGCAGCATAGTAGTAACTGCATACTCCCTGGTTGCTAGCTGCGCTCAATGCCATAGAGCTCAGTCGGAAAGCCCTCAGGACCATTCTCCTGTGGTTTTCGAACTTGACCGCAAACATTGTCACAAGAAATCGCCATCATATCATAATTCCCATGGCTTCGCACACAGCTTCCCAACGGTATCTCAGCACTCGTGGAGGATCCTATGATGTGAGAGAGCTACTGTAGTGTTGATATCTACGAATATCACACTGATATACTGACATTGAACATAGCTCTCCTTCGAAGAAGTTGTCTTGAAAGGCCTTGCATCAGATGGCGGTCTCTTTATACCTGAAGAAATACCCTCGCTGCCGCACGACTGGGTTACAAGGTGGAAAGATTTCTCCTTCGAGGAGCTAGCCTACGAAATCTTCTCCCTCTATATCTCTCCCTCCGAGATACCAGAACAAGACCTCCGGGACATCATCAAGCGCAGCTATTCCACGTTCCGCGCGCAAGACATCACACCCATCGTCACGCTAGACAAGGAGCGCAACATCCACCTCCTCGAGCTCTTCCACGGCCCAACCTTCGCCTTCAAGGATGTGGCGCTACAATTCCTGGGCAACCTCTTCGAATACTTCCTCGTCAGGCGCAACGAGGGCAAGCGAGGGGCGGAGCGAGAACACCTCACAGTAATTGGCGCAACAAGCGGAGATACAGGCTCAGCAGCCATATACGGACTGCGAGGGAAGAAGGATGTGTCAGTCTTCATCATGCACCCGTCGGGTAAGATCAGTCCGATACAAGAGGCACAGATGACGACGGTCCTGGACGCAAACGTGCACAACATCGCCGTGGACGGCACGTTCGACGACTGCCAGGACTTCGTCAAGGCTCTGTTTGCAGACCCCGAGATCAACAAGACACACCGGCTGGCGGCGGTGAACTCGATAAACTGGGCACGCATACTGGCGCAAATCACGTACTACTTCGCCTCGTACTTCGCGCTCACCAAGTCGCCGTCGTTTAAGTCCGGCGCCGCGATCCGCTTCGTCGTCCCTACAGGTAACTTCGGCGACATCCTCGCCGGCTACTTCGCGAAGCGCATGGGATTGCCAGCGGAGAAGCTCGTCATCGCGACCAACGAGAACGACATCCTGCACCGATTCTGGCGCTCAGGCCACTACGAGAAGCACCCCGTGCACGGCCGAGAAGCTGAGGGTGGCATCGTGGAAGATGGCGTCAAAGCGCACGAAGAAGGCGTCAAGGAAACACTCTCGCCCGCCATGGACATCCTCGTCAGCAGCAACTTCGAGCGGCTTCTCTGGTACCTCGCCTACCGCATCCAAGGCTCCTGCAGCTCCGAGTCAGAGCGACGAAAAGCCGCAGGCGAGAAAGTGCGCGGCTGGCTACAAGCACTAAAGAGCGAAGGCGGCTTCGGCGTTGAAGCCGCGATCCTAGACGCCGCGAACGAGGATTTCGAGAGCGAGCGCGTCAGCGATGAAGAATGTCTCGCCACCATCAAAGAAACCTATAACTCCTCCTCCTCCCAGCCCTCTGCTGCTGCAGAGACAAACGGCACATCCGGCACGCGCTCCCGCACCGGCGCCTACATCCTCGACCCACACTCCGCGATCGGCATCGCCGCCGCCTACCGTTCCGCACAGCGGGCTCCTCCCCCACACACCCACCACATCGCGCTCGCGACAGCGCATCCGGCCAAGTTTTCTAGGGCTGTCGAGATGGCGCTGCAGGGCCAGGACGGGTTTGAGTTCAGGACTGTGCTGCCGGAGCAGTTTGAGGGCCTCGAGGATAAGCCGAGGCGCATCACGCATGCGAGGATGGAGGATGGGTGGGAGGGGGTGAGGAGGATTGTGGTGGCGGAGGTGAGGGCGGAGAGGGAGGCTGCTGCGAAGGAGGAGAATGGGGCGGCGAAGTAGGCGGTGGTTATAGTGGAGTATGGTCTGGGGCGGTGTTGCGTACGTTCGGTGTAGAGAGATCCTCAATGGAATTGCTTGTGCTTATGAACACAGTCTCTGTGTGCCACTAGAGGGGGAGAACGGCAGTGCATTTGGCTAGATAGCGAGGTCCGGAAAAGTTTCATGTCTTGCTAAGAGGATGAGATATCAGATCCGAGCGCTCATAGAATACAAGCCTAAAATTCTTCAGCGACTTGAGAACAAAATCATGGAGTGGAACTGTTTGCGTATCTCGACTAGGCAGGATCTGAATTGTCTTCCGCGACCTCGAAGTCTCAGCATGGTTTTTGAGGCTACAACAGAAGAGTCAAGTCCACTGCAGCCCCTAATCGAATCTTCAACCGTGATACCAGTATCGCTTGTTTGGCAGATTCCTGTTACTGTCACTTCCAGATCCTTAAGTACATCGACCCGTTATCTTTCCGAGCCACCTACCCTTCATTGGAAGCTTCCCGAACAGCCACAGCGATCAGACGTGAGCAGTAGAACGTCGGATCATGACGACTGCGACATGAAGCAGCGGCTGCGTGTTTAGCTTTATGTTAGTCACTCACGGATCGCTGGCTAGGGCCAAGTTGTGGTGAAGGTCCACGATCACGGATAAGCTTGCTATTAGTCGCGAGGTGTAAGTAGCTCATAAATTCTTTCACTACTTTTCCCATATAGAATACAGCGCAACAGCTCATGACCATACACATCAGATAAGAAGCCAATGCAGCCACCCAAGACAAGCCCTCTAAGAAGACCCGGGCAGAAAACAAGACGGCCGAAGACACAGCAAGAACCAAACGCCACAGAGCCAGCAAACGGGTATATACTAATCCCCCCAACAGAGAGCCATCTGCACGTTACTCACATTACAGCCATCATCATCCTCATTGAACACACCCCTTCCCATCTCTCACGCCGCATTCGCCGCCGCCGCCCCGCCCCAGACAGCGTTAAGCCAGCCACTCGCTCCCTTTGCATTCGCAGCCGAACTAGCCCAGTCTTCCCAGTTGTTGCCAGCGACAAAGGCCGCGATGTCGTCGCCGCCAAAGCGCGTGTCGAGATTGTTGAGCCAGTTTTCTTTCTCGCTCCATGACGGTGGTGCTGAAGTTGGCGGCTGCGGCTGCGCAGGAGGATGGAGCTGTTGTTGGAGCGAGTGAGACGCTCGTTGCGGGGCGGCTTGGGCGGTGGGAAAGATCTGGCTGTACATTGGGAGGCTGTGGGGGGCTGATGTTGCTGGTGTGGAGAGCGAGTTCGGAGACGAGGTTCCGTAGGGCGCCCCGGACTGGTGGTAGCGGAATCGGTCTCCGGACTGCGAAATGGTGTATTGAGACTGCGGTGTCGAGACGGTGGAGGCTGAAGGCGTTAGGCCCGGGGGATTTGCACTAGCGGCTGCAGCAACGGTGTTGATTGCGTTCCACCTCTCCTGACGCAGTCCCGCGCTCTCTGGGGCTGGATCTTGTAGATCCATGACCTCGCTTCTCACGGCCGCACTCCCTTCTTCGCTCCCGTCGTACATGGACCGAGTAAGTCCGACTGCGTCTTCGTCTGTGGCGTCAGGCATGTCGTCATCCTCATCTTGCAGGTTGCCGAATTCCTGCAGGGTCCGTTCCAGTAGCCTGTACTCCTCCAGTCCGCCGCCGACGCCCCCTTCGCGCAGACTCAGTTGACGGTAAGATTCTGGGGGATGGCCTGACTCTGCCAGGGCCTTGGCGTTGCGGCGGAAATCTTTCTTGATCCGGGTGAAATACGTGTGGCAGCGTCTGATCGTCCTGAACCAGCCGTCTGCCATTTGCAGCCGAGTTCGCATGTGGCCTACGAGTTCTAGCGCTTTGCGAGCAGCCTCTGCACCGGAGCCGGTCTCGGTTACAGTCATCTCGTCAGTACGTGAGTTTGCAGATGGATACCGCTTGCACATGTAGCCGTCCGGGTCCATCCAGGGGAAGTTGATAGCATAGACGCCTGCGCGGCATCAGTAGCAGTACAACGAGCGTAGTGGAGAGCCAAGATTTGTTTTAATTGCTTACCGACAAATGCTACCGTGTAAATTGCGAACCCGGCGATTGGTGTTTCCACAAGTACGCCCCACTCGTGACATGTCCTTGCTAAGTCAATGAGATTGCGCGCCGCTCTGAAGAGTTCCCGCGCGCTTTGCTCCCAGAAGCCGGTGGGGACCGTATACTTGTCAGCCGGAAACAGTGGTGGGTCGAGTGGACCTTGAGGTCTGGTACACCGCAATGGGATAAAAGGAACATATTCCCGATGCAAGATAATTCTACAGAGGAGTTGAACCATGTGCATCAATGCGTACGGAGTTGATGTTCTTTGGGAAACATGAGCCGAAGTGTTCGCTGACGACAAAGTCAGGTGTCGTGAGAGTGATAGGTCGAACGCATTTAAGCTGCGATGCAGCTCGTAGAACGTCGATCGTTCGTCCCAAGGCGGGTACTGCTCGCGTCTGCTTCTGTGAGATGCTGGCTGCTTAGAGCAATGTGCTTAATGCATACCTTCTGCCTCCGGCACAAGACCATTTGACTATTCTACCGTAGAGATCCAGGATCTTCAGGTAACGGCTGAGAGCACCTTCATCGGCTCCTACTTCCCATCTGCCGTTCTCTTCGTCCTCGCGGTCCTCGCACTGTTCGAAGGTGTTAGCATCACGTGTATTACAGCCGTTTTTCGGATGTCGGAGATCCCGTACGTCAGTCCTCAGTACCATTGAACTCCGACGATGGCTCTGCGCCTCCACTCTGCCAGTCATATCATTAAGCTCCTCACCCAACTGAAGCGTTCGAACCTTTTCGCCAAAAAGAAATGCCCTTTCGCTGCTCGGCAGCTGCACCTGAAGATCGCTCACGTTGAGCATCTGAGGTCGGTATTTTCCACTGCTGAGATATCTGTCCATGGCAAAACAACTCCAAAAAGTGCGTCTCCGAATCTCTTGCTCGACGAAAGCACCTCCCTTGCCGAACGAGGAGCTTCTACGGTGCGGATTTATACCCATATGTTCTGCCTCGGCGCTCATGGCCAGAGACGTAGCGATTGGTATATCGTCCAGCTCCCGCTCAAATTGCAAGCCAAGTACCTGCGCTGATCGAATGGCCACACCGACGGCAAGCCAGGCACGGACGCCGCGACACATGCCCCACTCGTGAAGGGCAAGCATAAGAAGAGCTTGTGTGCGCTCGAGATCAGAGACCCCTGTGTTCTCACCGTACATCCCCTCTGCGCGCGCCTTGGCTGCGTGGAAGTAGTATTCGGCTGCAACGAGGGGCTGACTTGGGCGAGTCGCGGTTGGAGGAGAAAGATAGAGTACGAGCTGCGGGTGGAAACGGGAAGTCAGAGTTAGGAAGGCCAACAATAAAACTGGCGAAGCCGGAGGCAAAGGCGTTGAGCTTTCGCTATCTTGAGCGGGGACGCCATAGTTTGACGAATGCAACGCGGACTGCCGTAGCGATTTGAGGAATGTCGGGGCATGTAGAAATGGCAAGTCTGTCGAGAAATGGAGCTGATAAATCTCGAACAGCTCGGCCCACACCTTTGGAGTCAAGATAGCAGTATCTAGCGCGTCGATCTCGAGTCGAGGACTGTTCTTAATCGCAGTAGCAGTTGGGATGGAGGTGGTACTTTTCTTCGCTCGGTGTCGCTTGGGCGTCTCCCCGAACGCAGCTGCGTCAGCTCCTGCGTAGCCGCTCACGCTTCCCTCACGCTTCAAGCCACTGCCTCCAGGGACTGCTGGCGGTGGATACGTGCATTCTCGGCCGGTAGTCTCACAAGCCCTACAGGGCGTATTGACACCACTGTTTATGCATTTGACCTTGGATCTGCGGCAACGAGCGCACGCGATGGACGACCTCATACGAGGTTGCTCCACACGACGCGCGCCCGCCTCCGGAAGATGTCCTTCACTGTGCGCAATCAACCCAGACGGCTTGGGAGGGCTTTGAATGGCGTGAGCAGAGGACGGGGAATGATTCGGGGGCTGGAGCGGTGGGGGGCGCGCAGTGAGCGGGCTTTCGCTATTTGAACCAGAAGAAGCCGTGGGCCTGGGTGGGAGGGTGGATGTCTGCGGTGCAGGCGAAGTAATGTTGGCGGCGCGTCGAGGTTGCTCGACCTCGAGATAGTCGCCGTTACGGAGCACAGAAGTCGCTTTTGGAAGCTGTTGAGCTTGCTTGCTTGGTTGTGGCCGGTGAGTTGTGGAGCTGATGATTGGACGGCCGGCAATCGTGCTGACTCGGCAGTTAGATGTAGGGCTGAGGGACGACTGGGACGACTGGGACGACTGGAACGTCAGTCTTCGAACCCTGGACCTGCGGCTCTGGCAGCTACTCACCAGGAATTGATTAACTAGTTATCGTCCTACGCTTAATGAAGCCGCCGCGGGTCAAAGGGAAGAGAGGGAACGAAAACCGGTGGGTTTCGGCGTCACCGCGAGCTTTTGTATGCTCCGGGCACCGTGGTTCCCGTGTCCGTGCCGAACACTGCAGATCCCTAAAGCCGCCCTGCACCGCTTGAGGCTCCTCCGTGCCCTACGCAGCCAGCCACTGCGGCCAAACATCCCCAAGGCAGCATCCTTCGGCCTATCGGGGCAGGGAGCTGCGTCTTCCGATCATGCCGCGCTGGACTCTGTGCCTACACATGTGCGATCCTGTCGTCTTTCCGACGTGCACGAGATGAGCTACCGTTACCAAGACATTAGCAGTGGAGACTCCATGCACAGCTCCGATCTTACCGGCATGTGCCATTTCAAATCCTCCGCAGCAGGACCCTCACACGGGTCGATTGTGTCTTGCTTGCGCGCGTTTGTTCGGAAGCAGGCACGCGGATGCGCCTGCCGGGCTACTCTACTGCAGTCTTCTTTCGTTGCTGCTGTCTAGCGCGTGCTTCATGAGGTTGAGATGCTCCTTAACATGGACTGTTTAGGGGGACTTTCCAGCTCGATGGCATTCTTGTCTCCCGCCGAACCACTCGGCTGCAATCACCTTCAGCGAGATATCCATCCTGCATGATTCCCGTTGCAATCTCGGCTCGGGTCGAGCTTCCACGGCACCGCCGTGTTGACGTGCACCGTTCTGGCACGGCCCCCCATCTGAGACCGCATGTCGATGGAACTTTTGATCAGGTAGAGGTGGGAGGACAACCTCTGGAGGCTTGCAAGGACATCACGAAACCGAGTTGTGTTTGCAAGCTGTAAGAGCCTCTCTCAGCTGAGCGATGTGGTGTCCGGATTGTGCTCCTACTTGCCCTCCTTGGACCATCCAATATGCTCGTGGCTTCAGAGAAGACTCGTCCGCTTACATCCATTCATCTGCCCGTATCACATTAGCCGGCACACCATGAGGCTACCACAGTCTCTGGATCCTGCGTCTTGATGCCGACTGATATTACCTACTCTACTTCTATGTTCATCTAACCCTGAGCATCATCAAAGCCCCTAGATCAGTAGTGAACACGATGCTAGAAGGATCTTCCTACCCTGGTCAAAGGTAAATATCTAAGACGCGTAGACAAATGCCGCCATTGCATTACGCGATTCACCGCAAGGGTGCACAGAAAGCAAGCAGGAGTTGCAATGGACACAGATGACAGAGCTAGGAGGAACATAGGGGCTTGAGAAGTTTGGCAACGCCTCCGAGTTTATGCACGACATCGATCCCGTCCACGGCTCATCGGAATTTGCTGAACGACGTACAGACCGCGGCCCGATTAGGCAGGTCACGAGATCATCCATCGAGCTGTCGGGAAGAGGGTGTGGAGAGATTGATAGCGGATTCAAGCAATATCAGAGCTTGTGTGATCAATCTGGGGCGCCACATGGGGCAGAGGTTCTGGCCATGAATTACGCGACGACCGCCGCCGGTATCTGCAGTAGTGTGTGGTGTGGGTAGCAAGCGTGCATTTGAGATGCATGAGATAACGATACATGAACATAATGCTCTTCTGCTGGTAGCCACTGTGAACCGGCCGACTTGTAGTAGTGGAAGAGCAGCACACCTACCTTGCTCTGCAGAGCTTTCCCGCTGCACTGTGGACGGCCGGTTGTGGTGAGAGATGGTGGAAGGTGCAGTGTGACTGACCCCAAACAACCAAATCGATCGAATCTTGGTGGAACACGGAGCACCCAAAGATCACCTTGCCCGGCCCGCCCTCCAGCAAGACCCCACTATCAACATCTACCCTACGGCTGTCAGGCCAGGAACGTTCCATCCTCAGACTTATTCTTTTGCTTGGTTCTCCAAGTCTGTCAGGCCCGTACTGTCCAATCGTTTTGCACTCGGCACTCGGAGGCGCGGCCAAGCAGTCCTTGCAGCACCCAGCCTGCGAAGTACATCACGCGAAACATTCTCGGTCACGATATCGCTTTTCAACGACAGCACAGCCTCGTGTACGGCGCCCTACAGAAAGGATCTTGTCCCGCTGACATTTCCCCGTCGCCGGCCTTGCACGCGGCGAGCGTGGTCCCAGAGTTGGGAAACATACGCTTGCTGCGTCATCGACGTACGACAGCCCGGAAGCCGCCCATCTCTGCGCAGGTGATTTAGGGCCAGGTGCTGGTCCCGTTGCCGTTAGTCACGCGCGACACGCCGCCAGTATGAACGAGGACGAGGCCATCACCAATGTCACGAAGAAGATCGAGCGCGAGAAGGCGCTCATCACAGCCGCAAATGGCATGCGGCAGTCGACGAACAACCCGGCTGTGCAGTCGCGGTTGGATACACAGATGCGAGAAGGACGAAGGAACATAGACTACCTGGAAGGTCGGTTAAGAGAGCTGCAGATGCGAAGGATGGGTAGCGATATGGAGGGTATGCGCCTAGATCCTGGTAGTAACGGTGGCCCTCCTACGCCTTCTCATGGCAGAAACATGGGTCAACAAAGGGGTCTGCCTCCATTGATGGATGGGCGGAATCCATACATGGCTGACCCCGGCGGCTACGGAGATCCGGGGCCAGGCGGGTATAGTCAGCAGCTCAGCGGAGGTCAGGCGCTGATGCCCCCGAGAGCGCCATATGCTCCGCCTGGGCCAGCTGCAGGACAACCGAAGGCACGGCCGAACTACAGCAAGCTTGGTACGCACTGCATCCCGCAAGCCATGACATTGTACTGACAGAACGCCAGACCTCATCAAGTGGGATACGCCCCATTTGGGCCCTCGCATCCAGCTCATGTTGTCTCAACTTGAGTTCAAACTCAGCGTCGAGAAACAATACAAGGATGGCGTTGAGAAGATGGTTCGGTTATACCAGCTCGACGGAGACAGGAAAAGCAAGGCAGACGCCGAGGCGAAGCGAATCGAAAGCAACCAGAAGATACAGCTTCTGAAGCAAGCACTTAAACGCTACGAGGATCTTCACGTCGACATCGAGGGTCTAGACGGCCCGGATGGTAAGCAACTCTGTGCTTATCAAGGCGAGCCCCTGTACTGATTCCTCCCAGACGACAGTCTCAATATTCCAAGCGCTAGGAAGCCGCTTAGTGGGCACCTAACACTGAGAATACACGCGGTAGCTGATGTCGACCATGCTGCGACAGGCAAGTTTAGCAGAGGTCCCGAGACGTTCGTCGTGATGAAGGTTGAGGACGCGGTTAAGGGCCGGACGAAGGCCACAAGGACCGACAAATGGACTGACGAGCTACACGAGATCGACATCGACAAGGCGAACGAAATCGAGCTTACTGTATATGATAAGACCGGCAGTCATCCACTTCCCATCGGGATGCTTTGGCTTCGCATATCCGACATCGCGGAGGAAATGCGACGCAAGAGAATAGAAACCGAGTTCAACAACTCAGGCTGGGTGCCGGCAGAGAAGATGTCTAATGGGGGACAGCCCAGATCCGATCTGCAGTTCAACCCACCGCCGGGACAGAATTTCACACCTGCCGGTACTTCAAGCAGCGCTGCAGCCTCTGGTGGACAAGCAGCCGGGCCGGTACCGCAGACTGGGCCAGTAGCCATTGATGCCTGGTTCTCTCTTGAGCCTGTAGGACGCGTACACCTGACAATGAGTTTTAGTAGGATTTCTCTAGCTCTCCAACTATGAGTTGCACTGACATTCTGGCAGTGAAACAAGCCAAGGACAGAAGGCCATTCGACCTAGGTCTTTACCGTAAGGGTGCTATCCGTCAGCGCAAGGAAGACGTTCACGAGCAGTACGGACATAAGTTCGTCCAGCAGCAGTTCTTCAACATTATGCGCTGCGCGCTCTGCGGTGGTTTCCTCAAGTACGCGGCTGGTTATCAATGCGCTGACTGCAAGTATATGTGTCATGAGAAGTGCTACCAAAAGGTTGTGACCAAATGTATAACGCAGTCCAACGCGGAGACCGATCCAGATGAGGCGAAGCTTAACCATAGGATACCGCACCGTTTCGAGCCATATTCGAACATGGGCGCCAACTGGTGTTGCCATTGTGGCTATATGCTTCCTCTTGGGAAGAAGGCGTCAAGGAAATGCACAGGTGAGTACTTTGCTTGCGTCTTAGGGGGTCCGGTTACTGACAGCCTTCAGAATGCGCACTTACCTGTCACGTGCAATGCATTCATTTCGTCCCAGACTTCTGTGGCATGTCGATGGAAAAGGCGAACCAAATCTTAGGAGAAATCCGAAACACGAAGAAGCGCCAAACCACATCCACATCATCCATGAGCTCTCGGACACTGAGACCCTCATCGGGGAGACCAACACCTCCGCCCTCTCAGAACTCCTTTGCACCACCACCGCAAGGACAAGACCACCTTTCTGTGGATCAACGGTACTCGTATGGCAAAGACCAACCATACGAGCAACCACCTCGTAGTCAATCCTATGGTCCAACAGCACCGGCATCAGAAAGCGCTCTGCGGGCTGCTAGAGAATCTTTCGGTTCGGGCGGTGCACCAACGTCACCCACACAGACAAGACCTTCAGCAGCTCCACGAACGCAGTCGGAAGCGGCGGCGGCTGCAAGCGCAGCCTTGTCTGGTAAGATGACTCCTGCGGCTACTAGTCCCGGAGGTTATCCAAGACCACCGACTAATTATGCAGCTGGCGCCAATACTCGAACGCCTGGCGGCTACCAGCCACCGAGCGCCGGCCGGCCTGACGATTCACGGCTAGCTGGCCCAGGCCAGCCCCGCCCGCAACAGCCTCCTTTGTCCCAACCCGCTCAATACGACCCAGCAGCATATGCCAACATTCCTGGCTATGCACCCAAACAGTACCCAGGTCAGCCGCCGTCACAGGCTGTCCCTCAAAATTATGGTGCACCCCCGCCAGGACCTGCGCAGCCGCCAGCCCAGCCGCCGCAACAGCTACAACAACCCCCGTCTGTGCAGGTGTCTCAACCCACTCCGCCGCCGCAATCTCAAGCCGTTGTGGAACAGCGGAAACCGGCGCCTCCAGCCAACACCCAGGGGACCGGCAGGCGAATAGGACTCGATCACTTCAACTTCCTGGCGGTGCTCGGCAAGGGCAACTTTGGTAAAGTCATGCTTGCGGAGACAAAGACCACGAAGCAGTTGTATGCTATCAAAGTGCTGAAGAAGGAGTTCATCATCGAGAATGACGAGGTCGAGAGTACAAGATCAGAGAAGCGGGTGTTCTTGATCGCTAACAAGGAACGACACCCGTTCCTCCTCAACCTACACGCCTGCTTCCAGACGGAAACTAGAGTGTACTTCGTCATGGAGTACATCAGTGGAGGCGATCTCATGCTGCATATTCAGCGTGGTCAATTCGGGACCAAGCGAGCGCAGTAAGCTCTCCGTACTGTTCTGAGCAACGCCTATGCTGACCCTACTAGATTTTACGCAGCGGAAGTCTGCTTGGCGCTCAAGTACTTCCACGAGAACGGTGTCATCTACCGTGACTTGAAGCTCGATAATATCCTCTTGACCCTGGACGGTCATATCAAGATTGCCGACTACGGCCTCTGCAAGGAGGACATGTGGTATGGCTCAACGACGAGCACGTTCTGCGGCACCCCCGAATTTATGGCGCCGGAGGTAAGCAGTCAAGCCCTCATTCGCTGGCCTTGTATATTGACAACAATCGCAGATCTTACTCGACAAGAAGTACGGCCGAGCAGTCGACTGGTGGGCATTCGGGGTCCTCATCTACCAGATGCTGCTGCAACAGTCTCCGTTCCGTGGCGAAGATGAAGACGAGATTTACGACGCCATCCTTGCTGACGAGCCACTATATCCCATTCACATGCCCAGAGACTCGGTCTCGATCCTACAGAAGCTCCTGACGCGAGAGCCGGACCTCCGGCTAGGCAGTGGGCCCACGGATGCTCAGGAGATCATGAGCCATGCATTCTTCCGGAATATCAACTGGGAGGATGTGTACCACAAGCGCCTTCCTGCACCCTTCCTGCCGCAGATCACCTCTGCGACTGATACCAGCAACTTTGATTCGGAGTTCACGAGCGTCACTCCTGTCCTCACACCCGTGCAGTCTGGTATGTACCACGTTGCTCGCCAACCCACTAGCGTTTGGTGATTCAGTTTGAGCCACTGCTAACTTAAGCGCTTCACCAGTCCTTTCGCAAGCCATGCAAGAAGAATTCCGCGGATTCTCTTACTCTGCGGACTTCGCCTGATTACCACCGCATTTCCGACAGTCTCTCGCTTTCTGAAACCTTCGCATTCCCACTTTATGTCGTTCCTCCATCATGTGAAATGGAGCGACCGGAGTCTGCCTTCTTTTTGCAGTGTCTTCTGGGTCATGGTTCATGCGGGTGGATGACATGAGCGATGCAGCGGAGGGACTACTGGAGTAGCCAATGTCTTGATTGGGAGTGAAGCAGACCGTCACTCGATAGGAATTTTCTCGTGATTCATCTTCCGTTGTGTGGGCGCTGTGACCTGTTATCCTAAAATCCCGTTACGAAACATGTGTTCGGGTTGATGCGGTAAGAGGTGATCACTGCGCATCACCAATGCTGTTTGGCCTCGGTGCTCTCTTTCCACGAGTCAGTAGACGACCGATACGTCATGCTGGAGTTCTCCGGATACTGTGTTGTTCATTGGGTGCGCTCACTTCGGCCTTGCCGTAGATCTATCGTTGCTGCGCCTCCCCTATGCCAATGAACGAGATGTGAGTCCACGGATATCAAAGGTGAGCTATACTATCGAATACGTTTGCTTCCACAATCTTCTCTATTAACTCGTTGATTCCTGCACGTAGCTAAGGCTCGGAAGTCTGACTCTCTTTCATGGGTCTCACATCGTGTTGGAACATGGACAAAGAAAACAACACCAACGACGGCTGCAATTGGAGACATCTTCTCATTCGACTTTTCTTTATTATCTGTTTCTCTCTGCACCTTACACATCACCATCTACATACGTCGTAATGTGACCGCATATTTCCTGTAGATGCGATGTACACACACCATGTGTTATCAGCTGCTTTATGTCTACTCATGTCGGTCGCCTTTACATCTGGTAGGAGTGATGGCTTCTCCGCCACATCGATTTGGGGCCCGTCTTTAGTCGCGAGGGCAGCAGCAACGGCTACCATCGCTGTAGGAAGAGGCGACGGGCATACGTTCAGCCCCGACAACGTAAAGGTCAATCCCGGAGACGTTGTCAAGTTCGAGTTCTTTCCGGCAAAGCATGCGGTCGCCAGGGCCGAGTATGTGTTCCCATGCGTCCCATACGAGTCCACCGGCGCGGGCAAGACGGGCTTCTTCTCCGGCTTCTTCAACTCCAAGGAAGAGAGCAACAACCCTGAGTCATGGAGCATCACGGTCAATGACACCAATCCGATATACTTCTACGACTCCGCACCGCGGTTGTGCCTCGAGCACACGATGGTTGGTGTGATAAACCCGGAGGACGATGGTTCCATATACCGGCAGAAGGATGCTGCGCGTAACACCAAGGAATATCGCAGCCCAGGGGCAGATACGACGGCGGAACAGAAGCCTGCGGAGGCAAAGCCGGCTGAAGGGTCGTCGGTTGCTTCTTCTTCTTCTTCTTCTCCACTATCGCCATCACCAAACTCTTCGGAAGGCTCGTTAGCCGTCGCTGCTTCGAACCTTCCAGCTCCGCCTTCCGGCTCAGCCGGTTCATCATCTACATTAGTCTCTACTTCAGGATCTTCCTCGTCAGTACTTCCGTCTTCCAACACTACTGAAGCCACTTCCAGCGCTTCAAGCGCGGCACCTTCATCCGGCATCTCAGCGTTAGCATCTCCCTCTCTATCATCTTCTTCGTCTTCATCAGCATCCGCATCTCCAAAAGAGACATCCTCGCTGACCTCGTCAAGCGCCTCCCCGAAATCGGCCTCCACAACCACCTCCCCCAAACCTCTCACCAAGCCCGGCACTCTCTCCACCGGAACCATAGCCGGCATCGCAGTCGGTGGCCTCGCAGCCACCGCCCTCCTCCTGACCCTCCTCTTCCTCTTCCGCGCCCGCCTCCTCGCCCTCCTCCTCTCCCTCGTCCGCCGGCGCAAAACCCGTCGTCGCACCCGCTCCACCTCGCGCAGCCCAAACGCCAACAACGCAGACGAGGAGCCGCCCGGCAGTCCGATGTCTTTTCACGACCGCGCGGCGCCGGATAGCTTTCCATGGGCCAACACGCCAGCGTTCGTGGCGCCGCAGCAGCAGCAGCAGCAGCTGAGGGCGAGCCGGGCGAGCAGTCGTGTGCAGGACGAGCTGCATTTTTCGGAGGAGGTGGAGAGGGCGTTGCCGCCGATACGGGTGGTGGGACATAGGAAGAGGGGTTCGGATTCGACGTTGAGTCCTAGGACGCCGAGGAGGGCGGAATTTTAAGTGGCTGGGTGGAGAAATGGGAGCGAGCTGCGTTAGCAAGACTGCAATCGGTGGTTCATGGAAGGCAGCAGGCTTAAGCGTTGCAGTGTTCTTTCTTACGGGATTTGCTTCTCAGTGTTGGGAATAGACTAATCGAGCGTACTTTGTGTTTCCTAGTGTTGTCGTGCTTATTTGATAAAGACGAAGAGAATGACACCCGGTCGTTTTGATAGAAGTACACTAGAATGAATTCAACTATGCAATCCAAGCTACGCAACCCCAAAGGAATGAACGCAAAGGAACAAATGTCAATAGCGTGACGCCTACAATGCTCCCTCTACACTCGCCAATCCTATCCATCCCCTGCTCCACGTTTCTCCTCCCACAGCCAATGTCGCACTTGATTAGTTGCAGTCCCTCTTCGCATAAACCAAATCATCAATCTCCAACCCCGTATAGTCACCCGTCCCATCAATCTTCGCATACTCAAACTCAATACTTTTCAAATTCTTCCAATTCCGGTCAAACTCAACCTTCATCATCTCAAACCTGGGCTTCGTGTTGTTCAGCTTCGGGAACGTCACACCCTTCGCCATCCACGTGACGCCGTCAGCCGCAAGCCCCTTGATGCGGACGCTGCAGTCGTTCTGCGGATAGCCCTGCACGCACGCAAGGCTGAGCGACTTGAGATCGAAGGCGTCGCCGGGCTTCGCGACGGAGATCAGACGGCGTTGGGACCCGTCGTATGAGTGCGCGACTTGCTTGCCGCTGGATGGCTTGATGAAGCCGTCGTCGCGGTCGAGGTAGAAGTTGTCGTACTTGAGGCCTTTGAGCGTGCCGATGGGGATTGGGGCGTCTTCGTTGTAGGGGAGGCGGTCATAGCTGGCGGTGATGGTGCGGAGGGGGCCGCGCGGCTGGCAGTTTGGGGGTTGGCCGGTTGTGCCGGTGGGAGCTGCGAGGCTGGTGGCAGCGAGGAGGGTGGTGAGTGCGAGGGTGGAGAAGTGGACCATTTTTCAGATTGGTGGAGTGGTTTTGATGAGACTTCTGCTTGAGGGGGCTTCGGGGTGCTTGGATGGGATAGAGAAACTTGTAAAGGTAGCTGGAGAGTGCTTCAGTGCTTTCAAGTTGATGGAAGAGCTGTTTGATGGAACACGGAAAGCAATTCGAGAGCTTGAAATATATACACTCGAGGAGCAGAGTGATTGCTAAGAATACCTCACGAATTGCAACCTGGTTCGTGGGACATTATTCTTGACATCTCTATCGTGAGTCGTCTCTGCGCCTTCCATAGTGACATCTCTTTTGGAACACGGCATACGGGCTAAACATAGAAGCAGTATACGATCGTACCTGCATTCTCGTCCGTGGTGTTCAAAAGGAGCTGAAGTGTTGTCGTGCATCACGAGGACGCAGCGGGATGCAACGCTGTAACAGTGCCAGGGTCGCTCTTGGCGCTTGCCTCCAGGCGGAGTCGTGCCTTCCCAGCCTCAAATCGCGTTGGCCAAGGATGGATACTGTATCCCGGCCAGCGACGTATACGATACGATACGCCTCTTAGATCCTAAACCAGGCGCACTTGGTGCCGCGCTCCGACGTATTGGAAGTCAAAGATAGTGGGCGTGAGTAGGCTATCCATCCACGTAGCTGCCCCAAGCCAGTATTTGTAAGCGGCGCATCTTTCTGAGCTCGTCACTAGTAACTCTGTACTGTCCTTGGGTAGTTTGAGAATGTCGCTGAAGACGCCTCTGAGTTTGTAGGGCACTTGACCGCCGTAGCTTGAGCGCTTCCCCATGTGCTGAAGCGTTGGGCAACGAGTCTTTCTATGTCCTCTCGCCGTGACGGTGGCTGTAACAAAGTTGATCCGTAGACTCTCGCCGTTTTGCATAGTGAAACGCTATTGGGAATCACTTACCTCCTTAATTGTTGTTCCGAGCTTGAAGACCTACGGGCACCCGCATGCTCAAACAGAACCGCAGAAGGATAACAAAGAGAAAGAATCAATCAGACGATCAAGCGAACGTCCAGGTACATACGTTACCAGGAGTGGTTTCTCGTACTTAGGTGACCCTCTATCTCGCAATTTACAACCAAAGGCACCTCCGGCTTTCTTGTGATATGAGTTTGAGTGTGACCGTGAAGATCACCTGATCTCGCGTCGACCACTTCACGTCGCGTCACCCACCACTTCACCGATTTCATCCCTCTGCCATTTTCTTCCTTTTGTGGTGCTTCCACCCCACCAAAGCCTGTTCATCTCCTGTTCAGTAATCGGTCAACGTACTGATTGTATTGCTCTCGACCTTCTCTTTCATCCGGTGCCTTCCACCTCGTGATCAGTGTTCGAAGCAGAAGTTCGTGTGTCTATCCGCATACATCATGGAGTTAGACAACGAAGCGAGTTCCGGCTCCAGCTCTCTATCAAATATCCAGTCGCCAACAGGGTCAAGTGCCCTCTCGCACGATTCTCTAGCAACCTCTGAGGACAACTTTTCCTCGTCATCACAGCACAAGAGCGCTACCCGCGCGTTAGACGTCAGTGGTGAGGTCCAGCTGAGGGACAATTTCCCAATACCTCGAGAACTCCGGGATATCATCTATGGGCTGCTGCTTGAAGCCAGGCTTAACCGGCACGAAAATCCGAAGCCGCACTATCACTTGTCCCCGGCCATCCTTCGAGTCAATCGGACGCTCTACGAGGAAGCACGCGAGGTGCTTTACAAGGCCAACACCCTGATAATCGTTTCCTACCGAACGCACATATGGGAGGATAATCCCGCATTCCTTCAGCTTCCGATTATCGCCAGCTCCAAACTCGGCGCTATCAAGGACCACACCATGCGCTTCCACTTGGAATCACGGAAATTAAAATGCTTCTGCGGCATGTGCGGATCTGACGAGAAGGGTCCTCCAAAATCGTTCCTGATCGTAGCAGAAGATTTCCCTGCAGTCTGCCGGCTGCTCCGAGTGCAGAACTTCCGTATTGCTGGCAACGCCAACATGATCACGTCCGCAAGGAACGAGAAGTCTTTAAGGTGGGAGAAGGTCAAGGGGTCCGCCAGACTGCTGGTGAAAGTTGGATTTCAGCAGACTTCCTACGGTGCTCCGTCTCTCGAGCTACAGAAGTCTTTGCTAAATCAGCTAAGGTCTGCGGTCGGCATCTCACACAAGGTCTCCATCGCCGGCGCGGTTGACCCTCTCCTGGCTGCGGAGTGTTCGCAGGCCATGATGCCCAAAGTCGTCATGGCGTATGCAATGGGCTGGGATCTATATTCCCTCATGAGGTCGCTGAAAGACGAAGCAGATGCTCATTACATGGCTGAGAGACTCACGCAAGCATTTGCCCTCTACGAGACTGTGGCAGAGCTTACGTCGACCCACATCGTCCCGCCCTACTCTACCTTTGCGGACACCTGCGCCTGTAAAGACTGGCAGACTGGTATTGACCGCTTGCAATGGGACTCTCTTATCATGGCCTGTCTCGTAGGCCTCCGGATCGGATGTTGCCCTGAGCAGACCATGGACTTTGTGATGCTCGCTCTGGAAATCTCGCATGGAAACCCACGTTTACCGGCTTACGCTTACCTCTTGTCAACCCATCTACTCGCCGTTGCCGAAGCAGAAGAGGGTGATCTAGACCATAGCCTCGAGCTTCTCCACCGCGTTGATGCACTCCGAGCCGAGCATCCGGGTTTATACGACGACAACTGCCTCCAGGATGACCTTGAAATGGCCGAGGCGTACGTTGCAAAACTGGAAGAGGTAAGTTTTGCGGCGCCTAACGGAACGTGGCTAACATTGAAATCACAGCCAGAGGAAGAACCGGAAGAGGAAGAAGAACCGAGCAATCCACCGTTCTGCTATGCAAGTTCCAGCTTTGCCATGTTGTTCGACGACGATCCCATTGACACCCCTTTCCGGGGCGAACCTCCGGAAGGCCTCGCTGGCTGGTTTGACACGCATCATCAACTGAGCAAGGAAGACATGCAGCTCGTCGGAATCAAAAACAGCGGTTGAGTACGCAGTGTCAATGACCATATTGCCGAAGTTTGCGAACTGGATAGAGACTACGAACAGGCGGTCAAAGTGTGTTGCTTCCATACGATCTTAGCACCAGGTCGCTTCTACTTGCTCCTACCCGTTGCTGTTTCTGGGTTTCGTGGGTGGACTAGCGGAACCTCCCAGAGCCGGTATGCCACAGTGGCGGGCTGCTGTAGCTGTAGGGACATGGGTGGCACGTTAGCTTTGTGCTCAACTCCTACAGAGTAGTAGCTCCATGGAACGCTATGTAGGGTTAGCTTTGGGAGTGTGGAGGTCCACTGAAGAAAATGGTGTGGGGAGATGGCTGATGGATTATCGTTGCTCAGAGCTTCTGCAATCAGAGATACATGTTATGCTCCACCGTGTTGCACTTGCTGCGCTGAGATGGCTAGTAGAGAAATGCAAGAATACAAAGCTCTATTCGAGTCTGAAGACCTGCCTAGTTTGAATAAATTCAGAGAGCCCTCCTGCTAAACCAGAAGGTGTCGTCGTGACAGGGACATCGGTAACAAATCACCCGTAGTTTTTTGAAGTATGCGCATAGTGAGGCAATCATCACAGGTCGTCTTACATGGAAATCTATAATTTGCTCATCCGGGAAAGTCGTTTCATCAAAACCACTTGCAAGTCACCAAAATCAATCTCCCGAAGAAACACCGAAGAGTGACATTTTGTATATCCAACAGTATCCAGATTGCGAGTTGCCTTTGCGCGCTCAACTTTGACAAGGCCGTCTTCGCCGTGATCAGAGGATCACATCATAGCCATGAGTGTGAGTCTGACATCGGTTACAGCATGAGTACGTTACTAACCTCTGTAATATCGCAGTTCGTCCCGCTCAACCCGCGGCCTATGCTGCAGTCTCTGTGCGTTAAGAACCCTCCTCCGCTATCCGGCACCCCAAAACATCGCTCGTCCGTTTAGGCGCCAGCCTCATTACGACCTCGTCGATTCCTCCATATGCATCGGCTTCTCCAGGTGTCCCGTTCAAGCGCTGACATTCGTCGCGCAACAGAGTCGACTCCGACATTCTCGTACGCCTAAAATGGGGCCAGACAGAATACAAGGGCCGCCTGGTCAGTGTCGACAGCTACATGAACATCCAGCTGGCGAACACGGAGGAGTTTGTGGATGGCAAGAACACTGGTAGTCTAGGGCAGGTGCTCATACGGTATGTGTCTATTCCACAGCCTTACACAAAGCCTACCGCAGGACGACACTGCTACTGAGGAGTAAGGGGTGGGAATGGAACCTAAGCTAACGAGATGTCCACCAAGGTGCAACAACGTCCTATGGATCTCCGCGGCGGACGCAGCTCGCGTAAAAGGGGAAGACACTGCGATGAGTGGATGAGATAGTAGGCTGGATCCCAACACGGCGGCTTTGTAAGAGCGGAAGTCACACGGCACGGGGCCCACGATGATGCGCATGCGTTTGGTGGCCGTACTGCGCTGCTCCGGAGCCTTAGGGTGTCCCTCGGTCGGGACTACACCAGACAGAGAACGGAAAGCGGGCGAGCGGCAGGAAATCAGGCACTGTATGAAGTGTATACAGGATCAGAGTATCAAAAGCAGTCTCACTTCGCAGCTATCCCTCTCTTGCAGCAATTTCGTGACGTCCGTGCTGCACCCTGCTCCTTAGAGGTGCCTGTCGACCTCTTGTTTCCCGCTTTCCCTGTTCCGTGTCACTCTGTGTGCAATCCTACGACTCTCGTACCGGGTTTGCAGTCAGTCGCGCAAGGTGTCTCTGTGCCTGCATCTGATACCAGATGTTGCCAAGAAATGCACGTGTCTTGGCTCGCTAGCGCGTCTGAGCGTGTCTGAGCGCGTCGACCTCTCGAACCTCTCAGAATCTCCAGTCCGTCTTTCTGTTACTTCAACCAGCAACCTCGCTGCCAGCGTCCGCCTCCAACGTGTACAAACTCGCCACCCGACCAGACCGACCTGGAACCCACGAAACACGGCCTCGCTCTCATCCGAAGACGTTGACGAACACGGGACACGCGACGCGACTTTTCCTCTCCCTCTCACCTCTTCTCTCGCTCGAATAAGCAACACATAACCCCACGACCTCCCTCTCCCCACAGTCTACCGTTGCTCGTCTTCCAACCTTCACGGAAAGGAATGTTCATAACGCCCTACACATGGTCCGCATCCAAGGTCTCGGCACACACTCGAGCCTCACAGCACGGTCTCACATGGGTGCTGCTGTCGGTGTCCGCGGTGCATGCAGTAGGCCCTCGACAGCTTTGCTGTACGTGGCCGGTGTGGGGAGGACGAGCTTCGGAACTTAACCCTAAGCGATTCTTCGGTTTTAGTCGCGCGGATCTTGCAAGAGATGGTCGCCGACCCTGTGATTAACGGCCTGTGCAACTGTGGAAGGCTGTATGGCTGGAAGCGGAGCGATGGCTGTCAAAGCGGGCAAGGACGTCTTGACTGGGTTGCTCATGCGTCTCATTGGGTAAGATCTTCTGCGGAAGACGCGCGTCGACTGCCTGGCTGGGCGCGACTTCGGTCAATTTATGGGACAGCTGAGTGAGGCTTTGCAAGGGTAAGGTTGGTGGAGAGATCTGGTGAGAGGTGTCGGCCACCTTGTTCTAAGGAACGGCTTCGGGATCTTGATGACGCCTTTTGGTGCTTTCGACGCTTGTCTTATGCTGCTGTGGTCACACTGACACCCGGTTGGTGGGGACTTGAAAGGCTTGCTTCTTGCTTCAACCGTACTTCGGTGCACGAGATTATTGACATGCTGGGCTTGCGGCTGTACTGGAAGGGATGCGGATTGAGCACGACGTAGCCTTCTTGAGCAGGCTTAGTCTCCACACAGGCTGTACTACTCTCCGATTTCGAAACTCTGCTTCGTTGATCCACTCGCCGGAATCATGTCCTATGTGCGACATGTAGCGAGGTCTTCGAGCTACAACAGAGTCAGAGAGTACTCAGTCACCATGACACGTCGGCGCGTTCCAGTTCCAAGTTCCCAACCTCCACAGTACTCTTGGTTAGCCTCTGTTGGTTATCCTCGGTGAAGTGACTGCGCGCCGGAAGACTCTCATTAGCATCACCACTGGGCTCGGTGAAGTACGGCCTCAGCAGCGGTGGCACAGCAGACATCGTAACATGGCGAAGACGTCCCGCACATCTCTCCTACCTACAACCATTAAGGGCTCAGTCCGAGAAGGATGTTACCAGATCTCGAACCCCAAACACAGTCCCGCCACGCGAAGCTTACGATGCCTTTGCCACGGCATACGCCAACTGGCAATGTTACCTGTACTAGTACAGCTGATGTCCCGACCGGCCGCGTTAATTATCTCCTCGTACGGTTACGCGTATGGGTCGATCGATGAGCGCCGACAAACCTACGTTTCCCTGGCTTCTTTCTGCCGGTGGAAGATGGTCCTCCTGTTGCAGGAGACGGAAGCGGTTTTTGAGGATGTACTTTGTCCGCTTCGCTCCTCGTGAGCAGAATGCCTGGTGGTCACTCGCCTGTCACAGGACGGGATGGCTACTGAGGAAACATAAGACTAGTCTCTGAGAGGAATGCCTGTACGTACAGGGAGAAGCTTAGCTGCTTTGCAGGGTGAGAGGACAAGCAAAAGTCTGCGAGGTGTGCTCTGTGGTCGCAATTGAGGGTGTTTGCGTCGGTCGTGGAAGTGGATCAAGAGGGATGACGGTCCTCGACGGCTGGAGCTAGTGGTGAGTTGTCCCACAGGAGACGGGCGTCTTAGCACTTCTGAAGCTCAGTGTCATTTCCTCGTTTCTCTTTAAAGTCATTTCACCACCATGTTGTAGGAAACGCATGTTAAGGGCAGCACACACGTCCCATGTCTAGCCACTGTCGCACCTCCTTAGCACGTACCATTGCTTTCTTCGCCAGTCGTTCAGGTCAGCAGCCGGAACCGCAAGCATCCAGGACGGGACCTCGAGAGCGTTCGGGAGTCAAAGTTTAGGCTTGTCTGTCTTTGGATGCTTGCCGGCGGTTAGCTTGTGCAGCTGATCGGAGAGTCACGCGGGCGATGAGTCTAAGTTTCAGGTTGCAAAGCTCGGTGAGGATGACATGCTGATATGTACGCTTTGTGCGCGACCTGGGACGTGGTTGATGAGGTAACGGAGGGAGAAGCGGAGTGGTGATCATGAGTGGATGAGGGACTGAGAGGGAGTGTGGTTGCTCTGGTTCATCGGGTGCCTTCTGGTGCTCATTCGCCGTCTCTACCTTTCGTCCGATCCGAGAGTGGAGATGGCGCATACTTTTTTATAAGTATCCCTCCCCTTGCCGCTGACGGAAAGGATTGGCTAACTATCACAGGGCGGTGGTTACCCATCTTGGTGGTTTCGAGGACAGCCCATGTTTGGCTCCCAGCTGCATCCTAAATGCCTTTTGGTTAGCACTTTGAATCGGGCGGACGTTCGTTCTGATTGCATTTTATGAGGCAGAGTTCACGTCACTTAGGGTTTGCATGCTCCCTTGGTTCTCTTGGTCGAGGGGGCTGACCATGTTCTGTGTTTGTATGTATATTCTATGATACAGAGCTATTGACATGTAAGCCTGCTGAAAGACGATTGGCTGCCAACAAACAATGCAATTGAGGAGAGGGGTCGATATCGTCTTCCGTATCTTCGGGCCAAGAATCACCAGCGCCTAAGAAAACTCTCACAGCACAGCGAATTAGCAGCTTACAAAAGCGTGGTCCCACTCATCGCCTTAGCCGCCTTGACCATAACCCTGACACACATAGCCATCCCCGTCCCCCAAAGCGCGCTCCTGATATAGCTCGTTCCCTGCGTGTTATTGTTGATATAAACAAACGCATACAATGCCCTAATCGCCAAGAACGCGCCCGCAAACCCATTCATTCCATCAAGCCCCTCGCGCTTCAGGCCAGCCATGTTGCCGAGTATGACGGCCGATGCGAACAACGGCATATTCTCCATCGAGTTTTGGTGCGCGGCCTCGCAGCGCTCCCATCTGGCGTAGGTCTGCTTGTCGAGCGTCTCGGCATACTTGGAGCCCTGGTTGCGCGGGTTGCGGTTGTCGAACTTGGACGGGTTGCCGCCGCTTGCGACGGTCAGGCCGTAGGCGTGAGGGACCATGGAGAGGATGTAGTAGGCCGGAATGGCGAGGACGGAGAGGTTGGAGTCGAGGAGGGATGTTGAGGATGTCATGGTGATGGTGGTGGTGGCGGTGGTGGTGGTAGTTGGTGGTTAGGTCGCTTTGCTACAAGATGGTTGTGCAATTGCTTGCGAGTTGACGGGAGGTAAAGAAGTGCTTGATATGTAAGTTGATCTCAGTAGATGCGGAGATGGAGAGAATCTTGATCGGAGTCGGCGCAATTGATTCCTACTGGCGCCTGAAGGAGGAGCTTGAGCTTTGTCCACATCCGAGGTCTCCTTCGCACGACGACGTCATCTGGAGACATCTATCCTCCCGTCATTACGCACTTACGCTACTATGGAGGTTGTCAAGTGAGACAGAAATGGTACTTTGTTTGCGTCTTGTAGAGAGCCTACACTTGATATAGCAAGCGAGTCAGGTCTTCAAGTCATCCTCCTATGCGGCCCCCAAACTGTCCCTCCGCCGGTCACCATGATTGGCTCTTGATATTGCTTGTCGGCTTAACGAGTTGCAGGTTCCGTTGACATACCAGGAGCCTGTTTGTCCAACATGAGCGCTTACTATGAGCCCACTCCAATATCTGGAAGCCCGTAACAATCTTACACCCAACTTTCCGCCATCCCCAAGCTAAAGCGCTCCTTCATCTCCAGATTCAGAGCATTACTATCAGTATCATAATGTCTAAACGGACCCTCTACACAGTAATCACTCCCCTCCCCCCCGGCATAACCCGCGCGACCGTCATCGAGACTTTCCACGCACACGTCGAGATGATAGACCTCAACCCCCTCGCGATCGAGCGGCATCCCATCAGCCCTCCCTCCGGCGTACCCGCTGAGGAAACCCAGTGCCTCTGGTACCAGATCACAGACCGCATATCTTACCTCCCCGGCGGCGCCCTCACGGGCAAAGTGTCCTACAACGCGTGCTTCCATGACCTGCCGAACGGGCTCCAGACGCACATCTACGCGCCGCTGGGGTTGGACATCAAGGGCAAGTGGTCGCTGGGAGGGAACTTGCCAGGGGAGCCGCAGGAGGCGGTGGAGATGGGGGTTGGAGCGCCGAGCACGGGATTGTACATCAGGGAAGATGTGGAGATGAGGTGTAACATCTTTGCTGTTAGCTTTGTGAAGAGGACGCTCAAGAAGGCGCATGCATTGCTTGTGGAGAGGTTGGTGAACAAGACGAGAATCGAGGATCGGGAGAAGTTCAGAATGTCGGATAGCATGTCGAAGGAGACAGCGAGCACGGTGTCAGCGTTTTCTCCTGTGAGCCCTGCGTTTGTGCCTGTGGCTGCCCAGGCATCCACCGGGCACGGCGGGTTGGTCGAGTATGCAACTTCAGCTGGATACGGACCGTATAGTCCGCCGATACCACAGAACCAGGGCATGTACGCGGAGACGTGGCAACAGTCGAATTTGCCATACCCGCCGGCGAACTCATGTGACAGAAACTCCGCGCAGCCTTACCAGTCAGGATATTCAGGAAACTACCAGCAGATGAATCCGGCGTATTCAGCAGCAGGCTCAGTGGATTCATACGGCTACAACTACGGGCATCCGTACGAGCTGAGTACATCCGAGCCTCTGCCAACGCGGAAGCCTATCGGCAGCGGTCAAGCTTGGCCTGCGGCTGAGACTGGAATTCCTGAAACAAAGCGACCACAGCCGCCAGTGAAGCCGGTGGAGTTGGAAGGATGAGAAACGAATAATCCCAAGACTTATGATGGTGGCTCTTCTGTATTTCACTAAAGCCTCCCACTATGCGCGATAAAGGCTCTCCGCTGGCTGACGCGCCGCCTGCTTGAAACCAAAAGCGGGACTTTGAGACACACTCCAACACTGGCACGAAAATGTGTCTAGAACGGATGGCAACACGCCACCAGCGCATGAGTGGATCCGAAGCTAACCTGGGAAGCCAATGCGTAAGCTAGAGGAGATAAGCTGCGCTAAGACGTGTTATTGAGCTCGTTGTTGCCTTGAGAGCAAGACCGCAAAAGCGTGGATAGGTAGAGGGCAGATCGAATTGCGTCTGGAGAGGGCACAAGTAGCACGGAATCAGGCAGTACAGCCTTTGACAGCAGGAGGTAGAAGCAAGCTTGAAGCTTTTGTTATCTTACATGACCGTGACTTCCGCCAGAGGGGTTGAGGTTCCAAATTTCCAATGTAACAAGCTCGCAAGTAGCTCAGCACAGCATCTCATCCTCCCAGCTACTCCTCATCGTAAAGGTCGCCGTTGTCGTACGGATCATCCTGATCAAAGATCACATCCTCATCCTCTCCTTCATCACAGTCGGCGTCGCCACCGTCCATATCCTCATGGAAAGAATCATCTTCATCAACACTACAAGTGTCTGTGACTTCCTTCCCTTGATCTCTTGCCATAACAACAGCAGCCGATCTCGCGGGACCATCATCCGTAACCCTCGAGAAGAACGGATGCTTCTCTGTCAGCGACTTCCCCTGGCACACGTACCCCATTGGAGTGTGGACAAACTCCTGTCCCTTCCGTCGCACTGCCAACCACTCTTGGAGGAAGCTGAGCGGTTTATTCGTAAAGCTTTGCAATTGACCGGCTGCAGAATTTGTCTCCTTCTCATCGACTGCATCGTCAACCGGCTCATTCGTCCCATCCAGCTCCGCTGGTGCCGCTGCGTCGGCTGTAGTTTCTCCAGGCAATGCAGCGGCGTCGTGAAGACCAAGGAATTTTCGTAGCTCGTCATACTCATCATACTCGAAATAGAGACGTCCTGCAAAGATGCCTAGCTCGACTTTCAACCACATGGGAGCCTGCCAGTCAGCGGGCAGGCCCGGCATCGCGTAGTAGTCGAGACTGTTGAAATGGAGCATCTTTCGCGTGACCGGTGCCGAGTACGTCAGGAGATGCGTAGGTGACTTCTGGTTTTGGTAGACGAGGGGAATGATGAGCTCGGCTTCTTCTGGGGTGACAAGGATGGCGGTCTCGGTCACGGAGCTCCACAGAATCCAGTTGACTGGGCGCTACAACAAATTATTAGCTTGTGTCTTTCGGAAACTTCTCGTGCGGGTGCTCGGGCGGTGACAATGATAAGACTGCGATGCAAATAAATACGAGTCTTTTGACTTACTAAGAAATTATCGTTCGGGCGATGCTGTGTTAACTTGATCGTCTTCGTGAACTCCGACGACACATACAGCCTCGAAGCGGTAGCCCCGCCATTGATCCCATTCTTGATACCGAGAGCCGTGCGTCGCAACGTCACAAAAGCTTGCTCATATCCTGCGAACCCTGCGGCAAGCCTGCCGGTCTGTACGAAACCGGCGATGTCCCTGTGAAGGCCGGGGAACGACAAAGCCGAATAGTGAACTGGCTTCTGCACCTCACGAACGGCCTCGACCTCATGAGCAACCTCCCGCTCTTGTTCGACTTCTTGAAGTGTTGAGCCGTGGACAGCGCCGCCAGCATCTTGAAACGCCTTCCGTCGAGTGTTGAGCTCCTTCATATACGCTGCGATTCCTGGAGAGGAGGAATTGATGCGTTTGGTAGGCTTTGCCAGTGTCTTGGGCTTGTACAGTTGCTCCAGGGTTTGCTTCTCAACTTGTCGCAAGGCATTGAGATATGCGTCCCGCTGGTCCTTGTCAACAAGGGAGTCAGGGTTTTCAGACGTGGCTTCCGTGCGGCGGCAGAAATCAGCGCCTTGTGAAAAGTACAGAGGCTGAAGTTGTTCAATGCCGTCGCATGTCTGCTCCAGAAGCCAGCGTATAACGTCGTAGGAATCAACCGGATCGCCGGATTTCTTCTTGCAGAGGTCAAGGATGCTCTGATGAACCTCGGGGGGCGCAAAGAAACACACGGATTGCGTAGTTGCTAGTTGACGTAGTCTCATCGCAGCTGTTTTAATGTCAGTGCTTCTAGTGATAAATACTTTGACATGATGACGAACCTTGCACAGTGTGGTCTTTGGTCTGACCAAGGCCCAGCGTCAAAGCGCCGCGGGCATTCATTGGCAGCTTCAAGTCGGTGCCTCGAGTGTGGGCCTCGTCGAGGTAGACCAGACAACCGTCCAAGTTATCGGCAAATGGCGATGCTAGTAGAGGAACGTGAAGGCCGTGGCGATAACGAACGATAGCCTTGTTCTCATTGTCGAAGAAGACGGCCGCTGGAGCTTCGTAGCAAACATCAAGCCACGCCTTCACGAGGCTTAAGTTGTCCATCTCAAGGATCTGGGCACCGGCATCGATCAGTATCCGGATCTCCATTTTGGTGATTCCCTTGAGTAAATCCAGCTCGGACAAGCGTCTTCCGTCACCATCTGCGACGAGTACGTATTGCCGGCTTTGGCTCTTCAGCAGATACGTCAATACCTCTGCGTTCGTGTGGGAGAGTCGAGGAAGATCCTGCTGCCTAATGGTCAAAGGTAGCATCGTTCTGTTGTCATTCGTTCCGCTAAAGCCTGTGGTTAAGGCTTGTGAGCCTCCGCCTCTGCCCTTTGAAGTTTGCGGCCTCGATGGTGTCTTGTCAGCTGGAGGGAGGAGTGGTATGTCCCATCCTGATGCCTGCAGCTTCATCTGGAACTGTTTGGCGTGTTTCGGGAAAACAAAGTTGTTTAAGAAGTAGTCAATAACAACTACGTCGTAACGCACATGCTTCCATATCTCTATGAGTTGAGCTTCATCATCAACGTTAACGGCATTCCAATCTTGCAAAGCGCCTGGCAGAGCTTTGGCACTATTGATCCATCGGTCATACTCATTCGATGGGTCATCAGACTTCAGTAGGTGCTCAAGGCTCTGCCGCAACTGGGCAACAAGCAGGCCGCCATAGTAGAAGGCGAGGCATGTGAAGAGAATTGCGACGTCGGGATGACCCCATTCCGCTTGCTCGGACGGGACGCCCTTGGCGTGAAACGGGACGGCAATAGGATCTCGGTTTGGGTGTAAGCCGTACTGTACATTCCATCGCTTTTTAAGAGTCAACAGCAGTATGCGGTGGACAAGTAAGCCTCGGAGTAGATATAAAGACTGCTTCGCGGCAGGCTTGTCGGGAAACATGCGATTGATCCGCTCAGCAATCCCTTGTCGGACTTTCGCACCTGAAATGAACTGCTTGATGGCAAGACGGTCGGACTTGGTGCATTCCCTGGTGGGTATGACTGATATTTGTCCGTTGCATATGTCGTTCACTAATCGAACGACAAGGGCATCTTCAACGTCTGTGCGGAGGAAGAAGACGACCGGGAACCCGCCGCCATCCTTTCGGACAACTTCAATGCTCTGAGGGAATTCGGTCTGCAGATTCCACAGATGACCCCCAACCAGCTCGAGCAAGGCCTCGGCTATCTGCCAGCGATGGGGATGGCCGTCTACCGTTATTTGTGAGCCAGACGGATAGATCAGCTGCGTTCGCACGGCGAGTGTGACATCACACTCATCGAGTACGTCCCGGCATGTATTTCTCATCCAGGCATAGACTTTCATTGTCTGGTTTGCTTCTGAGATACGGCCATCGGAAAGTCTCTGCAATCCGCTCAACATGAACGACAAGATATGTTCCGGAAGGGCTATCATGAGACCGGAAGCTTTGAGCATCTCGCGATGGATGTTGTAGAATTCCTTGATGGTGTCGGAGTCGGTGGGTGTCTTCCGCGAGAATGGAACATGCCTTACTTCGCGACCGAGTAGACCTCCGAGCCGAGCTTGCAGCAATTGAGCTGTCTGGAGCAGAAGGGCTTTAGGGACGACGACTCGGTGAAGCCGCTTCGTATCTGCTAGGACTGCAGCAACCATCGGCATTATGCAAGACGTTTTACCTGCATGATTTTGGATTAGCTTTGTCTCTAGGAGAATATAGCAGGCATTCCGAGCAACAGTTGGTATCGCTTACCTTGTCCCATGTTCATCTGCAAGACCGAGTTTGACTCAGAAGCCGGAGAGATAGTTGCAAGCGCAACATCGACTTGTTCTGGCCGTATCAGGATGTTAGCATCAATCTCGAGCAGAAGCCAGTCTAGATGGTTCCGCGGCTGCCAATTACTATGGCCAACGTTCTTCCGTTCCTCTGCCAAGCGCTGTGCATTGCCCTTCTCATGAGCGTCCTTCAGTCTTAGAAGACGTTGCAGTGCTGTGATGGATGTTGCGTATGCGACGAGTGCTTCCTTCATGCGGTCTCCGAATACACAGCCCGCGGTTGATCGCAGTTGCTCAAGCAGCGTGACTGGCGTTATGCACGGCCACAAGCCGCCTTGTTGCAGCCACTGGGTGCAGGCGTCGTCTCGTTCGAATGCCGTGTAAAGCTGACCAAATTGCTGATTGAGCGCTTGTCGGACTTTGAAAATCTCTGCAGCAAGCATGGTAGGTTGAAATGATGCCTCGGCCTGTTCCTTTGTGCTTCTCAGTGTTTTCAGCGTGTTTAGACTCTGCATCAAATCTCGCCCGTACTGTTGGCGCACGGTGGACTGGGAATCCATTATCCCATTGATGATGCTTTCCAGCTCTTGGAACTCACGGCAGGCAGGCGGATCGGCCCTTACCTGCAGTTTTCGTGCAGGCTCGGGCAAACTAAGCGGCGGTTGATCGTTTGAGATCTCGGTGAGGGCCTGGTGAAGGTTCTTATCAAGATGCGGACTATCATTTCTAGTGGATTGAGTCGGCATTTCTCCAGGCGAATCAGGTCCGGTCTTGCGTAAGAGATCTCGGGAGAGTAGTGGAAACTCCCCTCCACGGCACCGTGTTGGAAAGACCTCCTGGGTCTCCACACTGATCTTGGGCGGCTCGAACTTCTTCTCAGACCGATGTTGATACAAGACAAGCTGTACGTCTTGGATGTGCCTTGAAAGCTCCATGTTGTGGTACAAGCGCTCCCACTCCGGACGAATAAGCTGCATGGCCTGGGCGAGGTCGACCAGTACTGCTCCAGAAAACCCCTCCAGTGTTGGCTCTGGACAGGGCCACTGTTCCAAGAGAAATTGCGCAATCGCTTTGCAGTCATTCTCCACCTGCCGTTCATGCGTCAGTTCGGCCGCCTCGAACTTCCTCCGTTGCTTTGCGCTTAAGCTAAACTCGAAAGTGTCCCTCTCATCACCAGGATACGGAACGCAACAGCCCTTCATTAGCTGAAGAAGATAGCTGATGTGCGGGATCTGATTCCGTCGAAATTGGATATAAGAGGGCCACGTTGGAGGCGTCAGCTTTTTGAGATCCTCCAAGACTGCGAAAGCCAGCAATGTCCGGACAAGATCCATGTCAATGTCAAGGCAGAAGGAAATAGCAGCGAACAAAAACATGAGTTTGAACTTATCCTTAGGCTCAGCAGCATAGCAGAGCTTCACTAAGGACCCCCATTCGAGATCAAGTTGCAAAGAGAGACGATCACTCAGTAAGACTTTATCGAAGCTGCGATCATAGCCTCCGATGGTTGGCCAGGTCTCAAGGATTCCGGCAAGGTCGGGGACGGCAGGCATTTCAGAGGACCAATTGCGGATCAGACTCGTGCTCTCAAAGACATTGAGGCGCCCTTGACTGGTCCAGCACCGATCTCGCGCATCGTATGGCAACTCCGGGCCAGTTTGTCGGCTGTGATGCAGTTCCGAGTTTGGCCGCTCGTAAAGACTACGCCGCAAGTAGGCTCGCTCCAACAGGTGCGTATCACCTGGGCGCTCAAGGGAGGAAAGTTCATCAACTTTCTGAGCAGCGAAGATCGACAACTGCGCTGATTTCCTGCATATCTCTTCGACTATCGGCCTGAACTTATCATGCTGAATCGTGGTTGTCAATTGCTCATCCCAAGTCACTTGCTGCATGACTGTCATATCCCGGGGATAATACATCCTCTTGGGAGTGAGCTTGGCCATCCAGATCAGGCTCTGGTATGGACCAAACTTGAGTGGTGTCCACGGCTGGCAGTACCCTGACTTCAGACAATGCAAACTCTCTTCGGTTCCCGTACGGCCTGTCAGAGGATCTGGTAGGATGAACGACGTGTAGGCATGGAACTGGGCCTTCAGGTACAAGAGTCTGGGCTCAGCGGGACAGTCAAGCCGTCCAAGGACATCGTTAATTGTGAACCTGCCGTAGCTGCCACCATTCATGACCTCCACAGCGACATGAATTCCTCTTCGTTTGTACCGAATGGAGCCGAAAGGTACGATGATGCTACGCAGACCCGGGTTGGTTGTGTCTCGAAGGACGAGCTTGCTGTCGAGTCCATACCACGTTCCCGCATCTTGATTGGGATCAATCTCTGAGCGAAGCTGTGAGGATTCGAGAAGATTTTTTCTGTTGACAGTGAAAGTGAGCTCCAGTCGGCGTAGCTCAACGGTTAGACGTCGTGTTGCGGGCTGGAACACAGTCAAATATTTACGGTACTCAAACCGATCGAAGAGACGTGCGATGCGTTGAAATGCCGGACTTTGCGGGTCCACCAAGGAGACAGTACGACGGAATCCCTCACGAGTATGAACGTTGACAAGCCAATTGCTGCCTTTGTAAGTCCATATGTGAGGCTTCTTCCGGATCTCCATGATCCCTGTTCTGAGGTCGAGCCAATGTACACAGTCATCTACAAGTGATGCCGGCAAGTCGAAACTAGATGGTCCAATAAACACCTCGCGCGGAATGAGCTCTAAAACAGTGCCATTTGCGAGAGCCCTCACAATAAGTTCGCCGTCGCGGAACCCCACGTGAATTTGATGCCCGTACATGCATATGGCTAGCACGTAGGTCATGCCTGGAAGTGCGGAGGGGAATGTCAACAAGGTTTGGTCTCCAAAAAGCTCGTGTAAGACCATCGATTTCCTGTACTCTGCTGGCAGTTTGCCCAAGGGCCTTCCATCTACAAACAAATGTCCTTCAAGCAAATGGTAATGTATGGTTTGCTGGGCAATTTGCTGGGTAGCGCCAACTCGTGTCTGTATCCACCATTCGTTCGGAAGAAACTCCAACTCATCGGAAGATCTTGGTGGACTTCCTTCGGGCTCTGGCCAAACTCTCTTTATGGCAGCCATTAGGCTGTCTGGGCTGGCTTCCACAGATCGGCGAAGGACGAAGCGCATTCGATGGACCACCTTCAGGTCGCGAATGAGGGCATTCCTCAAACTACGTGGTAATGATGTAGGGTTGTCAACGAGATTGTCCTGCAGAGTGATGGAGCATTCGATGAAGTGGGAAAGAGCCGTGGGCGGTAGGTTCTGGTTATTCTGGGTGTGCAGAGTGAACGTCCTTCTACAGAGCAAGGCGGCCCAGAAGGCATACTTTGAGCATCTCCTGGATGTTTCGGCATCTGTAGCCGTATGGATCTCCGCTCTTAACAGGCCGATCCACTGTAAGGTAACTGCGCGAGCCTTCTCGACAAGCCCTACAGCCGCATCTAGAATCGCAGATTCGGTCGCAAGAGAAGCAAGTCTGAGGATCAAAGAAACTAGCATCTCCATGCAATGCGTCTCACGCCAGTTGGAAGATATGCCATCTAGGCGTTGACCAAGTTGATCGACAAGTCTCCTACAAAACGCTGCGTCCCGGAGTACTTTGTGCACAGCGCGGAGAGGATCGGCTTGATCTGCTGGACCAGCTTGCAGTGCTAATTGGGACATAAGCACAGCTGTCGCTTCTGTACTGAAGTTGAGATTCGATGAGCCGAGTTCAATAAGGATTGCGGGCCATCGTCGATGCTTCCCGGAGAAGAGTGCTTGGTAGGCCATGAACTCATGAACATTCAGGCCCAAAGGACACTTGCTTTGACTTGCAACGATCTCGTAGGAGGATGGTCCATTCGCATCTACCGCGAAGTCTGGTGAGAATTGGAGGGATGAGAACAGTGAGCTTGCTGGTAGTGTTCCCTGGCAATGGTGCGCAAAGGTCGGCTTGTGCGCTTGTCTCGCAGGCCATACCTTAGCAACTGAATCGAAGTAACCAAGTTTCAGTCCGTTTGGAAGACATACGTTGTCCAACCCGACAGGGAAACGAACACTTGCGTAGTGCGACCCCAGGAAGGATTTCGTTGTTGAGGCCAGGGAAACGTTACAGACTGTGTTGTTCAGGAATGGTTCGAGCTCGGAATACTGGCGAAGCAACACCCGCGGTTCAAAAGACTCCATCACCTTTGGGCGCGCCAGCGTACTTAGGAGCCTCCATGTTGAATCCCGGTAAGCCGCAAAAGAGTTGGGACATCCGATCTCGAGCACCGCCGCTTTTGCATGAACGGGGTTAGATGGAAGGGGATGCTCATGGACCTTGATTCTCATACGCCACGCTTTGCGCTGGAGAAAGCATTTTGTGCACTGCTTATCATCGTGAACGTTGCGTGAAGGTAAATATTCGTCCATGGTGAACATGCAAGAGCTCTCTGCGATTGCTTTGGCCAGTCTCTCATACTGTGCACTCAACTGCTGCCATTCTTGCTCCTTCACGGAGCGGGCGAGTTCAGCCGCAGTCTCAATGCGTTGCTGAAGTCGCTGAAGCTTGTCTGACTCATCAAAGAACCGTTCCGCGAAGCACCCCTTGATCGGGTCATCGAAGATCGTGCACCGAGTATGTTGGCACTTCTTACGCCGCTCCTGGAGATGCATTTGTATCTTCTGTAACCGTATCAGATCCTGAAGCTGCGACAACTGCAGGACATCCAAGATCTCGGGCGGAAAGCCTGGGTTGTAGCTTTCCAACAACTTAAAGCTCTTTACGGCGCATTCATCCATCATCACCCAAAGCTCCATAACCGTCAGCAGCATAACGCTCTTTTGCTCCGGATTTGTATCGTAGGCGTCCGCAACAGTGTTGAGGTACGTGTCTATTTGCCTGGCAAGGCGGATGCACTGATCATGGCTGGAAGTCTCCACCCCTTCAATGGCTGTACGGCTACGCTCCAAGTCCTCTTCCAGCTCGGAAAGTGCAAAATAGCGGTGGGCAAACCCTCTAAGAGTGTTCGGTGACTGAAAGACGCGTGCGGGGCCGCTGGGGCCATACAAAGGGGTTGTCAGAATCTGTTGTAGGTAGCTCCCACTGTTGGGAAGTGTCAAATACAGATCACGTTGGTCTGCACGGTATGGAATAGGAAGAATCGGCCTCCGCATAGCCTTCTTGCAATCACTCCATAATGCTCCAATACGCTCTGTTGCGTTTTGTACTGTTTTGCTGAAGACAGGCCTGAGAATCGTGAACATGTGATCGTAAACAGTGCGGCTAGACGGTGAAGCCCTGTCCTTGTCGACTTCGAGTTTGACAAGGCGGCGACAAAGCTTAGACTTGAGAAAGGTCAGCGATTCGGGAGTAAGATGACCCAAGGCGTCATCCAGTAGATGTGCAAGCACAAGGCAGATCAGGAACTTGTAGAGCACTCGCCCCACTTCACCAAGCTGTGTACAAAGATGCCTCTGGATGCCAACGCGTAGCACCAGCCAGAAGGGGCATCTCCGCCATGGCTTCTCGGCTCCATCCGTCCAGCAAACATCATCCCGGACGCGTTTCCGCAGTAGGGTGGGGGACAACGGGTAGCCATTGACCTCGAGCAAGGTTATCAGCATTTGCGTAATGAGAGACGGATCGGCAGTGCCGCGACTTTCGAAGATGGAGGACCCAGCCTTGTTGGTGCGGGCTGCAAAGCGTTTGATCGATTCCGTACTCGCTTGCTCCAAGAAGGTAGCAAGACTGTCCTGGAAGGAGGAGTCCATAAACTCCGAGAGAGGAACGGCGACTGCACATCCTGGAAAGTCCCATTGCAAGGCGGTCTCTGAGGCAAGAACACTGTCCGATAGTGGAGACGCTTCGAACGCCTCGAACACGACAATCTCACCCTGGGCACTTGAAGTAGAGTGAAGAAGTCAGCTATATGAGACATACGTAAGGCAGCGTGTAACACTCACCCAGTGTCCCGTCTGACGAGCAGACCCGCATTCTGTTCCGTGACATGTACGATGAGAAAATCGTTACGTTCAAGGCCTCGCAGTTCAGTCAGAAGTGAGGTCTTGCTCACTTTGCCGCCCGCGTTGACAGTTTTGCAGGCTTGGAGCGAGCGGCGAAGGCAGCTCCATTGGTCTCTGAATTTCTCGTTCGTGAGGTGTCCCAGCGCTCGACTCGCCTCCGAAATGCGATCGGTCAACGCCTGCTCGATCTGCTCAATTCTAGTGTCTTGTTTGCCTGGGAGCCGCGACGGTAGTGCGACGTGGTTGAAGAGCGACTCTAGTAGTTCAGCCATAGTGACAGGAAATGAACGCAAGCATGGAGGGCACAATGAAGGAGATAGGAGATGGACGATGAAGAACGAGTCCTTCTACAGCGAATGCAACCGGCTAGCAGAATGTTGAATGAAGACGCGGGTGAAAAAGAGTGAAGCGGATCTGCGCTTGAGTGACCGTTTGTCGAGGATTGAGTGACGGAAACGTGCGCAGCTTCACGCCGCGGCGGCGCGTATGTCACGTGATCCTTACACATTCGCCCGAGGACCCAGAGTTCCTGACCGAAGTTCCGATGTATGGTTACAAGGTCATCAAGGAGGTTGACGAAAATGGTGAGTAACTCTGAGGAAGTTCATAATGCTGGTGGGTGACTTGGAGCATTTGATGAGGCGATCAAGATGAACAAAGAACCGATCAAAACTACCTAGGTACAAATAAGGGCTCTATCAAAGCTTCCCCCGGTCAAGAAACCTCACTGGCAAATCAACATGCCTCGCCCGTAGAAACTCCGCTACGTTCTTTCCCAAGAAATCATATGAACTCGAACAGCTAACGCCTCGATCAAGGTGGTCATGCAGGAGGAAATGGACAGCACGCATGTTGGGCAACTCAAATCGGTCCTATAACATGAGAATACCAATCATCAGCTACCTTTGCCTTTACACTGCGTTTCATCCGGACCATCCTGGAGGTGATACTCACAATTGGCTTTCCAACATACTCATCCGCTAGCAAATACTTCATCTTCTCCACGGAGAGCAGTGACCTCAACCACGCCCACTCGTCCGGATGCCTCACCCAAAAGCCAACATTACAATCACTCCCCTTATCACCGCTTCTCGCGTGTACGATCCAGCCCAGCGGGCCCTTGACGGTTCTCCCAAAATTCGCTAGATCCACCGCACCCTCGGTCACTGCCTGGCTCGGCTGCTGCTTAGGCCACGCCTTCGTCTTCGGCGGTGGGGGTATCTCGAAGGTTTCACCAGACCAGAGATGAACCTTGTGCTGGACATCAGACTGGGGTAACAGCGTCACATAGTACTCGTAGATAGGCTTCGGCAGCCCCTGTCTCCAGTCCAGGTGAGGAGTCGCGCCCGGATAGCCCTCCATGATTGGATCGATGCAAGGCCTGAAGAACTTCTGCGGCATGATGTCTTCCGCCTCTCGCGCCTGCACAAATACCCTGAAGTCCACAGTAGCCCCGTTCTGATTAGTAGGGTTATCAGGCACGGAGCCGTTCTTGGTAAAGGCCAGCTTGGTGTAGCGGTCCATGTACGGCCGCATCATCTTGCGTATCTGTGCTTCCATCATCCGCGCCTTCGCATGAATATCCAGGCCGCAAAGGAACCAATGCATCTCTGCCTGGTAGCCTCCCTTGGCAGTGATCCCGACTTTGGTGGTGGGAGGAGGCAGGTCAGCTTTGACGCCTCGCAGCGCAACTCGGTCGGTAGACAGCTGCTCGAACCACAGCTCGTCCAGGATGGCAGTCACGTCAGAGTTGTAATACCAGGGTCCTTGAATCTCGTACAGCAGCTGGCTCGAGCAAGTATTGACGGAAACTTCACCTCCGGAGCCTTTGTTCTTCGTGATGATCACTTGGCCATTTGTAGCAATCTCGGCAATGGGATACCCGATGTCGTCCCAGCCCTTGGACTCGAGCTCCTTGAACCCAGTGTAGTTACCTCCGCAGACATAGTTGGAACACTCAATCAGATGGCCAGCGACGAAAGCATTAGCAAGCTGGACGAGGTCGGAGCGCTGCCAATTGTGCCACCAGTAAGCTGCCGCAATCACCGGCGAAGCGTCTGAGACGCGGCCGCATACTACAATATCCGCTCCTTTCCCGAAGGCGGCTGCGATACCGAGGCCACCAAGGTAGGCCTGCGCGTAGATTGGCTCGAAGTCCCAGTCTTCTAGGACCTGGCCTGTGCAGATGTTCTCGAACTTGGACTTCTTCTCTTTCAGTGCTTTCTGCACAGCAGGAAAGACCTCATCACCGCTGACGTATGCAACTTTCAGATCCAATCGCTTGCTCTTTACCATCTGCGTAACCACCTCGTGCAACAGCGCCGTATCAGACGCGCCGGCGTTGACAGCTACCTTGATGCCATGCTTCGCAATATCCAACAATGCGGGTTCGAGAGCCTCGAGGAAGGTCGGTTCGTACGCGTCGCCAGGGGCTGCTGAACCTTGCGGAATGAAGCTGGAGGCTTGCTTGTCGAGCTTCATGGCTGCCCTGGATGTCATGTTGGCCTCGCTCATCCAGTCTCCTATGATCACGTCGATTGGGTCGTTTGCGTGGTTGGCGGCGAGGATACGCATAGCATCGCGACGGTCGGTGGTTGAGCCCGAGCATCCTGCGTTTATCACCGTCAGTCGGATAGTATTGCTCAATGCGAATTATCTTTGTTCTTACCTGCAATGCGGACGGGTCGCTTCGAGGGTGCGGCCATTGTACAAATTGGGGGATGTCTCGTACTCGATGCTATGGTTGGAGATAGTGGTAGATACGGTGGGCAATGTACAGGAAGGAGCACAGAGGCTCCATTAGAGCTTTTGCGGCGCCAGATAAGGTGTAAGCAATGGTATCACCGAGGCACTGTCAGCAGGGTTGAGGTTCTTCAAAGAGCCGCTTGAACCGAAAATGCGGGGAGGAGCTTTGAGCACCACAGCACGGATGGGGTTTTCCACCAACGGCCAACACATCCCCAATATCGTATGTTGGCTTTTGTATAACTACTTCTTTCCAGAGCAGATATCGTACGGTACATAGATGTTCGTTATTTTAGTGCTGTGCTTTGCGCTCGCGCTCTGACATGCGAACCCACATCTCAGACTGAAAGAAGAAGCCATTCCTGTTATAACTCTTCCACGGATTAAGAGGATCGGTGAGAACAATATCATACCGGCGGAAGATCTGCCACGCCCTTAGCCTTAACGTTCATGATATACACCAGTCAGGAGAGCACACACCTCTGCAATGAACTTGTTGATCTCAAGCAGCGCCACAGGCTTCCCCAGACACCCATACCTTCCATACCCAAAAATCAGATCCAGCGTTTGCTGCATGCGGGACAGGCGGTCGCTCGTGGCCTCTAACCACCGTTCCGGACGGAAAATCGGTGCATCCTCGCCAAATACCTCTGGGTCCTTGTAGAAATCCCAGGCAGCGTAGACGATATTCGTCCCGCCGGGAATGAACTGACCGCGCAAGGTGTCCCCACCGTTTGTCACGGTCTTGGTCGCCAGGGCTGTCACTGGCGGGTGCACCCTTAGACCTTCTTTGATGCAGGCCTGAAGATATGGGAGTGCCTTCAGTTCACTCTCGCGGATGATTGACTCGGAGATGGACGCCTGATCGAGTTCGGCCTGGAGAGTACTGTATACGGCTGGATGTGTGATGATGAACATTGTTATGGCTCGGAGAGCGGTGACGGTGGAGTCTGCCCCCGCTATACTACCTAGGTGTCAATATCTCGACCGCTCCCTAGGCGATACTTTGTGGAGATTTGTGAATTCAGAGACGGAGATGTTTGAGGCTCACACTTGCAAAACAGATTCAATCTCGACTTGTTCTTGTGGTAGCCCATGCTGAATCCAGGAACCTATCATGTCCTTTGCGGTAATCTTTTCTGGGCCGAATCTTTTGGAAACTGTCCGCTTTGCCACTCTAAAAGCAATGTCAGTGCACAATGACCATCGAGAGCGAAGCGTACGTCTTACCCCATCAGTCGTCCTACACCAGTCTTATCCTGGGGCGTAGGCATCACAGCTTTACTGATAAAAGGAATCCTCACGATTCTGCTGAGTATCGGAAGCGTAGCGAACCATTCGAATATCGGTATTAGCTCTAGTTGAGTGGCAATATAGCCATGCACATCTGCATCATGAGGTAGAAACCCAAACGGTTCTCCGCAAGCGATATCGGTAATCACGTCGATACCAAAGTACTGCGCTTTCTGCGCGAAGTCCACCGGCCGAAGAGTGGAGCCCGCAGAGGTGTATTTGTCTTCGATCAGCTTGAAGAAGTCGCCCAGGCGGTTGTCAACGCACTCCTCAAGATAGGGGAGGTCTCTGCCGGAGTACTAGGCGGGTAACGCGTCTCAGACACTTGTATAAACTCAGATCCTGATGGGTCATCTTACACCTGCTACCATCATGGCACGACGCTCTGTGTGCCGACGCTCATTGGTCTCGGAGAAGATATGGTCTATCTGATGGGAAATTGCCGTTGCGGCGTACCACTGAGACTTTGAATAGGGCGAACGGGCGGCCCCCATACGCCTTATGATTTCAGGGTCGTTTGTAACGAGGTCATTGGGCGCGATGCGAGCAAGAGGGCCTGGGGCATACATGTCAGTGCCAGACACCAGCTCTATTATCAGCGGAGGAGCTGTACCGTATTTTTTACAAATATCAGCTAGATCTGAGTAGATACTTCGTCGTATGGTGCTTTTGACCAACCATAGCCTCGACAGGCTCGCCAACCACGGGCCCTTGATATGCTTGAGTCTGTTATATGCAAGAAAAGTGTTGACTATAAAAGCCGCAACGACGCAGAGCGCGAGGCTGTACCCGACAATAACAGGACCAAATATTTCTGTCATTGCTGTAGAGCAATACCAGCGTTAAAGGCGCCACCGTGAACAGATACTATCAACAAAGGGTCTGAGCTGAGTGATTCATTTCGAAGACTTCGCAAAGGCAATCGCAAATTTGAGGGGTACAAATAGAGCTTTATCATGAACTTCGCATGGACTGATGGGCGGGACGAGGTACAGGGTAGTCTGCATGATGCATTGCTGCATGGCAGGGGCCATCTCCACCACTCAAGAGGCTTGAAATCAGTAAATGTGGCCAACCGCGCCATACCCTACACGACCAGCTAATTAGGGGCGCATGTTTTTAGATAGCCAATTACACCGATACGGAGTGAACTCAGCGACGACATCGTAAGATAAGACATATTGCGTAATGGTTGGGCCTGAAAGTTACTGGTATGCATTGACTATGGCTGTGCAACATTGGCAGATAGATCCGTACAAACACTCCCTGGTCCTCCGTCGAGGAATATAGACTTGATGCCGTGATGTAGAGCGGCATCCATGTGCTTCCATGAGTCTTGTGGTGTCCACCAGGAACCGTCTCGGCGCTTCATGGACGAGCTCTTACACATCTACCAAATAGTTATGGCTCCTGACATGGGTTCGAGGTCGGTGAGGCCATTGTAAACGCAACGAACTGGGTCATTGCGGCCTCGACGCTCGTAGATGTCGGTCCAACGGCTGTACGCTTTAAAGACTTGCCGACATGGTTCCATAACATGCTCATCCCAGTTCTCCGAGATACTTCTGCACGTTGTCATCCATGTAAAACATCTGTTGCAACTTCTGGCCCTTCCGCCTGCTCTCCTCTTCCCTCTTGCGCACTTCGCCCGCATGTAGCTTCCTCACCTTGTCCTTGGCCACGAACGCCTTCTTTTCCTTGGTTGAAAGTGTCTCGACACCTAGGCCCACTGTGTCCCGCTTCTCTTTCGCTTTGATCGGGGCCAAAATTCCATCTCCTGACGCGCCCAGGCCAACTCTGCTATCGGGATCCCAACCGTAAGCCTGCAGATACGACAGGCCCTTCCGGGTGCGGTCTATTGCAGACGGAGGGTGCGAGTGTTCTAAACATAGCTGATGCGCGATGCTGGCTTCGTGTGGAACAGTCTTGCTGTCGCTGCCGATCGGGAGCTTGCAGATGTCGCAGGTCTTCGTGATAGCCGGGCCGGTGGGCGGGTCGGCGGGCTCGGGTGGAGGTGTATCCGCGGCTGGTGTTGGGCTCTTGGAAAGCACTATGGACATGTAGGTATCTCCCAGAGAGGTGGTATTTATGCTAGTATTCGGGAGACTGGTGGCGGATGGAGTAGACGAGGGGACGAACTGGACGCGTTTGCGCTTGATGCCTGCGCCGAATATGCGCTGGTCCTTGAGCGGTACGATGTACGTCTCGTCGTCGCTCTCGGCCATCTCGGCTTGCGGGTGTTTGATCGAGTAGTATCAGCAACCGATTGAACCGTCAGGCTGACGGAGCCGTGAGGGAGAAGAAGTTGAAGACAGAATTCCCACTCCGGGAGATCCGCAATTCTCAGGCATTCAGACATTCAGGGTCAGGCCGAGAATGACGCAAGCTTGGCAACGGCACCGCTTAGATCCGAGAGATAATCTGGTGGGTGATAACGTTCAAACTGCCAACGGCTTGTCACTGCGGAAATCAGTTTCTATCGCTGGCCGTGTAAACAAGCCAAGGCAGCGGCAATGCCTGTATATATCGCAGCTCAAGGCCTTTTCGAAGGCCTGGGTACCATTCCTTACATATGGACAATTTTGAAGACGTTGCCATGGCTGTTCCTGGTCTACCTCTTGAAGCGCTATCTAGGCGGAGCAACGAACAGCTCAGAGCGCTTGATGCATTCGAAGGTGGTCATGATGACGGTGCGCAGTCCAAGTCAGCCTACAGCACATATGCTGATTGCTTCTCCAGGGAGGGACGTCAGGCATTGGCGCTGCAATCGCACGAGGTCTTGCAGAGAGAGGAGCACAGCTGGTGCTGCTGACCCAGCATCCGCTGACTGACCCTTTCCTCGCCGACTACGTTATGGACCTCCGCACTCAAACGAACAACGAGCTCATCACTGCCGAACACGTCGATCTCAACTCACTACACAGCATACGGCTCTTCGCCACGAAATGGGTAGACAACGCGCCACCGCGCCGGCTAGATATGATCATCCTTTGCGCCAACACTCTCACTCCTCGCGGTGGCAGAGCTACGACTACAGAGGACGGGCTCGAGTCGAACTGGGGCCTGAACTACATGGCCAATTTCCACCTTCTCAGCATCTTGAGCCCCGCCCTGCGAGCGCAGCCGCCCGACCGCGACGTCCGTATCATCTTCGGCACCTGCAGCTCCTACATGGGCGGTATCCTTCCAGACCTCAGCAAGGACGACAAAGCCAGCGGCAAGTCCAAACCTAAGAGCTCACGACAGTCGCCACACTCCACTGCCCTGGCGTTCACTCCTGCATCTGCCTACGCCACCTCCAAGCTTGCTCTTATGACCTTCGCTTCCGCCTTCCAGAAACACCTCAATTCCTACTCTCGACCGGACAAGCAACCCATGAACGCACGCGTGCTGGTTGTAGACCCCGGCTGGACACGGACGCCGGGTATGCGGCGCTACCTCACCTTCGGCAGTCTTTGGGGTCTGGCGATCTATCTAGTATCGTGGCCGCTTTGGTGGCTGGTGCTGAAGAGCCCTGAGGAGGGTGCACAGAGTTTTTTGTATGCAGCTATGGAAGCGAGGTTTGGTAGGGGCGCAGGGGGGTGGTTCATCAAGGAGTGCAGGGAGGTCAGATTGGCGAGGAGCGAGATTGAGGACGAGAACGTCCAGAAGAGTTTGTGGGAGGCTACTGAAAATACGATTGAGGCTTTGGAGAAAGAGGGGGCTGCAGCACGAGCGAGAGAGAAGAAAGCAAAGGAAGGTCAAGAAACGAACGTAATAAAGAGCAAGGACGGTACTGAAAAGGCCTCGGAGGTATCTAGTACTAAACCTATGGTAGATGGAAACATAGGGTCGAAGAAGCCTGGATCTCGAAGAAGTAAAAAAGGAGGTTAGACACTTTATAGTCCAGGAACATACATACGTAACTAAACACAGAATATTTGAAGCATGTGTTATGACACAGCTTATCACTCACACGAGTATGTGTTCAATGCACATCAATGAACCCGCATCAGTCGTTCAGCTGCCCAATTGAACAGCAATGACACTCAGTACCGTTGCTTATCAGAGCTGAGCCCGAGCTCCCCGTATGTTTTAGAGAAAGGAACGTCAGCTACGACGTGACGCGCGTTCATGCAGGCTGGATTATCACACTCGTCAACATGGTGCTCAGCTCATTGGAACTGATGTTCGTGCCTGGGATGCACCGCCACACCGAAACACGCCAATACGGAGCCAAGCCACGATCAGCCCCAGCTCCCTGCTGGTCTCCATCGCTGACCAGCTGATGACTTTTAGGCTACTGGTAAGCGTAATTAAGTTCAAGTATAAATTCGCGACAATGTGCTCTAGCTGAGAATTCCGATCTCGAAATTCAAGGCCAATTAGAGGTCTACAATCAAGATGCCTTCCTACAAGTATCTTGTCTTGCTTTGCATCGCTCTCCTCGTCCTGCTACCTCCTCCTGCGGCTGCTTTTGGCGCCGGCAATATCGCATCTATATCCAAGGTCGAAGGTCATAACTGGCGTCATGGAGATATCGAGGATATGCTCAAGACTGTTGCCTGCCTGCGCGGCCACAAGTGGACTTCTACGATGATCAAGCGTGTCTACTTCGGTAACTGGCTGCGTGACTATTCCCAGGCCATCGATGTTGGTACCCTGAAAGGTGTTCAGGCCGGCACCATTCGGATTCTCGTCTGGGTTCTAGCATTCATGTCATTCGGTTATGCGACCGGCGAGTTCGAAGTCACGGATGAACGTCTTGGCGTATACAGGCCTGAGGAGCATATCGACAACCCCAAAGACTACGCAGATAACATCGACGCACGAAAGTATGATCCAAGGCTTCGGCCACCTGTGCAACGGGAAGAGCTCGCGGTGGACCCGAGTTCAGGTAGGCTTCCATCTCCCAGGCTTACTCATAACCTTTAACCTAGATGCTAACATGTCTGCAGGTATGAAGAACTACATCGCCAACGAGTACGGTGGTTGGGCAACGAGTGTAGGCTACATCAAATACAGCTTTGCGCGCGCTATCCACTTCGGGAGACTCTATACGCACGGCAACAACCGTGGCAGAGAAGAAGACTTGTGCGAAGCCTTGCGCTGCTTAGGTCAAGGTCTCCACTGCCTGGAAGATTTCGGAGCGCATACCAACTACACCGAGCTCGCGCTCCGAGAGCTCGGATTCACGAATGTTTTTCCGCACACTGGAGTATCAACCCAGATCAACTTGCGAGGAAAGCATGTATTTCCACTCGTTACTGGAACGTTTGGTGGAGTCGATTTTCTGCATTCAGTCTTAGGAGAGGCAACGGATCACTTCACTCAGTCAGAAATTGACGAGGTGAACACTGCACTAGGTGATGCATCAGCGCAATCACATAGGTCCAGTGGCGGCTCCAACGGCGCATCCGGTCTTGTCGATCTACTCTCCAAAATCCCAGGCACTGGAGGCCTGTGTCAGGAGGCAATGAGGCTGCAAGCTGCGTCTGATGCCCAAGCGGCGTCCACTCCCGGGACGAGGACGCGAGGTTTCGGCGATGACAACTACAGCAGCACACGCGCGTCAGGCGTTGCGCCTTCATTTACGGCACCTCCTGGCTCGGTCGGCGGACCTCCTGGCCCTGGAATACCGGGCATGAGCCCAAACTTCGACCCGCAAGCCACCGTGGCAAAGATCTATCCCATCCTGGAATTCCGTGACAAAGTCGTACGCGCCATCTCCAACGTGGTGTCTAAGATACCCGGCTTAGAGTCGCTGATCGAAAAGATCACGGAGCGCCTTACCATCTTCATACTATCGCTGCTGGCCCCCTTCATCCAGCCAATCATCAACGCAGCCTCGCAGCAACTAAAGCAAGGCTCCTCCTCCATAATCGAAGCGAGCGGCAAGCATCAGTACGAGCCGTGGACAGACCCTTACTGCACCGACCCAACACACTCCTTGCTGTCCAAAGACCACTTTTCCAACATTCTTAACGAGCCCGCCGGCCAGGTCGCAGCTGCTATTCTCCAATACGTCGCGCCCCGCATTATCTATGCATGGGACCATCCGGACGTTCCTGTAGACCAGGTGCTCAACGACGTGGCGTGCGTGTTCCATCATCCCGCGATCCGGGATCCCAGCTGCGAAGTTCACAGGAACATGTTCGCCATCATCGAGCGCTGGGTGCACTCGGGAGCGGACAGACGGTACGATCTGAATAACATCCTGGGCTCCGAAAGCGTTCGGGCAGGTAAGAATCATCGCGGCGGAGGGCCGGATGCTGGACACGGGCATGGAAGTCATGGACAGAGTGCTCATGGCGCTCACACAGGAGGGCACAGTAGTACCAGCCAGTCTAAACCCTCTGGTTCACCGTTCGACCTGCTAGGCAAGATCGCAGGAGGTGCTCTGCCGTTCAACCTCCCTGGTGCAGGCAAGCGCGATGTCGATGACGGGCAGGCGTCAAATTTTCAGAGCGACCCTTATTCGCAGCAGGGCTCGTATGACCCGCCTCATAGCAGTGGCGGCTATCCCCAGGCGTACGATACGAGCTACAGCCAACAGCAGCCGTACCAGCAGCAAGGAGGTGGTTTCTCTCCAGGCATGAGCGGCGGCGTTGGCGGCATCTCTGATCAAGACATGTATACCTACCCTTCAGCCTACCAGCAGGGATATGAGCGGCCGCACGAGTACGCACAAGAGCCATTGCCACCTCAAGGACAGCAGTTTGGGCAGGAACAGCCACCTGCTGCTGAACAACTGTACGAACAGCAGGACTACCAGGGATATGGTGGACCGCCTGGTCAGCAAGGCTGGTTTGGATCTGGTGATGGAAAGTCAGGCTATTGAAAGGGTTTTGCGCAGCTTCTCACTTTGTGCATCGGCCGGAATGCGTGATTGTGCGTCGCAGCCAAATCTTTCAGGAGTGGTATATTAATGCGGCTCTTGGGAGGGTTGTCTTCTGGTGGGGTATTAACCAGGGACTTGGATCCTGAGAATGAGGCAGGAGATTGGCTCATGGCCCTCAGAGCAGAGATGCATTGACAGTGTAATTACATAGGCGAATGTAAGCGCTGAAATGCTGCAGATGCCAAACGCCAATCCTCCTCTTGCGCGCCGTGCGAGTGCCGCGGTGTTTTTACAGATAGATTACAGATCAAACGCCTCAGATGCTCACTTCGATTGACCTACTCGTTGATCTTGGCAAGCAGCCTAACAGGATGTCAGATAAGAAAGCATCTGGAAGGACAACGTAGCCGCTTACTCGTGATCCCGGAAAAGGGAATACTCCTCATCGCCGACCTTGATCGGGCTGCCCCCGTACTGTACACCACCACCAGTCAGCATCCCTTTCACCTATCCAGCCACAACAACCAGCCGTCAATGAACCAACGCATACCTGCGGAATCAACACCTTGTCGCCCGGCTGCACGCTGACCTGCACGCGCTTTCCCTCCTTGTCCAGCCCGCCAGGCCCGACGGCGAGCACCTTGGCCTCGTTCAGCTCCTTCACAGCGCTCTCGGGCAGGAAGATGCCGCCGGCGGTCTTGGCCTCGGCTTTTATGCGCTGCACGAGGACGCGGTCGAGGAGGGGCGCGAGGGACTTGATGGACTTGACGGCGAGAGACTGGGATGTGTGTCAGTGGATGCGCCTGGGGTTATTCGGGGATGGATAATGGGGATGGGGATGGGGATGGGATACCATTGTGGCTGTGAGGTATGGTTGTCTTGAAAGCACGAATGTATCTGATGCGCGCGGTAGATGGAATTGGAATGGGGTATCTGGGTAGCTGGATAGGAAGCTGGGTCTGCTGTTGATGGACTTCGACGAATCTCCTGGAGAAATTTCGAGAACGCGAACGCGGTCCGTGCTCACCTCGGCAGGGGAGCTTGAGCTTTGAGCCTCCTGTCCCATCACAACACCATGAATGTATGTGTCGTGATGTGATGCTACTTACGAAGCCTGCCATCAAGCCAGGCGTCCTTCCCATCAGCATTGCAGAGTTCCGTGAGGCATTGTATTCAGTATGCAGCTGGAATCGAATAGGTAAGAACAGGGGACCACCCGACAGCGATCTCGAGGAGCGTTTCTGCATACTGACTGCCATCACTGCAGCTTTGGCCGTGAGCGGTGGGGTGGACTCCATGGCCCTAGCAGCTCTTTGCAGCAGATTCAAAAAGGAAGAGAATGCGCTTCTGGATGTAACGGCTTTTGTCGTGGATCACAAGCTCAGACCCGGCAGCACGACTGAAGCCAACGGCGTAGTGCAGCAGTTGCAAAACCTTGGTACACATCGGTTGACAGAGTTGTTCAGCACTGCCTTTGCTGATGAATCTATCAGGTATACCAGCGCATCGGCTGGATCTGGAGTGGCCGCAAGGTGTTAATCCCCTGGAGCTGCCGAATCTTGAAACAGAAGCACGAAGATTGCGTTTTAGGGCATTGGGTCTTGCATGTTCGCAGCGAAAGATTCGCTCGCTGCTGCTCGCGCATCATCGCGATGATCAGGCCGAAACAGTTCTTACGCGGCTGGTCGCTGGCCGCACTAGTATCGGCTTGCAAGGCATCCGGCCCGTGGCAGACATTCCTGAATGCTATGGCATATACGGCGTATACCAGAGCGGCCGGTTTCGCTTTCTCCGCGAATGCCATCTACCAAGAGAGGAGTACCAGTCGCCGAAGGCTCCCTCTCCCGGCTTTGAGACTGGCGGAGTCAGGGTCATGCGACCGCTTCTTCGCTTTGGTAAAGACAGATTGTCAGCCACTTGCGCTCATTGGAATGTCCCCTGGGTGGAAGATGAGACCAACAGCGACCGGACGCTGACCGTCCGTAACGCTGTACGCCATATTTTCCAGTCCCATCGGCTGCCGGCGGCGCTCACCAAAGAATCTATTTCTGCTCTGTCCAACAGAATTGCCGCGGATGTCGCTACATATCAGGAGGCTGCTGACAAGCTGTTCGGAGAATGCCAGGTGGAAGTCAACATACGAAGTGGGACTGTCGCTGTGCGGTTTCCAGACCTTGCATCGGAATTGAAGATTCATAGCAAAGGCTCAACCATCGCTGCCATGCTCGTCCGACGAGCTGCCGAGCTAGTGACGCCGGAACCAGAAGTTTCCTTGCAGCAATTACAAATACCAGTCCATCAGATCTTCCCAGACCTCTTTGAAGACGACTGCAGCTCTGGAGCTGCGAATAAACTTTACCGGCGCTTCACAGCTGCTGGAGTTATGTTCTCTCGTCAAGATCGGTCCAAAGAGGGCCATGCGGCAGGCGAATGGTGGCTACTATCACGGCAAATACCAAGTCGCGATCTCTTGATTCCATTCACTGAGATAAACCGGTTTCTGCCTCTGAAAGAGCAACCTTTTCAGCTCTTCGACGGCCGCTTCTGGATCCGTGTTCGCAACCCATCGAAACGCCGTCTCACCGTTCGCCTCTCCCGTCGAGAGGAACTTAGCAAGTTCATTAAGTCTCTCGATTACACAGCTGCGACTAGGCTCTCGGGCGTGCTTCAAAAAGTTGCCCCTGGAGGCATACGTTACACTCTGCCAATGCTGGTCGTGGAGAACGCAGACAACAGCACCGAACCTATGGCCCTCCCAACTCTGGGGTTCAAGCTAGGAGGGTCTCAGGCAGACGGAGAGTGGGCGGACCTAGCATGGGATGTCAGGTATCGCAAGGTGTACCTGCCTCGTCCTCCGAAAGTGGATGGTATCGAGGGAAATGAGAGCGTCATGACCTCCTTACTTGGCCCTGGCCACACAGAGCAGCATCATATACAACACCTTTGAACATTTCCATCAACTTCGTCTTCTGTCGCTGCTCTGCTATAATTCACCCGTCACATCGCACGATATCATTACTGTGCTCGATGCTGTTTGGTTTCAATGAAGCCATTCTACCTGAGAACTCGGTCAGATATATTTCCGACGCAACCCGCTTTGAATCTGCACGTTCTATAAGACTCTGCAGCACGAAGCTTCTGAAGCCGTTACATTCTTAGCTCGTTCAGTTGACAGGAATATGCAAAAGCTGGCCTCTTGTTAGGCTTACACCAGTTGTAGCTTGTTGTTTCGTTCCTGGGCCGCGAGCTGCGACGGTCAGCCGCAGGCCTTGCTGGTCACAACCCATTATCAAATACGACGTCCCCTAACGAAGCTGCCATGTCTTTTCACGGAACGAGGCACCGATCCTTGCTGCCATCGTTGCGGACTGAACAGTCCTGGCCATATGTGAGACGTTGCGCAAAGCGCGCTATACATGCGTATCCATATCAATAGCTGGCGATATGCCAAAAACTCTCGCTTGCTGTATTCAGCTCAGCGAGCAGCCATGCTCAAAAGATCTACCTGACTCCCCTGGTAAAGCAGGCTCCCGAACGCCGTGGCGAAACTCCTAGCATCCGAACACCTCCGAACACCTCCGACAACGACACCGCCTTGATAGAGGCCCCGAACCCCTCCCTCCCCTCCCCTACTTCAAGATCACAATCAACAGTACCAGTATCACAATCAACACCACAATCACACTCAAACTCCAATTCTCCCTCGCCCTCCTCCCCACCCTCCCCAACCTCTTCTTCGCCCGATCCAACTGGCCCTGATGCCGATCAACCCCCTCATCAACATCATCGAGCAACAGCGCCTGGCCGTCCAACTCATCCCCTATCTGCATGGACAGCTCCCGCTGCCGGCCAATCGACTCGCCCAGCTGGTCCAGCTGCTCGTCCTGCTCGCGCAGCACCTGGCTGTGGTAGGCGTGGATCTGCTGGTTGTCGAGCTCGCCCTGGGTTGTGGAGGTAGGCAGGCCTTCTTCGGGGTTGTCTCTGTAGGGGAAGAGCTTCGCACGGGTTGAGTCATCAGCGCCGGCGGTGGCGGCGGTGTCAGGGCTATCGGTGAACCGGACGCCCTTCTTGCCCTGCCCTGCAGCGCGCTTGAGCGACGAGGGCGGATTCCGGGCGACAGACGGCCGTCGCGTCTGCGCGGCTGCGAAGTCGTCGCTCAGGCGCGGGTCGTTGGGCTGCGTCAGGGCGTCGCTCGGCGGAGCGCTGCCGTTGAACTGCCGGTACAGCTCCGTGTACTGCTGGCGTATCCTGTTCGTCTGGTCTCGCAGGCTCTGGTCGTCGGACGAGGCGAGCTGGGCGTCGAGGTGCGAGAGCCCGGCGGAGAGCTGGTCGAGGGAGCGCGCGATTTGGCCGTCTTGGCTGTTCTGGGGCAGGTGGAGGGAGATGGCTCGTCGGCGCTCGAGCAGGGAGAGCTTGATGTGGTCGGCGAGGAGGAGGAGCTGCGACGGGGACTGGGTGGACATGGCTGGGGAGGTTCGGGGTGGCGGAGGTGATTGCGGAGGTGGGACGTTCAAGGTGAATCAAGCGCGGGGCGGGGGCTAGAAGCCGTACATGTGCGAAAGAAGCCCCAAGAGCGGTAGGAAGTCAGTTGGATGGGTGTGTCAAGGCCAGTGTTGTGGGGCCAATGGCTGTTGCAAGCTGCTCCTGTCACTCGTGTCACTCATGCGAGGCTTCCGACACGGGAGGTGACGAACGCTTGCTTGGCGGTCCGTTCAGCCGCATTCCGCGGATCATCCCTCCGCTTGCTCACCCCTCCGCTCACATAACACCGCGCCCACTAACTACCATGGAGCTCAGGTTCTTGGGGCCTTTAAATCTCCAACCCAGGCCTCGTCAAGCGCAATATACTCTGCCACCGCACTCTACCCGCCATGTCCGCCCCAAACTCTCCCACGCTCGGGCTCTTCCGGTCAGACGCTCGACCGGGACCGCTCACCATCCCACCTCCGAACCTTGAAGGTACCGCTACCGCTACCGCTACCGCTACCGCTGCTACCTGGTCCGACCCACGCCAGTTCGTTGTCGGTGCTCCGCCAAACCCGCCGTCTCCTCTCGCTCTTCGTGCGCTCACCTCACCTTCGAACCGCCGGGCTACTTTGGCGGCTCCTACACTACCGCTCGGGCATGCAGGTGAGTTCGATGCCTAGTCTCCTAGGCCCAGATGTTGCCGCACCTCACGAAGCCGTGCAAGGGGGGTGTGAGCTATCCACAATGCGCTTGTCTGTTCCAGCGGCTTATATTGCCATGATCATGGCGCAGAGAGGGAAACCAAGACTACTGATCTGTTTTCGTGTATCGCTGATCCGTTCGACTAGATAGCATTCGCAAGCGGTCCAGTCTACCTGCCGATATCGATCTCAGCACACTCGACTACATCACAGCCTGCGACGAGAACCTCATCTGCCCCATATGTCGATGCCCTCTGGACAAGCCGGTAAGGCTTGCATGTGACCATATCTTCTGTGACGAGTGCCTCAACCGGGCACTCGAGGCACAACGGAATGGAGAGCGCAACTGCCCTTCGTGCCGCACCCGCGTGCACGGGTGGTCGGAAGATGCGGGAAAGCAGAAACATAAGACGTCCATACCTAGGATCCTCACCCAGATGCTGGACGAGCTTGTGGTGAGGTGTCCAAACGGCAAGGCTGGCTGCAAGTGGCAGGACAAGAGAGGGGAGGTGCAAGATCACGTGGACCGCTATTGTGACTATACGTTGCTTGCCTGCCCCGAGAGCGAGTGCGGAGAGGTCGTACCGCGGAAACACCGCGGCAAGAGCTGCCTTCACTTCCATACCAAGTGCGAGGACTGTGAGCAATCCGTACTGCGACTAGACTTGGAAGCTCACCAAGAATCCGAATGCCCGAAGCGAGCCAAAGACTGTTCGAAATGCGGCGCCAACATTCCTGTCCGCGAACTCATAAGCCATCTGTCATCCAAATGCCCTGAGACTATCGTCAGCTGTCCAGGCTCACCCTACGGCTGCTCTTTCCAATCTCCCCATGCCGACCTCAAACCGCATACCAAGACCTGCCCCATCGCAGCCATGGCCCCATTCCTCAGCGCCCAGCAAGCCCGCCAAGACACCCAGGAAGCCCAGCAAAAGCTGCTGCAGCGCAAAGTTGACGTCCTCGAAGGCGGCTTCAGCAGCATCCAGTCTCTGCTTTACACCTCCGATGCGGGGACCAGAACACCCACCACACCGCTCGAGGCAATGTCGGACCCAATGCTGCGGTCCGGCTCCAACAACGGCGCAGCCTCCGCCTCCTCCACAGCACCGGCCACCGAGAACCCGCCATTCGACTCCTCGACCGAGCACCTCCTGTTCCTGCACGACTCCCTCCGCAACGAGATCTCCCGTGTCGAGAACGCGTTGGCTGTTCTCGACGCCCGCACCACGATGACCCTGCTGAACGAAAGCCTGCGCGCCAAGGAGGAGATGGCGCATACGAACGCGGCAATCAACGGCATGAGGATGCAGCTCCACTGGCTCATGTCTGCGAGGCTGCAGGCGCAGAGGGAGCAGAGCGGGCCGAGGGCCGGACCGAGTGTTGGTGGAGGCGGGGCTGGGGGTGCGGCGGGAGCGAGTGCGCCAATGCTTAGGCCGGTAAGGAGGTCGAGCGAGGAGAGTAGGCAGAAGCTGTGAGGGCTGGGAAACGGGATCAGGGGAGTCGGGTGTGGAAGAATTGCTAGGGTTACGGAGCGGCTTGAGCGTAGGGCGTAGGGCGTAGGGCGTAGGGCGTTCAGGTTGCGTTTTCGTGCTGGGATACCGATGGCGGTTTGCTGGGCTGCTTTGTGCTACTCTTACGGTGTTCGGGACGCAAGGCACCCGGAAAATGGATGCTGGCGTAAACTGAGATAATCATAGGGTAGAGGGTCTCATTCAGACGAATCAAAACTCGGAAAACTGTTAAATTTAAACCGTTGAGCCATATTTTCCCTTCCTTACAGCATCTCGCAACGCCAACCACAAACGGCGTGCGGGGAGAACACGATGTTCTGGTGCCTTGCAGTTCGAGATGTCGTGATGCTGGGAGTGTATCCTAGACAGGCAGGCAACGTACCAGAAATGTCCGGACGCTTTTCAGTGGAGGTCCGTGCGAAACTGTCCGGATGTTCCTGGTACATGGCTTGCAGGCACGTCAACTCAAGCAGAAATCGATGCATCTATCACTGAGCAGCCGGCTATACGAGATGCAGACCCCACAAGGCATCCAGCTGGGCCTTACAGTACTACCATTACACGGCTACCCCGCCCTCTACTGTCAGTTCTACGGCTCTGGTTCATCAATGTCTTGCATCGGCTTGACTTCATCCTGTCAGAAATCCATGCACGAGAAAACAGATCATGCGCTGACCTTGCTTTCGCTCGTCTCCATGCAGTGTCGAAGGTGTACAAAGCCCTTCGTCTACGTGCGATTCATCTAGCAAAGAGCGGAGCCTCTACTGAGCTTCCAGTCGCCAAGTCTCTGCAGTCAATCTTGACAAGCACAATCATGGAGCTGTCCTTCACCTCTCTGCTCCTTCCCATGCTCATCGTCGCCCTGCCGACGGAGATGTGGAGATGACCGTGCGCTCGCCCCTCGAAGCCGCCATCGAAGCACGCCAGGCCAGATTCTGTCTTACGGGCTCGGACCAAACCAACTTCCGTGGCCGGTTGGCGACTGTCTGCTGCGACTATAACTCGTATTGCCGCTTCATGAAAGATCTTTTGGTTAACCGGCTGCTCTCTGCTAAGGCGAGCGGGGTGGCGGGTCTCTATCTATAAGTGATTTAGAATGATTGGATTGGTGTCCTGAGTGGATGTGGGAGGGGAAGCTGACAAGCTGTTGGAATAGGTACACTGATAGTCTTTACGTGAGGGACTCGGATAGGCGCTGGATTGATCAGGCGGGGTGGCGCGATTTGAGCTCGGCGCCGGCTTATCATAGCATGAATATGGATGGGTAGGCGTTGAGAGTTGTATTTCTCCGCTGCGGCATGCTGTCGCACGTTTAGGTGTGACTGGACTTGGGATGAAGCTTCGAAATCTGTAGCAAGGAACAATATGAGGTTCTGAGACTTCTGTACTATAAAGAGAGCCCTTGCGGCGGACTAACAGCTTACTACAAAGATACGGACGCTGCACGCTCGGTGTCAGAGAATATAGCAAGTGACGAAGGGAAGATACCAGCGATGTTAAAAAAGCGTGATGAAAATATGACTTGAATAGAGAGGCAGAGCAAAGCAAAGATCGGTACTCGGAGTTCCCCTGGGTGAGAAATTCCTGCTGCGAACAAACACCTTCGCCTAAGACTTGGGATAGGTTTCGGTCATCTCCTTCAACTGTGATGTCTTCATGGGTGCCTGGTGCCTTTCTCGTCGCCTTTCCAAGTCTTACTATCCGTCCCTGAGCCCGAGGTCCAGGTATCCGGATGGTTTCTCTGTGCATCCGCCCGTGTCTGCTCGTACAAGTTCCTGAGCTCTACCGCCTCCTGGTACGAAACAATTCTTCTCTTCGCTCTCACCTCCTTCTCCATCCACTCAATCTGCTCCCGTATTTTCCGCAATCCATTTGCGTACTGCATCAACCGGTTGGGCAAGCCCTGCCCCCTAATCAAACTCAAGACGCCCGTGATGACGCCATTCGCAGACCCCAGAACCGCGATTGCAATATGGTGATCCGACGAGTTAGCGCCCAGGAGGATTAGCACGGCTGAGATGACGAGCTGCGAGACAAGGCCACCGTAGACGATAGTGTTGTAAAGGTAATATCTCCGCTGCGAGGCCACCTCTTCAAATCGGATGTTTTGCCACACGCCGATGTTGTGTTCCGGGTCGAAGGTCTTGCAGCCTTTGACTACCCTCCACCAGCGAGGAGCCTTGGAAGAATGACGACTCTCCTTCTCCTCTAAGCTGTCCGGTTCGCGTTTGGGGTCGCCTGTCGGTGTGCCGAACAGGGTGTAGAAATCATCCTTCGTAAGTTGGATGAGATTGTCGGCAGCGGCATCTTGTGCACTCGTTGATGAGCCGGTCGACGTGTTCCGGATTTCCCCGGACGCGGGTGGTTCGGCTGCGGAGGCGGGAGCTCCCGTGCCGGACATCGCTCAAGCCGGCCTCACACGTGCGAAGCCGTTGTGATGCTGTACGATCCTGTGCGACGACGATAGACGAGTCTGCAACCTTCGCGCAGAGTTCGAGAACGATGAGGGCTTCACGCAAGACAAAGCTGGCCTGATAGTCGACGGCCATGGTAAGCACACAGGCTGAGGCTTCAGCTCGTGACTTGTGGCTTGGTCAGTTGCGGCTGAAAGCCGAATGCGGCGAAAGCGCTCCATGTCATTGCCGTACAACCTCACGAGGCAGCAGGGCGATTTCGGCCGTTGACAGCGATGATTAGAGAGGGGGAAAGGAGAGCAATGGTCCAAGCTACATCCTATCCACGTCTGAGGTGTGTTAGTTCTTCCCTAAACGCTATTCTCAATTGCGTCCGTTCCCTAACAACTCCCACCAACCGAATCATGTCGCTGGTTTACCAGCGCCGGTCCAAGCAAGTAGACGAACGAACATTTGGAGCCTAGCAAAATCACCTCAAAGTGGATGGAAAGATGAAGCTCGTTGTGTGACGACCTGCAGCTACGGCCGTAACTACACCGCCGCCGTCTCCAGTTGCCGCGTCGCCTTGATCATCCTCAAGCCATGCTGCCTTCTTGTCATTCTCGTTGTTTCTTGTTCATACAGTAATTCTTTCAAGCTGGGCATGTTATGCATATACCATTCGGCGCCATCCCAGGCTGCTAGCGATTACTCTCATTTAGATTGTTGATTCTAAGTAGCGTCAGTTCTCTGGAAGACGTGGTGTTGATCTGAGTGCAGAGGTCGAGCGAGCACGTCGTGGCCAAAAAAAAAACCGTTCCTACCAAGACGACATCGGCGTTTTGTTTCGCAGATCGACTGGATCTGAGCTGTACGTAGCCAGATCTGATGCGTCAGATCTGGCTCTGAGCGCGCTGGATACCCCGCGTGCTCGGCGTGTTCGGCGTGCTTGAGCTTCTCGTGCTTCTCATGCTTCTCGGAGTACTCAGAGCTGCCAAGCTGCTCAGTAAGCAAAAGTTTTTTGGAGTTCTCTTTCTCGCTTAACTTTCATCCCCTGGCTAAAAAGCCACATCGCGAGCGGCTTGCGAGCGGCTCGCGATTTGGACATAAGGTCGGCACATCTGAGGCCTCAGAGCCACATCTGATGCATCAGATGTGACGAAAACTTTTGCCGATGTAAGATCCTTGTAACAATGGTTCAGCAGCCTCAATCAGCTTAGCGGCTCGTCTAGAGCATCACGACGATCATTGGCTACTAGACGGACGACTCTAAATAAACGCCGTTTCAACGAGTTATGCCCGGACGATATAGAACACTGTTTACAGTACTTTAAAGCTCGATATAATAACACACTGTTAGCTATAAGAGTGTATAAGCGTAGATAGCATATAACCTTCGTTTACTTGTCATTCTCACCCATTTACTAAAGTTCCTTTCCATAAGTAACTGGTGTGATCTTAGTGGAGATGCGATCTTGGTAGGAACGTTTTTTTGGGCACCACGTGGCGAGGTGCAGGAGGGCTGAGCAGTCCCGGTTCTGCTTTCCTACCGCGTCTTAGCCGCTTTTCCACGAACCGGGAACCTCAGCTGCCAAGAGATTTGGGGATGGCCAACACCCAATGGCCAATATAATAAGACGTGGCCGCATCCTACCACCTTGTAGCACCAAAGCAAGCGGTCGCAGCTTATTGTATTGACCCTTGACCCCTTGAGCAGATCATTGAGTAAGGTAAGTGCTTCCTTTACAGCTCTCCCCACGCTGCATCCTGCAAGCCTTCTGGTTTATCACCCAGCACTTCATGCACGCGTGCTTCAGCCCATCATCTGGACACGAAGCCCTAAAGATGAGCGGTCTCGGGATCGCCGTGGATAATTCAGGAGGTACTTGCCCTGGAGGAGTGCCTTGAACGCAATTTCCTTCATAGAAAGCTTACATTGATTTGAAGCCGACAGAGGCAATGTGTAAGTGGTAGGTTGGGCTGTGCGGGAAGGCCGAGTGAATGTCCTGTATCTGCCATGCGAGTATTGTGTTCTTCCTGTGGCTGGCTGAGGACTTGTCTCGGCGGAAACGCCCATTCAGCCCCGTCAGGATCTCATCCATACTCAGGCGTATATATAATTGTCTCTTTCATCTCTATGCTCTTTCACTTTCACTCTTATCCATACTCCTTCACCCTCTGGCATCATTTGCAACCGCGCATTATGGCTGCTATTCTAAGTGTTCTCTTTGTACTTCTCTTCAGTCCATTTATTACGGGTTCTGCTATCCCAAAGAGGGAGGCAGCCCCTCTTATTCCAGCACTATTCGAAAGACAGGTAGCGCCAGTATGCACTGCTCCGGCAGTGCGTGCTGCTACTTCAATCATGACTCGAATCGCCCCCCTGGCGAGCAGCTTCTGCTCCTCATTCCTGAGCGTGCCAACCGCAGCCCCAACGGTACTCAGGACAACAACCGTTAGCAGTACTGCTACAATCACTCCGCCACCAGTCTTCGTCGGAGAGATCGAGTTAACTGGGACTACTACCACTACTACCACTACTGTCACTACGTAAGTAAACTGCTGCCTGATCCTTGTCTGAGATTCTATCGAGCGATTTATTGACTTGTATTCTAGGACGCCTCCACCAACTCCTGGTCCCTTGAGGAAGCGACAGGTGGCTAGCCTTTCGCAGCTCAGAGCACTAGCCCAAAATGTCCTCTCCTCAGCCTGCAGCTGCTTCATTACCACCCCCGCCGCGGTAACAAAAACATCAACGGTGGCCGTCGTCGGTACTATTATACTCGACGCTAGCACAATAACGTCCACCAGTTCCGCTGTCACTACGGCACGCGTCACAACTACGGCCACGGCCACGGCCGCCCCCAGCATTGTTAACTTCTCCAAAGTCAGCGACGGCCGGGTGGATTGCACCTACAACAGGTACTATGCATACCCTGCGGAGAACAACAATATCGCCGCCGGTGTTCCACACTGCGCGCAGCAGTGTGCAGCCAACGCCAACTGCAAGTTTTGGTGGTATCTCAAGTTTGACCCTGCACAGGCCAGTGGCTTTGACGGCGCGGCCTGTGGCCTTGATAATCAGCCCTATGATCCAGAATTCTTGCAGTGTGGTTACCCAACCCAATTCTTTGTTGCTTACAATAAGGCTTGATATTCGCGCTGTTAGGATGGTTCTATCCACAGATCACGAATCTTGTAATGTTTCTTTTCCTGTTTCATTACGTGTAGTGTGCTATAAGCGTTGCTTGGGCGGTCGCAATCAGTTTAGTCAGTGAGTGGTAGATAGACTTAGCTCGAAAGGCTAGCTTTTCCTTCAGCCAATAGTGAGTGTATGTCTTGCTGCATACCTTCCTCGAGTGTCTTGCCTACTCTCTCGCTGCAACACTCCTGCAACGCCGCCCTACACCCTCCTACCATATCCGAACGATAGCCCAAGCCAGCCTTACATGTGCGAAGTCGTTGTGATGCTGATACTGTACGAACCTGTAGAAATAATAGAATGGGAGTCTATAATCGTTCCGTAAACACTGGAGATAACAGGACATCCGAGCAAAATAGAGCTTACCAGATACTTAACTACTATAATGAGTATAGAGCATAAGGACTTAGCTCGTCGCTAATGGCTTGACAAAGCTACGTAGGGCAAGAGAGCTCCATGTTAATCCCAGAGGCAGCAGGGCGGTTTCAGCCGAAGTAGTTGCCACGGCTCGAGCGGCACTCTTCGAGGCTTCTTGTGTTGCTAGGGTGATTCCTAGGTGTCAGATTCATGATCTACATACATAACAAGCCCATGTGGACTCGGGTGAGGTGGTGCCAAGACCACTTCATACGACGACATTCCAGTACCCGGCCAGTCGATGGAACAAATGGGCCGGAGTTAACGCTCATATCCAAACATATCGTGGACGTCCTATTTGATCGTTCCGTGGATCCAAGATCCGTCCCATTGATCATGCCGGAAGCTCCTCTGTCTGTTGTGGGATGTCGGGCCGTGTGGACACGACGTGTCAAGAGAATTACACCGACAATTCCGCCGGTCCCACCACAGCCCGTCGTGACGCAGGTACCAGAAATGTCCGGACACTTTTTGCTGGGGTCCGGTGCGAAAAGCGTTCCAATATCTATGGTACGCTTGAAACCCAAAGTGTCATCCCTAGTTACTTGTTCTGCGACATTCTCATCCTCGGCGGTAGAATAAACAGCTCTTCTTCACATTTTGGCTAAATCGCCATCTTCAACGGGAAAATGGCCGCATCAGAGAAGAACGAGGAGCAGCTGACGACAGCGAAGACCCTAAACAATGTCCCCTGGTGTGAGCAGTATGAGCGAATGATCTCGGGGATGCTGTAAGTTGAAAGCAAAGCGCCCCCCATCGTCTCGGATATGTCTAAAGCCATGGCTCCCGCCGCACACACAAAGCTACAACTCCTGGGTCCCCGAGCTCGCGTCCACCCGCTTCAAAGCCCGCGCCTGGTGCCACCGCTACAACAGCTACTTCCCTTCCTCGCTCGAGGGCGCCAACTTCTCCACGCTGCAAGCGGCTCGCCTCATCATGCTGCGCGAGATCCTGGGCAGCATCAACGGCGACGATGTCTTCATCGAGCCACCTTTTACAGTCGACTACGGCTGCAACGTCCGCCTCGGCGCGCGCTTCTACGCAAACTTTAACCTCACCATCCTCGACTGCGGGCTCGTGACTATTGGCGACAGGGTCATGTTGGGGCCCAACGTGTCTATCCTCGCGGCTACGCACGAGACGGAGGTCCAGAGCCGGAGGGACGAGATCGAGTACGCGAAGCCCGTGGTCATTGGGAATGATTGCTGGATCGGAGGGCATGTTGTTATTTTGCCGGGTGTGGAGATTGGAGACGGGTGCACGATCGCGGCCGGCTCGGTTGTTTCGAGGAGTATTCCAGCATGGAGTGTTGCTATGGGGGCGCCGGCGAAGGTTGTGAAGAAGGTGACACCGGTGGAGGATATGCCGCGCACAACGTCGTCTATGGAGTGAAATGGATGAAAATTGTGCAGTTCCACAAGCACAATGGTCTCAAAAGTAATATGTTGGTTCACGGTGAAGAAAGACAACTATGCCGAGTTACAATGGCCGGGCACTTTGGCGCATAGATCCTAAAGACTACCAGGGATATCTTAAATCTGTACTAGAACATAGATTCTTGTACTTGAGCTAGAATAGATTAGAATTGGGTTTGCTATCATTGGTGAGCTGCAACTACCTCTGGGTTGACGCTTTCTTCCTGTATCGTGCAAGACGACGAGAAGGACAAGGAGTACCATATCAACCGGATGGGTCAGGTGTGCTCGGAAGCATGGCAGACTATAGTGGTGAGTACTGCCTCAGTCCTGAGTCCTACTCCAATTCTGACTGGTCACAGGCAGCCCCGAGAGATGGTGCTAAGGCAGGATTGCCGGGGGTTAGCGAACGCTTCCCCACACTGGAGCAACACACAGAAGTCATCGACGGAGTTCCTCTCATGACGACCAAACAATCATTCCTGACGGCCTTGGCCGAGTCGAAGTAGGAGACTCGAGGACGGACTTTTCAAGAGAAGCATCACTCCAGACGGCTTCTTATCTCCACAGACGAGCAGTGCTTCTGGCACTGGTTCTTCGCGACGTGTTACGAGGTCTAGAACACAGGAAAGACACAGCCATGACATTGAACAGCTTCTGAGGTATGGAGAGTCTGGCATGGAAACAGCTCATGCCGTGAGCGTCACGATGTAGTTCTCCGCTAGCTATAGACGTACCTTGCTTCCCTCGGCAGTTCTTTAAAACTTGGAAGCTTGTTGTAAAAGCATTTAGCGGGCGGTAATGGGGAGAATATTGTGCATTGTAGCAGCGTTCATAAGCCAAGGGAGCAGTTAGAATACGTAGATTACGGCTGTGTAGATGGAACGTGTACAGTGAACATCGCCATGTGGCTAAAGGTAGATATGCGATATGTCTACCTCAGCCGCTTAGCCGCAGATCGGCAGACTATCTCGTATGAAGCACACGCGCTTGTGTAGGTAGATGAGATGGAATATAACTTCAATCATAGAAAGCGTGAGGTCGTTATCGACTCACAAGCACCCGAGATCAAAAGTCTGCTCTACGAAAGCACAAATCACTATGGGAGCGGCCACGAATTTCGCTCATCGTAAAGCACTAAGCGAGCAAATGCTCTACCAAGAAGCCAGGAACATCAGACCGTCAAGTCGCTGCAGCATATCTGGAGCAGAGCCTCAGGGAGAAGAGACACACGCATGTTGAACTGTACGCCGACATCACAGGACTGAAGCCCTCGGCTGAAAAACAGAGAACAACCGAGGATGTTTGCGCAGTTCAGGCGGATGGCGGATAACCTCTTCCGCAGCCGATCAGGCATACTGACCGTCCAACACGTAGGCTTCTATCCAAGGAGCCCAGAACGCCGCGGCCAGGAGGATTTGTGTTGGAAGCCGACAAGGGACATTGGTCCGACTAGGGGATCGGGGAAATAGCTATTACAGCCGTCTTGTAGGGATTAGAAGGATACAGAACAAGCGTGGACTTGACTGGTATCCAACACAAGGGATATCTTGATAGATTCCATAGAAAGAGGAAGGGCGAGGCGGAGGGCGGTTGCTGCCCGTATCGTGCATGATTAACGAAAGCTGCGGGACGACAAGTACGCAGAGACCGAAGCTGAAGCGAGCTGGGGAGGGGAAACGGCGGAAAGCTGATTCTTGCACATGTACCTTTCTGAAGCGGATGATGAGCACGAGCACCAAGCGAACAGGCGCATTCGCGCGGCTGACTCTGGTTGGGGGGGAACTTTGGGAATCCGAAGAGATATCTGCGCATCCGTAGGGGTATTTCCTGGCCGCTGCCCGATGCGGGTTTCCGGCTTCCCCGGCTTCATAAGCCTTGGGCGAGCATCCCGTTTCTACACCGAGCGGTAGCATCTCCACTACATCGTGCCTAATGACCAACTTGGGGTGTAGGTGAGTGTGAGTGATGCCTCAAGCTAATACATAATGGTGCGGAGCGGATGAAACGAGAAGGATAAAGAAAGAGGAATCGGAAACGCTTTGGGTAATGGGAAAACGGAGAACTAATCACGGCTCTGATGGGTATCCACCCACCAGATGCGATATCTCACAAGACACTGGAGACGACTGAAGGGGTTGGTGAAGACGGATTTGGCCCACAGAAGCCACAACACGGCGACCGCGTTTAGGCCGATTATTCGGACGGTCCTGGTCTCGAAAGTATCGGTGAAGCGATAGCAAGGAGCCGGTGATTGAAAGCGGTCAAGGAGTGTGGGACAGTCGCAAGGTCAGATCTTGATGTCGATGTGCCACGGTAGCCCGCGTGTGTGCCCAGACGATAGCCCATACAGTTGCTTACCCGCGATTAGGTTTGCGAGCGATCGTACTTCCTGACTGCTGCTGCATGCCGCTTCCCGCAGTTCTCCTGCGCATTCCATGCGCATTGGTGCTACAAACCCCTTCGCCACCAGGGCAGCTGCATCTTGACCGGTCCACCGTGCTGCTGTGGCGCGTCACACAACCACGAGCCGGAAAAGCTAAAGTGAACTTCCATGGTCTAACCACGGAAACTAGTAACGTCTGGCGTTGTCTAATTTTGAGTCTCTTGAAGCGCGCTTGGACAACTCGGCAACGGCTCAGAAATCAAGCAGAACATCTACAGCCGTAGCTGCACAGCACTCCCGGCACAGCGCTTGCGGCATACCCGACGGAATGCCAGCCCATCACGTCGGTCGTTCTCTATGTGGGCGACGACCCCGAAGTAGTTGACATGCTCACAGCGACTGCATCTGGGCGGACTCGAGTCATACTCGCCAGTTACGAAGGCGAGCAGTCGGATGCTGCGAACGCGGCCTGGAACTGTCGATCGGGTTCGTGCAACGAGTGAACAACAGCTGACAAGGAAAGCATGGAGAATAGGCCGATGGCGGAAACCTTGTGCCCAATCGCTGCTTGAATAGTTTAGATGAAGAGGGCGCATCCGCTCAGCAGTATCCAAACATCAGTCGCAGCATCACAGCTGATTGACGTGATCCTAGGGAAAAAAAACCGCAGAAAGCAGGGCGCGCCTTGCCTATGCATCCTCATGACACATGACCGCCATCCGAACCGCGAAGGAGACCTTGATTAGCGGAGATTGGCGGCCGCCCGTTTCGCGGTCCGTCTCACCGGCAAGCCCGAGCATGATCTGGCGCTCTCCGGATTAACTAAACTAGACAAAATTGGGGGTCGGCTAAATGCTTGTCCCTCGCACTGCTATCCGACACAGCGGGGGTTCCAGCGAGCTGATCGACATGTTTCATGGCTTACCGCGGGCTCGTTGTGCCGGGCACCATGTCTCCGTCCAAGGACATGCATAACCTGTGCGGAAACTTTGACATGGTTCTCGGGATCCACGCCGATGCACAATTAGTTCGATGGTCCCTGAGCTGGATGGCCTAGTACGGTGTCAAAGGATGAAGAGTAGCTTAAGTCGTCACAGCTGCTCTAATCGAGCCAGATCCAGTATCATATAGAGGTCACGAGAGAGTGGTGATACAATAAATTTACTCGCTCTCAAGCAGCAGCATGCCATTGTGCCAATCGCATCCGGATTGAGATGTACATATAGTTGGTACGTTGAGCGTTTGGCAGCAACGCGAGATGTCCTGGCCAGCTATGGATTGCCAGGAGTCTTCAGCCTTCCTGAACTCTCCGGCTCCCGGGAGGCGGCCGCCTCGAACTTGCGGGAGATCCGATCCAATCGCCTGGTAATCGGCGTGCGCAATTCATCATGTGGACCTTGCGGAAGAATGGACGCGGCAGGGAACAGACCGGGAAGGCCATGCACAGACCTCGAAAATCTGAAAGGATAAGTCCATGCATAACTTTCCGGAAGACAATACTTGGGACGAACACCTCCCAGGATCCCAGTCTTCGAGTCGACCGCGGGTAATATCAATCTAGACCTTTACTGGGAGTTTTGCGTGCTACAAATAGCTAGCACATGGACAAGCACGTGAGCCCTACGCCCTTGGCATCTGTTCTTCTGGCTATGAAGGAGCCAAGAAGTTCTGCCAGTTGATCGAAGGACAGAGCAATGGAGGACAAGAACAAATGAAGGACAAGTCCAGCTGGACAGGACGCCCAGCACTATGCCCCGCCGTACATGTCATGATCTGACAACAAATGTTGTTCATAAGATATTTGGATTGCCCTCTCGACTTATAATCTCGGTGACCCAAGATATCTGTCGCGGTGAAGACTTGAATCATCTCGTAAACTTCATCGTGGCCCTTGTACTTCTGCAACGGTAATCTACAGTTAGCGACTGCATCGCCAGTTCAATAGTCCAACGCTCTTCTCTTCTAGTAGGGGCTGATCGAAAGATAGTATCCATACACCCAGAACGTACTACGCAACCTTTCGGACGCTCTTGGACTTGCGTCGGCACTTCTAAACGTAGATTCTACACCATGCCGGAAGCCGCCTTACAAGCTGACACGAACGAGGTACAGTCGAACTACCCCTTTCTTCTTGTGAGGTTTCAGTAGGTAACTCTCCCAATTAGATGCACGGAAACAGCCTGTCCTCTCAAGGCTTGCACACACCACAACAGGTAGCCGTGAACCGCTCCTGGACGGAGCCAAAGAACAATGCATTGGCGGCAGTCGACAACCCGCAAGCACAGGTGCACGCAGGACCTTACGACAAGATGCAACGGTTCCTTAGCGAGAGCCAACAGCAGAGACCATATGATGCCATAGCCTATGTCAGAAAAGAAGCCGATTCGAGGACGGGACGATAGGAGGTCCTCACGGCGGCCCGCTTCATCCTACATACAGTAGTGGTCTCGGCGAAATGCAGGCTGGGCTAATTTGGGAGCTTCATGGCGTCGAAGTCTTGTTGATGGTTCTTCAGGGGCTTTCAAGGATCACTGCTGGTTCTGACTTGCTGGTTCCGAGAGCCGACCGGGATTGTCTCGTCAAGCGATAGT